AGGAAGAATGGGTGACAAACGTTTTCTTTATTAAACGCCTGAATCGACGCCCCTGCAAATAGACTTAAAAGGAAAGAAAATAATTTTTTCCGTACAAAGTACATTCCCTGTATTTGATGTATTAAATAGGGATGGAATGCACTCAATATGAAATATATATAGACATATATATATATATATTTCTTCATATATATGTATTCCAAATCGACGCAGCGATGCAATTTGTACCCAGAGCTTTAGGCCAAAAAGTCACGTGATGCCATGTAATACCTCAATACAAATGCGTATAGCATTAAGCCTAAAAGTACCGACGGACGTCGTCGTAAATTCTATTTAGATTCGGGCAAACTTTTGCCTTCAAAAAGCCGCTTTCCACTGGGAAATCTGAGAAGGAGGATTTTTTTGAAGAGGGAAGGGAGAAATTTTTTTCGCCGACCGCAAAACACTGGAATGTAAGAGCGTCATATCGGAATGGAAAGACGACGTGCTCGGAGCGTTTCCTTTTTTGCTAAAAGCGTCTCGCTTCCAACGTTATTGATTAAGCGTTGGTTAGGCGAGAAGACTACAGATATTACCGAATAGATAGGCGATAATCAATAAGCAATTATAACTGGAGACAATACGCATGCGCAGAAGTAAACTCTCTTTAATGAACCGTACAAGCGTGCATTAGACCGAAGAAAATAGTAATTTGTAAGTGGTATATGTATATTTGAGATTCAGAAATTATAAAAAAAATACTAAGTAACTTATTATCGCTCTTGGAGGAAATTATCTGGCAAATACAAGAAAAGAACATTCGAGTAATAGTGCCATACAATTTGATATACTTGTCTAAGAATATCGTATAAAGAATGACGTATACTTCCGCTACACGTCTCTATCTCCATTTCGTTAACTTTTCAAATAACTAGAAAATCGCGATAATATTTCTCCCATTTGTAAGCCAGAAACGGTGAATAATGAAGACAAGGCCGATACGTGTGAATTGATGCTTCGCGAGCGCAGCGTTCCCTCAGAGACGCTCCGGCGTCTATGCCATTTTCTTTTATCGCTACGAGACTCACGTTTACTCGCTGAGATTAAAGGCGATACGATGTGTGCTTCTCAACGTTTACATATTACGAGAATAAACAGGTGGTTAAGAAATAAAAGGGATAATTTGTTGAGGAAGTTAAATACCAGCTGGGCAGAGCAATGTACAACAAATGTGTATTATGAATGCGTATACTATGCAGTATATTATATATTTAATATACTGAATGTCGTATATAATATTCTCTTTATGACATAAAAACACATTTATATGTATATACATATACATATATATGCTGTATACACATATATTACATCGGTGCTCGACAGGTGAATCGTACAAACGTCGTCACGTTTTTGCACTTATCTCGTTGTGCATACAGTTCGCTATGATTCATCTGTCTGGTTTCTTATATATATATATATATATACATACTTCACAGCATACAGCATATAAGTATATATATATATATATTACAGTATATGGGCTACACTGCTTAGAATGTAAAGGACTGTAAAAGGATTAATTAATTTATAAAGGAGGGTGTCATACGATAATATTGACAGAGGCGACGAAGGCTTTACCGTAAGACGTTTGACAAACATTAGAGGTGGTCGACGTCATTAGCTTGTGTTTTTTGTTAGCTTGTAGCCGGAAGGTACTAAGGATTTCAATTGTATGACTTATTCGCTTCATTCTTCCTTTAATATCTTTTAACTTGTATATCTTTATTTTTGATAGACAGAAAATCCTTTTTAAAGATCATATGGATTATTTTGGCTCGTTTTATCGTAAAAAAATATGCCGCCAACTGTCCCCAAGGGTTCCCTCTCGCATAAACCTCCCGCGCGGTCGATTGAATAGACTAAAGGCGTCTAATAATGCATACCGCGTACGCAAAAACCCAGGGCGCCTGTACACGTCACTGTATAGTATTTGTATACATGAAAACGCAGTCTGCATTCGTTGAAAAAAAAAACAATAATATTGTATAGAAAATAATAAATGACCCCATTATTCTGCTTTCTGTAATATAACATATGACACGTGTTACAGGGATAACGTACATAGCATGAATATATACATACATCCTTTCTCTGAGTCTACAGTATACATTATGCATGGGCCTATAAAGAGAAAACCGGTCATGATTCGAATGCGCATCTTGAGTATATAAAGAAAATGCGTCTCCAAACACCAAAGCCTCTTTTGTTGAGTATGGAAGCTCCTTAAAATCTATCTACTCTTGTCCTTTCTGTTTCCGTACTTTTTTTTTATCAGCTACTTCTCTTATGAAGAATCCGTTTGCTTTTTATCGCTATTGTCTTTTTTCTTAAATTATTCATTAAGTAAAGGGATAAAGATTTTTTATGGTAAAGTATACACCTGGTCGTCGCTAATATCGTGTTACCTGAAGCCATACTGCAGATTAACAGGCACTATTACACGATTCTGGTGAACATGATTTTTCCTTGCCGATAGGTAGGAAGTACTCTATAACGATCTCGAAGTTAGAGACTGTCGGAGTAGCGTCCAATAACGTCCTCAACAATCGTACTTTCGTTTGGCGTTCTTGTAAGTTATCCGCTAGATGGCGCCGCTGTATAGAAAAAAAAAACAAGTCTAACAAGTATATGATCCATTTTTAACATCATTCGGAAGAGGGAGCAAGGAACTCTCTCCTCTCTGCATCAGTGAATCGATAATGAGTAAAAATGACGCTTTTGATTATTAGCCAGATCGATTTTTCGCAAGACTGGGATATGTCTTTTATAGAAATTAATTGAAAGACTGCGTTTTATCGTGTAGACGCCCCTGCCAATTCGTCATTGTCGAAAAACGAGGTCGTTTCAGAATTAGGCATTCGATCGGCGTAGCAGAGCTTCTCCCGTTTTTTGTATAAACTCTTCAATCAATTCGATCGAACGGGCCCAAAAGAGATGCCGCGAGAAGCTTCCAAAAGCGAATTTACGAGACTTGTTTACTCCCGTTTTCTCCCCGTCCTCGTTATTGACAATATTCGACGCTGCGAATGGCATTTTTTTATTAGTGAGATTGTGCTAGCAAATTTAGATGCGTTTCACCGTCTTAACGAAGGTCAAAGGTCAAATAAAATAGAGCCGACGTCACGACTTAATAGTTCTTGCTTGATCGGTCGGAAATAAAGTTTATTAAAAATCACTTTGAACACACGCAAGAAGGAGAATTTGATTAATTTCAACATTTATCATTGTTAAACACGAATAAATTGTGTAATATAAATATATATTATATATACAGTATATATATAAATAAAGGGAAGAGAGAATGAGTAAAAATCTCCTTCATTCCGTACTTAAAGATGCCAGAAATTCTATTTTAAAGATAATTATGTCAATTATAATTGAGTGTCAAGCTATAGGCTTAAGATGGAAAAAAAACTAGAATTTCTTTTTAATTTTCTTTTCTCTTTCCTATTTCCTTCCTTACTTTTCGTCTTGTTTCTGGTTTTTATGTGCTACTTTTATATAATTTGAAAGGCAGTTTGTTCTTCTCATTTAGTGAAGATGACATCGACTATTACTTTTATCTAAAAACCCTCTTTTTATACTGAATTGGAAAAGAGAAGTTCGTTTTTACGCAAATTTCGCCTGAAGGATCATTCAATTTTCACCCAATTCAGTCAATCAGCGTCATGGGTACCGAGAAAGGATGATTCACCATTCGCCAATTTTCGTGTCAATCTCTATTGTTTCTGTGGGCGTTCACTTATACTATAGGACGTTTTACTTTCCTTTCTCTCTTCCTTATACGAGTTGTACAGTATATCTCAATCCTTAACTCTTTAAAATATTCATTGATTGAAAAATCCATTGCATGTAGAATAAAGTTAGAAGTGGTAACTTGAGGAAAAAGTAGAAGTATAATGTATTCTTCAGACGGTATTAATTTATATGTTCCCGAGCTAATTATCTATATTATTTACGTACAGCCTATGGCAAGATATGTTCCGCAAAGCGATACAACTGAGATCCAGACTTTTCCCGGTAGCTACGGGTCAAGCAGCTGCTGCTATGCATACTGGTGCCGAAGTTCATAAGGACGACGAGAACCTGCACAATCTGCTTCAAGAACGGTGAGCGTGGCATGAACCCTGTCTAGATTCGCCCTCTGCATCATGTAAGGTTTTGTTGTACATAATGCTTTAAACAGGGGAAAAAACAAATAAACAAACAAACAGAGTATTAGAAAACTTGCAAAAACTCGTTATGGATAGAGTTTATTTTTCGTTTTATAATTTTCCGGCTTATTATTAAGTTTAATGTCGTTGAAATTGTTATTTTAATTTTTCTAGTCACGTGGTAATAGTTAAAAAAGTTAGAAAAGTATGAGAAAACAGAGAGGAAGAGATAGACGGATAGATAGAGAAACGAGAAAGGGACGGCTAATGGGAAGAATTTAAAAAGCAAACAATCTACATATAAATTCATCATATAAAGTGTTTTTCCATAAAAGTTTTCAAAGATCATAACTACTGTTATTATCTTTGATGTATGAATGGGAAAAATAAGTTATATAGATTTTATATGATAGGGGGAAGAGAGAGAGAGCGACAGAGAGAGAGAAAAATTGTATTACTTTGTATATGTATATATATGTATATATACAGTATATATATATATATATATATATATATATGCAAATGAGGTTATAGTTAATAAACGTAGTAATTAACGTATCATCAACAATTACTCGATATTGTTAAATTTTCAGACATTTTTTTTAGATATGTATTTTTTTATGCTTTAAAACAATGCTTTATTTTGGCTTATCAAATTACTAAACATATGCATGTATATATTACATGTATTTATAGACATATATGTATATATATACTGTATATATATATGCTTTTATGGATATAAAGTATATAGTTTACTTCTGTTGTTTTTTGTGGACTGATAAATTATGCGGTTTGCAGCAAAATGCGAGATCAGAGCGATAAAAATCCCGTTATTGAAGCCCATCAAGCGTTCGGTTTAAGCTGCTTCGGTGTAGCTATTGACCAATCCATGGACGATCCGGAAAAAGCTTCGGCGTTTAGGTAAGATACGCTTTTTTTTATAAATTATTCACATTTCCAGATCTGAAATTAGTTCTAATGCATTTTTTTCCATCTCTTTTCGTTTTCCTTTCCTCTAAGCAGAGAAGAATTAGAAGCATTCAGGTTCGTGCAATTTCACATTATTAAAACAGCACCCGTCTACCAATTACTGACCGTTTGTCGCGCCGTCTGTCACTTAAATTCCCTGCAACTGGTCATGTGATCATTCCTTTTCCTTCCCTGCTTCCCTTCCATAAACGTAGGGTATATACAATTATGAGAGAAATCCGTCAAGTGAGATGACTGATTTAATTCTGTGCCTAAAAGCTCTGTCGCGTCACGAATACGCGTAGTATATATTGAAACAGGTGCGGCGTCTCTTTCTAGATTCTACTCGTTAAGTTGGAGGCTGAAAAAATACCGAGTGTCAGGACTAATCAGATCAGCCCGGTGACGTCATAGAAAGCTGAGCTTTTCAAGATTTTCCCGTCAACAACGTCCATTAAGGGGCGTTTTCGCCGGGTGTCATTCTCATTCACCATAAAATTTAGTATAGTATACGTTCATTGGGGATATATTACGTATCGTGAAGAGAATTTAAGAGAATGATGGCACCAAATTCTAATATCTGATTCTTTCATCTCACTCTAATTTTCCGCCTCGCTAATTGGACTCACAGTTTTCTTCTATATATGGTTTAGGTCTCCTCGGTAGGGCGTCTAAAAAGCACTAAAGCAAAACAAATCAGTTCCCCGGTGAACCATTGCGGAACAAACGAAGCAGAGCAATCGCTCATGAATATAATAGAGAGAACAAGCATAAAGTGAGAAAAGAGAAGGAGTTAGGGCTTGAAAAAAACAGCATCTTTATATGGATATGGTGTTGTATGTTATATCTATAAATCAGATTTTGTGACTGCCTGTACATGGGACAATATCTGCAAACTCTACGGTATGTTTATATAAGGAAAACCGCGTAAATACATAGAATAGCTATTTCTCTACGCATTAGACGATTTAGATGCTTTACGATGGAAAGTGCTCTGTAAAGTCTCGGTGATGCAGCCGACTAATTGTGACAGACTAGTCAGGTAAAGACAGGCGCCTGTATTATCGCTAAACAACTTCCGTTTAGTTGACATTTTACGTCGAGTGAATTTTACATATTTTATTTGACGTCATCGGAGACGTTTAGAGGTAAACAATAAGTCTATAAGTAGGCCCAAGATGAAAATTGCTTGGAAGCTTAGAGAAAGTAGGAGATACCTTGAGGTGAATTAGTTTGGTTTGAATTTTAAAAGGCCTAATTCCATTATATGTCAGTGGTAAACCATAGAAATTTGAAAACATCCAAGTGAAACTTGATTAATTGAAATAATAGGTTTACCGATTAAGAGGTTGATTTTACTAGAAGTAAAGCTAAGCCTATATGCACTATATATAAAATATACAAATATACGCTTCTCTCTAAAAAACAAGTGCTGCCTTTTAGCTTGTCCGTTGAGTTTTTTTTCCATATATAGCAATATCAGAGAGACGTTAGTAATAGAAAAAGGAGAATCGGTCCCTTTTATTCCTTAGACGAAAACAAAAACCCGCTCAAACTTCAAACATCCGCACCGTTTTTCCTAATGGAAAACAGGCATTCTACACAAAGTCTTAAGCGGGTAATTCTTAAAGAGGATTGCGGTAGAGGGAATCTTATATAAGTTTTTCTTTTCGCGCCGTTTAATCTTTCTCGGTCTGCAAACAAGAGCGTCTTCGCCTGATTTTTTTGGTTACCATGGAGACGTTGGTAACGAACATCGGGCCGTCACTCGGTTTGTCAGATTCCTTCGAGCGTAAAATTCTCTCGCGACATTCTTTTATGATAATTAGAAATTACACCCGTAAAAACAGAAAAGTTTGTTTTTCTTTAGTCAACGCTTATCTAACCGTTTGCAAATCGGTAGAGACGCCTCGATAGGCGGCCGTATTTTTATCAGAGCGCAACACCGGTGACGCTACCGATAGACGCCGGCGCTGCCGCGCATTATGCGAGGCGTCCTCGCGGCCGGAATGCATTATTGCCGAGCGCCTCGACGCTGATTACTTTCTCGCTAGACGCTTCCCCGAGCATTTTTTTGGATATATAGATGACCGTCGTCCAAATGCTCTCTACTATTCGGAATAAGTGGCATAATGTTCGCGTAGTCGGAGCGTCCGACGACGTTACCGCAGCGACAACTGATGAAACAACACGTTTGGATTCAACACAACAACAAAACATTGCGGCGTCTATCGCCTCTGCCGTCTCGGAAAAGATCTTGGCAGTCGAGTAAGCTGTGAATGATATATATATATATATATATATATATATATATGTGTATATATATATATATATGATTTTCAATTATTCATCGTCTATAGATATATACTTATATACTTTTTATTTAATTTAATTTGCATATATATATTTGCTCCGATTCTGTCTATTAGTTTCCTGAACGCTCTATATTTCTAAATTCTTCCAAATCGGATAATTAGGGAGTGCACAGTAAATGGAAGAATAAAAGGGGTGCGCCACCATTGACTACAATTACATTTTAGGGTTTTAGATACTATTTTACTTTGCCGCCAATTAAGTAGGAAAATTGCGTGACAGCAATTTGCAAAGAGATTTATTCTGAACGGCATCGCAACTGATCGTCTAAGAATTTCTTTTTACGAAGGAAACGAACATAGTCTAATATTCTCTTCCATAAATATTATTTTCGAGCACATGTAAGTAAGATAGTATTGGGTGACGCCCGTAATAGTATGGATTGTAACGCCAGCGGTCAGTTACTGTGGGAAATTTTATTCTGCAATGCGCGAAAAAGTCTATCATAGTTTTAAAATAAAAATTAAAAAAACAACATGGCTTTGACATTTTTTCCCATCCTTTCCAATCCCTCATTCACACCGCTTTTTCTCTCTTTTTTGTCCATCACGCGTGCATAAGTTCGATCGAGTTTATTAGGCCGTAAAAAGGGCGAAGGAATGCAATTAAAACGTTGCAGTATATTGGTAGAATGAAAATTTTTTACTCTATTTGAACATAAAAAACTATTCTAATCCGATATTTTAAATATGCAGATCGGCAATCACCCACTTATTATGCGGTATATACGCCCTATTGGTGGTCGTTTTAGGCCTAGTTTTCCCCATAACGGATGCTCTAACCCGAAAGAGTGGGGACCAATCTTACTATGTGGAAATATTTCACCTCTACATCTACTTAATGGCTATAGCTTTCTTAGTCTATCTTCACACCTATGTCCTTCGTCATAGAAGAGAGGAATCTCGAGTGAGGAACATACGTTTGGTTAGCAATAACCGTTTGGATGCTGATAAAACGTATTCGAGCATGCATTCGATGAGAGATGTAGCCGCTGGTGAAGATCTACCGAAGGAAGGCGACGGACATCAAAGCCGATCGAGGACGCCTAGTGATTTGGAATTAGACGTCTATCAGCCGTCAGCTCTAGTTTCCTACGAGGCCGAAGGCGTCAATTTTTATTTGAGGATCGGCTCGATCGCTTTTAGCGCCGGCTCCATGATTCACGACGGTTTTAAGATAGCGTCTGTATTCGAATCGGGAGCAACAATACACTGCTACGGAGCACTTTACATTCTCGTTGCGGTTACCCATCTCCTCTTTACGTTTTTCCAGACCTTCTTCTTATTTAAAAGCCACAAGGTCAGTACAATTATTTTGCTCCTTAAGCTTTATCCCTGTTTATGACGGACGTAGAACACAGAGATACACATTCGCTACCATACAACCACATAGTTATTTTTATGTTTATATATCTATATCTTATATGTGAGAAACGTTAACATATACTGTATATATATATATATATATATATATATATATATATATATATATATATATATATATATACAATATCCTTATTTATTTAAGGCATCATTTGTTCTTATAAGGCTTTTTTATATTAATTTTACCCCTATAATCGTATTTAACAAATTTTTCATGTTAAAAGCGTAGCTTTGTACGCGCTATTGCACGATAATTAAATACTTTAAATGTTCTTCTAAGGTCCTTTTGTGTTCTTTGTCTTGGGGGCTGCCTAATGATTTTCTTTCTGTCTTTATTAAATATTCTTCTCCTCCTTTTTTTTCAAGTGACTAATAGACATTTTTGTTATTTTTTTATTATCATTATTACCTTTTTACGTCCCCCTTTCTCTACCTCTTTACTTATTTAGCCTTTTGCCACACAAATCAAGAAGGAAATGAATTAACAAAGACGGTTTTTTGTCGTATTCTCCACCCAAAATGTTAATTCAACGATAATTAATAAGTAGAAAATGCGTTTCTTTTATAAGATATTAGTGTTGGAAAATTACCCAAGGGACATGTAGTGAGTAGATTTCAGACAGCTAGAGAAATTCCCTAAATTTCCTTTTTCTTATTTAATTATTATCATTAGGTTTTACCTTGAGGATGCAAACTAGTCCTATAATCTAATCTTTTGTTATGAGATGTAAAAGAATACTGCAATCTCTGCATAAGAAGCATTTGTAGATTTAACTATTGAAGTTAAATGTTGGGAAGAAGGGAATCTCTATTGATTAGCAAGACTCTTCTTTTTTTAAATAATTGATTGACATCTTATTCTTTGTCTATAATCTCTCCTTTTTTCTCTTCTTTGTCATTAAGATGATTGTTAATTACTGATACTTTTACTTTATTACTATTATTATTATTATTATTATTATTTATATTATTATTACTGCTCCTTTAACCTTCCTGCCAATCTTTGCGAAGCTTTAGAAGTTGTGTAGGCCTAGCGGCGCTTCAAAGATTGAAAGAATGAGTGCTTAAAAGGGTGTTTTTATTCATATGATAGTAGAAAAAGAATGATATAGAATTTATATATATATATATATATATAAATATAATTATTTAAAAATGTATATAATTAATAGAAGTACCTTATATCTTATTACTATTTGAAAACTGGGATGCTATGATAAAAAGCAAAATATATCTATTAATATATATTTTATTAAAGTCTCTTTTTTTTATTAAAAAAAAAGAAATCAGAAAAAAGATTTATTTTTTTGTTTTCTCCGCCTTTCTGTCTATCGTCTTCTTACTTTTCCAGATTTACTCAGTGTACAAGGGCTTGAATGATGTGAGTAGTATAAATATTTACTCCAATCATTTTCGCTTGTCGTATAAAGCTAATACGAACATTCATAACATAACATATCATAAAAGCGCTTTTTTTTCTAACCTCATTAAATCATTAATTATCTTTCGTTACTCCTGTTATAAAGGCATAACACTATTTCCATAAACATAACGAATGTTTATGGAGTGCATACACATATATACAGTATATATATATATATATACATAAATGATATATATTCTATTCAATAGACAACATATATCCTGTCAACAGAATGTCATATACAACTTATTCTTATTAATCTTGTCTGATGTTTAAGTAAGTCACAAATATTACATTTGATTTTAAAAAGGAACAAACTATATATAGTCAGATATTTCTTAAGGCCTCACTTAATAAATCCAGATAAAGTCACCTTACATGAGGCCAAATAATTATTAGCTATCAAAAGAATTGATGGAAAGATTAAATATTAATTCATTGTTTATTGATTTTACTGTACCTTAAAAGACTATCTGCGTATAGTTCTTTTAAGACGTGCTCAGTAATATTTAAATCTAGCAAGGATTAAAGGATAAACCTTTTTTTTACATCTACATTCTATATTTAGTTTGAAGGAAGTAGATTGAGAAGGGATGGAGGGAGAGGGGAAAAAGGGAAAATAGGGAAGAGCGTGTGGAAGAGAAAAATAGAATTTTTTCTTTACATTTTTTTTCTAGAATGACACGAAGCAGTTTTTTTTCCATTTTAAAAGAAAATCACCAAATACTTTATCTCAATGCTATTTTTTTGTCTAGTCTTTGAATAAAAATTACCATTTCTGGGTTTAAAAAGATTCTTTCCCTAAGTGTAAGATTTCCCTTATTAACAAAGATTAATGCATTCCTTTCAAATCAATACTGCTTTTTTTCTCTCTCTTTTTTTATTCAAAGTCCCTCGACTGATATAAAATGGCCATTTCATTTGGAAAATGAATTTTGCATAGTCTCTCTATTATAGAAACAAGGCATAACCATAGATAAAACATTCGACAAGCAACCTAATTTTTATTCTACCATCAACACTCTGTTCCCGAATGTTTGGATATCGGTTTTCTAGTTGCCTAAAGGATATACTGTATATATTATTATAATATAATACGCGATACTATTTTTTCCCCCAATACACTTATCATAACTTTCTTTGCATTGAAAAAACATCAAAGAGTTATTGAAATCAATGCCTGGAAATCGTTGAGCAAAAGGGGAAACAAAGAGTGAAATAAAGTGAACAAGATAAACCAGCTAGAGAGAGAGACAGACAGGCAGACAGAATGAGACAGAAAGAGAGGGTTGAGAGAATAGAGTAGTGTCAAAAGTAAGTGCAAAAATATTTTGCGTTTGACACATATAGATGATGAGAAAACACTTGTGCAGGGGAGGGGGCGGGGGGCCGAGGGGGAGAGAAGCCGCTTCTCAAAATGCATTAGAAGAAATAGCGACTTTATACTTTTTGTCAAAGAAATCTTTACAAGATTAATGAATATTATTGTTTTATGACTTTCTTTTGATCTGATTACGCGCTTAAATATTCTTTATTAAAAGCTTACAAATATACTATATATATATATATATATATATATATATCTTTATACTATATATACAGTATATCTAAATCATTATATTATTTACTTCTATACTTTCGGCTTTTGAACATGATGAAAACAATAAAGAAGGATTTTCTTCCTCTTTTCCAACTATTACAATGGAATAGAATAAAGAAAATGAGTATTAAAAAGGGCCAAAGAGGAAAGAAAATTGTTCTATTTTGCTCTTTACTTGAGTCTACTCGTGCATGTCGTTGCTTGGTTACGCAAAACTTATCCAGAAGGTTATTACGCGACTCCTAGTTAATTGCGTTAACTGCCCTTGATTTACTTCTGGATAAACTTTCTCTTCCTTAACACTTTTCCCTGCTTCCCTCTTTTTTTCTTAAGTATATACTATAAAGCAAGTGTGTGCGTATGTGTGAATTCGTAGGTTATATTTTATACATTTCATACAAAGAACAACATTATTCGTCAATTTTTTATTTCCACTCGTTCTTTCAATCGTATCCGAAATGGGCCTACGAATTAGTTTCATGTGTGTATAATTTGTTTCACGCTTATGTGACTTAATTTGTTTCTCTTTTAATTAAAGAGCAATTAAAAAGGACCTTCAACTGGTCATCATCTGCCCTTTTATTTACTTTTCCTATCTATCTCTCTCTCTCTCTCTCTTTCTTTCTTTCTTTCTTTCTTCTGTCCCTCTCTCTTTTCTTTTTCTACTCTGTCCATCTTCGTCTTTTACTACTTTTCCTCAGATTCAAATACGCTATATATTGTATTTTATTTACAGTATATCTAATTATATTGTATCAAATCTTAGTCATTGCGCATGCGTATTATGAAAGAGATTCGCTTTCCTTCTCTTAAATTCTATTTCACTCTCCTCTGTTTTATTATCCTATCCTTATTTTATCTCATTTGAATTTCATTCTCTAGCTTTAGTGATTTTGTTTTCAATTTATTTTTTTATATTCTTTTGTTTTTTTAAAAAAATTCTTCATCAATATATTTTTCTTATAAACGAAAATAGTAGTGAAAATTGATGAAGAGCTTAAGAGAATTGCTAAGAGAAAAATGCAGAAAGGGAGAGATGAGAAAGAAGGAAAGAGAGAGAGTGTGTGTGTGTGTGGAAGAGTGAGAGAGATAGAGAGATAGAAAAAAAAGAAAGAGAGAGGGAATCTTAAGACAGGGATCTTGACTTGAATATTTATTAACATTATTGAATATGTTATATTTTAACGAATTAGCTATAATGCAAAGTTGCACTTAAGAAATCTTATAATTTATTAAATCAAGCATGATCCTCATATAAAGCTACTGTAATTGGATTATTTTTTATATTCAGTATATACTGCATATACGTGGCTGTATATGCTTATATAAACTGTATACATGCATAAACTAAATATATATATATATACATTTGTATGTTAAATATTATATATATATATACAGTATACATATATATATTTGTTCGTTTCATTATCATCTGACATGTCAGCGACTTTTCCCCGCCTTTCATTATTTTTATATATGATTTATCTTACAAGTCTTTATTATATCTTTGTAGGTCGTTATCAATATGCATAAAGCTTTGGCAAGATTTGGGCTTGTTCATATCGCTGCAACCAACCTTTGTGTTTGGTTGCTTTGTACTATACATGAAACGGATGAGGATTGGCGCTATAATGAGGCAACTCAAAAATATAACGTTGTCGAGTCAGCATCGACGCCAAAACCTGCTGGCATTGGTGCTAAGAACTCGGGTGATTCGCCTAAAGAAGATGTTGTCTGCTACGTGACAACAACTCTGGCAAGGAATACGGCTCCCTTCCTATTCCCCTGCACTGCCCAATACAGCTTAATCGCTTTGGCTATGATATACAAAATTTATTGTAGCGTCGGTAAGCTTCACAGACCGAGACATCAGGTAGGATTCGTTTTTTTTTTGTTTTAACAGATTTAATACTTCATTAATTATTTCCTTTTCAATTAAAAATAGACTGAAACAGATCCTAGAAGTTTATCAAATCCGACAGAATGCCACAAAGCGAATAAGGGTCTTTTCTTAGGCTTATTTATAGCGATACTAACCCTAATTTCTATGAGCTGTTTCTTCGTCTTTGACAAAAAGCTCAACAATGCTAAATCGGCTGCTTTCATCTTTTACATAACGGAAACGACTTTATTGTCCTTGTGCGCAGGTGTCGTCGTTGTTGCCTTTTTCAAACTCCAACAGTTAAGGTTTCTTGGGCTGGAAGAGGCTAGCTTTGAGAGTCTTCTCTTGGTTATTAGTTTATCCGGTTTATGCATGTACAACATATTCCTTGTTGTTTCTTCGATTGCGACTGTATCCCAATTTGGCGTCCTATCGGGATTAAGTCTAATATCGTCGTTACTGGCTTTCGTCGAGGCGGCGTTACAAAGTGTCTTTATACTCGACGGCATGAGAAGGTGTGCAGCTAATGATGGTCAAGTAATGATGAAGCCTGGGAGAGCTTTGGTTACTTTTCTGCTACTAGTTAACCTGTGCTTATGGGTTCTTAATGCTTTTGAGGCGAGAAAGGCTGACTCAATGCCCGCTCACACTCAATACTATGGCTTTTTAGCTTGGTCCATAATATCTCATATTTGTATACCTATGATAATATTCTTCCGCTTCCATTCGGCTGTTTGCCTTTCTGATATATGGACAAACGCCTATGTTATTAAGAGGAAGGAACTCTGACAAGTCCGCCCGCCCTCCGCCCATATCATGGCAAATTTCGACGAAGTATTGGAATCGACGAAGAAAGATGACGAAATCTGGACTATGAGCAGGTCGTCTACTTTCTTCACTACCCAATCGTCGACCAAGAGTCAAAAAACGCACCTTAGCGTCAAATCGAATCTGACTTACTATTTCTTTACAGTTTTTGGACGCCGATTCGGCAAATAGAACGAGTGCTTTCATCATCCTTTCTCTGTCTCTATACTCCTCAATCTCTACTATCTATCTCTTCTCTCTCGCTGTCTCTCTCTCTCCTAACTGTCAACTGTCTATCAATCTATCTGTAACTTCCTCTCAATCTCTTATCTGTAAATGTCTTCTCTCCGGCTTAGAAAGATAACACGTTAGAAAGAAATTCTCCTTACAGGAATACAAGTTTTCATTAAGATCTCCTATGATTAGTTGCAGATGCACTTTTTGTGTTCCGTTTTAGGATTTTGGGCTTAACTGTACATGTCAAAGCTGAAATGATCAAAAATGGAGTAGTTTGCTTTCTCTATTTCTTCGGTTATTTATTTCAATTTAGTTGATTTTTAAAGAAAGTCATTAAGTTATTTGTTCATTCGTCCTCAGCATGCTTAATGTATATTAAAAACTAAAAAAAGAGGGAAGCGTCAAGTTTGTCAAAAACAAATCTAACGTTTTTTTTCTTTATAATTAAGGAAAAAAATGGAAATTGATCACGGCGGGGCGGCGATGGCGATTAGATATCATTATAAAACATATTACTTTCACGGTGCAGTATATAATATATATTCATTAATCTGAGAGAGAGAAAGAAAGAACAAGATAAGAATTATGCAGTAAAAGTATTTTTTTTCTCTCTTTACTTTTACTTAACGAATTTTTTTACAAGAGAAAAAAAATTTGGCATATAGTTGATAAGTAAACTTTCTGTTTAGTTTTTCTCTTTCTACTCCTTTTATATCTCTCTATACAAAAAAGAAAAAAACAAAGAAAAGAACGTAATGAATTAAGTAACACCTTTACCTAAAAATCTATAGGATTTCTTTTTCTAGAGGTTGTCTCAATTTTAATTTTTAAAAAGAAAAGGAAATAAGAATAATCGATGTCGTCGTCCTATAAAGATATCACGCACACCTACGCCTTTAACAAACTTCTAGTCTAAATATGAATATTAAAAAAGCAAAATAACCCTCCTTATTATTTATTTATTGATTGTGTGTTGTTGTTAGCTTTAATGACTTATTATTATTTTTAACTGTATAAATGAATTATAATGATGTTTAAAGAACAAAGAAACGTAACCTATATTAAGCTACGTATCTAACTTTGATAACATATATCTCGAGCTGTGATTTGTTTATAGTCACGTGTGTCGTTTTGGTGTGATTGTAGCATATATATATATATATATAAATCATAATTCATATATTTAATATTTTAATCTATTTACTACTATGATGGGGGAAAAAAACCAAAACTCAGATTGATAATAAAAAACTGATAAGAATGGTTTAAAAAAATATGAATATACAGTAACCACCAGCATATCATATATGTTAAGATTAGCTTAATAGAATTTTACACATATATAAACATATATATATATATATTTATTAATATTATTATATGTTAAAACTATGATTTATTACTATTATTATCATACTAATTTCTTTAGTTAAATATATCTATGCCGTATTTTTTATCTATAAACAATTCATTATTATTATTATTACATATATATATATATACAAGTTCACGTTATTCTGTATACGGTTTGTTTTGTCAGAAGGATGCTGCTTTTTCGTTCTTGCGAATAAAATTACCAATAAATATATATTAAAGATGGTATTTTACTTCAGTGCATATATACTGTATATGTAATTACATATATACAAATCAAATTACTTTTCTATATGAATAAAAGAAAAATATAAAAAATACGATATGCGACTTTTATACAAGAAATCATAGGGGGAAAAAGCTGCCTATTTTGTATTCTATTACGCAACGATTCCATAGTCTTTATGCGAATGCTATGTAATAATCACTATTGATCTTTTCTCTTCCCAGCTATTCTTTGCTTTCTTTCATTCTCTCTTCCCTTTCTTATAACCTTTCCTTTTATGTTTACTCTACTGTCCAATTCTTAATTATACAGTAACGCAGTCGCAGTTTTCTACTCGGTGCATCTTTTTCTTATAAATAATCTATACGCTTTATGCGCCTGATGCAATCGTTACTTGGTTGGGAAAGAGGGAACGCTTTTCTCTCCTAGTTTAATCCAGTTCATAGTCTTGATCGATTGTCCTCAAAATCAATAGGCGCTTTCTAGAAATAGAAAAAAACAACAAATAGCTTAGTTATTTTTGTGACAATACAAAAACCTTAAATGAGAAGAAATTAGACCTCCCACCTTACCTCTTCTTTTCCTTCTCTCTCTCGCTCTTTCTCCTTTTCTGCTTATCTCTTTAATTTTAAGCCTTATTAAAATATTTATTATGAGAAATTGTAATTGAAGAGATTCAATTTTGGAGTACAAAAAAAATAATTAGGCTTAAAAATAGAATTTTGTTTAACAGGATCCTTGGCATACCAATTGAAAACCAATCAACCGTTCGAGTATAACCCGTAGGCTTTCAAGCAAATCATAATTTTAGGAAAAGTCCCATCGGTTTCCTTCGCATGACCTCCGCTGAGGGTCATTTGATTACATGTAGATTGGAACATTTGCCAATGTTACCAAATTACAATTTCCTTTATTCCATTTCTATCTTATTTATTAATACTATTTGCTTTTCTTTTCTATTTTTCAGTCTTTCTAAACATCCGATTGTGTTTTACAGTTGAACGATTACGAACCAAATGAAAACGGTGAGAAGCCTTTAGTAAAAAAATTACATTTCCGCTGCCCCTTAACAATACAGTGACTATTGCAGGACTAAAGAGAGACTGGGGTATAAAATTCAATAAAATAACAAATAGTGCAAACTGAGAAATACTTGGATGTTTTGTTCCAAACATTTCCAGGGCAATTGCTTTAATTAATTTCTAGAAATAGCAATTCTATCGTCTACTATAGGAATTTCACGTACAAGTCTTCAATATATAAATTATGTTGAATAACTGCCACCCTGGTAAACTACAATATTCAGCAACTAAATAGTAATATATAGGCGGAAGTTGATCTTTATACAGGATAGTCAATCTATTTTTAAAGGCGAAAGTTTTACTTAAAAATCTAGTCAAAGTTTCAACTGACAAAAATATCAAGACTTAATAATCAATTACATTAATAAAAACTGCTTAAACAAGTTTTGGCTTTTTTATTAACGTTATTTTCGTACCATTTTATATTTCATGAATAGATTTTTATGAAAATCTGCAAAGGATGCTAATGACTTCAGACACTCATAAAATACAATAAAAATTCTATATCAACCTACTATAAGCCTTTTAGCGCAAAGTAACATAAATTCTATTAAAATATGGATCACGTAATAACTTCTTGACTTGATTAATTAGTAAGTAATTCAATTGAATAGTTCCCATTTAAATTGAATACTATAAAGTAAAAACAAGTAACTTTTCTTTCGTTATTTCTTTATTCTTCGTAGAACTATATATTATTAATTATTTGAATTAAACACAATAATAGAAGATGATCAAACAACTAGAACATTTGCAACTCTTTCATTAATCTTCATCGCTTTCTTCTTCAGCTTCTTCAAGCCATTCTATAAGCTTTTTAACCTGTTTTTTATATTTTATAGTCTAAATTCTTAATTAAAGAAACAATATTTATTTACCCTATTTTTTAGATCAGTATTCTCACAATTGGAATACCACGATAATATAGTATCTTCGGCTAATACATCACTGTCGTAGAATGACTCAATTACTTTTATAAGGTATGTTGAAACTAAAGTATTATTAGCAGCTGTTTCCTATAAATATAATAAATGAATTAGTAAAACGTTTAAGACATAATTATTAAAAGCTACTTCTATTGAATTTATGCATGATTTTTCGTTTGAAGAGTCTTTTATGTAGAAGACTAGGAGTTCTTCTGTTTTCCCAAAAAGCTATTAGGGGGAATAAAATATTTATTTAAATAAGAAAAAGTTGAAGGAATGACAAAATGCAATTACTTCTTTAAAGCTGGCCTTGTACTGCTCTATGGAGAGCTGCTCATTGTTCCGTAAAGGAAACAGTAAGATAGCTTTAACAAGTTGAAAAATTACATCGTCTATTTCCATATAGTAAGCAGCTCTAAAAGGAAAATGAATACATTTAAATCTAATGAAATTAATTGAAAGGAAAAGATACTAACTTTATAGAATTGATTTCTAATTTAACATTATCAACGGAGACGTTTTCATTTAAGCTTTCCAAAAGACCTGACAATTCATCATAGAAAGCTGTAAAAAAAAAAAGGAGAGATTTGTTTACATTCTCGGGATATTGCACATCCGGTTAGCCTAATTGTAAGCGAAGTAATTATTTTTTTTCCTTTTTGAAGGATACAAATGCAACTTGATATTTTTCCTAAGATTTTCATGTAAAAAAAGCTATAATGATACCTATTCTATCATCTTGTTCGACTGCTGATATTTCAGATATGACGCTCTCCTCATCAGAAGAAATATCATCGGGTTGCTCAGGTTCACACCACGGAATATCGGGCACATCTTCTCCGTCCTCTGCGAAAGCTTTATAGACTTTTGCATTCGATTGTAACCCAAATTCATTTGCAGAGTTAATTTTGATCTCGCTTTTGCACAATAAAGTTCCTCCTGGAATAGGTACTTCCGGTCCCACAGTGACCTAATTATATAGGTTTTGAATTAACATTTGACATTTTCGAAGACCACATTCTACAATATAATTATAGACTGGTATAGAAGAAACATCTTACATTTGTGGAAAGAACGCATCCCTCTTCTATAGTTACACCCCTAAAAACCGTAACATGGTTAGCTAATATGCAGGTTTTTAAACAGCAATCATCTTCTATTGTTACATTATCCCATATAAATGCATTTTGTATTAAAGCATTTTTGCCTGTTATTCAATTATTAAAATTAATAATTTATATTGAATAAATATAAATAAAAATATGAATTACCTATTTTGCAATTTCTACCAATAACTGAATTAGATATTTGAGCGTTCTCCGATATTTGAGAATTATTTCCAATGGCAACGGTTCTTATTAGTTTACAATTGCTGATGTAATAAAAAAGAAATATATTTATAGATTAACTAATTTGGTAAGTTTCTATGGGATAATAAATCTATACAAATTTTACCTGTGAAGTTTAACATCATCGTCCAGATATATATTGTGTCGGCGATATGAATATTTCGGATCATTTATATCAAAACTTACATCTGGGACTATCGGAAAAGCCCATCTATCGATTACTTCTTTACTGAAAAAAATCAAATCATAGCAATTTACCAAATATAAACTTGGTATTAACTAACGTAATCGATTCGTAAGTTCTCAGATTCGATACTCTTGCAGCGTACTCCTTCTCTTCAATATGTACTGTTATAGTATTACCGGATATCTTTATTGGATAAAGAAATACAACGTTAGCTAATAGGAAAATGTTTATTCTGCTAAGGTCAAACCTCTTCATCAATTAGTATTCCTTTGATAAAATCGTCCCTGCATTCATAATCAAAATTATCTCCAAATAGGGATAGTACCTTAGCCGAGCATATACTTATTCCAGTGCTCATCAAATCATTTCGTATGGAAACGTTAGGATTACTTTTGAAAATACTCTGCAAAGCATAATGTATATATTACTAAACTTTGAAGTGATATCTAAGAAATTGTAAATTTATATCATTTTTTATGAATGTTATATGTCTACTCTGTTTATATGGTATATTGACAGCAACCCATCTCGAAAATGGGATGTAGCGCCTTAAGCATTACTTGGTTTATTATAAAGGAAAAAGTTATAATTTGATTGCACCTCCACCAGGCATCTAGTCTATAGTAGTAGCTTTACCTATTATTCTTAAGAGTAGCGAGCAAAGAGTCTACTGTGTATATTAATATCTACTATGTTAAAATGCTTATGAAATATATGTATTAGTAATTTAACTTACCAGTGGAAATCCTATTACTCTATTTTCTTGAAGTTTCTTGTAATATAAGACAGTCTTTGTATCATTATTTACAGCCAAGAGAATATCATCATCTTTAAATTTCATCTTGGGAGGAGAGTTTGTCTTTTTCATAATCATTGTCATTACCATACATTTTTCCTTTCTTCTTCTTTCCCTTTAAAAAAGTATTCAGCATCAGCGTATAAAGATTATATATATATAAATATAGATATGTTATATATTCAGGAACTTAATTAATCCCGCAAGAAAATTTATATAATTGACTTTTTGCAGAGCAACCTTATGACAGATTTAATTATCCTAGCGAAAAGGGAAAGACCACAAATTTTGCCATTGGTTGACATTGTAAAAATGTAAAATAAAATAATTTAATTAATTATGGTTCTTTTTTCAATTACATCTATAGATATATTAATAAAATATTTACTTGTGTTCTTGGAGAATTGGAGACAATGTCATATTGGAGATTAAATCTCCGTTGACTAAAATAAAATCATTTTGTATTATATTCTTCTTATCCAAATCCCTCAGTGCATCTCCCAAAGACACGCATTCTTGAGATGAGAATATCTTTATTGTGCATGGATTAGATTTTCTAATCCATTTCGATCTAAAATAAGTCACGTAAAAAAGAAGAATATTTATAAAAAGTCAACTAAAACTGTTAGATTTCTTTTAGAAGGTTTAAAAGAAATAAGACACATTTCTACTTATTTTGTTTGATTGTCATTTAAAGTTGTGAATAAAATTGAAAGAGACTTTACTTGGCATAAATTTAAATTAGATAAATTGACAAAGAGAGTTTGCCATGTGACAATATTAATTAAAAATATGTTGATAATTTGAACACGTGGTTAATTAAAGTACTTTTGTAAAAGTTTTTAATACACACTCGACATGTCTTTGAATTTGGTCCACATGGGATCTACAGAAGATGATTATTTCTTGAGCTCCATTTAAACAAAGAAACTCCAAAGTATAGTCGATTAATGGTCGATTTACTACTGGAATTAGAGTCTGACGAAATTTAAGGAAATCAATCATTAGTTTTTTCTCTCTTAAAAATGAGAGTTTAAAAATAAATCTTACGCACCCGAGGTAAATCGGTTGTAATGGGTGCAAATCTGACATTAAAGCTGTCTGCAATAACGACCGCTTGTAGAATTTCCTCCTGTTTTAAATCAGTACCGGTATTCTTTTTTCGTTTAGCCGCCATACTTGTTTTTAAGATATATACTGACATCTATCGGTGATTTCCGACAGTTGACACACCCGTCAAGATTCTTGGACTCATCCAATGGCAGACGGGGAAACGTGGCGAAGATAATCAGCTTCAACTGTTTAATTTATCAGTAAAATATTTTCTTATCAGTCTACCGCTTTTTTCTACTGCTTGAAAAAAATAGAAAATAATAATATTTCATAAATATTTTCTTATAACACAACTGGTAAATATACTTTATTCATTATTTAAAATTCTCTTAAAAATTGTTGAAAAAATGTTGATTCATCAATGTTCTCTTCAAAAAAATGATATTAAACGTAAATTTCCTACCTTGTAGATAAGATAGTATTGCATGAATGGCTTATCTAAACAAAGTTAAGAAAGTTTGCTGTATTGGTGCAGGCTATGTTGGAGGACCAACATGTGCTGTTATTGCTGCAAACTGCCCTGAAATTCAAGTGACGGTAGTCGATTTAAGTCAAACAAGAATTGATCAGTGGAATTCTGATAATCTACCCATTTTTGAGGTAAATATTTTAAATAGAAATTTGAAGAAACAATCAAATATTATCTTTGGCAAAAAAGAGATGACTAATACTTCTCTTAACTTTAACCGCCCAAAAAATAATTTCTGTCTTTTGTCAATTCTATGGCTGGCGTAGCGAAATATTTAATAACAATATGTAAAAGTATAGTTTAATATTCAATATTCAAATATCACTTGAAAACAGAGAGTACTGTTAAAATTTATTGTTTAAACAAAAGCACATTTTTTTATAGTATAGATAGAATCTGTCACTGTTTCTCCCACAACCCCTAGCTCTTTTTTTTTCTAATTATTACTATTGTATTGAACATGTTGGCCGTATCTGTGTTATAAAATGATAAAAAAAGAACAACGAATTTGCATAATATATATATATATATATATATATATATACATCTGTCATGTCTAAAATACATATATATTCTAAAGAAATCTATAATTTAGCCTCCTTCAATGTATTATACGTAATTTTTATTATAAATCTGTACAGCCCAGTCTGGACGATGTTGTTGGCAAAGTACGCGGAAAAAATCTCTTCTTTACAACAAATATTGATCAAGGAATTTTAGATGCTGATCTTATCTTTATCTCAGTTAATACACCAACTAAACATTTTGGTATTGGAAAAGTAATACATTTTTTAATTTCCCAATAATAGTGCGCCATCTTACGTTTAGTATTTTATTTTTTTTTCTATAGGGTAGAGCAGCTGATTTAAAATATATTGAGGCTGCTGCTCGTCGAATTGCTAATGTTGCTGTCACTGATAAAATAGTTGTTGAAAAATCAACTGTTCCCGTAAAGGCTGCTGAAAGTATCATTAGGATTTTGAAGGCTAATCATAAACAGGATGTTAAATATCAGGTTTTATCTAATCCTGAATTTTTGGCTGAAGGAACTGCCGTTAAAGATCTTATGCGTCCAGATAGAGTATTGGTTGGTGGAGAAGAGACTGACGAAGGTAGGAAAGCAGTTGAAGCTCTTTGCTCAATTTATAAGCATTGGATTCCTGAGGAGAGAATTATAAAAATGAACGTTTGGAGCTCGGAATTATCAAAATTAGCTGCTAATGCATTTCTCGCACAGAGAATTTCTTCAATAAATGCCATATCAGCGATATGTGAATCCACTGGAGCCAACGTCAACGAAGTCGCTCATGCCGTTGGAACAGATACAAGAATAGGACCAAAATTCTTGAAAGCCTCCGTTGGTTTTGGCGGAAGCTGTTTTCAAAAAGACGTCTTGAATCTAGTTTACCTTTGCGAATGCTTGGGTCTGCCAGAAGTTGCTACATATTGGCAACAAGTTATCGACTTGAATGAATTCCAGAAGAAACGATTTGCCAATCAAATAATACAAGCGTTGTTTAATACTGTTACCGGAAAAAATATCACTATATACGGATTTGCTTTCAAGAAAGATACAGGAGATACAAGAGAGTCTCCAGCAATACAAGTTTGTCGTTACTTAATGGACGAGGGAGCCAAAATAAGCATTTATGATCCAAAAGTAGAAAAATCCCAGATAAGAGCGGATCTTTCTCATCCGAGTATATGCTCTGATCCTGATGAAGTTGACAGATTAGTAGAAATACACGAAGATCCATACAAAGCCGCGATAGATTCTCATGCAATAGTTATTTGTACGGAATGGGATGAATTTATCGTAAGTAGTTGTTTTAATTACCTGACAATTATAACTAATATTACAAGATAAATATATTCATTATACTCATTTAATCAATAGGACTACGATTATGCTAAAATATATGATTCAATGCTAAAACCTGCATTTATTTTCGATGGAAGAAGTATTCTAAATTCTGACAAACTTTTGGAAATTGGTTACCACGTTCGTGTTGTTGGTATGAAAATAAAAAATGGCTATGGAACCTTATCAAATGGTCACGTTTAACAAAAAAATGAAACCAAACACGCCTGTATTTTACTTCTTCACAGCGAAATAAAATATTTATTAGTCAAAAACTTTCTTTCTCTTTATTTTGTTTCATATCTATATTTTTTGTATTTTTTTCCCATTGACTTTTCATTTCTCTTCAAAAATATTCTTTTCTGGCTTAGATCAATTGTTCTAAATGTAATAATGTCAGTCTCTTGTTTTACTTATTTCAATTCTCTTCTTCCAACGACATTACTGTGATAAAAAATTTTGACATTTCAATTATTTTCTTTGTAGTTAACGTTTTCTTGGGATAACAAATATTGTTTTAGGGTTAGAATAAAAGCTACGGTTTGTTTATAATATATGCAAAATAGGAAAAAGTCAATATCTTGTTTTGTTTTATTCAAAGGCCCATTTTATATAACAAATCGATCAACGCATTTACGCACGAAAGAAAAGCAACGAACGGATTGGCTTATATCTCATATCGTCAATTATTTATATAACTATAATTTTACTCAACGATCACTTTTTTTTAAAGAGTTTTCCTCTTATAAAATTCTTCTATTTTAATCAATAAGCTATATATTCGTAACAGTGTAGGTACAGTAACATCTGCTTTGTAGGCTTTACATTTTTCGGAGATCGCGCTATGCTATTAATGAATCGTCACGCCACAGTATCAATTGAAGAATAAACACCAACTTCAAAAATAGGGAATCATCCACCTAAAAGATGGATTGAACGTCTATTCTTTGTTTATTAAATACGATTTTAAACATTTTTAAAAAAACTCTTCGTGTCTTGATGAGATAATCAAGAACAAGGTCGAATTATTGATGAAATGGAATTTCTTTCTATAATCCTCGGACTTGCAATCGGAATATTATTGACACTTTGCCTGCAAATTTGGATTTTTGGAAAATGGTTTAAAGCCCAACCTAGGAAGAAACCTACAGAATTCTGTCTACACGATGGTTTCAGTTTACCATCGGATATTATGAATTTATTACTGCTGGACGAAAATCGTAAAAAATATGACAACACTTGCATTTGTTTAAATCTTATTGCACAATTCTTGTTCAGAGAATGGAGAGACACATCAGAGTTAAGACGGTGATTGTTAAAGATTTTCTTTTTTAACATTATTTCATAGTATTTTCATTAACGCCACGTGGTCTATTGATTACATTTTTTAAAGGCATTGTTTAAAACCATCTTTGATGGCCTACTCCAAGAGGAATATTTATTTAGGCTACCAAAATCAATAGCAAAATAATTTTCAAAATTGATTCAATTTTATCATTGATTACGCAATAGTTCTTATTGAATCTGTATACTTAAGAATAACCTTTAGGTAAACTTTTACAATTCAATAAGTTGTTTTTCTGTATTTCAGCTGGCTTACAAGAAGATTGAATAATGAATTTGCTGATATGTTGAAAAGAAAAAGTGCTGTTCTAATTGAAAATATAGCAGTTAGTTTTCTAATGTTTACTTTCTTTAAATTCGTAAATAAGATCATTCCTAATCGCAGGCTAAGGTGTTTAGGCCTAAATTTATTTACACATCTGAGCAGTGATAAAATAATTGTTTTGTCTTTAACAGATTTGTTAAATTATTTATAGTACAAAAGAGTAACTTAATAAGCTGATCGTGTTCTTTTCATACCCTACTTTAATTACTTCAACATTTTTTAGGTTAGGGAATATAGTGTTGGAAAGTTGCTACCAATTGTCAAGTCCGCTAAACTTCAAAACTGTAAATTACACGAGCAATCGAAGCTATTAGAGGAAGTTACTATTATTGTCGATGTTGATTATGATGGCGGCTTTGCCCTGTCCTTAGACGTAGACTTGAAATTTGGTCATTGTGTTCATTTATCTGTGATGATTTTAAAACTATCTGGTACGGCAAGATTACAATTGAGCAGGCAACCGTATACCCATTGGTCCTTTTCTTTCTGTGATGTAAGTATTTCTATTTAAACCGACCTCTTCAAAAACAATTCTATTGTAACAATAAAAAGATGAATAAACAAAGAGAATTCTATTTCTGAAATAATTCAGATTACGTAAAAATGCTAAAAAAAAACATTTATTCTAATGTTAAGAATCTGTGTTTGATTTTGTATTTCTATATTTTTATTGTACTTTAACCAGGATCCGCAACTAGATTTGAAAGTTGAACCTCTTTGGGAAGCCAAACCGGTTATGAGTGTTGCGTCAATAATAGAAAACCAGGTCTGTTCAAATTATTTTCATTTATCATTTAATAAAATCTTGTTAAGTAGCGAATTATTCATTTTACCTATCTTATTTCGTGACTTTGTAGTTAGGCTTAAGCCTAAGCATTCTGTATGATTTATTATCTAATCGCACAGTTTCAATAATAAGATGAAGTATGTGCACATACTTTTTTGTATTGTCAGCAATACCTGTAAACCAATGTATATTTTCCATCATTATAATATCACCTATTTGCAGATTAAAAGGGTTCTTAGAAAAAAGCATACATTGCCAAGCTTCAAAATAAGGCAAAGTCCTTTTATTCCAACTAATACGAAGGTTCCTGAGCCAACTGACTTAATAGTTAATAGTATCAAGGTCACTGTGGGGTCGCTTAAAGTTAAAGTCTTAGAATGTAGTCGAATTTCACAAATGGGAAATGGATCCAAATTGTATTGTACATTAGCAGTTGGTAAGTACTTTGTGATTATTGAATGCAAGCGTATCAGTCATCGAAATAATTTTTACAAACTGTAAAGATAGCGAAAGATGGTTGGATCAGATACAAACTAGGAAGCAATATTGGATTCAGCATAATATTGAAATAAACAAAACCAATAATGAAGAATTGGGTATGATTTTTAAAGAGGCAAGTTTAATTCGATAAAAATGTTTAAACGAAGGAATAATATCATTTTATTTGAGTAATTTATAATTTCTTACGTGCTTCTATTATAGGAATTTTGTGTTCACAAATATGAAGTAATGGTAAAAGTTGAAGTTATAAACCAAGAAAGTTTGGCTGAAAGTCATGGGATTAAGAAAGTACACACTTGAGATATTTATTATCCCAGCAAAAATAATATACAAAATATTTTTAATCGATTTATTTTAGGGTGATCTTCTTCTATCATTAAACAATGTTAAGATCAAAGATTCTCGACATGCTGCTAATTTAATTCGAAATTGTGGTGAAAAACTGCAATTCCGTATTGAAAGGTGCATAAGAAATAAGAACTCTCTAAGAGAAGCAGATATAGAAATTGAAGTATGTCATGATACCATTCTTATTAATGACTTATTTTAATCAGTTCTTTTTCATATTTTATCATTGAATAATAGGAGACATTGATAAGTGGAGTAAATAAATCAGAACCCTTTGTCGGAATCTCAATGACTGAGAAAAAATTAGTACAAAGTCCTGCTGATGAATTAAACATAACAGTACGTAAAAAATTTGATTTACCCATATATCATATCTATTTTCATGATAATGCATATAATAATAAATATGTGACTCTGTTCTATGTATATAATGTTTTTAAAATATGAGGCCTAATTAGATGAATATACAAGTAAGAATTAAACAGGCAACACATGCTGCTGAGTTAATACATGACAGACCGAAGCAGGCGTGAAGCTTTCCAGGAAACCATGGACTTTTCAAGTCCTTGGTTAAATTATCATTTCTTCTTGCGGCAAATATAGCAACTGCCACTATAATAGATATGGCTGAAAAATTTAATTATTAATCATCAATACTATCATTATCATTTGTCATAATTTGATATGCTTTAAGTAGGAAATAATGACATATCTTACCTCCGCAAATGTATACAATTGTAAAAAGTACTTTCTGTACAATGTCTGGAATGCAAGCCGTTAAACAAGTCAGTAGTAGAGTTAAAAGAACAAAAGCAGCTGCAGATATAGCAAGACCAATGAATAATAATCCTCGAACTGCCTTTAACCAATCTGAAAGAGAGATAGTTTTAAAGTAAAACTTAAATTATCATAATCATTATGATAATCTTATGCTATCTACAGAGTATACAAATATAAATATATAATTAAGTTGTTATTTATTCTTTCTTAAACAAGAAACTCAATGAAATGTTTGTAATTATGTTAATTTAAAATTGATAATTGGATATCATTAGTTATTAATGTAAATGGTTAAAAACGGAAGTGTGATAGGGTTGAAAAGAAATTCAACAAACCTGGAACACCATATAATTTTTGGCATTTGTCAGAACAAAAATCAAATAATCCAGTATTAGTTTTAATCCCATCTTTGTCTTCTGCTGTCCAAAATGGAGCAATTATAGCAGCCAATTGAGACAGAATGAGAGGAATAGTAATGATAAGCATAATACATTTTCCAATGTTGCTACAACACATCTTGTTAATTTATTAGTCTCTTTTAAAGTAAAAAATATGTTGGATCTCTTTAGATCTCAAATAATTTTTGTAACCTGCAAATTTCTTAGTCAAATATATATAAACCAATGATAGCTTATCACTAAAGCTGGCCTCTAATCAGTAAACGTTATTGATATATGATATTCGGCGTTGACGCATGCTAGTTTGGCCTACAAGGCACATAGAATATACCTGGCTTGATGATGAGTCATTATTTCTCTTCAAATAATCTGATGTTCAGTCGAATATTTTAATTCTTATCAACATTTAATGATAAAAAAATTTTTCTAAAATTGTACAATTTGACAGAATCGAAAAGAGAGAAGCAAAAATGAGGAAGCTGAAGAAAATAGAACTCAAAATAAAGTAATTTATATTAATATTAACTTTTATATTATTTTTATAGTTTTAAATAATTAATTTATCAAAGGATTAAAAAACTTAATTTACTGATTTTAGAACAGAATATGAAATCATTTGTACAAAATCTCTAGATTATATAATTTAAAATAGTAAATTAATGGATTCATTAACTCTATTTACAAATATTCATAGCAAGGTGAATCATCTACATTATCTGTTGACGAGATGGAATTGGAGGATATCAATATATGTGATGTAAAAAAAACCAAAGTTGTTTCTTTCAAAGAGGTAAAATAACATACAAATGATGTTTCATTTCTATAACAACATTTTTTCTTATCAAAAAAGAATCCTCAGTTTGATGATGAGATGACGTTTAATGTGGAGGATGAACATAAATATCTCAATGTTTGTTTGTGGTGTAAACTTTCTTCAAAAGATGACAAACAACATCAACGTTCCTTAAATTGTGACAATGACGTTTTGCTTGGCTATGTAAGCAACTTAATTTGAAATAGAAAATAATTCTATCCCCTTTAAAATGAACTTTTTTCCAAAACCAGGCTTCTATTCCCTTGATGTCAATTGCTATAGAGTGCATGCACACAAGTCGTGGAAACGCCAGATTGCGCTATCCCTTTACTGCTGCTGAATCGAAATACGGAAATAGGTATATATACAGTGTATATATAAACATATATGTATAAATACAATATATATTTACAAATTTTAATAATAATTAAATTAATTTCTATTAGGCAAAAAACGCTAAGTAATCATCCTGGATACGATGAGAGCTTAACAGGTGGAGATATAACTCTTGGATTCGTTTATGAGGTTATTTAAATAATATTAATCATTACTTAAATAATACAATATATTTAACAGAATGCTAAATTTGACGAGAAAGAAAGAAGGAGGGTGTCAGCTGAGCAAGTTAAAAAACCGACACAGCCACATATTCCTGCCAAAACAATAAGGTATTATTTTATACTACTAGGAAGAGGCTTAATTAAAGTACTTTTTATTTAATTGTTTACAATTGATTTATTCGTAAATGTCTACAAATATAAAGCTTGTATAATGAACATATTCATTAAAATAGTGTTTTTTTATCAAGCTCCATCAATCAAGAATGTCACAACTTTATTCAAACGCATTTCCAGACTAGAACTTTTTGCAACATTTGTGAAAAAAAGGTAAAGAATAAAAGATATAAAATAATCTATTGCATTGTTTTTACAATTACAACAATGTTTTTATAAATGGTTTTGTCTTAGATTTGGTTAAAAGATGCAATGAAATGTTCAAATTGTCATCTTGTCTGTCACAAAAAATGTGTAGAAAGAGCCAGATTGAGTAAATCTTGTGAGAAGTAAGTGGCTAAGTTGTTTTGTTAAACTATAGAAACATGATATACAATTCTTTCAGATGTAAATATCAGCAATCTAACTCAGAGGCTGCACTCACTGCCCCATCAACTCCAGTCAACGAGCGTCGACATATACAAGCTATTAGTTCAGCTGTCTCATCTAAATCTGAAACAATTAAACGATCGTTATTGAGTAAGTTCAAGAGAGATGGAAAGAAACCACAAATCATTGTCACTCACGACGACGACAATTTATCAGCAACTGGTGACGACTCGCAATTAATAATTCCAGAACATATGCCTGAAAGGAAACGACAAAATTCGGAAACTGAGAAAGAAACTGATGAGGCACTTTCAATGGGTACTAACGATTTAGAGGAAACTGACAGTTACGAGAAACCACAAAGTCTAAGAGCTGCAGACGACCTGCCTACATCAAATGTATGTCATGACTATAAAAATGTATACTCTATGTACAAGATATATGTTTTTAAATTAGATTACCTCTCGGAAACGATTTCAAGACTCTGAGGAAACAGCGGTAATAAAGGCAAAAGAAATGGGTGCTGAACTATTAGCTGATTTGCCACCAGATGAAAGACGCCAAAAACTTGATGTCATGGTAAAGAGATTTATTATTATTTGTTTAACTCTATTTCTTACCGCAATTTTTATACCTCAAAGCGGGTTTTAGAGTAAAAAGTTATTAGGATATCAATTTGCACTCTTTCAAACATGTTTCCTTCAGCTCTTATTACCGTCTTGTGATAATGTGTTTGATGTAGAAAACAATTTCACATAAACACCTATAATGTTACTTTTTAACAGATAAATAAACTGCAAAAGGAGTTAGATGAGGAGAGTGAGAGAAAAACCGACTTTCTGCAGCAACAACGGATTTGTACGGATGCATTTAAAAAATCCAAATATGGTGATATAATACAGAAAAGCGAGGATAAAATCCAAGCTATGAGTATTCTGATGCTTCACTATTGCTCAGGATTACAACATGCCCTTGATCAACTTGAAGTTGAGAAGGAAAAAGAGAACGAAAAAAACATTGAAAAAATTGTCGCTCTTATAAGTTTCGATAGCGATTTTGTAAGGTTTAACAAAGCCTCGAAAAAAGATCAAGTTATGGAAGAAATCAAAGAGGAGAATACAAACGAAGAGAAAAGCGAAGTTAATAGCGTGAATAACGATTAATTGACTCACATTCCCAATATAAAAATAAAAGGACTAAATTTTCATTCTTATCTTTCCCTTGCTAACAAAAACAAACAGAAGAAAATAAAACAAGAGAAAACAAAGAAAAAGGAACTGAGAATATATTCGGCATTCCTCAACTACTCCCTGATTTATGCTTCCCATTTGATTATTTTAAAAATTCCTTTTTAACCATCGTATTTTACTGTATTATTCAAGCTTTTATTGAAACCTTAATTCAATAAACAAATTAAGTAATCGCCTCTTGGCGAATTTTAGGCTTAACCTAAGAAAGTACAATAATTAGTTTACCTGTTAAGTGATATAAAGAGTTTCTTAATGCTAAAAAGTCAAGATTAAAAGAAATTTATAAGCATCGATTATTCATATCATGCAATGCCTCTATTAAACTCTATAAGTATAGATAAGTCATATTGGCTAGTCAATAAACTGTTGAAATATCTTTATATACAGTATATATATATAGGTATTATTAATTAACATCTCCTTATTAATCTATAAATAATTCTTTTAAGTTAAATGAAATAATGTAGAAATATAAAGATATATCTTAGATATATCTAAAATCTTTACTCTATCTTATCTAAAGATGAGTTCTATAAAAACTACTTTCACTACTCATATATTACGTAATAATTATGCTACTGGCAAAGTAGTGAAAGTCTATTGTTATTGCAGAAGAAAGGCGTTCGTTTATATGTAGAACTCTTAAAGTTGTCAATAGAGCAATATTTAAGAACAAAGTTATTTTCGTATTAATGTTGAAAAATATAAAATGTTGCGTTAATAAAGATTGTTTTTTGATAACTTGATAGGATTAGCCTTCTAAAATACGAAGATAACATTACCTGCTATTATAATGGCGGTTAATTGATGCGCGCGCATCAGGTGTGTCATGTGAAAATGAATTACTTTTTCGTCTTTTAACCTCCGTACAACAATTGATCAAACGTAATTCTGTGATACTAGAATTGATATTATTGAAGATTTTATTTTGACTGACAAAGATCGGAAATTAATCCTGCATTTTCTCTAAAAAAAAAACAAGACAGCCATAACCTACTCATTTATGAATTTATGAAGTGTTTGCCTGTTAATGATAATCAACTTTTTTGACTGTTAATCTGTTACATTCCTCGTATTTTTATTCCTTTGTTATGATCTCTCAATTGGCAAAATTTCTTTTTATTTCTTGCATCACTATTTATCCATCTGGTATAGAAACTAATGATGTAACCAATTTAACAACTGTATTGGCTAATGAAATATCTACGATTTCGACTTTGAAACCGAGTCCCACAGTTGTAGAAAACTCCACCGCTGCCGTCACTTCTAATAATACAATTACAGAAAATTCAACAACAATTGAATCATTCAGTGACGCAACAACTATAACCTCGTTTGTTACAACGAATAACTCAACCTCGTTTGAAACAACAATTAAATTTATACCATCAAAAAAAAAAAATCATGTCTCACTGAAAATATTTCTAGTGATCGTTGCTGTTGGAGCAGCAGTTGCAGTAGTTGCTATTATTATTGGCAAACGGCATTGTTGCAATGCAATGAAAAGTGAGTGACATTATTTATATTAAATACAATAGGTATTAAGATTTAAACACTTAGGTATTTAACTTATTTATCAATTAGGTGTGCGACCTATATAAATCACTTATCTATATCTGATACAACTTGTACTTTTATTTGCATTGAAGATTGATTTTAAGTTTCGAGCACGTAGAAATCACCGATTTATACAATTAATAAATTATAATCACGTATATTCAGTAAGGAAATACTAAAGGATAATATGACATGATAAATTAACATTAGTTGGTCTAGTAGAAACTTTCGACCGTTATTCACTTAATAAATAATTATTTTCTATTCTTTTATAGCAAATATAACAGCAAAGTTTAATGTCAAGAAAGATTCCGAATTAGAATATATAATAGATGATGGAGAATTTATGAATCCTGATGATCCACCTGTATTAGCTGAGATGAAAGTAGCTCCAAATGGAAAAAGAAAAAAGGCAAAGAAAGAAGAGACACTAAATAGTTTATCTGGTAAAAATAAAGATGGTTCCCTTCAGTTGTATGGAGCTACTACATCAGCGGCTCTACCTTGTTAAAATTATGATTAAAACCAAATCCTTTTATAGTTTTAAATATCATATAAATTATATTCTTTTGTGTTTTTATCAAAGATTCATTTTAAAATGAAATTGTATATTATGATCGTTATTTAATTGATTAAGAGATTTTCTTTGTTTTTTTATTTTTTCTTCAAGTAATAAAAATTTCGCATCTGAGAAATTTCAATTTAACAAAAAAGATCAAATTCAGATCGTTCAAAATCCATTAAGGAATTTTTTTGTCTTCTCCACGGCTAAAAATAGACTAGCTGTTGCAGGTATTGTTCTAAATATGGTTGGAAGCAAACCGTTATACAACGCAGGAACGCCTATAGAATTGACATATTATGTTTTTCAATGATAGTATTACGTAATTTGAAACGTACCATCTGTTTTGGCTATATTAACTAAAACAGTAAATAAGTTTAAGTTTGACTTTGTTGAGGCAATCTGTTGTCTAGACTTAATAACATCCATAGGGAAGGTAGTTATCCAAAACACTATACCTCCAAATGCTCCGCTAATCATTGTTCTACCAGCTCCTATTAAAAATGAATTTAATCCAATTAGTCAAATATGCACCGTATCTTTCTATATTATAATAGTAAACCTAGATCATCCTTGCTTTTACCAGATGGAGTCAACATATACCTACTAAATTCATAACCACCAAAGAAGCAAAAATAACCGGGCATCTCCCTTAGGACAGTTGGAACAAAACCCTTGTAAAGACCGGAGATTCCTTCGTTTTTTAATATTTCTCTAGTAATAGCCATAGCATTTCTTAAAGAAATAGTGAATATATTATAATTAGTTCTTAGAGATGTTAATGTCTAATTAGTTCATACTTTTGTACTTCATTCTGCCCCGCTGAGAAATTTTCTAAAGCTGTTTGCATCCTATTTTTAATTAACTCAGTAGGGCATAGTGTTAACGAACTAAAAAAGGCCGCTAAACTCCCAGCAGTTGCATTCTCTATGACAGTTAACTGCTCGAGATTTTTGTTTCTAATCAGGGATAATACTTTCTGACATTGTCCATAGGCCAAAAACAACATGGCATTTTCAGAGATTTGTGCTGCTAGAGATGGTAGGGTTCCCGAATAGAGACCTCTAACTAAACCTTCATTTTTTAATGTGTGGGTGAAACATTTATAACTTGACTTGTAAATATGGGGAAAAGCTTGCATCTTCACTTTTACAGTGTCCAGGGGCTGTCCGACGTAAACTGATGCTGCTCCACCCATAGATCCGCTTATTAAATCAACAGCGGCCCCATAATAATATCGTGAATTAGAGAACGGTTTACCACCTTCATCAGCTGTTGACAAACTGTTTAACGAATAAATTTTATTATAAACTTGAAAACATTTATTAAAAGTGCAAATAAGACGTTACCTCATTATTTCTTTGATTTCTAACACTAAATGCCGACATTCACGTGTCGGTCAGAGTCGTTTTACTTTTCAGCCTAAAATTCAATGGATGATGAAATAGGCAAAAGATTCTAAACGAAGTATTTTCTTATAAGCGAATCGTGAACGCTGTGATAGGTTGAAAGAAACTTTACCAGTTTTTCCATACCAAAGTTTCCTGTTTCTGGTTCTTTGTAGTAAATGGTAGTATTGTTGTGGGAAATGAATAAAAAGTGAACAAAACACTCGAACACTCAAAAATATAGTATTAAAAGAAGAATGAAAAATTTTTTCTGGTTCGTGTCTTATAACTTTATATCTATTTTAACGTTTTATATTGACTTGTAGGAATAATCTTATCTTTATGAGATGTAATGAAGATACAATAGGTTTTTGATACATTAATTAAACAACTGCAATGTTCGCCTCTAAAAGTATTTACACAGTTTAAGATGGCAATCGAACAAAAGTATAAATTATATATTGAATATATGACGTAGGCCAATTTACATAAAGTAATACTATGTACACGAGTGAATGAGTGGAGCTTATTTGAGAAATTTCTTTGAAATGGTAATGCATGGTATTAGACGCCCTTTCCTACGATGGTATTCGTCTTGTTTATTTTATAAGGTTAAAAACTAGAGTAGTATAAAAAATTATTCCATACGCAATATACAGTATACTAATAACTTGATTTAAGTAATATCAAATACAAATAGCTTCGCCATCCACGCTTCTCGTTAGTTAGTTTCAATTAATTAATCTTTCTATTACAACGATAAAGTACCATCAACAGCATGTAAAGATATTCGAACTCATATAATTCTAATTAGCTTTGTTTGTTCTCAGTTAATTCTTAAACTAATTCATTTGACTAATTATATCTTGTTGCACATTCTACATTAATTAAAAGTAAAATTTGACCTTATTAAAATCTTTTTTTAGAAATAAAATATGAAATAATAGTATTCTTATCCATTTATGAATCATTTTCTCCTGTTAATTAGTAAAATAACCGTATCATTCTATAGCTTTTTCTCTTTATCTTTTCAGAGTAATATTCTAAAAATAAGTATTAAATGCTTTCAATTGCTTATTCTTAATTATTGTATATACATTATAGATATATATATAAATACATACAGTATATATTTATATATAAACAGGTATATAGATATATTTATAGAAAAGAACTTATAAATATATCTCATCTACTTTTCTTCCGCTTTCATCATTTTATTATTCTACTGAATTACAGCTAATCGCTTAACCAAAAACTGTATCAAACGTACACGACCTAGTATTTAATTACGTAAACTTCCTTACCTTCATTCACACTCATTCTCTCTCTCTTTCTCTCATTCTCTCTTTCTCCCACCCCATTGCCTTTAAATGTGCTACCTGTTTCATTAGTAAAAATTGTAAGTAATTGTTTTAAGGTGAGAGAAAATAGATAGGGAAGGTATATCACATTTTTAAGGATGCCCAAAAGAGATATTTCATTTTGAGAAGAGACTTTTTGGCTTATGACTTAATGGGAATATAGTTAGAATTCTAGTATATACTATTATTTAATGTATAGTTGTTGATAAACACTAATTTTTAGTTAATAAGAAGCTTATATCCGATTTTTCAGTGATAAATGCCTCTTTTTTCAGTCTGATATTACATATACAATTAGATTCTCAAGTATATATATATGTATATATATATATGTATGTATTTATATTACATGCTTATTCACCGAGCGTATTCAATTCCGTCTATTAAGCTAAATTAATAGTGAATCCTTGCAATAAACAAATTGAAAGCATTCAATTTTTTAACTAAATGATGACTAATAATGAAATATTAAAAATAACTTAAAATAAACTTAAAGATTTTTACTAGCATTGCAAAACATATCGCTTTTTTATTAATCGAATATGGAAAAAATTAATAATACTTCCTGTTGACTGAGTTATACTCGTGTCTCAATTTCTAACTGTTTCTATATTTCTCTTTCTTTCTCTCTTTTAATCTTATTTGTAAAATCATCACTGATTCGGGATGTAATTTTCAATTTTATTTCTAATATGATAGTTGTAAATTGATAATTGTAAAATAGAATATCTCCCATCTAAAGTAAAAAGAGAACAAGGAAATTACGTACAAAGGTAAACTCTGTTCAATGAGCAAAGGATCGGAGACAGAACAATGTATTTACAACGCAAGAGAAGTATACTAATAAGAGGAAAAGAAAAACAAATGGAATTATGGAATATTTTCTACCTTATTTTTTTTTGTTAGCAAGAAAAAGGCTCTAAATACTAATGAGGGTTTATAAAAAAAACCAAGGAAGAGAGATTAATAAAGAGAGTAAAAAAAGAGAAAGAGTCAACCTATAATAAATATGTATATAAACAGTTGTAGTACTCCGAGTAATTCTATGTCTGTCTTATATTTATATATATAATGATTATTTTTTAAAGAATGACAGGAAAATAGGTTTGCATGTCAATATACGAAAAACATATAGGCCTCTTCTTGTGCGTAGAGAAAACACCATGAGCGACAAAAAAAATTATTTTGTATGCCATGCTTATGGACTGGTAAATATTTAGCAATTGATTGCACGATCTTGCAAGGTGGAGATGAATCGATTTGGAAGAGTTCACTTAGTACTTGGAATTTTATTGTTATACTAATTACTATTATCGTCACCATTAAACGTGCTTTAGAGTTCACTCTCCTTTTTTATCATCCTTTTAATGCCCTCGCGCGATAAATTACGTAATCTTAAATTATTAAACAGATTTCGTACGTCACTCTTTTTTTTTTGCTGTTACTGGTTTATCTACATTTTTGATATTTTAATAGTTCTTTTATTTATTAAGAACTCTTGATTTTCCCCAATTTCACTTTGGTCTGTTCGTCAAATCTGTACGAGTGGATTAGAAAACTAACAAAGCCTCTAGCCTATAAAAACAGCCGACTTCTTGTTGGCTTCCTGTTTATTCAAATAGACGTTGCCACCCTAACTAGGTGACATTTTCGACGCCCTTAAACGAGTTCTACCCAGAACGTCACAGCTTGCCCTCAAACAACGACCTTGAATTGTATACGAGTGGAACCCTGCAAATTTTCATCAATATGACGATTTATACTTTGTTTTTTTAGTTGAAAGTTATTTTTATGGTTTGTTCTTCTTCCAGTCAAGATTAATAGACGACACAGGGTGCTTTGTTTTACAGTTTGCTAGCACGTTTAGCCAGTGCTCTCTCCAAGTAAATGTTTACTTTCCCTCCTCTGTTGACTACGCTACTGAAAATCGACGCCTTATAATTGTATTTATAATTACTGGCGATTTCGAAGAGTTTATATATGATTCCCAATGGACAAGTCTTAACAGTACCTTCACATGTAATGAAAGACTATGTTTCGTCAACTCATTAACTGCCATCCCCAACTATATAGTATATTGTATATAGCATTAAATCTACATTCATTAGTGAGTCGGTAGTGTCACGTGATCATTTCGGATTTATTCTTTGGAGGGGGGGTGATGGAAAAAGACACAAGTAAAAAACGTTGGGTAGCATTAGACAAAGGTTTATATATACAAACATATACTGTATATATATATATGTTTATATAAATTTTTCGTTGTTTTATAAAAGGGTCTATTGTCAGCAAATTGATCCTATTATCCTTAGAGCCAGATTACCTAACTGTGAGAGAGTCATGCAAACTTTGCTAAGACTTGAAAGAAGAATAACATATATATATATATATATATATAGTATATGTTCTATATAAGCTAGAATGTAGAATGTATTGATAATAAGACAGTATACAGCACCTAGACTTTTAGCTAGCAGAGTCAAAAAATTCAAATTTTTTCATCACTAAAGTAATTAATAGCGTATTTCTCTTTTTTTTCTCTTCTACTAGTTACGCCCTAATTATATGACTACAAAGACTTATTTACACATTTAATCGGACTCACGAAATGAAGCACAAACGTCACCCTTTTTTATTACAACAGTGTGCATTTAGTGATTAACTAATCTGTTATAAAGTTATTTATTCCTTTTCATTCGTGCAACTCGGCCTCTTTTTTTTCTATTGTTTATTTAGGTGATAATAATTTTTCTTCATTAATTTTTATAAGAAAAACAATAAAATTATATTTATATATTATTAGTATATTAGATATTTTGTATATATTACTTCTTATGAGAATTCAATAGGACAGTAAATCTAAAAAGTTGACTTTTACTTCTTTCCTATTTCTTTACCATTAGGGTTTTACTTGGAAAAATACATACATAGAAAAGATAAAAGGGCTAATAATGAAAAAGAAACAAATTTGTATTTGTTTTCTTCTTATTTAAAATGTAATAAGAGATTTGTTGAGATGGAATATAGTAAAAACAAATCATAAAAACAAAAGTTTCTGCATTGGTTTGTTATAGAATTAAATATAAATAAATTAGTCAACTCAAGTATACTAGATTCAGCTTATTTTCTCTTTATTCTTCAATCATTTCTTTATTGATTTTAAACTTAAGATGATGTTTCTTCTAACGTTAGAGATAATCATGTGACCAGGTTGCATTTTGTTTCTTAACGAGTACATTCGCTAAAAAATTTATATCGATACTTTGCAATGATGTATAAGAACTCTTTTAATAATTTTTACCTGTCTTATAATAGGCCTCTTAAGAGGATTTTACAATAGCTCTACTGGTGTACTAATATAGGCTACAAGGTCTTTAGTTTTTATATTCTAAGGAAAAACTTGAAAAGATCCTCTCAGAAGGTTCTATTTATTGAAAATAAATAACTCCAATTTAAAGTATATTTTGAAGTGATTAAATTAATATCTCTTTTTTTCTCCTACCTCTGCTTTGTCTCTGTACTTGCGTTACTCTATCTTTCTCTCACTCTCTGTCCTATTCTTTCAAGTCTCCTTTCCATCACTTTTTTCTTTTTATTTTATTCATATCTTTTTTATTAATTTTTATATAAATATTCTATATATTTACTTTTAAATGGAATATATACCTGACTTCGTGCTATCAATAAAAGAAAAAATTTTAATTTTGTAATGGAAATATCGCCTATATATAAATTGTACTTCTATTAATATAAAAATAACTCTCTTCCTAGTTACCTCATCTATAAATAATTCCAATGAAAGAATAGTTTATTTTTAATGCATCTTTATTTTAAACTATTCTCTATCTCTCTTCTTTCTCCATCTTCTTTTATTTATTCTCTAATAATTCTAACAAATTTTATATATCTATTTCGAGTTATTAATTAAAAATTTTTACCCGCATAATAGAGGAATGACCGTTATCGTTACTAAATTTAGAATTGCTTTCGTGTACCAAATAAAATAAGAATTAGAACAACAGTTTCCCATAAAAAATAACAGAGAAAAAAAAATCTGATATCCATTTTGTCATTTAATCGATTTTAATAGAGAAATAGCATCTTATACAATAAGACATTAAAATTTTAAGAAAAGTATTTGCAATTGATATAGGATTACCAGGAGTAAAATTAAAAAATCTAAGTATGGGTAAGTGTAGACTAGCGTGCTAAATATTACATCTATCCTTTTTCATAAACATTACAGAAAAGCGTAAACGACAAAGAGAGAGAGAGAGAGAGAGAGAGAGGGGGGGAGAGAAAGAAAAAGAGGCAGAAGAGGCAGAAAGGCAAACAGACAGACAGATAGACAGACAGAGAAAAAGAGGGAAAGTTAGTGAAAGAAAGCAGTTTAATACAAATAAAATTTTTTGTCCTTTCCTTTCTTCCCGGATCACCTTACTCTCTCTTCCTATAGGATTTTTCTTACTTGTGAATATTTTTATCTCATATTCTGGAGAATTTTATCTAAAAAACCCAAAGAAAACAAACTATTTCACTCGATATCTTTGTTCCTTAATAAATCAATGAATCATAAGAGAATAATAATAAACATAATAGAAAAAAAAGTATTCACGTAATTGAAATCTAGAATCTAAAGTTTTTTCTTTTTATTTTTTTTTTTAAAAAACAAAGACAAAGATTTTCCTATTAATTTTATTAGTAAACTATACACATTGCGGACTAGATAAGGAAATGAGTAGTATACGTTTTATAGAAAAAAACAATTTCAATTTTCTATTGACGTAAGTCAAAGAAAGATGGGAATTTTTTTTTGACAAACGCTAAAAACAATAAAAAAAAATAAAGAACACGATACAATTTGAAGTGTTGCTATCATGCTCCAATATATATTAATACTCATGGCCTTCTCGGTTTTTTTTTCATTTAAGCCATCTATGTTATTGTAAACTTCTCACCATCATGATGCGAATTAACATTGTAAGAATATTTAAATAAAACCAAGAATGGTTAATAGAGAAAATATACATATTGGTCTATAATGATATATATTTTCTTATTTAACTATATAGAGAGTGCATGTCTGGCTAAGAACCGTATTAAATTGATATACGACTTTTTCCTCCTTAGAGATATGGTAAAACAAAAAAAAAGGCATTGAAGAAACGAAATAGAGAGAAAGAAAGGAGTCAGAAATAAGAAAGAAACATACATAGATAAATACTAAGAAAGAAAAAAAGAAAGAAAGGAAAAGGAAGAGAATAGAAAGAGACGGAGTCAGAAACAGAGGTAGATATAGAGATAGATAGATATAGAAAAATGGGAAATAATCGTTTATATGCGTTTAATATAATCCTAAATGTATATGTAGGCAAATTATTCCGTCAGGTGCATAAAATATATTTGTTTTCCTCCAATTATTTACATTCATCTAGAATTACGTCGTGCTTATAATAAAGAAATTTATTCTCAGTGTCCGCTTTGCTGTAAAAGGACCGTGCAGAGAACTTTTCCCATAGAGGGCGCTCTTTTCGTCGTTATATAAAAAACGCCGTCGTCATTCGCCGTATACGTATTTGACGTCGACCAAACGGTGACAGGTTCGTTATTTTCTCTTTACTTTCTTTCGCTTATATCGTGACGCTGTATAATTAATAGACTTAGGACTTTTTACTCCTTCTTTCCCTCTCCCCTATCTTCTTAGACATTTGCGACTGTATCCTCTTTAAACTAAGGACGCTAAACGGAAGAAAGGCTTGCCAGCGAAAAAAAGCATTAAAAGAAATTAGAGGCTTAGATGGTGCATGTTTAATATATAATATATATGTAAATGTAAATGTATATATATATAAATTTATATATATATATATATATATATATATATATATATATATATATAATATGTATATGCATTTGTAAACCCATTTAAGATATAGTGAATATTCTTAAGTATGTCTCTTCGCATAGTTTGTTAATGTGAAGAAAAGAATAGGGAACTGACCTATCAAACAAAGACGCTAAAAGTCCATAAAGGAAGAAAGAAATTATCTGTTACTACCATAATTCGGACGACTCAACGTAATAATGCAAATTATAATAATGACATAGATGTGTAGTACTTTGCTAAAAGACGTCCCTGGATGACTTTGCACTAGGCAATAACAGGAAGTAACGAACGGTTTCGGACAAACAAACTGAAACGGGCCTCTCTGGCTTTAGTATGTGTACACAAATAACAGAAGAAAAAGGAGATAGTCTTATTAAACATTAATCTTTTCAGGTCTAAGGGATAGTAGGATTTTTTTCTATTGCTTATCACGTCGCGTTAATCACGTTTATTACAGTCGGTGACAGTTTGTCGTTTCCCTCCAAAAAAACGTATGCTTTTGATTATTATTTGTACACATGATACATAACATATTTATTACCTAGGTATATAAAGAAACATATGAATTGGAAAGTATGTAGGCTTATGTACATATATATATATATATATAGATATATATGCATATGTACCCCATGTCTATACATATATGTATATATGCATATACAGTATTTATGTACGTTTATGAAGTGTGTAAATGAGTGACTGACTGGGTGTATTCTCATATGACGCATACGTATTGTAGTATAGTAGGCATTCTGTGTATATTATATTTATTAACATATTTAAATATTATATATATATATATATATATATAGTTTATGGGTCATAAAATCATATTGTTATAAGTATACATTCATTTTATGTTGTACAGTATCATAGGTAAACCATAATAACATATATTGCTAGTAGAAGTATCCTTATTTATACACAAAACAGTCGATAATATACGTCAACTGCACACACTTTTATATACAGTATAATGATAATTTTCTTCATACTCTATTAACCCTTCGATTAATATTCTACCTTCTTTTATTAAACAAATTTTATCAATTTATGTAAAACTCACTGTGGTACACTACGTACTGCGTCATTCCAACAGCTACGTCATCTAACGGCTAATGTTTTCTATCCAGAAAGTCATATTAGGCCTACAAATCAACAGTACATTCCTTTTATTAAAAATTCTCAATGGGCTTACATCAGTTGATTACAGAACTTATGGTTAATTAAGAAGCTCTAGTGATCCTAATTTTAGGTGAAATTTTCAGGACAAAATTCAATTTTATTATTTTTTTTCTTATAGAAATTGAAAGTGACAAAATGAGAGAACAAAAAAGTAAACAAACAGATAATTTACTTAAAAATATGAGAAATTAGATATTATCCTTTTAATATTATTATTATTTTATCATTTTTAATCCCATTATGATAAACTAGTTTTTTCCATTTTATCGTTATATGGATTAATGATGGAGATTAAAAAAAAACAAACAAATGAAAGAATTCATCTCCTCCTGAAATTTTTTGGAATTTCTCCTCTTACTTCAATATATATCCTAATTATTCAAATTTCTTGTAAATTATATACAAAATTCAGTCAACTAAAGTAATCTCCCTGACGGTGTTTTAAGGAGGGGAAGGGGGAGGGAATAGATGATAGAGAAGGGAAATATGTGGATATATATAGATATGTAAGATGAATATTTCCAGTTATATAACTTGTTTATAAATATGTATGCATGGATGAAAACTCTCAAATATTTTTTTCCCCTTCTCTATGTTTAAAAGATAGGGAAAAAATAGAATCTAAACGGTGAAAGGCCTCTCACATATAATCTATAGTATATGATACAGATTTCACATGCGACATAAAAATTGAATAATTACTTTGAATACAATTATTGTTATGATCAGTCAACACTTATAAGTTAAAGTAAATGTACAGGAATAGAATTTATGGTACGTTTTTCGTAGTACGATATGAACAGGTGCACATATTGATACCCATGATGGCTAACGAATGAATGGGTAAATAATTGGATGGGTTGATGGATGGATAAAGAGAGAGAGAGAGAGAGAGAGAGAGAGAGAGAGAGAGAGAGAGACAGAGAGACAGACAGAGAGAGAGGCAGAGAGAGAGACAGAGAGAGATAGAGGGTGTGTATGTGTGTGTGTGTGTGTGTGGGAGATGGCGAGAAAAAAAGAGAATAGAAGAAGAGAAGAATGAGGACATTTTAAGTTTAAATTTTAGGTCATTTTATAAGTATTCAAGGAATTACATACATGATTGACTAATGGTTTATATTGATTGTCACAGTTTTTTCAGATATCACGTTTACTGGGGGGTATTCAATTAACTGTGTATCTTATCCCAACATACAAAATAATCGATGTTAAGCGTCAGTTATAAGCATAATTATATACACGTGCTGTCAGCATATGCGAAACAATTTCGATTTCCGTCCAAAGCTCAAATGAGGCCGCAAAATTTGTTTAGTTTGTTCCTGTCGAATATAGACATTCGACTTAAATATAAGTATTTATAACCAAATATTTTATTCTCTTATTCACAGTAGATGGTTGTAGTGGGAAGAAAAAATAAAGTGCCAAAAAGACTCACTACAAACGGAAAAGAAAGCAACGGGAGAACAGGAAGAGAATATAGGAAAATATAAAATTAAGAAGCCGTAATATACTTAAGAATAGAAAATAAAAGAATTTGATGAGAAAGAAGAAGTTGATAGATTCTCATAAGAGACAAATTATGAATAAAAGCGAAGAGAGAAAGAATGACAAACGAACCGAGTGCACAAATTTAGAAAAAACTCATGTACATCAAGTTTATGATAAATTTGGTTCGGTATTTGCCGATTATAGGTCACAACCTTGGCCCGGAGTGGTACAATTTTTGAATTCGTTAGAAGTTGGGAGCGTGGTTGCCGACGTAGGTAAGTCAATCTAATCTTTAAACTTTAGTCGAATTACAAAAAGGAAGATAATCTCCGGGAAGGAAGAGAGAATAAAAATATTAGCCAATGAAATAGCGTAAATTGACGGGCTTGCTTAGTTTTAAAATCCCAATGTAGGCGGAAATCCTCCACCTCCTCATCATCGTGCTTTTTTTTTTTGTTCCTACGCACTGTGAATCATCTATTTACGACAATATTCAGTAAGTAATTCATGATCCGATCGGCGAATATCTTTGACCAAACAGTTTTGGATTGTATTTACTGCATTTCCCATGGGACAAAGACTCTAAGTGCTTATTGTTTATTATAGTTGTGCCTTTCCAATCAATATTTCACACACCGGAGATAATTTTGGCTCCCCTAAGCCACTTGGGGTGTCTCTCATTTTTTAATTTAGGTAAAAATGGTACTTAATTCATTTTGCCAATTTCTATAAATTCACCTCGTACTTTTCTATTTATATAAAATATTACAGTAATTGAAATTTGCTATTTATTAAGTAAAGCAATATTGCTTGGAAACAAATAACAAAGGTAAGAAAATGTGTCATATGCTCCAACTTCTCTCTATTTCTCATTTTGAATAATTTAATAGTTTAAGTTCAAGATTGATCCAGATGAAAAAAAATACAAACAAAGAAGGTTTTCTTTCGTGAGAATAAACATAATAAACATTTGAAAAGAAGTGCATCAACAAAGCCTTCAGGTGTAAACAATAGTTCGTCGACCTGTTAAAATCTGTACATGCATCAAGGTGGATACACGTTATAAAGCTGACAATCGTTTTACGTGACTAGCTTGCGCATGCGCATTTTTAGATAAAAATTAGACGGTAATTTTCAACATCTTAATGAAAATGGCAAATCGGGCGTGGAATGAATGACTCAGTAGGGAAAGGCGATTGTCGTTTCTATTGACGTCACCCCGTGACCAAATTAGGAAAAGAGCGTCCGATTAAATTTCTTTTTTATAGACGTAACACAACCATCACACGGTAGACCCTTTTATTCTTAAAAAAAAACCCAGAAGATTTGTTGCATAAATTCAGTCTTTGAAGCGCTTTAGAGTGTTTCTTCCCCTCTAAGAAGTCTTTTTTACATGAATAATTCCATTGGATAGCCTCTGAAATCTATTCATCATAATACATAGAATTGTTTCTATTTTTAATTCCAAAAGAAGAATAAAATCTAGTTCAACTGCAAATATTAATATGAAATTCAATACATCTTCGTGACGTTCTTTCAAATTGAAACTTTTTAGACGTCATCTTAATTTATTATCACTTAACTTACGTAAAATACAGCTTTATAAACGGCAGGAAAACAAAGCACAAAAATTGCTGCTCTGAATGATTTATTACGTGTATATGAAAAGTCATTATTGTTATATGATAGCACCTAATTTTATAACCGGAAAAAGCTAATTTACTACGTTTTGTTTTTCATTTTCTATTTTTATCTATTCCTTATTTCCTTCTTCATCCCCTCTTCCGGTATACATATCCATAAGGGAGACTGTAAATTTGATCCCCTTCAAAAAGGAAAATACACAATTCAAACCATAAAACTGCTCCAAAGAACTTTTTTTCATCTATTGTTAGGGATCTTAATCTTTATCAGAGATTTTCCCTAAAAGAAGATAAATAAAAAGAGGAAAATGTCATTATTGTTTGGAAGGTAAGGAGGAGAGAACATGAAGAAAAAGAAATAGAAAAAGTAAATTGGAGTTGGAGAGAGCGTAGGGCGGAAAGCGTGTTTGTGTTCCTATATACGTGCTTAGCTATAAATTAGAAATAGGGGAAACAGGAAGGAAAGGCTAAATATCTTCCTTTTCTAGGAATTATCTACCTATTTTTTTTATTAGTTCTCTTTTTATGAATAGCTCTATTCATCCTTTCTTTATCTCCTCAGGCTGCGGACATGGAAAATACTTAAGTGTCAATCCAAAGATATTTGTAACTGGTAGCGATCGTTGTGGTCCCCTAGTTACATTGGCAGCTCTTCGGACGGGAAACGATGTCAGTCTCGCAGACAATTTGCACTTGCCCTACCAATCTGATTCTTTCGACGCAGTTATATCCATAGGCGTTATACATCATTTGACCAATGTTGAAAGGCGGATAGCGGCGATACGAGAACTAGCAAGAATATTACGTCCAGGCGGTAAACTGATGATTTACGTTTGGGCATTGGAACAGCGATTAAGGAAATTCGACGCCCAAGATGTCCTAATTCCATGGCGCCTGCCACCTGGTAAAAGGAGGATAAGAAGTTCGGCTAGCTCAACTAGTGGGGATGAAGAAGAAAAGAAATCTCTTCGACGAAATAGAGCACTTAGAGAGAGATGTTCTTCTGATACAACTATAAAAATGCAGGCAGGTTCAACTGCCCGATCTCAAGATTCGGGAATATATATAAAATCTATTCAAAAACCCCCCTCCACTCCGACAATTAATCGTATAAGAATGTCAGGTTTCTTGTCTTTGCGCAATAGTCGTGGTGATTCTACAGAAAGCAACACTGGAGGTGAAGAAAATCGAAGTAGTAGTTTACCAAATCTTGTCAAGACTAAACTGGTAGGTTGGTTTTCTAAAATGAGCCAAGATGATGAACAACCTCAGCCGACTAAACAGCTGCAAGTCTCAGACAAATCAGCTCTCCAGGATTTAGCCTACAAGCGATTAATGGAGAAAGTTCTAGAGCAAGACCCATTCGTTCTCGATCCTCATAAAGCTATGGTAGAAAATTATAAAAAAGCTGTTAAACAAAGCGGGTTCGATGTCCGACACTTTCCAAGAAGTAGCACGGGAATGCCCGGGCAAAGGACGCAAAAGAAAAGTTTGCAGCGCCATCTATCGACTAGTGACCCGGCTGATTTGACTTCTCGAGCTGCAGAGTTGGAAGCCAGCGCAAAACGGTTTGAAAAAATTCCTCCACGTCTTGTAAGGCAAAAGAGTCTAGAAGGAACTCCGAATTGCAGTCGAGAAACGTCTCTAGACGGAGGCGACGATTCAGTCTTTGTCAATGCTAGTTGGCAAGAAACAACAAAAAATGCTATTGTTTCGATGGAAACTGCGGTTAAGCGACCAACTGGTCCACAAGTATCACCTCCACCTCCTATCCGCCCAGCAAGATTCCCCTCGACCGATAGATGGCCCCATAGAATGAGAATAAAAAAACTCGTACGTTCGTCAACGGGTTCTTCAACAGAATCAGAAGACAGTGCCGTAGACTATCAAAGAGAACAGAGGGAAAGGCGTCATGTTCATAAAGCTGACTCTCTGCCTATAGAATGCGTAAACAAGTCACCAAGACCTCGTTCTCAGAGCGACTCAGAAGCCGGTGATAATAACGAGGCGTCTCTTAGCAGATACTATCACGTATTTAGAAAGGGAGAATTAAATGCTCTTATTGAGGATAAGATAAAAAACTTACACATAATTAGCACAAAATATGATCACGGTAATTGGTGTCTCGTGGCCGAAAAAGTTAGAATATGGACGTTTTAATTTTAATGTCCTTTAAAAGAAAAAGAAAAGAAAAAAAAACATATATGTCAAGTACAGCTTCTGTTATGTCTGCGTAAAATATTATACAATTATCATTATGGTTTGATTAATATTATAATCATTATAACGTGTATATTTACAACGAAAGTAAGTATGGCTTAATAGGCATAATAAAAACATAGTCTAGTTTTATCTATACATGTATATATACATTATATACTGTATATATTAGTATATATATATATATATACATGTATGCATATACCCCATATTGCCTCTATTCTGAATTTTTTTGAGATATTTTTTAGTAAGAACAAAAGAGTTATTGAAAATGAAACTTGACTTGAAGTATTACAGGAAGATTTTTATAAAAGCCATGCTTCTTTTTCTAGGAATTGACCTGCTATGTATGAACTATCGATGATAACTATTTTCAATAATCTATAAATTCAACCGTCTGGTTTGAGACTTTGAGATGTTGAGTAAAAACGACTAAATATCAACCTAATCAATCTATGGAAGGCGGGGCGATAAGTATTATCGATAAGACAGCAAAAATTTTAAGATATAAAGAACACATGTGTGTTTATAATATATAAGTATATGCCTTATAGATCTGATAAAAATCTTGGTTCACCAATAGATAGCGAACTAGAAATATTCATAAATTTATATATGTATTTATATACTGTGTGTCTACACTTTTGATGAATAATATATATGCCTATGTTAAGATATGAACGTTATGTCAACATGAAAGAAATTAATAGATGTTACTGTAAACGTAATGCTTCAATTTGAAACATTTTTTTGGAAGATTTCCTGTTCAAGCTAAAGAAATAGAAATAGGGAAAGAAGATAAACAAAAATCATTTGAAGAATAATTATAACCGTCCAACAAATTATAAACGTTACATTATTATTATTATTATTATTATTAATGTTATTTTACCACAGTCTCTCTTAAATTGACAATTTATATAGAGTTTATGTTCTTGTTTCATTGTAATATTTGTATTATTAAACTACTAAGGTAAAAATCTTGACTATTCTTAATAAAGAAAATACATTTATCACTTCCTTTTCTTTCTATGTTATTAAATATTCACAATAGATTGGAACATATTTTAAATTTCCCGCTTTTTAAATTAAGATCAAATTGGACCGTTAAGAATAATTTTTTTTTAGAGCAGAGTTTATCAACAAAGCACGTTGTATAGACGTTGATAAGACGTAATTCTATCTAGTTTTATGACCTACTTATGTGTTGCATCATCAATGTGACAAAGTGTGCGTGAAAGTTCCTTTAAATTGATCCAGGACATTTTCAACATCGGTCAGTAGAATTTTTTTTCTTTACTGATTAAGCCTTAAAATAATTTTTCTATCATTATTATACTCGACTACAAATACTGGTAACAACAGAATATTCTTCACTGTAGTCGGTTATTGACAGCCCTTGGCTACTTCCGGTTGCATTTGTCCTTGACCTTGTATACTACAGCTGGCGTTAAACTCCTATAGGCTATAAGCGCGTCGTTCGACGCTTAATTTATGTTAACCAATTACCTGGATTATGCCTCGCTCCAAGAAAATAAATCGCCCTGAAAAGTTTGCAATTTTCTTTTCTTGAAACATCGTTTTATAAGAGATCGCATAACGCCTCATTAATGTGCTCTCATTAGTTACTATCGAATTCTAAGGAAGTTAACTTAATAAGTTGATCATTTTCTCTACTATTAGAGAAGCTATGGAGATGAATCGGAAGGGTAGAAAACGTCGGGTATCCTCCAATTCTGAAGAGGAAGAAGACGCAAAGAGGTTAATATATGTTTTGTTCTTTTTTTCTCCGAACAATAACATTTGATATCGAACGATAGATTTTTAAATATCAAAATTAATTGTTTGATTTAAGGTTGACTCGAAAGGAGAATGAGAAACAACGCCGAGACAAGCTAAACTATTTTATAAGTGAATTGGCTAATCAACTACCAGTTGTGGAAAGATCTAACAGAAGATTGGATAAAACATCAATTTTACGATTGGCCGTTAATTATTTAAAAGTTCATCAAGGTAAAAATATCATAAGCATCCTAAGGAAATATTTATAATATCAAATTCACGAGTGAAAACTGATAAGAAATGATATATAAAATGCTATTATATTATATAATATCTTCTTCTAAAAAGGGGAGACGTAGCATATTTCTCATAATTATCTAACAGGGAAATATCATTTCCATTAATAGTCCTGAGTTTAATATAAGAAAGTGTCTTTGAAAGGCAATATTAGATCAAGAACTAAAGTAGGACATGTCCATTTATGAAAGCTTTTCAGTATTTGCCTGCTCTACTATTATGTGAACATATAGTTCTAATGAGGTTTATATTGTCAAATTTAAGCTGCTATATGTAAAAAAGGAATTTAATGATTTATTAATTACTATTATTGCCTTTATTTGTTAATTACAAATAAAGATTTCAAACTATCTTTAGGAGATGTACCACCATCGATCATCTTTTTATCGCAAAATTACTTTATCTATGAATAATTTCATCAATTTAACAATGACGTCAAATCTTATTAAAATTTTCATATACCACATGCAATCATTTCTTTCCTTTAATACTCATACTACCTTCCTCTTTTTCCCTACACTGTTCCCGTACCCCTTAAAAAGGTTACTGGTTTTTAAATTACAGAACAAATCCCAAGTAACCAGATAAAACATTTATGAATATATTTTCCTTTCAATTTTTCAAATTAATAATTGGATATTGACATTAATAATTAGCGTCTACTTGATAGCAACTAATGCCGAAATTATTTATGTTATATAATATCACGCAAGGTTTTCTTAGAAATAATTCGTTGACCTCTTTACGGGATGTTAAGCAGTGGGGATGGAAAAAAACTGACAGAAAAGGACAAATTTTCAATTCCCTCCAATGTATTTTTAGTTATTTTTTTTTCATCCAGGAATAAGCTGTTCTTTATCTACCTTGTTTGACATTGATAATAACTAAGTAGTGTGAAGCTAAGTATATGTACACCTTGTATATAGAAATCGATATAAATGCAAAAAAAATGCATTTGCGCTCCTCTTTGAGGACGCCCCTAATTACTCTTTTCTATTCCTGACAACAATTATTACTCAATTTCAAGTCTTCACTCTAAAATACTATCTTTTATTTGTTTTATCTTAATTAACACAGATTTACTGAAAAGATGCAAAGACTTAAACCGCTGGCCAAGTTTTCCAAGAAATCAGAATTTAACTGATATCCTTCTGGAAAATTTTAATGGTTTCATTTTAGCATGTGACGAAAAGAGCGAGATCGTTTTCTCTTCTGATACTATTACGAATGTTTTGGGTTACAAATTGGTAAATCTTTCATGAACCTATAGTGCTTTATCCCATTAAGAATTCTATTTTTGCAATTTACACAGGCTGACATCCTTGGATGCCCTCTCCTTAATTTTGTACACCCTGCTGACCATTCAAAATTTGTCAGGGCTTTTGAAGAAGGTATAGGCAAATATTTATTATTTACTGCTCAACGCAGAGTTATTAATATCTCTTATCGTGTAGTAACTGATGAAAAACAACGAAACTTTGATGTTCGGTTGGCTAGAAACGACAATAATGGATATGTTCGATTAGAATTTTTTTCTTTCTTGGACGCCAGAGAAAATCATAAAACTTATTTGATAAGCTTTTGCCGTTTGGCAGGAGATGAACCAACGACCGAGTTATTACCGATTGCCGATGAATCTAATCAATGGGTGACTCAGCATTCAATGGACGGAAAGATTATCTTTAGCGATCCTAAGGGTTGCCTCATAACAGGCTTCTTCCCGTCCGAATCGATTGGTTTCTCAGCTTACGCTCTGGTTCATCCTGATGATATTGGACCTATTGTTTTAAAACATAATATTTGTAAGTTAACAACTGCGATTCTTTTTTTTTATAAATCTAGCACATTTAGATACTTGATCGATGATTTCTATAGTTATTTAATATCCTCTCTGAAAGCTTTGTAGGCCTATAGCCCAACAATATATAATAAATAGGAGCAAAAACAGTTGAAATCCAATTCGAATAGGCCGACTAAGATTTTTTCCAGCTAATTGATTTATTTGCATAATTTGCAGTAGGTCGATATACTTACCTCCACAAATGCTTACATAAGTTTTTAAAAAAATATTATCCATACTATCAACGTAGTAACAGCAAGGACGTGCTTCAAAAATAGGTAAAAAATAAACATACCTTGTATTATGATATGCTCCCTATATATAAAATATTAATACTGCATATATACATAGCTATTCTTTCATTATACATGCATATATGTATTTTAAATGTATATTTTTATATACAGTATATATATAGTATCTACTTTGAAAGCTCAATATTTCTTGTTTTTTGCTTTAAATCAGTTCTGACCACTGGAGATATACCAAACACCTGTTTTCGGATGTTCACCAAAACTAGACAACAGATTTATATTAAAAATAGATCTCACATGGTTGTCGACATGTGGACGTCCAAACCTAGACACATAATCTCCGTCAACGAAGTAGTTGACAAAGAGGAAGGTGAAAAGTTGTTAAAAGAACAAAGCCTCTTAGTTTCCAAATACAGCGATAACGGGCTGCAATTGGAGGACATTACGGAACGAATAGCTACTATTGAGGTTTCGGATCCAGAACCGGAAATCGATATGGAATCAGAAAATGACAAGGTTAAGGTGGTTGTTGGTGAGACTAAATATAAAATCGATTTGACTAGACAAGAACTATTTCCAAGAAAAGGATATAACGTAAGCCGAAAAACTGTTGTTGATACCGGGCAATATAGTATTCAAAAGGATGTACCCTTCGTAAAACCGTGTTTCGACTCTTTGGTGAAAAGAACACTATCAGATTGCGGCTGTAATAATGAAAAAGCTGTGGAAATAATTAAGGGACCAGCATCAGCCCCACCAAATATACCTGAAGATATTAATGATATGGATATTCAATCATCCCCTCCTGGCTCTGACAGTGAACTATTAAGACAAATCTGTCAAGAGATTTCAGTTCCATGTATAACAATAGATTGTCTATCAGAAAAGGATAAGGTAAATACGAGCAACTTTTTTTAATATGCCCCATCTATATGCAGCATATATATTAGCAATTTAGGACAAAAAAGTATATATATATATACTGTCTAAGTATCTTTAAGAGCACTACATACGTTACATATTTGTTGATTTTAATCTATATTAAGTGGGTCAAAAAATAAATCTTTAATTTCCTCTATTTGACAACTATCTCTAATTTGGATGCTATAAAAAAATTATAGGTTGACATCATTTTGGTACCTGGTGGTTCAACTTTGAATTTGGGATCAAAAAGTGAAGAGTTCAGTTTTTTTCGTTATCACTTTTCAACTTTGTCATGTAGCTTTAAAGGTCTTAGAACACAAAAATTTCCACTCTTTTCTACTCTTTGACCTGGATCTATCCTTTTTGAATGTTTACTTTTGTTATTTATCATAATAATTTTTTAAGTCATAGTCGGAAATCTGTTTTATTACAGTTAAAAATAAAGATGGCGCTAGCGAGCAGATAAGCCTCCTTGTGATCCCAAATTAGGTTCACTCGTGTAGGATTAAATCGCCATCTGACGGTGATAATTAACAAAATTAGCGAATGTTATAGTAATATCTGGCAATTAATAGGCAATAAAGTTGGAATAAGTTCTTAATGATTACGTGATTCTTTCTAATTGGATAATGCAATAATTGTAATAATATAATCGCTTTTACAGATGCGACTGGACGTTTGTTCTAAATTGGTACGAAAATTAACAGAAATATCGGAAGTTATAAGATCAAAAGAAACCTGTGCAGCCAATTTAAGAACCGAATTACTGAGGGGTCAACAATCGCAAAACTTTGAGCTGGTTCAAAGATTAAGTATAACCGCCAAACAGATGACCGGTATTCATCAGATATTAAAGAAAACGAAGCAAATGCTTAAAGAAAAGTTAAATCAGCAGTTAAACCTATTAATTACTAGTATAAAGTCATTTGCAAAAGATAAATATTCAAATTTGGATGATTTGGATACAATTCTACAAAATTTGGAAACTGACTTTCCTAGCTTAGATGCCGAATATACCTCTGTAGATTTGCTGGACATCGATTTGGACTGTGATGCTCTATAGAGATTCTAGTGATATATAATTATTCATTATTCATAAGTCTACAGATAACAGTAATTCTAAAGAAACAATGCGATAGAAAACTGTACTGAAAAGGACTGAACATCAAAAGTTTATGCCCATAAAAAGAATCATGCTTCCAGCTGATATATATATATATATGTAAATTTGGTGTTGAAACTTCTAGAGAAATTTTATGGAGCAAAAAAAAGAGAACGTCCTACTACTTTCAGTCAAGTTTTCCGCAATCGCTATTTTTTTGAATACGTTTTACATTTTATTATTTTCAGAATGTTACTAACTACTTTATACTTCATATGCAAAATTTTAAGATAACGTAACAAATTCACACTGCGCTCTCTAATTTCACTGGCCCCCTCTCTCCCTCTCTCTCTCTCTCTCTCTCTCTCCTTTAAGCGCGCACATTGTTTGTTGATTGTATTATATTTCAATAATTGTTTTCCTTTTAATGCATTTCATATGTAATTCTATTTTTTTTCTAGCAACCACATTTGATATTTCAAATTTAGAGACGGTATAAGGTAGCTCAGCTTGTATATAATGCTTTAAAAGATGTATAACATATAGTATATGATTTTAGTGTGGAAAATATGATAAAATTTTAAGTTATCAACTTTCTTTTCTTTACCGGCTACTTGCCCAATTTTTTTATATTACTCAAGCAAAAACAAAGCACCTAAATATTTTTATCTGTCATTGTCGAAGAGAGAGGCCTTTTTATATTTTTATTACAAAAATCTATTTGCTAAAGGTTCTATCTGTTAAATAACTTTACATTGAAAAAAAAAGTATTAAAAAAGCTTCTAATCTTGCACTTGACATATTGGGCTTGCTATTTCATTTTATGAGTGACGGTATCTTTAATTCGTCGAATGTTTTGTGTACATTTGTATCTAAGTATTAATTTGTCTGCAGTGTTTAACTTTCGATAATAAGTTTGAATATAAAATATGTTAATACCAACATAGATATGCATTAATGTAAGAAACAAAAATCTATACCAGTTATACATCATTAATATCTATCTTCTCTATCTTTTTATTCCTTTTATTTCTGTTATTATCTTTCCATATTTCGTGCAAATACACATAAAAGATTTTTTATTATTCACCATATCATTTCTACAAACAATAATTTTTCAAAGCTATTAATGAATAGGCCAAGCTCTATCAATTGTACGAAATCTCTTCCGATATGTATTTATATACACTTATAATTCAAACGAAGATATAAATAAATATAGATTTCCAGTATTTCTTAATATCTATATCTATATCTTCTATTTTATTGCTATTGTTATTTTTATTTATACACTTCAGTACTTTGGTAAGAATTGGTATTTTGCAAAAGAAATAGTGTATATCATTGATAGTTGAAATATTCATTATTACATCATTATATGTTATCTCGTTAGAGGGTGTATAATCACTTAATCACTCTATTCTATTTTTCTTTTCCTTTATTTTTCTAGGTAATCTAAAATATACTCTTTTTTTAACTTCGATTTTGTACGTAAAGCAATCAAAGTAGGCCAAAATAGAATAAATATTATCGATATTTTTTCTTGGGATCTCAACCACACATAGTTTTTTCTTCTTAAATTTTGTCCCTGCATTATTGATTTATTGAACTTTGAAGTTTATAGACCTGGATATATTTGCATTTTCAACTTTCCACGCATATTATACAGATATATATATATATATATATATATAATTATAAAATATTGCGTACACGAATATATCTATAAAAATTTTTTAACTATGCGTCGCCTATCTGTCTATCTATCTCATTTTTCCACTCAGACTATGTATGTATGTGTGTATATATCAAATATTTACAATGTTGGCTATTCATTCGATTTTTTTTTATAAGTTAAACTTTTACTTAACATAAAAGAAGTTTTAATAGAATCTAAACTTTTCCACAGTATATACAGCTTAAATTATAATAATACTTTTTACTCTAAATTTACTTATTTCTTTTTTTTTTTTAAACAAAAAAATATTACAAAAAATAAAGAATAAGCCTAACTCTCTTCGAGTTCTTTTGAAAATAAAAATGGACTTTTACTACTAACAGCTTTAACTAATCACAGATATTCATTTTATTGACAGCTTATTCGTTTACGCCCTTTTTTTATAAAATATAATACAAGTCCGTAAAGCAATATTCAATTTATTAACTTATTCTTTCTTTCTCTACACACATATATATATATATATATATATGTATAGGTTTTAATTAAGCATATTAAGTAATGAATTGAGATTATAGTATTAATTGTAAATTGATAATAGAAATAATAGCGTACTCATAGTATTAATAGTAAAGAAGCAAAAAAAAAAAAAATCAGTAGCATCATTTTGGGTGAAAATCTATTTTTTTTTCCTGCAACAGATCTTATTGAACTATTTATATTTATATAAAATCTTTCCAAAAAAATATATACGTATATATACTCTATATATATATATATATATATAAAACAAAAACAGGAAAGTAGATAAGCTAACGTTATCTTTGCTTTCCTCTCTTTTTTTATAACGAAATGTTGATTGTAAAAGTTTCAAGTCTTCGAAAGAAACAGAGATGATAGAGAGAAAGAGAATGGTATAAAGAAATTTATAAAATAACTAAGATTAAGGCATTTAACAAAGCTTTTAGTTACGGGGGAAATATGAAATAAATTGGATATTTTATATTGATAGGAGAAGGACCTTTTCTTCTTTTTTTTCCAAGAATAATCACTATTAATCGAAGTTGTAGCGTAACTAAAATCCTTCTTTCTATCGTAATTTCCTCCAATCATTCCTTCTTTCCCTTTCTGCCTCTTTTTCTTCCAATAATATAACGCAAAAAGTTAAATCTATATTGTAAAAGTTTATGTTGTTCTCTATTTCTTCTGTTTATTCTGAAGGTACTGATAAATTCGAGATATATTCAATACTCTTCCTTACTACTCCATTATTTCTCATATGTCGAAGCATTAAATCCTGATCGTCTTTCTCCTCTATCGAACTACTCGCTCCTTTTAAATATCGCTCTTGAATGTCCTTTGTCAATCTACTATCTCTTATGAGTTTAAGAACGCTATCCCCATCTTCCGATGAAGTTGACGTCTTTTCGACCCTCTTCAAGTAGGCGGGTGTCTCTTCTCCATCCTTTTTCATTACTCCAACTACCCGTTTTGTTCTCATGTGCTCGAGAATTAATTCATCAGACGAAATCGCTCGAGTTCTTTCCATAATTTATAGAATACAGTGCTTTTTTTCAACGAGCTTTAAACGGTATTTGATGGGCCTTGGATAAGATGTTCAATATGACCTAGTTTTGAAAAAAAAACGAGTCTTTGACTCTTTACAATACGACTTTATTGAAAGGCCTATCAACACACCGGAGAGCTTCGGTAGATTCGTAAAAAATGGGGATTATTCAAGAATTTTACAATCTCTTCAACAAAAATAGCCTATGAATCCTCTTAATTTTACCTTTTGTGGTGAACATTCGATCGGGGCAGCAAAAATGCGAAATAGGCGGGTTACAATCGATCTGTCTAAGGATTAATTTATATAGCCGTTTATGGCGCCATCTAATGCACGAATTTTTTTTTTTGATATTTGATTAGGTCATTGTCCTGAATTATTTGGCAAACAGTAATTTGTATACTTGTTAATTAGTGGCCAAAGAGTCTTTAAGTCTCTTCCGTTTTTCCAAAAACTCTCTCACAGAGGAGAATTTTACCGCCGTAAGTTTTAAACCTCGAAAGTAGATTATTTATTCAAAAAAGTTTTGTGTGAAAATACCTAAAAGGCTATATTATAACTAATACAATGTTAAAATCATTTGGCTGATATACGTTTCCCTTTACATGTCTTTGCATTCAAACTTTTGTATAATTTAGCATGATATTTGCAAACTAAATTGTCCCTCTTTCGCATTTCAATCAAATAAACAAAACACCACGTAACCAGTCTACAACATCAAACAAACTTGTTTTCGTATAAACTACAATTGTTTTAACACTTTTAAATGTTTTCTTAACATTCTTTCATAAACAATGCAACATCAATTGAGTAAACACAAACTCTCGCATTTCTTCACACTTGTTGTATGTATAAATTTTAAAGTTCTCTATTAATTATTTAATCTTATTTTATAAACGATGAATAAAGCAAAAAAAAAACAAACAAAATAATTAAACTATAAACGGACGGAAATTATATATTGTAATAGAAAACCAATTTGAGTTACAGAATACTACACGGTATAATTAAAATTTTCAATTGTTGTATAAATAAGTAAATAAAAAACAGTAGACGGGAAATATACTTAAATAAATGTCTACGAAAATATATATTTCCTAAACATTCTTTAAATAATAAGTTTAAAAGCTTTTATATACTTTTATTCAGGTTTATGCAATTATCTAAAGAGATTGGAAAAGACGAAGAATAGACAACTTTTTTTCACGATCTCTAAATTCAAATTTATAGTTTATAAACTATTCTTTTCACTTTTACGAAAGTATTGCACTTCCTCTTGAAAGAAATTTCTTTTTAACTTAATATCCTTAAATAATAATAAAAGATTAATAAAATTTATTTCTTCTGTTATATATCAAACTTTTTTTAGTTTATAGTTCTTTATTTCCCTCCTTTTCATCCATCCCTCATTCCTCCTCTCTCTCTCTCTCTCTCTCTCTCTATCCATCTTCCTTCATTGTTATTCAATAGTAATAAAATCTTTTATAGCATTGTATTTAAAAAAGAATTAAATTAAGTGGCCCCTCTATCGTTTTCAGGTAAAAAGAAAAACTACATAAAGTAAGCAACATAAAATTTATTATATAGGTTATTTATTGTTCCATTCAATCATATGAGTAATATATGACACCCTTGAAAGTATGCTGTCTATATTGTATATCGAAATATCATATTTATTTATTAATAAAATCTTACGGAATGCAATCATTTCCAAGAAATATTATTTGTAAACCTATTGTGTATTATCAATTAATATGTCACATTAATAGCAGCCCCTCTTAATACTTCTCTCTATGTATAATTGTATGTGTATTTGTACATTCTAATACTTTTATATGAAATAAAGAACTTGAAGATTTAAATAAAAATATTAAATATATATTAAAATTCCTTTACATATATATATATATACACTATTATAATATAAATACCTTTTATACAGTATATATATATATATATATATTTATTTATTTTTATGTATGCATAAATGTTTATACATATAGTATTTATCGAGATCAAAGTATAAAAACAAGTGTTACATAACTAACTAGTTCATCATGAATAAAATCAAAAAAAAATTGTTTAAAATAAGGAACTGGACACCACTGTATAGTTCGATCACAGACTAAACGAGTATATTTTTTATGTGTAAAAAAAGTCATAAAGTTATTCGTCTCTTTTATCAAAATTATGCTAGGGACTCATCGATTGGAATATCGTCTGCATCGTCGTTTCCAGAGTATATATCCCTAAGTTTGTCAAATCTAGGTCCCTGCATATATGGCTCGTAGTCTATAGAGGCATCCGTTGAACCGGAAGCTAAGGAACTAAGTGAGCCCACTTGCGAGGCTCCACCTTCGTATTCGTACTCCCTAACTGTATCATATGGCGGGGCAGTAGGGTCATTGTCAGCTTGTGTTAAGCGATCGCTCAAAAAGTCTCCTAAATTTTTTGGTTTACCATCTGGTCCGTAGGGAGATACAGGCGACGTCCGATATGGAGAATCCTCGGGAACAAATCCGACATTGATTGCTGATACTTTCTTCGGTTCGAATGGAGTTTCACTGACTGCTTTTCGCAATTCAGCAGTACTAAAATTAGCAGTATCCTCTTCACCTCCTCCCTCCTCCGTGTAGTTATAGCAGAATTCATTTTCATCCGTTTCCGGATGATCAATTATGACTTTTTCTGGTGCCTTTCTTTTCTTCAACCAAATAGCAAGTACAAGGAATAGAGCTAATGCAATTAGTATTGCTAATATGATTCCCACTATACCTCCAGTAGCTAATCCAGTACTATTATCAACAACACCGCCTGGTTCAATTCCACATCTGGTTCCTTCGTAGTTTTCAGAGCAATGACATACCCAATTATTAGAGAACACAGCACATAAACCTCCGTTGAGGCATTGCGGAACAGCGCAATTTGTAACTGCTACACAACTATTTGACGAAAAGTTTTTGCCTATTCCACAAAAGCAAGTTCTTGCTTCCCAATGTTCCACGCAAGTGGCATCCGAAGGGCAGGCGTCTGATGTACAAGTTATTCCTGAAGGACAGCCTTCGTCGGTATTTACCCTATTAACATAGGTGGCACCCCCGTTGTTGGAATTTTCATTCAAAGGCAGTGTAGTAGTCTGCGAACCTGACCAAGTGTAATGGACATCGCTTATACAAGATTCTTGGAAAAAATCTTTCGCAGATGGTAAGTTATGATACATTCTCTTTTGCAACATAGCGCCAGATGAAATATCTAAACCCTCAATGGCAATTAATCTATGAGAATCTCTTTGAAAGTTTTGAACAAAGAATCTAGGAGCGTCACCGTCGTCCAATAATAGAGAACCACCATTACCGAATCGTTCGAATACAACAGTATGCCAAATACCGTCATTGACTTTTACATAAGGTAAAGATAAAGTATTATATCCCGAACCTAAATCGTACAATAATTTTAAATATCCATTAGAAACACTGAGAATGATTTGTTCTAAAGTGGAGAAACTTGAAGTTGAAAAGATAGTTCCTTCCTCCTTTCTGGTTCGGAAACGTAACTGAATACGTTGATTTCTTCTCGAAGCCGTTGTTGAAATAGTTGTGTTGAACTGATCTTTAAGATTCCAAGATATATAAGCTTTTTCTTTCAATTTTCTAGAATCAGTTCTTTCGTTACAAGAGGGTGAATTAGTGAATCCTGGTTTACAGACACAAGATGCAGCTGACGATGTTAAATCTCCAACACAAGTGGCATTGCCTCCGCAATCTAAACACTTGTTTGAAATTGATGGGCATCCATCGGTTGATGATGATTGTTCTCTTCTCTTTCCAGTATAGAGATCTCTCACAACTCCGTTGTGTCTCAAATTTTTCATGCATCCATTGAAACCATTTTTTACTATACCAGCAGGAAAGTTCACTGATTTCCTTCCGCCCAATTGTAATGGATTGTTGTTATCAAGATAACTTCTTGATGTTATAACATCTTTGAAGCTTTTACAACCGCTGTCATTTTCCGTAGAATTATCGATATTCTCGTCAACCGAAGCATCTTTACAGTTATCAACCATTAGGGTCCACCTCACCATTCTTCTGTCAGTTGGAGCTTTACTAACTTGGAGCGAATGCCACTTTCCATCGGCTAAATTCCTAGCATTCGGCACGTTTAATATAACTCGTTCATTGTCATGCTGTACTGTCAATTTGGGTCTTCCACTATTTAATTCCAATGCTAAATAGTCCTTTGAATCATCTGTCGAGAGAGGTCCTTGGTAAAATAGCAGACCCGTTCCAGTTTTGGTAACTATGTCGATAGAAAGCATATCTTCCACACACAACGATAGGGGTTCATACCAAGCCCAGCCATTTCCATTAAACGAATGATCTAACTGCTGACATCGTTTTCCGTCAAACCCAGGCAAGCATTTGCATACAGGCTCTCCCGAGACTTCGTCGGGGTGAGTATATTTGTCCATACATGTTCCATTGTTCATACAATAATCGAAAGTGCATGATCCAAGAGCATCGTCAACATATTGAGCAGCACACTCACAAACTTTTTTCGCTCTAGCACTAATTTGAGCTTGAGAAGAAAAGTTTGTATTTAAAATCATAGTATCTTTGCTTTTAATGTCGAATTTAGTAACGCATCCTCCAACGTAACATAGCGAATCACCTTCGCACTCATCAATAGGTATTTGACTTATTTTAATTCCGGCATTGGCTTCCAGCTTTTCCCTGTTTTCACTTGCTAATCCATCTAATCTCGATTTATCGTACCAAGGAGAACCGTGGGCTGCATATAAAATTTGAGTCGTATCTTTATCAGAATCATAAATACTGAAGATATCAACATTTTCTGTTGAAGTTCCCAGAATTGAAGCAAGAGAATTTCTTAGTTTATCTCTTTTATTGTCTTCTCCTGCAATAAATTGTTTAGCTGTTATTCCAGTTAGAGTCATAGAGCCAGGACTCTTAACAGCTTGTTCGTTTATATAAATAACATTGACGATCATCTTTGATTCGACAACATCGCCTTTTCGAGAATTGTCAGATATTCTTATATCTAAGTCATATTTTGCTGCCTTTGTTCCTTCCTTTAGTATAATATGACCATGATCTTCTCGTGTATTATCGTTAACAGCTTCGAAATATTTATTATGGTTCAATATTGTAAATTCTTTGTCTTTTAAATCCCAGTCATCTTTATCAACAGAATAGGGTGTTCCAATAGAAGTGTCTGGTAGCATATACTTGTAGTTATAAACTGTTACGTATTTGGTTGCTCCCCGCTCCTGTGGACTTTTATTAAGACCTTCAACAACAATCGTTAGAGTTGACGTCCCTGTTTTGGGTGGTGTTCCAGAATCACTAATCACGACGGGTAGATAATATTCTTTCGTTGCATATCTGTCATAAGTAGGCTTTTTTGTTTTAATTCTATAAGTGTTGTCTCCCTTTCTTTCCAAATCAAAACTCGAACAAGCTGAGTTTTCATTTGAGCACGAGGTTCTTTCAATTGTAAAAGGACCACCATTATCTTCAGAGTCTCTATCAGTAATTCTAATTACCGCATCCAATTCGTACCCGATAGTCTGCTCTTCAGGAACAATTATTTCTTTATCGACTGCAAATTCCGGAGCATTATCGTTAACGTCTCCAACAATTATGGAATAGGTTAAAGATCCAGTTTTTGGAGGCGATCCGTTATCAACAGCCATAATAACCAGAGAGAAATTATCTATAGTTTCTCTGTCTAATTCTCTTATCAATTTCAAATCAGCGTTTACATTATCCCGTTTCACAATATTGAACCTTCTCGATACGTCAGAGTTTTCATAATCAATAAACCAATCAAAAGTATCTCCATCACTATCGGAGCCAATAAATGTTTCCAAGTTATTGTTTGAAACTTCAGTATTTTCCGGTATAGTCAAAGAATATCTTCCGCTCATAGTTGTTATGTTAGGAGCATTATCATTGACACCTACAACTTGTACAGTGACATCTCTACTGCTTGTTATTCCTCTATCTGGATGTTCAACGAGAACTTGAAAGTTATAAGAGCTAACTCCAGTTTCCAAATCGATCCTTTCCCTTACACGTATCGCTCCACCGCCCTGACTATAGAGTGAATCTATGTAGAAGGGCGATGATCCAACAATCGAGTATTTCCGTAAGGCATTTTCGTCGATATCTTTATCTTCGGCTAACAGTGTATAAACAACAGTGTCAACTGGTAGTTCCTCATCCATCTCAATAACCATTTGATCATTGTTAGTAAATTGTGGAGGGTTATTATTTATATCGTTAACGTAAACAGTAACTTTAACCCCATTTGAGGATAGGCCACTCAAATCTTTAACCTTAACTACAAATGAATATGACAAAGTTTCGGGTCTATTAGCATATCTTTTCGGAATGGTCTCGTTAACTTGTAGTAATCCACGATTAAATTTGAAAAATCTACTTCCTTCAGTTTTGAAACTATTTTCATTAATTTGTCCATTAAGTCCAAAGTCGACATCGTATGTGCATACGGTAAAATCTTTCACATTAGTGAGTACGGTCGCCTCTTCGTCTACGTTCAATTTTAAACACTCTGGTAAAAACCTAGGACTATGATTGTTGATATCTTCAGGTAAAATAGTAAAAGTTCCATATCCAATTTTTGATGTAGCTGGTCTATCGCACTCATCTTTAACCTGAACATTCATAACCCAGCGATCATAGCCATCATAATAATCTCGTTCCAAAGGCTTATTTAGAAGAATATTCCATCTATTTTTTGCATTATTAGCAGTATCTTTCTCAACCTTAAAATAATCCCTCCACCTTTGGGGAATAGTTACGCAATGGTTCTCATAGTTTGGTTGAGAACTTCTTTTCAGATCAGGATCTTTGGATTCAAATGTATAAACAATTGTACCTGCAGGAGCATTCATTTCAATATAATTAGTAAATTCGTCAAAATTAGGTGTAACGTATGGGACATATTTGTTGATGTCATTGATAGTTATATTAATAACTATTACGTCCGACTGAACAGCTCCATCGAATACTTTATATTCCAGACTAACTTTTCTGGAATTTTGAGGAAGATCGTCAATATTAACAAGACCATTTCCGGCAATATATATATTTCCCGTTGACGAATCAACTGTAAACCATCTATTTTCATTACCTCCAGTAATAGCATATGTTTTCTCAACATACTGATCATATTGTTCGCTAGATGTTTTGGCAGTTATATTAGCTATTGAAAGTCCATGACTTGCGAGCTCAACAGTTTCATAGGTATAGTCGGCTACTGGAAACTTTGGAGAATGCGAAGATATTCCTGTCACATGTAATCTAACAGATTTTTTATTTTTGTTTGGTCCATCTCTTCCAGGGAAAGCTGAATTGGATCCGTCTTCGGCAACAATATCCAATTTGAATCGATTACCAATCTGATCTGCTGATATTTCTTCCGAAAGGACTAATGAACCAAAATAAAATCCATCACTCAATATGCTGGACACCTTAAATGTCCTTTTACATGTTTCCAAATCCAATTCAGTGCATCCCGTTATTGTATAAGAAACTTTATTGTTGTTATTTCTTTCTGAATCATCATCAGTTGCAATAAATGATAAAATCTCATTATTAATAGCTGTATTTTGAGGAAGAAGAACACGATAGTTATCTGAACTATCCATTCCTTGGAATTCTGGGCTCTTGTTATTTTCATCAATTAAAGTTATAGGTACTCTTACAGAAATGGCAGCTTGTGTACCAGTTATCGTTACAATAAGTAAATACTTAGGTTGAACTTCTCTGTCCAGAGTTTTACCAACATTGTATATGATTTTAAAATTGCCACCACCTAAATCTTCATAACCAAACGTTTTCATAGAGTTTAATAATGGAATTAAGTCACTCCGAACTCCAAAGAGGATAGCATTACTATCGTGGTTCGTTGCTTGACCTTCAACAATTGTCGAACCACCTACTAAAGTTTCGCTTATTGATTTGGGGGATATAAAGTTGTTCAAATTTGTTATTTTTGGTGGATAAAAATTAACATCCTCTGTAACTATAATTTTAATTTTTGTTGTTGCAGTTCTCTTATCTATTCCATCGTCTTCCGCTGTTACTGTTAGCTCATATTCGCCTCGCTTATTGGTAAGTCCTCTTGATCGAATCATAGCAGTATTTAAAGATTTTTCTCCTTCCTCAGAGAAAATAAAGCAGTTAGTACATTCAGGGGAAACATTTGTTAAACTATATTTGACTATTGAATTTCTTGTATCAAATTCATCAAGATCATAAGCGTAAAGCTGTGCTATGAATGATCCGTCGGGCAAGTTAAAAGGAGCATAAAATTTCGATCCTTCCCCTTCCGTTGATGCTACGTCAAATTTCGGACTCTGATCGTTTACATCACCAATCTTAACAAAAAAGAAACAATTTGTCGACTGTGGGGGTTTTCCTTTATCACTTGCTTGAACTGTCAGTCTTAGATTTGTTCGACCATTGGGAGGTTTTTCCCTGTCGAATTTTCGTTTCGTTGTCACTTTTCCAGTAGTTTTATCTATTTCAAAAAATTGCTCATCTCCTTGATCACGTTGTACAAACGAATAAGTTAGTTCACCAGCTGGACCCGTATCATCGTCTGTTGCCTGAACTTGAACCACTTCCTTTCCAGGTTCTTCATTTTCATCCACAACAGTATTTATATAACTTTTACAATCAATAAATTTGGGAGGTTGATTTATATTAACTAATTGCAGAACGACTCGACCAGCATTCAAATTATTCTGATTACCCTGCGTTATTTCTATATCAAGAATATATTCAGCTTGGGGATTTGTCAATTTCTGTTCTAAGTATATTGCACCAGTATTTCCATTTATGCCAAAAAGACCTCCAAAATCATTTTTAAGCCTAAATTTAAAAGGTAACTCGTTTGCCATACCATCTGGATCGTATGCTTGAACGTAATAGATGGGATTTGTTGAACTTTGTTCGATAGATTTTGATAATTTAACAGTTTGTACTGGTGGTTCCATTTTTGGTGGTTCTGAGTTCATCTTTTTTAGACGGATAATACAGTCAATAGTATTGTTAAGGGGAGGACTTCCAGCATCAGTTGCAGTTACTTTAACAGTATATGAATGATCTGGAGAATTTCCGTATTTAACAGAATTTCCATCTGCTATAACTAGCCGCTTCGTCCAACTTCTTCTATTGTATGTACCACTTTGGCCTTCTGTTAGCTCAAAGTTATCACTATCGTCCAAACTCCATTGTATTTGTCCTTGGGCCCCGAAATCTCTTTCGAATGCTGTTAATTCTATACCTGACCATGAAGACGGATCAACATTATAGTCCTCATACCTTTCAACAGTAAAAAATGGTGGTTCATTAACATCGACCAAAGTAATGACTGCTTCTGCCATTGTGCGAAATTCGCTGACTTCTTCTGTTGCAACTAAAAAGAATCTGAATACGTAAGGGGTATCAGCTCGTCCATAGACGAGTTGTCGCTTAATTCGTAATTCGTAAGTAGATTTTCCAGGTATCTTTAAGATCTGAGCTAACTGAAAAAATTTAGTGTCTAATTCTTCCGCTTTTAAGTCCACTCTCAGATCTTGAAATGATTTAATTTCAATTTTGGCAGCACTAGAGCCAATTGGTAAATTTTCATCTAGATTAATGTTATAGTTTTCCTGATAGAATTGTGGTCTTATCGATCCAGCATAGATCGTAATGGGTTGAACAACAGTCCTTTCAGTATTGGTTCTGATTGTTCCTTTAGAAAAGACAGAAACAGCTAAATTATATTGACCATTGAAACGTTTCCGTCCTTTAACAAAGATGTTTCCCAGATTATCAATTCCGAATCTACCTTCTCCATTATCTGCTAGTTCATATTGTAATTTCCCATCCTTATGGAAATCTGAATCAATTGCTTCAACAGTCATAACTACAGTACCCGGCCTAGTCCAGTACCAGACCGTACCTCTAAGAGGATTTGGTTGATTTTTGAGCAGAATCGTATGATATCTAATATTCATACGGCTTACCATTTTGATATTTACAGTTTGAGTGAAAACAACTGATTGGCGAGATATGTTAATTTGAATTGAAAGCTCTCTTTCTTCTGTTCCCCAATCATTTCTCCGCTGGACAACGCCCGTCTTCTCGTCAACGGAAAAAAGTTGTTCATCTCCTTGTACGCTTATTGTAAATCTGTCTTGGTCTGTGTTTGCTTCTTCTCTTAAATTAAAAAGATCACCAGTCCATTTCAAATCAACGACAAAATAACGTTTATCCGAAAGACTTTGAGCAAAGATAAAAGTATATAAACAATAAAATACTAAATTTATTAATATCAGTTTCGTCATTCTCTCCCTTCGTTATTGTTTAAACTTTTGAGATTCTAATTCTCTCCTTAATCGTAGCGGAGCTGCAAAGTAAATAATAATACAGAAATCTCAAAAACAATAAATGAAAGAATTATACAATATCAATAACAAAAGAAAAATGGGGAATCATGTCTTATCGCATTAAAAACAACTACTTCAGAGAGCCAGTAACAGGAACGTGCTTTTAGCATAGATGTGACGATACGTCACCGAAAGAATAATGGTTGAGTGGAAAAAAATTTTCAAAAATATTTATTCTATTCAATGCAAGGATACAAGGGCTATTTTTAACAAAACTTGTGTCACATTTTGAGTGGAAGAGAAGAAGGAAACGAAACTTTTATAACGCTTACAAAAAAAAACTACGAGCCTACAATCGCCAAAAAAGAGTATAGCGAAAAGCCTATATCTCAATCCAAATATTATATGCCGCATATTATACGTGAGATATGAGGGCAGTTTTTTTAAGTAAAAATAACTGACCTGGATTGAAATACTATTCACAAAAAGGTAGCATTTACCTTTCCGTCTAAATTACTTTCCAAATAATAAATGTCGATGAAATTAATCAATTTCGTTTTCTACGGTATCGATTAACGTCTTTTGTTCAATTTTTCTCCAATAGTATCGTGTTACAAAAAAAAATTGAACCAGACTAGGGCCCTAAAAAGAAAAAGCTGTTTTTCCTATTTCCCAATCTCTTCCACTGAATCTATTCTATTATATATAGAAAATATAATCCTTACGGATACTAGTATTACAACTCTACCTTCCCATAACTTGGTGTTTTATACTTTTTCTCATATATATATATATATATATATATATATATTTGAATAGGCAAAGAAGAAACCACAACTATTCTTTCTCACAGCCATTAAGAAACAAATATTGAAAAAAAAATCCCTTGTATTACTATAAAAAGGACAAATTTCTCTAGCACTAAAAATGGGTTTAATATTGTCCTATATGTTTAGAAGGATTTATTATAGATTATATATACCTGTAGCTGTAGCTATATATATACAGTATATATATATATATATATATATATATATATATATATATATATATATAGTTCACAGTCCACACGCTCCAAAAGATTACTAATTACTTTTTTATAGTTAAAAATAGACTTAATTATTGATTTATATAATGTGAAAAATGTTCAAAAAATTCTTTCGATCAAGTTTTTACATTATTCTTTCTCAACAGTCAGCAATGGACTTTTTGTATTATTCATTGAAAAAAAATGGAATTTTTTGTTCTCTTTACATAAAACATCAGACTTTCCACTTTCTTTAAAATGGCAAAAAAATATAAGAATGAATGAATTATACACTATATCTTATGTATACCTAGTATATATGGATATACTTGTCTATACCTATATATATATATAAAGATACCTTTCATTAAAACAATATCGATTAACAACGTAAATTTAACCGTAGTATAAATATGCTATAAACAAATCCAGATAATTTACTCAACTGATATTTTCTTTACTAGATAAAAGGTTAAGTAACTGTTAATTTAATTTAACAATATATCTATATATAGAATGTATGTATAGTAGAGCCACACACTCACACACCTACACATACATACATACACTCACTCACACATATACTCATGTACATGTCATTGTACTCACAAATTTCACTATATTTTACAGTTTTTAAAATGTTTTAAGCCTGTAATGGAACTATAAATTTGCACGTGCGTTATCAAGATTACAAACAATCGATTTTTGACTTTTTTGTACAATATAGAACATAAAGGATATTATAAATATTGACAAATATAACTTTCAACTAATTTCTTCCCTAGTTTTTACTGTTAAATTCAACGTACCGTGAAAACAGTTGTCCTGATTATATTAAGCCGCCACTGTTAGAAGATTTATTGAATTATTATCTACCTTTTATAGCTTTGGCAGCTACTATGCTAGCTTATGAACTGCCTTCTTTTATCTTTATCTATCCAAATATTTATTGAAATGTGTTTATGTAAAGGTGAGATAAGAGAATAATAAATCTGCTAACCGTCGCCGATTGGTTTCATATTAACCGTGGGGCCGCGTACGAGTGATTTATAAATATACAATAAAAAAAGGGGAAATCGATAAGGCCGAGCACCGGAAAAACATGAATCACCCCAACAGTTTTACAGGTGTGCGATTTTAACAAAGAGCGTTACGTATCCTGATTACGTAATGGCGTTTGCTTAGGTTTGATTGAAAAACGTTCTTTGACCAAAATTAATTGATTTAGTGTTTTAAATAGATTGCATTGTTAAAACAACATAAGAGGCTTTGTAAAGGGAAAAAAATTAGTTCAATTTCTAATCACTCATATTTTTCGTACAGAATAGAAAACAAAGTCGTCAAATGTTGTTATACTTTCTAATTTTCGGTTACAGCTCCCTAAGGGAGTTTACTTCTTAAAAAGAAGAGCAAATTAAAGGTAGATCTTACCTGGGACAAAAAGCATAACAATCCAATCTTGTGGAAAATAAACAAGAATATGTACTTAGAGGTATATACTCCACACGAAGTTAATGATAGTACTTCTATCAACCATAAACTAATCTTCTCTAGATAAAATAGGCCGAATAAGCCAGAAATCAGACTAAAACCGTTCACGAGCGTGTTTAAAGTTGCAGACGAAAGCTGATGAAAGCTAAACGTTTATTGGTTTTTATATTTGGATCGAGCCAATCACCATCGTCCTTTTATAGAAAAAGCGTTTGTTTAAATATGGCGGAGCATGGATACTTGAATTTTTGGCGGATTTAATATAACAATTAAATTTCTTCGCAATTAAGTAAAGACAATGACTACCGATACATCACTAGACGATGCTAATCTCGTACAAGCTGTCAAAGAACTCCTAATCAATTCTACTGATCATCTAAAAGAAGCACGAAGGAATGAAAATGAAGAAGATCTTTTGATGAGTTTAGAATCAAGAGATAAAAATTTTGACAAGTAATATCAATATTTATAATACAAATGTAAATAATAAAATTATTGCTATTCAGACGTGAACTTGTTAGGATTATAAGGTCTCAAATAGATGACAATCTAGGACCGGCAATTGATAGAGAAATAGAACGATACAATGATAATAAAGCTAGACCTAATGTGGCAGGAAGAATAACCGATAGTGTCTTAAATACCTCTGAATTTCAAGCTCTCTCTGACCAATTAAAATTGGAACTTCAAAATGCTTGCGACATTCTACATGATAATTCTGACGATGAATTCGCAGATGTCGGTCTCGTTAATGTCAATACAAGGACTAGAAAGCATGATGTTCTATACAGCGAAACAGAGTCATCTCTGGGGGAAGGTTCCTCCCTCAATCAAAGCAATTGTAACATTTTATTTGTAAGTCAAGAACAACTGGTCAACTTAGCAAGGCAACTTAGTCAACCCTCTATAGAAGTTTGTTAAAGATTATCATTCTTACTTTCAATTATATTTATACTCTGTCTTTACACTATAGGAGAGAAAACAAGCAATGCATAGTTTCCTGCAAATTCCCACTGCCGATATCGGATCTTTACACGGGTGGAATGACGTTTCTAGACCCTTGTTAGACGCAATGAGCGATCCTGACGACGATTTATGGGTAATTTTACACTATTATTGCTATTACTACTAATATTGTTATTATAAGTTAATAAGTTCCGATATACTATTTTACAGAAAATGTGTATGAAATTTATTTCGAGAGGCTTATCGACTAGCGCTGAATTTACAAAAGAAGTTTACGCTATATTAAGTAAATATTATTCGCGTCAAAATGTTAAGAAGGAAGAATAGCAATTTAACTATTCTCTATTTATTTACAGTTGATTATATATCTTCCTTTTTTGCACCGTCATCCCATATGTCCACTTTACCACCGGATATTGATTTAAGCCTAAATCAGATTCAACGTCTTTTGAAAGCAGTCCGATTAATGAATGAATTTCAGAGACATATTCCCCAATATTGGGTTAGGATAGCTAACAAGTAAATATCGAATATCTTCTTTATTGAGATATTATGATAATATTTTCTTTTGAAATGAAAATCTTTTACAGTTTTATTGAAAGAATCTTAAGGAAAACTTTCGATCTTTTAACCTTACCACCCTTAAGTAGGACAGGCATAACCCCGTTACACATTGTGTCTCTGTTGGATTCCAAAGCTCAATGGTTTGTCTGCTGGATGCATGGCTTCATTAGTAGACAACCGTTTTTTGAATTGTTAAAGAAGCACAGGGTGGTCGTGGAGCAAGCTGTCAAAATTATATATCAAGCTGCTAATTTAGGACCAAAAAGAACAAATGTTAAAAGGCTGGCCGCGACGCCACGATTAGGACAATTCGTGTATTCTAGGGTCGAAATTGACGCCGCTTTCCTTATTCATTCTATTTGTTTCATGTCGAAACTATTGAAATTTAAGATCGGGAGAAAAATGTTTCCCTTTGATTTGCCTGAAAGTGAAAGTAATTTGAAACGTTTTAATTCTAACGCTGTCGTCAATTTCCCATTATATTACACTTCCTCTCAATTTTCAGAGTCGTTGAGCCTCCAGCAATTCATTATCAGCGTTTTAAATATAGTCATACAATGGGATATGAAGTTAGCAAATACGTTACCCGATTTGGCGCTGGATATGCTTAAAAATCTTGTGGGAGATACTAACTGTGCAGAATGCTGTGTTTGCAATGACGAAGTAATGTCTAGTATAATGGCACCTTTTGCTGCTATGCTTGAGGTAAGAATTTCTGTTACAATCCTTTTATGACAATAACTAATACTTGCAAAAAAAAATTTACAAACAGCAATCAGAAGGTTATAAGGTCAGCGATCAAGCCCTATTGAGATTAACTGAGATTCTCTCTGTAATTGCATCAAGTACCGCAGGTCGCCTAAAATTGCTTTATGGAGAAAAAGGGCAAAGGTTGAATCGGGTCAGATCCGCCCCAGCGCATATTTTAGCTCAGGTCGTTCATAAATCTTTAATCGATGAATTAGACGTGAAAAGAAGCAATGCTGTTATATCGAACATATTGTATGTGTGTCGACAAATTTATAGCACCCAAGAAGGCCTCTTGATGCTTTCTAGTTACAAGCTTCATCAGAGCATAAATTCTTCGTGGAGGGACGCTCTTAGGAATTTAGACGATGCACCAACGCCAACGAACAGTGACGATGGAGATTTAGATGAACAAAAAAGCGATAAAAAGTTATTTTAATTATTACTGTAGAGAAATTAATTAATTTTAATAATTAATCGTCTTTTATTGTTTTATTACAAATTCATTTCTCTTTGTACATAGCCTTATCTTTTGGGAGGACAATCTACGAGACAACCTATTAAGTATGGCCGCAACTCCAAACGGTGTACTACTACTTCATCAAACTGGAGCTCTGGAAGAATGCGTATGCTATATGCATAAGAGACTTGTCAAGAATTTACAAGTTTCAAAGATGGAAAAGTTTGGTTACGGTTTCATGCTTTCGCAAATAGCTGCTACAGCACCAGGAATAAGAGCTGTTCTTGATAAGACAGGTACATTTTAAGTCTATTTATGACGAACTAATATATTATAGAAATTTCATGCAGATTATGTCAAAAGGCTATGCATTAAACTTTGGAAAGAGATTGAATGCGTTGATGATTCATACATATTCAGACCTAAACCATGGCAAATAACTCCTATTTCAAAATATGCTTTAAAGGTATAGTTAAATTTTTAAGAGCAAATGATAAATATAGGCTGAAAATGATTCTCTTTCTATCTTTTATAGCCGTTCAACAATCTACTAGCAATAACTTCTTCATTCGCTTCCGTCTATGAGAATTTATACAAGAAGGAATTACCCGTTCAGGCTAGATACAGTCTAAGAGACTTACCTACGAGTATTGAAGGTCTTCTAGATCGTCTCGTTTTTATAGATGCTAACGAAAAGCGTCAAGCTTTATTTAAATACGAAGAATCTCATGTATTAGGTTTAAGGTATGGTTCCTTAATCCGTTTCTATTCCTATCAAGAAAGATAACTAACCAACTGTTAATTAATTGCAGATGGCTATCAGTAATGGTTTCATGTTTAGATACAATGCTCTTATTGCAAACTCAATACAGATTTGACGAGATTCTCATTAAAGAGCAAAATGCTAATGTCGTAACCGTTCAGCAACAAAACGATGTAACGTGAGTAGAAATACGGTTTTCGACCACGAAACCTTCCTAATTAAGTGAATTTCTTTCAATCTGCGAACAGAAAGGAAACTCATATATTTGATATGTTATCTTCTGAAAGGAGTCATATTCTAGTTAGAGCTCTGGCCTTAGGGGGTCCCACTGAACGAATATTACCGCCTAGAGAGAGAATATCCGTATGAAATTGATTTGATTTAGCTGAATAATATAACGAATATTTAAAATTCTTTAGGATATGTCGTTAAGAGAAAAAAAAGAGGTTGAAATCTATCCACCGGTTTGCTCAATGGCCTTGCCCAAGAACTACCTACCGCAAATTGATATTAAAGTTAAAAGCTGTAAGTTTAAGCAAGGTTTTTTCTATTTTTATATAACATTGACATCTCTAATTAGTGGACACTGATCTATGGAATTTTCTCAACGAAACAAAGAAACAAAAAGTTGATGAAATTTGGTTAGAAAAGGCACAATCACTTGTCTTTAGTGCTCTAACAACAAAACCGGATACTTTACATACATCTTGTATTAGAGAAATTTTAGACAGAGCTGCCCATATGATAATTTACGATGCAGATGATGCTATATTTCCGGCTATTGATTTCGTAGGTAAGCTATATTTAGCAATTAAATAGTAAAGTATCTTTTTATTCTGCTTAAATATGTTTTTTTTCCTATTCCTAATTAAATTGAGCTTTATATAAAAATATTATATTTCTTAATTAGAAGGAGATAAAACGGATTCATCCAGTAAGTTCTCTATAAAAGTAAACAAATACATAAATCTTATTAATTAACAATTTGTTTACTTACTATGTCGATTTTAAATCCCTTTTATAATAAAAACAAAAATCAATATTTAAATTTAATTAGATGTCTATTTTTGGCTAGAAACGTTTATTTTAGACGCCGCATGATTATTGTATATTACTAGACAAATTTTCATTATTGTCAGTTATTTTCCACGCTTCGATCTGAAAAAATCTACCTCTCATTAATTGTATAATAAATTTCACAGATAATTTATGCGAACATTAAATTTCTTTACGGGTTTCTTTTCTATTTTCATAGTAAAAATTAGTGATTATTCAAGATTATATAACATTAAAAAAGAGAGAGAGAGAGAGAAAGAGAAAAGAGAGCCGTTAAGAATATTTATCTGCTTACGGTCAACTGTAATCATTTTTCCTTAAAACTATTTTTCATTCCTATACAATCTTGAAATAATAAGTTTTTGAACACTCTATTCAATATTTTCTTGTATTTTTAAATAGGTACGGACAACAGTATAAAAAACTTTAAACTACCAATTATGCAAGAGAACGGAATTCGTTTGTTAACAAAGTAACTACATTATATAATGACTACCTTCTACTCTAAATTTGTTTAACAATATTTTCGTAGATATGGACAGAGATTAAAACTTTTACAGAGTGGTGATGCCATTAACGAAAAGTTGATATTCTTGATGAAAAAATGTGGATATTTCCTCCAGCAGCAACAAAAACCTTGCTCTCCGAATGCACTAAGTGAGATCTTATTATTTTTTTAATATAGATATGCAAAATTAGAAATTTCATTAAATTTAACTCTTTTCTCTTCTCTTAGAATGGGTTGTGAGGCCTAAACCACCATGTGACTGGTTCGTTGGAGTACTGTTTCTTATATTCTCCGGAAATGGTGAACGTACTTGGAAACTCCTTCAGCAAATTTCTTGCAGTGCTCTATCTTCTTACGTTTGGCCAAATCGATTACATCGTAGTATACATTTACCCGTTTCAATAGTTGAATCTGGTATGGGACCATTGCACTACATTGTTTGTCAGCGTATAGATTTAATTGTACATGCTGAATTACCTCAAGTTGCCTCAGCTTTTAAAATGTCAGGCCTCGCTTCCTCTCTTATTTGCGAACAATGGATAAGACAATCCTTCCTGAACTACATGGATTGGACCGACATTACACACTATGTGGCGCTAATAGTTCTTTTCGGAGTCGATTATATAGTTTACGTTTGCGTTGCTGTTTTCAAACATTTGCAAAAAGAGATATTAGAAAACTGCCATAGTTATACTCTTTTGGTTTACCTCAAAGAAGAACCTTTTAAAGGATTCCGAATAAGTGATTACATGCAATATATGAAAAATTTAGAACAGAAGTACAGACAAACAATCCGACAAAGTCTCCGTATGATTGGTCAGCCCTAGAAAACCAGTTTTTTTTTTTCTTATCAGTTCTCTTTCTTAACTTTATCAATGACTTTTATATTTTGACTGTAATTGTAATATTCCGTCCAAAAAATGTCTGAAATATGATATATTATTCTGAATACATGCAGTTCACTATTGAAACTTTAAATGATCAGTTCAATTTCCTCTTATTTGATGTATACTTCACTTTTTTATTAAAAAAAAGTATTCGTAGATCTATTCTATACAAAATAATTTAAAAGACATTTTAATGATAGTCACATTATCTAGTGCCGCCATCTGTTTTTAAAGAATTTATTTCGATTTTCTTTAGAAAAAGAAAGAACTTTCAGGCTTAAAACGATTTTTTTATATGAGGAAACTCTACTGAATAATAGACTTAAGATGAAAAATTTGCATATCCTTTTAATCTTCTTTGAAAAGAAAATATATAAAAGACTTTAAAATCTGATAACTATTTTAATTCATGTGACTTTCTATGGGGAAAAAGTCTATTGTTAATAGTAGTTATCGATATATAAATTCATAAATATTCATCTACTGCTAAGACGTTTTCCAGTACTATAAATTATTTCTTATTAGGAAGTACCATGACGATCGCAATAACAAGTTTTTATGTTCTCATTGCTATTTTTTCACACAATAATCGTCGAACATTCATCTTTTTGTTTTGTTTATTTATGAGATTAATATTTATTGCTTCGTTTATTTAGATATTTTAAAAAATTATTAAATTGAATTTTCATTTTTTTTTTGTATTTCCCCATTAAATATTCTATAAGCAAAAAAAAATCGCTAAGAGCAGAAAAGTACACCTATCAAATATTCCGTGAGAATTCGCTGTTACTTCGGTCCTCTCTGTGAGAGTTTTTATAAAATTATTAGATTTAGTTATACTGCTTTGGAGAGACATTTATAGCTTTTTGGAGATTAACCCCCTCTCTTTTTTGGCTGGAGACCTTTAACTATATTCGTTATTTTTTGATAAATTTCAATAAGAGCAAATTGTCCATTAAATCTATTATCTATAATTATTCACTGATGTGTGGACAGTATCTTTTTCTTCTTAAGCAAATTTGTCTCAATGACACATTAAGCTATAGAATTAAGCAAAAGAATTATCTAAAGTATTGAAAAATTGAAACATTAAGAATTTAATCGCTATTGTTCTAATTGTCACTTATTCACATTCAGTCAACAGTAAAATAAATCCTATAATGCTCTTATTACATTAAACTTTTGGGTGAACATGTTTGAACAGTTCAAAAATTCGAGAATTGAAAAAAGACAATAGAGAGTCAGCAGAAATAGTATACAGTCAACATGAAATCTATGTCTCTCAAATTTGCCGAGTCATTAGTGACTGACAAGTTTTTCCCATTGAACCTTGGGCACTTCCTTGAAAGTTGAAACACTTTTTTAAAATTAAACAATGCTATTCTTTTTATAAATTGTTGCCTTCTGTAACAAGGTATATTGTATTGGATGAACAGCTTGATTATTATAAGTATTGTGTTTTCTTTGTTCAAAACAACAATGTATTAAAGAAGACTGAAATTCACTCTGACGACTGCTTAGTAGCATAAATTATCTTGTTCACTAATGAGATGTGTATATCACCAATTTTTGGCATAGTTACATTTGTTCTTTCAACCGTTCTTGACTTAGAATCTAAAAGTGAATAATTTAAATAAATTCTTTCCTTTAATTTTAATGAAGAAACACATACCGATCCAAATTTTGGAGGATTTTAGATTGGGGGTAATCGTTAAATTATAAGCAAAATATATTACTAGTCCAAATAAACCAAAAATAGTAAGATATATAGGAACGGCTATTGCCCAATATCTAATTTTTTAAAAAGTCATAAAATAAACTATAAAATCAACTATTATTATAGATTTATACTTCTGTGGCCAATAACTTAATCTTATCGCCTCTAACCAGTTCAGTGGTATGAAAGCCCATAGGAGATACAATGCTAAATAAAAATATTTAAGTTAGCAAGTGAACGATAATATGTCGATTGTTATTAAAAAATTTTACCCAACAAAACAAAGGAAAATAAATATAAAATAAAACCATAAATTGCCCTTTCAGGTGTTGGAGCAGGGCTATGCTCAGACATTATTAAAATAATAAGATAACTATGGGTAAACAAGTAATTTTTTAGTTATGAAAAATGATACATCTATTTGATAGATGGCACTCTGAAATTCCATTTGATTATAAACTGGTCAGGGATCGGTCTTTTTTGCCTATCAGAAGAGCGTGCTATTCTGGTTGTAAGTATTCGATAAAAAATGCAACAGTGTCATCCATTTGCCACTATTTTATTAAGTTTTTGTTACAAAAATAATTAAAGAATTTCTCTATATAGCACCCAATTGATTTTAGGAGTTTTTTTATGTCCGAATAACTTTAATTCTCTATTATCGTTCACACATTGGTTCTTTCAGAAACATGGCTATAAGACCATTGAAAACACGTAGGGAGGAGAAAAAACGTACGAAGAAATTTATTCGTCATCAATCGGATAGATACAAGAAGGTAAAGACAAACTGGAGAAAACCTAAGGGTATCGACAATCGTGTTCGTCGCCGCTTCAAAGGCCAATTTTTGATGCCCAATGTTGGCTACGGTTCTAGTGTAAAGTCCCGTCATGTGATGCCTTCAGGCTTCAAGAAGTTCCTCATTAACAATATTAAAGATCTAGAATTATTGTTGATGCAGAACCGAGTATACGCTGGAGAGATTGGTCATGCTGTATCATCAAAGAAGAGGAAGGCTATCGTTGAGAGAGCCCAACAACTGAACATCAAATTAACCAACGGACACGCCCGCTTACGTACCGAAGAAAATGAATAAATGTTATCCTCTTCTCACTTGTTGATGAAATACAGTGTTTACCTTGAGAAATTTTATACTTTTTTTAATCTTTACCAATCGACCTTAATAGTTACTTACACTCCTCATTTCTTCGTAAGAATTCATTAAATTGGACTTGAGGTGGAAACGTATATAATCGCGTCGAGTTTCCACGAAGTAATTTAGTAACGAATTACAAAAGTCTAAATACATTATTGCAACATAACAAAATGCCAAAATAATTCCTTCTAAGTAAACAAACAAGATATTTATAAACATTTCTTTATTTAAATTTATTCAATTTGGTTGCGAAAAGTGGAGTAGTTGTTTTACAAAATATTTCAGATATTATGGTAAATATGTGACCTAACAAATTGCCCAATATCATCCCGAAAAGGCAACTAATTGGCCAAACTTGCCAAGGCCTATCCCAATCTAAAGGAATGACAAAGGAGCCAGCCCAAGACCCGATTATGCTACCAATTACTGGATAGTAAACGCTTCGGTCTTCTCGGTTGTCTAACCTGAAAGATTAGGTCTTTGATTAATACCATTCCTTTTATCATAAGAAAAAAAGTTACTTCAATTCCAACATATTATTGGGCCAGTTATCAACGCCTAATATAAGACAGACTTGGAAGGATGTAAGGCTCGTTAGCAAAAGTGAAAAATGTAGCGTCTCCTTTGAATTCAGTACAAACGGAGCGCCAAAAACTACAGCAGCAAAGTAGAAAAATACAACTGAAGCGAAAAGACAGCCAAGTAATTTTCTTAGATAGCTCAAATTTCTAAACTGTAAAATTTATGTTAATTTAAAATATTAAAGTAATAATCTAGCGAAGAAGCTACTACCGTTTGTAATTTTTTTTCATTGTGGGCGATAAACAGGGTAATAAGCAAAATAAGAGATAAAATTATTCTACTGCATATGGTTGGCTGTTTAATAAGTGATAAAATATTTAAAGCATCTCCAAAGAGATATGAAACTATAAAAAAGCCCATATGGAGGCAGATGAATGAAATATGGTAGGAAAAATCATTCTTTCTCCTTTTCCCCATGCCGACAAAGTAGTGTTTTGCCAAGCTTGTGTATATAATGCGCGTAATTTAAAATGATGACTGCCCAATGATAAGCTGTTTATATATTCCCTTGTCCCATGAGTTATGATGCTTATTTTTCGTTTTTTATTCTTTTTATGCATAAATTAATTGTGTCTGTGAAAAAGATAAGGGAATGGATGTTAATGATAAAGTTCAAAAGCTTAATTTGTTCTCCTGGTACATTTATAGGATACATATGTGGGCTTTAATGAGAGAAAAGCGAATAAACGTTCGCCCTTAGAAACTTCTTTCTTCTGACTTTTATCCTCTAATCCGTTAAATAAAATCCACGTAAATAAGCTAAACGAGGGTTTTATTGTTACATTTAGTAAACACTTTTTCACGCTTATTATTATAATAAATCATCAAGTTACGAAATCTTTGAAATGTAATATTCATTTGTTTTTACATTGCAGAATAGACGGTTTTGGAATCAAATTCTCCAGCTTCAGAGAAATAAATTTGTAATAAAAACTGTGCAAATTTTTTACATGAGAAAGCCTCCTCTATACCCGAAAATGCATAATTTACCACATGGGGACAAGAATGCACCCATAGTGTGGACGGTACATAAATTGTACAGATATTCCATATGTATATATATACTGTATATATACTCCTTTTACACAAACCCAGAGCAAAATTCCGAATTTCCCTTTAGATACAATCAACGCTTACTCGCATAAGTGTCTGGTGCTTCTTGTTCAAAAGATTACGTAAGTACCTAGGCGACAGAGCTCTTTGTAGAAGAATGCTCTTGAAAAACTGCTGTTTTATTAAGGGTAAAAGTTTATTTAATAAATACATTAGGAAATAGACAATCACAAATTCTTGCATAAAAATAAAAGGGATGAACAAGCACATTTTCCCTCATTAATAATATTTATCTCAAGCTATAATTATTCTGTTGTTTATCACTTACTGTTATATAAATAACTTATGTTAATAGCGTCCACGTCTCTTATTATAAAATTCATAGGTCACGGCATAGTTCGACTCAAAAAAAATTAAGTACATCCGCAGAAAATCCCTTTCATTTTTCATACTTTATGTATTAACGACAGTATTAGCATGATATTCTTATCACTAAATGAAAGCACCACACAATTCGTGTGCTTAAAATAAATAAGGCGTATGAATGGATGATGTATGTAAGGACAAAATTTTCGTTATTCGATTATTTAGATTACAATCCAAAAACACTATCTTTTTATAAGATTTACATGAATTATATATCTCTAACTGACTTTTGATTATTTGAAGAAACAAAGGAGAAATAAGATTAGTACAAACTGTCCCAATTCACTCCTTTTCCTTCTTTATTTCGTATTCAGAGCTAAACGTATTTCCTACATTTTCTGTCTATTGTAATATTTTATGCGCTGTTATGTAAGACTATCTAGACTAGTAATTAATGAAATCCCTCAAGTATGCTAGGTAAATGGAGAAATGAAATATACAAAAGCTATCTATCTGCTAAATGTGAGTATCCTTCCGGAATAGATAAAAACATAACCGTAAAAACATGTACTTTGTATTGTAAAGAAGGAAAAAACTCTCAATAGTTATCATAGATCAAAGATACTTTCGAAGCTGAAATGAAAAGAGTGTAAGATGACTAGGGTGTTCCTAGATTTTTTTTTAAATTCTGTTATAATGTGGATGACACCATATGTTGCAATACAAAGAAATGTAAATGTAGATAATATAATAAGACTCATTGGTAACAGCAGGTTGAGGAAAGAATAAAACAGTTCTTCCGTGGTTGTTATTATGAGGGCAAAGAAGAGGGAGTATTCTGTGTGACATCTGAACGGTCAACTGGATAATGGACTACATGGTCAAAAGGACGAAATAAGGCGCAAAATCCCTACTTCGTTTCTGACCTGTCAACGCCTTTTTCTATCAATTTCTGCTTTGCAACTGAGTCAGCAGAGGAGAAGCAGTATAATTGCTATACAACAGTAATTAATTCATTCTTCAGACTCTTAGCCATTGTGTTTCAGCATTTTTTTGTTCTTTTCTATTCTTTTATTACGTGAATAGATCATCCACAGTGACACATCTGTCTATTACGTTGTAGTCATTTTTCTTTCACGTCATTTATATGTCGCTTCATCTAAATAAAGAATCGAGTAGATGTTTACAAACATTAATCAGTATATCCAGATTAACTAATGAATGAGTAATTCTCGTGTTTTTGTTTATACTTTCGCCGCTTCAAGCTTGGGTTTATCTATGATAAAACACACTTAGAAGATTTGCTGCTAACTTTACGAAAAACAAAATTGTTTACTGGTTTTTAGTGCTATAAATACAAGACAAAATTGATTTTTTCCTTGTGTCCTCGAAATAGTGTAATGTAATGTGATCATTCGAAAGATAGACTACAAGCTGACGTTCTTTCATCGCGGAAGAGTTCAAGAAACAAAGATACTTAGAATGGCCATATGCTTTAAGTAATGACGTAAATATAAGTTAATTTATATTTTAGATATAGGTTAATATAATGGGGTTATCGATATTAAGATCTTATAATTTTATTTAAAAATTTTCAATGTTTATTTCATATCAATTATATAGAGAAAAAAACCGCCAAAATTTCCCGCTAAAAATAGCTAAACGTGTAGGCGTCCGGTCGTAACCCTGGTAATATGCAAATAATTTACTACGAGCTGTTCATTGGCTGTCTGCAGGGAAACTCTCTGTTGAGTTATGTTACTAAAACGTTGCGAAAAACAAATAAGTTCCAAAGCAAAAATGACAAAGACTATTTCATAATATAAAGTTATGTATTAAAATATATTCGAAGAGGAGCAAGTAAGAAAAATTCATAAAATAGTAAATAAATTTTTTTGCTTAAAAATGAATAGTAGAAAGTGTCATCGAACGTCTGCGCGCAATACTACACCTGGAGTAAAAATAGATCGGTGATTCCCACTTTCCCAGACGGCATTCGTTTTTAGCACGCCGTCTTGATTTTTAAGTTATATAGTTTCTGTCAAAAGATATTTAGTTAAGCATGTCTTATTTAATAAAAAAAGATGCAACAACAGAACCAGAAGAATACCTCAAAGAAGTGGAATATAGAAGTAATTTTTATTGTTACGTAATCATTTGAGTTATATAATAATAAATGTCGATGTTCTATCAGCCAAAGTCTATCTGGAGACTCAATATTCCATTGGAAAACAACTAGGAGCTGGTGGATTTGGAGTTGTCTATGAAGGCATAAGAAAAACGGATAACTTTGCAGTTGCGATTAAAAAGATTAAGAAGTACAAAGTGCCGAAGTGGGGAAAGGTAGCAAATTCCTATGTTCTTATGTAATAAGTATTTTTTTTTGAAAGTGGCCTTTCACTTATCAACCACGGTGACAAAAACACAGTGAAGTTAAACAAAAATCCTTTATTGACAAAGTCGCATTTAGCACTCCTATTTTACAGAACGAACTTTGACGTCAATCGTGATAAGTAATTCTATATACCCACAACGTACGTTAAATATTATTAACTATAGGATTATATTGCTTCTAAAGAGAAAGAAAAAAAAACATCTCATTTCCCGCCATTTTAATGTCTACAAGGCTGTAGTAGGTGTTCTGTATAGGGGTCCATTCAAATTGAAAGCGTCACTGTGAACTCGGCTCCCTATTTCAAAAAGAATATTCGATATGAAGAGGCCGGATGTAAATATCGTTAAGGGATATTTTATAGTGAAATACCGTACGGAAGTTGACATGGTTATTAATGATATATTTCAATTTTGTGCGATATACCTATAGATACTTTACAAAGTGAAAAAAGTCTTATTAATCAAATAAACTATACTTGAACGATATATTCTTTATAGTAAATTACGTTGATATCAATAACTAAATCGTTATTTTTCCAACAGCTGAATGATGAGAGGGTGCCTAACGAAATTGTTCTACTCGATAAAGTTCAACACGTCGACGGGGTTGTAAAGATAATCGAATTTTTTGATGATGTCGATAACTTTATCCTCATTATGGAACGACCTTCTCCAGCTGTTGACCTATTTGACTATATATCGGAAAAGGTTACGATTGACGAGGACACCGCTCGGGATTTCATGCAGCAAATCGTCCGAATACTAATAGATTGCCACGACGCAGGCGTCACTCATCGCGATCTGAAAGACGAAAATATACTAGTTGAAATCGATACTGGAAAGCTACGATTAATTGATTTCGGCTCCGGATCTCTTACAAAACAATCTGCGTTTAAAGACTACGATGGTACCAGAGTTTACAGCCCTCCGGAATGGATTAGACAGAAGCGTTACTTTTACGAACCCTTAACAGTCTGGTCATTGGGAATTTTATTATATGATATGGTTTGTGGGGATATACCATTCGAAAAAGATGAACAAATCTTAATGGCAGATGCCGAATTTCAAGACTCTCAAATAAGTGATGAATGCAAAAACTTGATTAAATTATGCCTTACAAGAGAGTGGAGAGATAGACCTACCTTAAGGGAAATATTAAATCATGAGTGGATGTGCACATGCAGTCTTCAAAATGGAAAATCGCAAAATTCCTCAACCAACAGTTTGAATAGCACATGAAGATCTGATATGAAAGAAAAGGAATCTTTTTTTACTGTTAAAAGTTGGTGCTAAACTGACTCAAAAATCCAATGCAAAAGGCATGAAAAACAAGTTGAAATGTGTTCGTTTTTAAGTGAATAATTTGTTATATCCTTTCGTTACGAATGCGGGTTGTCTTTTACTTTTTTTACAGCTTCTGTTTTTAACTGCTTGAATTATGACGGAAATACGGTGTTTTTAATAATTATTGATGTTGTGAGATAATGTCTTTGTATATTTAAGTATGAAATACTTCTTTTTTTATAATAAATAAAAGAAAGTACACGTTATCATTACTGAATAGATTAAAAGTAACTACACAATGGTTCAAGCTACGGTGTTTGAATAAGCTCGTATTTTCTCTATCAGCTAACAAAGGAGTAAATGACGCTGTAAACTCTCTTTTTCATTATTCTTTTAAGTATCATTTCTCACTTGGACAGACTCAATATAAGTACAAGTGGGGGAGTATTTAGAGCTATAGGTGGCGTTAACAAATACTAACGATCACTTGCGCCATCTAACATTAAAAAAATTAATTAGATTTTTAGAACTTAAATGACGGTATAAAGTAAGACAGTTTGGTCTAGAATTACATTTATATTTCTCCCCTAATTCATGCAGTCCTGTCTTTGCTCCTTTTCTGTTCCATTTTTAGCTTAATACTCCCAGTAAGCATTCCACCAAGTAAAATATACGCTTATTGGGATATTGGACAAATTTTTCTGAAATTTTGTTTGAAAAAAGAGGATTATTTAGAATATTTTTTGAGATAATAATATTGATAATTTGGTTTTTCCTTCAAATATTCACTTTGCGGATGGTTTGTTACAAATATATAAAAAAAGCATCCATCACACTACGGCTGTATAGCGTTTTTCACGCACGAAAATATTCAACTGGGAATTACCAACCGCTTTCCGAATCGGCGAACAATTTCCATGGAGATAATGTATATATAGGCGCTGTCTAAAATTTAGGCCTATTGGATCGTTTGCCAAACCAAAAAAAAAGCGATTTGTTAAAAACATCTGTCGTGTCCAGTGAGCCTGCCTCGCGTGCGCAATTTCTGTTTTACTCACTAAACTATATATCTATTTTGTTATATATTTATATGTAATTTTCATATAAATAGCGTAAAATTGACTTTTAAAACGTTGAAAATTTATTATTAGGTATTCTTTTTTTTTTGACTATTGGACGATTTGTAGCTCCGCCCGCCAAATATAATCCCCGTTACTGTTCGATATTTTTAAATGGTTAAGCTTAAAAAAAGTGTGTTAGGTCTTGAATCAATCGGTATTAAATCGCCAGATGGCTTAGTTTTTATTGATAAGAAATTTCTCTTCATTCTTTATATGCAACAGGGAATGAAGAAGAAGAAAAAAAGTCATACAACATTTTAGAAACAAGTTCCATGATTTCTTAATATAAATATTGACATTGTACGTTTGAAGAAAGACGTCCAACAATGTCCTATCCCTAGGAAGAGCAGATAGAACGACGCTTAATGACTTAGTCAAAGAAATTAATATCGTTGATAGAATTTCATATAAATGCTCTTCTTCTGTGTAAAAAAAAGACGCTAATGAATTCACAGTTGTATTATTCCATTTAAAAGAGACAAACAAAATCGTACTTTCGAGATCTTTAACTCTTTGTGCAATTACTTGAAATGAGCTGGAAAGTACAATTAGTGTCTTTTACCGACGGTATCCATTGAACCAAATAGCTGCAGCTTGTTATCCATTTTCTAAAGCCTTTCCTCACACAGCAATTTGTTCAAGGAAGTGGTTCCTTACCAAAAATTATTAAAAGAGAATAGTTATATGCTATATTAATTTATAAATTATCTAATAATTCCCGCCTTATTCACGTTAGCAAACCAGATAAGATTACAAAATTGGTTTCCTGTGTAAATATTTAAAAATCTATGTTAGGAAATGTGGAAAGATGCAATTAAAGGTTAAAAATCTATTTTTGGTGTGAGATATATAACATTATATATATGTAGTGTGTATGACAAACATTTGGGAGTGAAAATAATACTATGGAAAGTGATGAAAATTTAAAGGAAATGAAAATGAGTTAAGGTCACAGTAACAAAAAAAGTCAATTAAAAAGGACGAAAGAAATGTTAATTCGATGGGAAAACGATCGTAATTTAGGGATTTGAGCGTATCTTGTGTCGATCTAGGCTTAGATATTTATATGTATATATACATTACATTGGAAATATGAAATATTTATATTAATATGCGGTAGTAAATCCTATAAACATATATTATTTGTTGAAAGTGACAATAATCATAAATTTTGGATAAATTAAATTATGAATGTAGTTTACATATAAAATATATAATATATGTAATAGCGATGCTGGATGGAATAAATAACGTCAAGAGAAACGCTATGAATTATTCACAATCCATATATAATTATTTTATCCGATTCCGTTGGCGAGTCTATTCAATATTTATAAGAATTTTTTTCCATATGCCAAAAATATAATTGCTACATTCTTTATACACCAGCCGTTAATTAGGCACTGAATGTTTTATGCAAATTAGTAGACGCATAAACAGTGGCGCCGCTGGTCGTCGCAACAATCCCAGACGCCGCATTCGATAAAATGGACGCTAACGAAGTACTACGTAAATTTCAAGAATTCGATAAAGATAAGAACGGCTTCGTTTCCGTTTGTGAAGCGGAGACTATTCTTAAGAAAGAATTGGGTTTTACAGCAGGTTCTTTCCTATTTTTCTCTCTTTTCGTTACTTTTTCGCTTTACTTTATCAACTCGAAACTGAAAATATTAAAGAAAAAATGATTTTTCGATTGAAAAACGTAAAAACTTCACTTTTTTTTAATTTTCCAAAAGAAATATCGAGTTTATTTATTGACCAATCACAAAATTTAAAAAGCTGTTAAATTGTCTCTTTTTTAATTATAATATTCATTTTTATATAAAAAAATAACTTAATAAAAAATATTTTCTTTTTTTTTTTAAAAAAAAACGAAATAAAATAGAAAGTACGAGAAAACTAGTTGAACAGTATGACAAGAACAACGACGGACGATTGTCTTATGAAGAGTTCATTTGGTTTTATTGGAGAGTTAAGGAGAGGTTTGTTATATTGAAGAATAATATTTATTAGAAGGAATATAAAGAAAGCTGGAAACGAGAGATTTATCTAATTTTTACTTATTTCAACATTTTCCTGTCACTCTCAATATACTTTGGAGATTAAATATCCATTATTCTTATAAAATAAACCAGGGTTATATAAAATGGGAAGATATAATTCAGAAAATCATTTATTACTACTTTCCTAAATATTTGTCAATGCTACTCTTCAAACATGAAAGTTTGCACAGATCAGACTACCGTTTTCCGGCTATGCAACTAGCTCTAGCAAACATCTAGCATAAAAATTGTCCCATCGCCTGATTTACAGGTGACGCCTCAATGACCAAAGTCCATAGATTAACCCCCTCTTTCCTATTCTGTAAGCGAAATATACAATGATTGACTTTGTAAAATAACCAAGTCAGGCATATAGTTTATTTATTAGGATAAATTGGATTGTAAGAGCATTATTCGTTGTTAATATTTACAGGAAAGACGATTTGGTCGAGAAATTCAAGAAGATTGATAAAGATGGTTCGCAAACGATTTGCTTCGAGGAGGCGAGGCAAGTGCTGAAGGATAGCGATTTTTCCGATGAGGACATTAAGCATCTATTCGCTCTGCATGATACCAATCAGGATGGTGTTCTCCAATTTGAAGAATTTCTTCAATTTTGGCAGAATATCGAAAGAGTCAAGTAGAGAGAAAAAAAGAGAGAGTAACAGCAGTAGAGAAGGAAAAAGAACTTTACATCTCATAGAGGAGAAAGACGGAGGAGGAGGAGGAGGAGGAGGAGGATAAATAATTCTTTTTCCAAATTACCAAAAATCTCTTTCTTCGATTTTTTGTTTAATTATTTTTTTCTTTTATTTTTTTAAATTAATACTTTTTATCTCTAAAAGATAAAAATTCTAGATATTTGTTTCTTTTTATCTCAGTGTGTCCTACAGATTCTGACGTATTAGATTAGGTAGCGGATTATGAATATGCAAATTGGTATATAAAAGTTTTTTTCTCCCAAATAAATCGTCTAAAACCTGGTGTTACCCTTTGATTATTTAACAACCTTTAACAATTTCAAATCTTCATGTATTGTTCAGATTTTTCATTCCATTTTAAAATATAATGAATTTAAAAGAGAAAGAGTGTTCCAGTATTTAAAAAACAAAACAAATTCACTCTATAATTCCATTATAAATCGATTAATGACTAGAATTGTGCAGTAACATGGAAAAAGTCGTAAAAATACAAATAAACTAAAAAATATAATAATAACAATAGCCATAATAAAGAAAGTCCACTCGTTAGTTGAGTTATTTTTAGTCATGGTACATTTGACTGTTTACACTGTCTATCTCTCTATCTCTCTCTCTCTCTCTCTCTCTCTCTCTCTCTCTCTCTCCCTCCCTCCCCTCTCTCTCCTTCTATCTATCTCTCTCGCTCTCTGTCTGTCTCTGTCTCTCTGTCTCTCTGTCTCTGTCTTTTTTTTTCTCTCTCTCTCCTCGGTCCGTCTCTTTTTTTGATATGGACTATAAAAAGAGATGGTAGAATTAAACTGAAAATGAGAGACCCTATATGCATTTTCTATGTAAAAAGGTCGGTGCAAAAGACACTTTTTATATGAACTAATTGGCAATATTATAGGATAATCTTCGTTGTAATTAGTAAATTCTATTAATAATTTACTCAAGTAATATTAACCCATTAAAGGAAGCGTTTTATCTAAAACGATACAAGGAGTAAAGTTGAAGGAAACTTCCCGCCCATTCCCCTTAATAGTCCAAAAAATCTATATATTTGGGGGAGGGCAGATAAGTGAAATTTGCATGAAAGATATAAGCTTCTTCTTCCTTTACTTCCTTCCTTTCGTATTCGTTTTAAAGATATTTGGGTAAAATCTCTTTACATTTCCCTTTCGGATAGACCAAATGCAAAATAACTTTCTTCATCGTCATGGAAAATATTTTTACAGAATTAAATTATCCGACCCACCCTCGAGCTTGTATAACATACGAGTCGGACGCAAATCAATATGAATAAAGTTCGTTATACCTAAACAAGGCCATTTTTTTAACGGTCCCTCTATCTGTCTAATGAACAGAGACTAAATTTTATTTCTTGCCTCCCCACTTTTCCCTTTATCTGAATGATTTAGTAATTTTATTTTTTGAACCCTAGATTTATATTTTTTTTCAATTTTTAATTGTTTTTTTTTTTAATCCTTTCTTTTGTTTCTAGTTTTGTAAACTTTAATTATAATTATATAAAGAAAAAATAGACTGTAACACATTGTGTTCTAATTATTGGAGCATTTTTTTTGGTTCATTTGTCACACAAATAATCATATAGGCTAACTTAGAGAGTTAAAGCCACATAAAACATCATAAAAAAAAGAGTGGTTGATTGAAAGAGGAGTATGCCTATTTCCACCCTCTCCCCCCTTTTTTTTAAGAGATATAGAAAAAGTATTTTTTTATCTTATACACCACTACACGCCTCAGGTCTTGCCTGAGAAAATAAAACCTATTCCAGTAATTCTCTTATTCTCTATTCTATTTCTAAAAAGGAAAAAAGAATTCTTCCAGATTTCATAACACTTGCTTTATCGACTTTTCAATAAAAACATATAATCTGATCATTAGTAATAAACAAATTCTATAACTTGAAAATTCAGTTTCTGGTCCTAATCCTTTTGCTTTTGCGGCCAAATCCATCCGTTATTCCACTTTTACCAAATTTCTCCATGTACTGAATATATAATGGGACAATAAAAAGTGGATAGTAAAGTAAAATACAGAAAAATATAGACCAATTTATTCAGAAATTTGTCGTTCCTCTGCAATTATCAATCCCAAAAAAAATAAGAGTAAAAAGCCTCATCACTCATACGGATGACTTTTTTGTTGTTTATATAAACAATGCACCACTCGTTCCATCTCTCGGACTGACAACCCAGGAGTCGATAAATAGCTTAGTTGCTCATCCCTAAGCAATTATTCCTGTCTTCCTATCCTAAAAGTAGTGGCGGGAAAAAGGCGAGAAGTTCAAAAATTAGCATCATTACTCAAAATTCCAAAAAGGAAGGATAAAGTTGTTTTCCAGTCAATTAGTTGCCAATTTCGTATTTCCTCATAATTTTCTCTTATAAGACTCATTTAAGAGAATTATATCCTTGGAATCGAAAAAGATTCATTCTATCTTCGTCTGTCCTTTTTTGATCTGGTACAATATATTAGACGTTTCTATTGATATTAGCCAATGGGAAAATCCTGGATAATGGTAAGTGTTCTCAATAGGTCTTTTACTGTAAAATGAGGAAGAAACAACATATTATATCTACAATCTAGATAGTTCAGTCCCATCTCCTTACCACTCAGTATTTGGACAAAGATTAACTTTTCATTCCCATGCGACTATTTCATAAGTAACAAGAATAAACCGATCGTTTCAAAACTCCTCCCATTTCTCCCCTTAGGACTCTCTTTCATCGAATTAAATCCGAATATTCTTATATCTATATAGTTGATATTGAAAAAACAGTTGAGTCATTTTACATGATGCCTACTGTATCTATGTCTATGATTTGGGAATGTTACATTATCAAGGGAATGAACTATGCATTGAGAAACGGCTTTTATATAAAGGAGGAAGGATTACTTCAGGAGCGGGCTCTTACTGATGTAAGTGGAAGAATATCCGGTAGATGAAATAATAGTCAGCAATGAAAAATTTCTGGAGAACAATTTATTAGCAATACTTAATACATTGTCTAGTCTTGAAAATGCATCAGTAGTTTCTGATCTAGTTACGACTGCAACGTAACCGTCTAATCTGATTCCCAGGAGTGGATGACATGGCCAAATTGCGTGACCCTTGCAGTAGCGATGTTAATAGACATTGCTTTTATTACTAATTGGAAGAAAACGTTATTGCCTATAGCCAAACAATGAAAAGGGCATAAAACATGACGTTCTTTTTAAACTATTGTTTATACCATACAGCACTAGGTAGCGCTTTTGAGTACACTTATTACTACAAGTGAGAGTCCTATGGGGCGTTAATAAAAGAAAAGAAGACTGGCAAAATGGAGTGTGTTGTATTTTATAGGTTTAATGGTAAAGAGTAAAGAGAAATCGTGAAGAGGAGTCCCTCGTTTCAATCTTCACTCCTCTTTGTACACTCCAGAGTAACATAATTTCCCGGATTCGATCAAAGACACGAGTCGTCCTGCTTGACGAGGCATGTCCAATAAAAGGTTCGGTCTTGCCTCCCATACGAAATTTTTGGAGGGATCTCGGGGAGTTCAAAAACTTCCGAATTTGTTTTGATCCTTTCCGGACGATCGTTAATGCATCGACTAACTAGTTTCCGTTACCGCTTGCCACCTAGATCTTTTAAAAGAAATTTTGGGTAGACTCCCGAGGGCAATGTATCGAAAAGTGCCAAGGCAAGGCAGTTGGGGCGTTTTCACTCAATTTTACACCCGCAAAACGTAGCCGATTATTCTATCGACCATTTTGTTTTCATTTAATCAACTTAATAATATTGTTTGTGAATCGTAGGTCCTTATTTCCGGCCGACATTTAAAGGCACTATATACATTCATACATTCATTAACAATGAATAAATGACTTGAAATTCACTATATGTATAAATAGAAAGAATAAAAATTTATATCTGCTGTACTATATATACAGTATACATTTATATAGTTATAGTTATACATTAAGCTGTATATTCATGATATATACATGTATTTAGCTTCTGTTGCAAGTAAAGGGAGATATATGTCTATAGTATATCCTTGTGATTTGTTTCTCATTTCCATCCCCTATCTATTTTGTTGTTTGAAGGAAGCAAGACTCGATTGGGAGAAATCATCCGAGTTAACACTCGTACTATAAGCTCGTTAAATAAATGAACTCCATTATTCTTTTCTTCTCTCTCTAATCCTATATTCTAGTTACCTAATTAGAAGTGACGACATGCTAGTCAAAGCCAATGTTTAAACCTACTACGGCACTGCCACCTATATCAGAAGCCTTTAACAGGACATTTCTTTTCCGCCAAAGTTTACACTTGGGGAACAAATTTTTTTAACAATGAATTATTCTGGCAGGGAAGGGAAAATTCCATTAGGAATTAGGTCGACGGTAAAATCTATTGATAAATACAAGGGTCGAATGTAAATGGAAGAGAATGATTTAACTAATATTGTCCCTTTTATACGTTTTTTTGTATCTGTCTATCTTCCTCAAAATACAAATTTAGAATATAAATCTGCAACTTTATAGCATATATTGTGTGTATTTTATTCGATTTTGCCTGGTAAGTATTCTAAATCTGGCCTTTCCTCTTATAGATGAGTTTCCGGAGCTAAATTGTTCCTTTGCCTTCACTGCAATAAGACCAATTGAGTTCATACAATCCAAAGGAAACTCTATTTTCGCCTTCCAAAAGACTCCTAGTAGACAGTAGAAAATCAATAAAAGGAAATTTTAAATTTCAGCCTCATGTCGTCTGGATTTAAGAATTTGTGAAACATTTCTAAACTGAGGTAATCAATTTCATGACTACAAAGCGTCATTCCTTGAATTAGCTGATAAAGGAGACTATACTATCTCACGGAAACTATCAGATATTGTCAGCTACATACACGTATTGGATGTAGTAACTCGAATAGAGTAGGTACACTCGTCTACTATTGGTGTTTTTTTTCATTAATGTCAAGTGTGTTCAATATAAAAGTGAACCAATTTACCTCAAGTATATTTACTAAGAAATGCTAAAGGAACTTAAAGTATATGAGACACTCTTAGCCTTGCTACTAAAATTGCTACTTTCTAAATGAATTTAGTCATTTACCTAATCAGAAAAAATCAATTGAACCTCTTTTCTTATCGCATCATTAGGTCTGGCTCTAAATACTGCCACAATCAATATTGTTTAGACTACGTCACGAGAAAGTCATTATGTTCAATATATCTTTGCTGCTTTATTACACCAATTTCAACCTATATTGTGCAATTAAGCAGTATTTTTTATGCAAATGTTAAATTTTAACAAAGTGTTTAAATTGAAACAATCAGTTAATTATCAGAGAGACCTTGAATGGTGTTTTCATTAATGCTGATGTCTGATTTTTTTAAAATCAAATATCGAAAAACATATATTATTACAAATAAAAGAAAGTTTATTAACCATTTTTCAAAAGTGAATGAAGCAATTATATTCTAAAAAATATAGAGAAATTTTATGACCAAGCATATGTTGGAAAACAACAAGGTATAATGAAAAAGAGGTTATGAACTATTTTTTTAAATATTTACTTCGGTTTTTTACAGCTTCATCTTCGTACATTTTTAGGTATTCAATTCGACTCGTATCTGGAAAAAATCTTAATTTTAATAATTACTACGGTTAAATTGTTCAAAATCTCAAAACTGTTTAAATTTAACTTTTCTACGAACTGATATCACCGGTTACAGGGCGCAGCCATATTAGGTATTGCAAAGTTTCTTTCGAGATATATCGAAAATGGGTGAAACACAACCTCATGTTCAAGTTGGCCAAGCTGTAGCCCAACAATACTTTCAACTCTTTCAACAGAATCGAGAAGCAGTTATTAATTTGTATCACGTGTGTATTATTTGATTTTTTTCGTGGAGATTTTATAATTCGCGCATACGTTTTGCACAGCCTCAAGCCTATTTGTCATTTGAAGGTGAAACTAAACAAGGCCACACAGGGATTCAAGAATTATTGAAAGAAAAATTAAAATTTCAAACTATAGCTCACCAGATTACGGCAGTTGATGTGCAACCCCTTACAGGCGATAATAGCGGAATTGTTGTATTCGTTTTGGGACGCTTGAAGGTTTGTTGATGGAATCATAAGTTTTGCTGCTTATAACTTTGGTTTGTTTTAGACTGACGAGGATCCACCTCATGGATTTTCTCAGACATGGATTGTTCGACAAGTTGATGGCAATTACTTTATTTTCAACGATGTGTTTAGATTAGCTATCCATAACTCAGCTTGAGAATCATTTGGCTTGAAAACACTCTCATGCGTTATAAAAGAAGCTTACATTTCTAACAGTTTATTACGTTTTTAAGTTGGAAAGCTTTCAAAACCAGCGCGCTTGAATCATTAATGTATGCTCTTTATAAACGCATAATAATAGAAAGTGTAGTTTCTTATTAAAGGTTAAATTACTCCAGAAATTTCGCTCCATCATCACTCGTTTTGTTAATAAAACCTTCTCATTGAAATTCTGTGCGTGGTGATACTCCGCAAATTTTTTTTATTGCAAATATAGCCGACTAGTATTGCTATTTTAAAATGGATATAAAGACAATTTAATGCCAATAATAAGGTGTAGAAAATTTTCAGAAAAAAGTTTACTATAAAAAAACTGATTATGGCGGTGATGACAAATAAAAATCTGTGCACTCTGAATCATCATCCGTTTGAATTAACGATTCGTCGTCACTTAGCTCGTCGTAAATCCTTATTTCATCACTGGTTAGATGTGACGAACCAGCAATAAATGAAGCGAAACGAGCCGGACTCTCTAACCTAGACACAGTCTTCCATGCATTGCAATCTGGGCTTTGGCAGTATTTTCGAAGCTCTGCTAGAGCCTTTTCTGTTTCAATCCGTCCCTGTTCTCTATATTCTTCGTTAGTCAGCAATCTTATCTTTTCTAATGGTTTCTGTTGGCTAAATATAAAAGAATAATGCTTCAGTTTTAAGTCAAATTAAATAAAATGACTCTTCCTTTTTCTCACCTAAAATAAGAAGTGACTTTGACAATTTGGTTGAAAGGAATATAATTTCGAATGATGAGGATCACAATGACAGCTAGAGATATCTCTGAGAGTTGAATAGAATAAAAACTAGAAAATGAAAGGAAACTCTTAGTAATGTATTTTCCATCATCTTTTCTTATAACTTACACTAAAATCAAAGCTACGCCCTGCAATAGCCACTGTATTGCCTGAAAAATAGCATTATTAAGATAAAAGACTATACATGCACAGTTTTTGCTACTCACATTATTTGCTCTTTCGTTACGTTCAGGCATTTTAATATAGATGTAAACAAAACTGATTAACCCTACAATCCCAAAATAGGCCATCAACCAAAAGCTGTAGCCCTTTAGGATGTGGAAAAAATTCTCACATACCATCTTATAAAACGACAGAGAAAGAAAAGATCCAGATGCTAATATTAGCATTGACAATTTTTTCTGAAAGATCCAAAAGTATCAATCTATATAAATTGATAAGAAACATAATCAAATTAATTACATGGGGTATGAATTTAGATAAAACGTAGACTAAAACGAGCAAGGAACCTAATAATCCAATTGTAACTCCAGAAGTATAATAAAATACAACATTTCTAGTAATAAAATACGTTAATTAATCAATTAATTAAGAAAAACGTTTGTAAATTTCTTACCTGCTTAATATTGGTGCTGATATAAAAAGAATAAAGCCTAAAAGGCATAAAAATAGCAGTTTTCTATCAAAAGCTACAGCAAAAAAAGGGAATTATTACTTGGTTGATTGGTTTTAACAAAAAGAAACTCAACAATTTGTTTTAATAAAATCTAGAGTTAAATTTTCTATATATGGAGCATAGATTCCAAAACAAGTTTCACCGGATGAACTTGCTCTGAATGGTATGTTCCTCCCATCTCCTATAGTTCCTTTTCCGTGAATACAACTGTCAATTACACCGTCAATAGTATTATTGGATCCTCTTAGAACACTAACTTTCTCATAATTATCCTTTTCAAACATGATCTATTAATCAAAATAGAATTTACTGATTAATGTTCTGTATAAGTAATTCTAATATAATCGGTAATAATAACATTAACTTTCTTGACGTTATTTATAGAATTACCGTATATTTAATGAATTTAAGCAATGGACGAAAGAGACGTACCTCATGCCTCGCAAAGATATTTGCTATATTCCAATTCAAGTAATAGCAGATGATTAGACATTCTTGATTTGTTAAACTTATTTCCTGTAAGGAACATTTACTCTTTTCAGCATTCTTTTCCATCAAACAAAATCTCGCGCCATTTCCTTCAAAGTAGAATTTGCCTTTGAACAGTTATTCTTATCTCGTGATTCAAGCACTTACTACTCAGTGATGTAAAACCTGCAGGACAAGTTACCATGCTTTCAGGAACAGCTGAATTGAGAAGAGCACAAATAATAATAATGAATTTAATCATATTTCCTAATGTTCTTGACGCCGGTGGTAGGTGCTCATATTACCAGTTTACATCAACGCTTATTTTGAGGCCACTAATGGCGATTTTCATTTAGATTCGAAAATTGAGGAAAAAACTTTAAGATATGTAAAAAAAATATTGTAAGTATTGTAGATAAAATGGAATTTGAGATTATTTACTTAAGATTGATTTAGGCAGCCTGTTTTGTTGTTAATCTAATTACTTCTATAATAAAAACTTTTATGTATTTGACTCAATTTTAATTTGAACGTTTGATAGAAAATTCAAACACCATTTCAATTGTAAGTTATTGAATCTAACATTGCGTAAATTGGTTTAGAGTGGAAAGTATTGTATTTGTATTAATTATTTTGCCTAAAACTACTTGGTTGTTGGAAGTAGATGCAAAAAAGAGGTTATGCTTTCTTTGATCTACTTCCGAACCTTCTTAATTTATTTGGAAAATTTGATACGAATTAAATTAAACTATTCGTGAAGACATCCTCACGAAAGGGTAAGATAAACCCAACACAAAATAACATTATCAAGTGATACTTTGATTAAATTGGAATTCTGTAATTACCATTAAATGTTTCAATATTGCAAAATTTCTTGCTTAAAATTTTAAATTGCTCGCGTTAATGGGGAAAATAAGTGAAAACGACTTTAAATAATTATCGCAGTGCGAATTTTTCTAGTATATTTTGCTCTTCCGGTTTGAAACTTCCGGTAATTTTTGGTTCGACCTTGAACCCAAGAAAACGAAGAAGAAATTTCTTTTAAATCATTCAAACTAAATATTAAAGGACTAATTGTAATTTCTTCTTCATTGAAAAATTAGGTCGAATAAAGACCAAATTCGATTCCCCGAAGATTTAGTGATTACTTCATTCAGTGTTATCTCTCTATTTCTGACGTTCTAATTACATTTCACAAACACAACCAAAAAATATGCCTGGAAAACTGAAGGTTTGTGTGGTAGCTGCACGGAATTTACCCGTGATGGACAGAGCTACAGATTTAACGGATGCTTTTGTTGAGGTAAATAATCCTATATTTTAAAATATAAATATGGATATTCTCTAAAAAACAAATATTTTGCCTTGCAGGTCAAATTCTCCAATACAACATTTAAAACAGAAGTATATAAGAAATCACTAAATCCTCAGTGGAATTCCGAATGGTATCGTTTCGAGGCAAGTCTAAATAAAGAATAGATGAAAAAGAAACATCTAGATTTTAGATGTTTCGATTTCAATTTGCTTAATTCTCCAACGTTATATTCTATTTACGTACTTGTATATATATATATATACTGAATATATATGACTATATAATTTATAGGCTGAAGATGAAGAATTACAGGATTTTCCATTGCAACTAAGGTAATTTGTAAATAATGTTTGAAGAGCTAGAAAGAAAAATTATGTTTTGTATTAACTTGAAATATTTAACCTAAAAAATTCAATTAGTATCTTTTTAAATATTCGTATTACTTTGTTAATTCTATTAACTTTTCTAAGGGTTTTGGATCACGACACATATAGTGCTCACGATGCTATTGGTAAAGTGTATATTGATTTAAATCCCTTGCTATTAAAGGATGGAGCTGAATCCCTCAGTGGATGGTTTCCTATTTACGATACTATGCACGGTACTTAAAAGCAATAGAAAATAAATTAGGACATAATTATTCGAATAGTTAAGTAATCAATTTTTCATGTACAGGGATAAGAGGAGAACTAAACGTTGTGGTTAAAGTAGAGCTATTTACTGATCTTAATAAATTTAGACAGTCTTCTTGCGGCGTATACTTTTTTGCCAGTAATTATCTTTTCTTTAGAGTTGATGGATTGCTTTAATAGTTCCAATTTGACAGCTGCAACGGTCCCATCCGGTTACAAGTTACAAGCCATACAGGGCTTCGTTGAAGAATTGGTTGTCAACGATGATCCAGAACATCAATGGATTGATAGAATTCGATCTCAGAGGGCTTCTAATGAGGCAAGACAAGTTCAGTTTTCTAAATTGTCAGGAGAATTACAAAGAAAAATTGGTAAAAAGGTTCTTGAGTTAGGAGGAACTGCTGTTTTAGGGTTAATTAATCAAAAAATCTCTTTGAAATAAATTATTAAGAATTGGTCGTTTTATAGATATAGACAATGCTTCGATTTAGAAGGAGTTTACGGAATTGTCGTCAGAGCTATTGGAACAGCAGTAACCCTTACAAGAGTACTTGGTGGATCATCACCAAGACCGTATTCGCCTGTGAGAGAGTAAGTAAATTGGCTTATTTTTATAACTATTATTATTATTAATAATAACAAAATTTAAATATATCATTTGTTTTCCAAAAATTTTACGTCCATATTCATGAAATTGCCAATCAACTATATCCATTAATCTATCTTTCTATATCTCTACTATAGCAACTCTATCTATATCCTTCTATAGCTCATGTTTACATGATAATTACTTTTCTAAATGCATGCGCGATTTGTAAATTTAATTGATTGTTTTTCCATATAAAAATGCGCTTGTGTATTTGAAATGGTGAATCTACCACAAAAAAGACGTATACAGGAGTAAAATAAGGTAAATTTACAAGTATAGCAGGTTTTCTACCTTAACTGATATATATATATGTATATATCTATATATACTCTATATAGATGTGTATATATAGATATATGACATGTTTAAACACTAAAAGATAGCTAAATAAAAGTACCCTCACTTGTAATTAGTTTGATTTAACTATTTTCAATGATGATTTCCAAAACAAACTTGTTATTTTTAAGTTTCAGATTTGCTTTTCTATGTTTTTTGCTTTTATTCTGTTTTCTAATAGATTTATAGATTTAGGTAATAACAATATATTTACTTTTCCAACTATTAACATCTTTGTATTTATTTCATTATGTATCATTAACTAGTAATTGGGATTGCAAATAGTTTGTGTTCAATAAAATTCTTACAGAGTAACGTGTAGTATTCGTAAGATGGCGCCTTGGGTTGTGTTAGTCTTGTTTTTTCAGTTTTTTGTTTTTAACTAACCGCCCATCCATTTAAAATTCTTTTCAAATTATCTTGTATGAATTTGTTATGAACAACCTAGTTATGAAAACCTACTTAGTTTCTTACTTTCGTCCTTTTTGATCTAACCAGAAAAAAATACAGCTGTGTCGATTATTAGCTAAATTTAACAAAATATGATTCTTCTTTTATATCAATAATGAAAAAAGCCTCATAATTGCTTCATCAATGAAGAAGAAAAAGAAACAGAGCTATTATATGATTGCTGCAGGGGCAAGTTTAAATGAAAAAGTACAAAACAAAATAAAGTGCTAATAAAAGACAAAAAAATAAATAACAAAGAATTCAGCATGTCTTTTTATTAATTCTTCGCTTTTCGTTTTTTGAATGAATCTAATTAGTTAATTTGACATAAATTTAAAGTGATATTTTGGCAAATTTCTATATATTGATACTTTTAATCATACATACTATAGTAAATAGTAATAACAATAGAAATTTGGCCATTCTATCACAGAAAATGTTATGTCTATTAGCACGAAGACACTTGTTAGGATTCGAAAATTTCCTTTTACTTAATTAGAATTTCTTTTATTTCTTACAGAGGTGGTATAGGAGGTATACAAGCGAATCATTTTTTTGCATCTAGTCCACCACATCGAACAATAACGCATAGAGCCAGCGTTTGCGGTCCTGTTTCTCATCATGTTAGATCATCATTTTCTTCACACAGAACATCCGTTCCTGAAGAGAGTGTCTTACCTGACTCACCACCAAGTTCTTCACCAACAAAACCTAATAACTTACAACGACGTAATAGTGACTCTGACCTATCAAATACACCCCAAAAAGGTAATTTTCATTTTTATTCTATTAATACTTTTAAAAAAGAGTTGTAAATAGTTTAGCGGTTGTTTTTTTTTGTTATTTACAACGATAACAAAATTATATTATCCTACGGAGAGTCTTTGTCCAATTTTCTGTATTTTCCAACTATTGTCTTCCTTAGCTATTCCTTTTACACGTTACTACAACACAGGTTTGAAATTTCATCTATAAAAATGTAGATGAGACACAAATGCATAGCAAATATATTAATTTATTATAGCATTGCTTTGGGCTTTATTATCATTATTATCTGCAATTATATTATAATTCTATTATTTTTAATGGTATATGTCTCTTTGATTTTCATCTTTTTCCTTTATTTCGATTACATAGTTAATTATAAGTTCTATTTATTCAAAATAAAAACCCTCCCTCATTTTTAATCCATATTTTTAATATAAAGAGTCTGTTTCTTAATTTTGCAGCAGCTAGCATGGCTGGAAGTAGCGGTAGTGGAACAAGTCAAGTCAAACCCCCTTTAATGAAACCGATGTTCCCGCAAAATAGTTTAGATATGATGGAATATCCTTTTTTCACCATGACAAGCTTTCCGCCCGGTTTTATTGCGAATATAGGCGGTGCGGTTTCAGCAAGATCCGTCAGATTATTGGATAAAATAAATAATCCAGGTTCGTAAGGAATTAAGATTTGATTTATTGCATATTTTTATCCTTTTCTCCTGTCTTATTTAGATGAATCGGAAACAAGAGATGCTTGGTGGTCAGAAATTCGAACAGAAATTCGCTCTCACGCTAAATCTTTGTCCTGTAATGCAGTTTTAGGCTATTCAGAACATACAACGATATGGTAATTACATTAATTACATACGTTCTTGTGTTAAACATATTAGTCGTCGGCAGACGCACAATGTTTGCAAAGTTTCTTTTAACGTTTACTCATTCAAAAATATATTCATTAGCGAGGAAATTATTATACTATCCGCCATTGGGACGGCTGCTAATATAAGCCTAAGAAATGGAGTTCCGGATGTTGACGTTTTTACTTTTATTGAAAAAGTAATACTTAAATACTAATTATTAATTTTTAATATTTTTATTTTAAAAACCAATTCTATTCTTTACAGCAAACTCGTCCCATGGCTCCTGAAGGAGAAGAGATTGATGGAAAATGCAAGCTTCATGTCGACGTAAATTTGGCGAATCAAGTAAAATTGTCACCGTCCACTTCTCTTTCCGCTCCACCAACGTAAGTATACCCTTGACTTTATCTCTTTATCTTTCTTTTATCCCTCTTGACTTAAGAGTTAATTAATAGAAAAAATTTATTAATAGGGCCTCTGTAGAAAGAGAACCGATTCCTCCATCTTGTGATCTTTGTCACGCTCCCTACGCTGAATCGTCCCATACTGCCCCATCAAACATGCTATTGAGCACGTGCAACATGTGCAAGTACGACAATTTTCTTTATTTCACCTACATATTGTATTTTATACTTTGGATAAAGGATAACTACTCCACAATATTCCTATATTCCTTTCGCTTTTCTATTAAGCTTTTCAACAGATGGCACCACAATTGTTTACACTCTTTAAATATAATCTTTGATTTTTAAAGGTATTGCAAAGTACCCGATGTACTGTTTACGACTTTGGAGTTCCCTAGGGAATTACCAATAATTGGTAAAGGAACGATGGTAAGAGCGCATATTTCACGTCCGAAACGTGATATTAAGGGAGAATCGAACGCTAAGGAAATAAGTGAAGTACATATAAACTAAAAGTGACGTTTAGCGGAAATTCTGAATGACGTTTCGTTTTAATAGCAACTACCGTTTATGGAATATGAACTGTACAAACAATTGTTCAATAAGGTTAAATTAAAGGGCATGAATGCGGTTTTTGGGTTAAAGAAGATGTTTATTATAGGGGAAACATCTATAGTAGCATTAGCTGTACGTATGAAATTGTTTATAATCGATTTTCTTTCTTTTTCACTTAATAATTTTAAAAGCCAATAAAAGATTTCTTAAATATATTGATATGTTATATAAACAATTCTTAGATTGCAACTGCGGTATTTGCTGCTGCTTTACCACCGGCTCTGCCCCCAAAAGTTGTGTATAAATCAGATCATCCCGCAGGAGTACGTTTTCTTGTTTCCTTTCTATTTTGCTTAACTTCTTATTAGAAATATTTAATAAACTCCTTAACGACTAATTCCATTTTGTCATTTATTCGTATAGAAGAAAGTTGACGATCGAGTTATTGAAAGTCTACGATCCAAGGTTATTGACGAATTTAATTCCAACTGTGAAAGATACGGGTTACCCCAGGTAAGCAGCTCTATTTATTAGTACTGTTTTGTTCTTTTTTCCGTAATTTTTTTATGTGTTTTCATTATTTTTGTAAAATTATAGGCTTAAATTTCTTTTTGTATGAAAATTTGAGAGCTAGGGAAAGAACAATTCATGCAGAAATATTGTTTTATTTGACACGCCAGCGTAAACACTCATGACCAGCATAAGCTAAAGGGACAGAAATAATTATAGTTTTTATACAAGCATATAAAACTTGAAAAGCAAATTCATACCGTTAATATTATAGTATGGTTATTAATTTTTAAAGAAAAATTTAGTAGGAGACTCGTGTGCTGGTAATAGCTTCTTTTTATGTATTTTTGTTTTTTAATTTTTCTTCTTATCTTCGACATGACAAACTAAAACATATATATCCGTACAATACTCACAAAAACTACTATTTAGTGTAACAATTCTAAGGGTTAATTTTGTTTTATTTACTTTAATCTGTACAAATATGGAAGACTTGGATTTTGTACATCTTTACTTCTATGTAATAGGAACGGTATTTAAGCTAATTAGTGACGATTCAAGTTGTATTGTAGATTTTTGTTTTGTTTTTCTTTAATTTTTCTTTATTGATCATGCAGATCATTTGTTCATATCATATTTCTATATTATTTTCTTTATCGTTTCTTAGCACCGCCTAGCAAACGATCGTAAACGCTTAATTGTTGCCTCTTTTTAAAATCATCCGACCATTCAAATTCGTGATCTTTCATCTTTTGAAAATTACCTCTTCTTATTTGGCCAGCTCCTATTTTCAATCTAGCGACTCCTTCGACGTGAAACGGATCGCCAATATTTTTTGAACGGTTTCGCGCTTTTCTTAAACCACCGGGTCCGCTACTGTCGACTGTGTCGGTTGACTCCTGCTTAGATTTATTATCGATTTTGGGAATTGCTGGATTTTTATCGTTCTTCTGATCACTTTTTGTCGTGTTGTTTTGTCGAATCTCCTCGCTTTTAACTTCGATCGATTCTTTTTGTTTTGCTTCTTTACTTGTTTCATTTACTTCGGACTTTTTGTCTACGTTTACTGAATTATTTGGTTGTGCTATATCATCCTTTTTCTTTTCTGGTTGCTTTTCTTCTATTTTTTTTTGTTCTTTTTGCCTTTCCGGTATTTTCTTCTCTTCTATTTTCGTTTCTTTCTTTGGTGCTTCTTGTTTTACCTCCACTGTCTGAACTTTTGACTTTTCGCTTACTTCTTTCGATCTATCTACTGCCTGCTGTTTCGATGATGACTTTTCCTCGTTGTGATTGATACTTACATCTCCATCGCTGTTTATACGAAATACTTCTTCAGTTTCCTCGTTGGCAGCATAGTACTCTGGGAGCTTTTCAATCTTGAGAAATGTAAATAGTTATTATATAAATATTCCACTAATAGATTGTGAATTCATGAATACATATTCATATATATATTCATATATATTGTATACAGATTTATACATTTTGTTACTTTAATCAATGTAGCGTTATAACTGTATACAATCATTGATAAATACTAGAAATATTACCAAGTCTTTCGCATTCCTATCCGCGCCGACGTCTAATAAATACTGGCATACGGAAGCGTGGCCGTGTTTAGACGCTAGGTGCAAGGCGGTCATATTGCTAGCCTGTAATTTTTTTCGAACCCTTTAATTGGAATATCTAGGCGAGAAAATTTACTTAACGTCCGTTGCAGCGTCCAATTGACATTTCTTTGTATTCACTAATTGTTGGACGATCTCTATATAGCCTTTAATACAAGCCAATTGTAACGAAGTCTGGCCATTCTGTTATAGAATATAATTATTCTCTTGATATTTTTTTCTTTGGGAGGAAAAAAAAAATTTACTTCTCCATCAAAAAAAAAATATTATTAAATATTAAATGAAAGAGATGGAGATTTATAGTTGAGGAAAAGGGAAAATTGGCATTGCCTAGGCCTATATAAATATTGCTGTTCGATAGTGTAAATAATGTTAAAAGCTGGACGGGGGAATACTTACTTGATTGGTAGCGTTAATATGCGCCTTATCCTGTTGGAGTAGTAGTTGTAAAATGTCAAGTTTTCCGTAGAAAGAAGCTAGGTGAATACTGTTGTTTAATTGCTGTTCGGATTCGTAAAAGGAATATTATGTAATTACATTGGAGTCACGTGATTTCTTTTATAGCCTACACGTCTTATTCAATATAAAGAGTAAACCATTTATTTGAATAAATCGCTATATTGTATATACTATAGATATTTGAAGGTAGCGCTAAGTTAGGCTATTAGATTCCTCTTCGAATCTATAAAAGTTTAGATTGATTATGTTAGTTAAATGATTTTGAAAGAAACCAAGTCAATTAAAGATGAAGCAATAAATATTTTAATTTCGGTTACCACTCTTTTTTATTTAAGCCTACATGTAAGTCAATATATCTAGTACCAGTTATTTAGTACTTACTATACCTGATTTTGATCATTAATATCAGCTCCCTCTGCTAAGCACTCTTTCACTGTATCCAAGTCTCCCTCTATACATGCTCTCCTCAATTTCTTTTCTATGTTGTCGTCGTCATATGTCAAAGGAGCTCTGTCATTCTTTTCCCTACCCATTTTGTTTCGTTCACCCTGCTCCTTGAGTAGATTAAAATATAATTATTTCAAGTTAATATTTAATGATCCCATGAAATTTCTTTTCCCTTGGTCTTTTTTCCCTTGCTGGTTGTTATTTCCTCCTTTTTCGGCAATCCGTACCGAAGTGAATCAACTTATTCCCTTTCAATTTCCCTTAGCGCGTTGCTAAAACCGAATTAAGATTATTTATACGGATTGTGTCAATAACCGCAGAGAGATATTACGTAGCGCCTTCTGTTCGATTTCGTCGTCACGCTTGGCAAACACCTTTTGTTTGACAGTCTTAATCCGAAAATTCGTTATGTTAAAAGGATCCTAGATCATATTCAATTGCTTGTGCAAAAATACAGTGTATGAAAAGTGAAATAGTGTATTAAATCTCCGAGAATTCTTGACAATATATTTCATTAATTTGAATGAAAGTAAACACCTGCTTTTCCCAATAATTTTGCTTATTCAAAAAGCTCTGCTTTTACTCACTTCGTTTTGCACGCGTTAATTAAAAATGTTAATTATAGGAAAAGTCGTCTAACGCGTTCAATTTATTTTCATGTCCGTTTTATATTCATTAACAACATCGTAAGTTATGGGTAAATAGGGCAAAGAAGTGAAGGAGAAAGAAATTTAGCAATCGATTTTTAGTAATTCCTTATATCCTTCTAATGAACTTCATTAACAGACGTTCTAAAGTCTTCTCTTTCTTTCCTCTTCACTTTTCGTGAACAATTTGGGTATTCAAAGCGGATTAGAAATGAAGAGAAATCTAACCGTATCAAAGCAGTTAATCTCTATCAGCTACAAATCCAATTTCCACGTAACAATAAGCAGACGCAAGATGGCGTCTTTATTTCTTCTTAATAATTGTAACAGTTTATTTTAATGTTTGCAAATCAATCTATTATTCATTAAAACGACTCCCAATTGATTCTATTATTTTAGAGGGCCAATGCTCAAGGTTCCATTAGCTTACAGCAGGATGATGCTTCTTCAATGTCCGAATATTTCGAGAGTTGGAATGACGATGTTGGAATTGAACCCTCTGCTACTAACAAAGATACACTTATTTTAGAGGTCTTCCATTCTTTTTTATTAATCTTTTAATTCACAAATACCTAATTACAAAAATAACATTTTAGGTGGACCACGAATCTGAGTTAAAAGACATTCAGATGCTACTAGAGCCAATCTTGCCGAAAGATATTCATATATCAAACATATCAACTGTACCAGGAATGGATAATTTCGTGACCAATTTACAGTTTGTGACCAGGGTTTGGCGAAAAGATATCAACATCAAGGATAATTCCGCTTTTGTTAATATATTCAATGACCTACTCAAGGTTAGAGTTCAATTTGCTTGCTTTTCTACTTTCAAGAGCTCCCACATTATAGAGTCAAGTATTTAGATTAAGGCATATGACACCTTGCGCTCTTGTTGGGTTAGATTTTGATATTGAATTAGCCGACGACGACGAAATTCAGGTAAATAATTAACGCACTCTTTAATATCTATTTTGTTCAACAAAAGCTATAAGTTATTTAATTGGAAAAAACGATTTTCTTCTTGAGAGAGATTAGCTTTAAGTTTACCAGGAAATTTACTCCTTTTTGAAGAATTCTCTAGCCTGAAAATAAACACTTATGAATACTATATCTTAACAATAGCTTCTTTGTTCATTGAACAAAATAACAAAAGAAAGAATGAAAGAAAAGAAGAAAAAAAAGAGAATTTTCTAAATGTTTCTCGCTAATTTATTTTTATCCTCCAGGTGGCTTTAACTGCAATGGTCATTGGAGAAGATGAAAGTGCCGATACAGCTAGGGAAGGAAGCAATTCTGTGAGTGGAGAAGAACTAGTCTTTTCAATGGACGACTCTCTTGAAAATAAAAAGGGAATTAAGAAAACATCTTCTGTAGGATCCAAGAGTTCAATAGCTAGTTCTATCAAGAAGAAATATCACGTTAGTTTTTGCTGATAAAGTTGCTTAGTAATCAAAAATTAATAAGTTTTTATCTAATTTTTATTTTTAGATACCTCGAAAAAATGTATTAATTACGGAATTAACTCCACTTCCTTACGTTCCATCATCGACTTTAAACCAATTTTTGGGTCATTTGAATTTCTTTATTATTCGAGAGTCCACTTCAGTTAGAGGGGTTTGTATTCCCATAATACATTCGAGATATAACTATTTATCATTATTGCCAATTTTAATTAAAGGAGGGTGGTCCTTCGGGATTTTTGCATAGCTTTCTCTCTGAAATATTTGCCATTTGCCGAGCTCATGTTAAAGCTATAGGCGGAAATGCACTTGTCTCATTCAAGTTATCCGAATGTGTATTGGATGATAATTTGCACAGAAATCAGGTACTCACAGTTGCAAAATCTTACAAAGTGTATTATTATATCTTTCATACTGTTTTTTATTTTTTTTAGAGTCAAAGTCTGGTAAACGTTAGTGGAGATGTCGCTTCCATACATTTTGAACCATCAAATTGTCGTTCCGTGTAATTGAAAGAGTTTTTTTTCTGATAAATGAAGAATAACTGTCCACAGATCAAAAGAATATTAAATTTCTGTTAAAACTTTCTTGATTAAATTATTTAAAGCAAAAAAAAAAAACAAAACAAAGAGACAAAAGAAGAAAATTCTCTTTTGCAGATTTAGATTAAAGTAGAAAGCAAGAAATTACCAAAATTTAGGTTAATGATTTTCAGAGCCTTCATGTAAAATATAGAGAACTAATTTATAAAAATATAAATGCATATATGAATATATTCGATTAATTAATATATAGAATTTATTCATCATTGTTATTCATAAAACTCGACGCTCTTCCGCGAACCTAGAAAGCTGAGATAACCTTGTATTGAAGGATTTATAATAAAGATAATTCCATCAATATGTTTGTTCTGTTTCATCTTAATTTAATCATAAGATCCCAAATCTCAGGGTTTTAATCTTCATAATCTTTTGTATAACGTATTTTGTTCATGTTTTCCGGATACTAATTGATTTGGATTTATCATTAATTAAAGAGAATCCAAGTTAATAGTCTTTTAACTATTTATGTAAGAGCTTCATTAGTTTTCCTGAGGTCAAAATGTCGTTAAAACATACAGCATCCCTTCAATTTTTAACAGCGCGATAAGATTATTGAAAATTAATCTTATCTATATATAAGTGAAGATAACATATAAGTTTGATTGCGGTATAAGAATAAAAGACGAAACCTGTTCAATTCTCTCTTTAAATCCTAGCTATGACTGACTTCTCATTAATGATACAAACGATTAGTTAAAGAGATCAAATTGCATTATTTAATCTTCATTTAGAGTTTCGACTATGGCTGATAAACTAGACAACAAGAGAAACGATGATTTTTGCGGATTTGAAAATGACTCTGTGAAGCAAGTTCATCAAACGTACGAAAATCAGGCTTTCTCGCCCGATTCACCGTCTGAAAATGTTCCAAATGAAAATGCAAAGGTAAATGATTCCCCTTAATACATTTAATGTTACATCAATTAAAAGTAATGAGTACTTTTAATAAAACAGAGGTACATCTTAGAAGTACCTAATTATAGATTGATTATCTCGTATGCCTTTGTAAGGACAATATTTAAAAAAATAAAAAACAAAATGCTACTTTTTTTTTTGATAGATAACTAAAAATAAATATATTTAATTGTATATTATAACAGTAGTCGTCTTTTTTGCCAAGTACAAATTACTATGTTAAGTAAACTTATGTAAATCTAATTGGATGTCGATTTAAAGAAAATTATACTTACAAGCTTAAACGATAATATAATAGAATAAAGTTAATAAACTATTGTAATTATATAAGAGTTTAAAACAATTATTCTTATTGTGATAAGTACAAGTAGTTTTAAAATGAATCATAAAAAATAGATTAAATAATCCTATTGTAAATGAATAGTATAGTCTCTCTTTGCTTATTGATAAAGTTGTAAAATTGTTGAATGGTAGAAGAAGTTGATAAAAGATTATATAAATAATTATAATTTTTGTTTCAGAAACGACAAAATCAAAATCAAAATCAAATATCGCCTTTTGAAGAGGATGGAGGCAATAGAACTGAAATAAATGAAAGAAGGGGACTTATTTTTAGAAAAATTGAGCATTTTCAAAATAGATCATCGCATTTCTATAATCAGAATAGAAGTGTTATTCTAAAAATTATACAATTAATCCTTTTAATTGGTTACTTTGTGTACTTTGCCTTTGCTATGAGACATGAAAGATTACAAAATGAACCGTCTATTAGACTGTTATGGATTACTTGTACAGTTGTTTTCTTTATGATTTGTAACATACTTTATTCATTCTATGGTACAAAAGTTGAATCTGGTTGGAAGTCTACTGGAAACACTATAAATAGGAAATGGCCATCATCCAGAATATCAGCCTGGAATTTTTTTAAATACTTGTTCATATTTTTGGTTGTTGCGGGATTTATAATATTCGTTTCGGTAAACATCGCTAGAAAAAGACCAAAGAATCTTATTTCTCTAAGCGGTCATGTTATTTATATCATTCTATTCTTTATGTTCTCCTATAATCCAGCTAAAGTCAGGTGGCGACCCGTGGCTTGGGGCCTGGGTCTACAATTTGTGTTTGCCATTTTAATTTTAAGAACAAAATGGGGTTTCGACGCCTTCAATTGGCTGGGAAATAGGCAAGTTTTTGTTTGTATCCTACAGATGGCGTTGCTTAAGGAACAGGGTTAAAGACTGTTTTTAGGGCAACATCCTCAGATTTTCTTAATGAAAAATGATAGGGTTTTCTTATCAATCTAAAATTGTTTAATAATTCATACAGGGTAGTAGAATTTCTTGCATATTCTGACGAGGGTGCCAAGTTTGTATTTGGTGATAAATTCACAGATCATCCATTCGCCTTTAAGGTTCTGCCAGTGGTCATCTTTTTTAGTACAGTCGTCTCTGTTTTATACTATCTGGGAGTTATGCAGGCAGTAATCCTCAAATTGGCTTTCGTTATGCAAAAAACCCTTGGAACAACAGCCGGTGAGAGCGTTAATGCCGCCGGTAATATCTTTATCGGGCAAACGGAAGCTCCCTTGCTAATCCGTCCTCTAATCCACTCGATGAGCGATTCAGAATTGCATGCTGTCATGACAGGAGGATTCGCTTCAATTGCCGGTGCCGTTATGGCTTCGTACATTCTTTTTGGGGTTAGTTCACCTTTAGACAAAATATCGTACTTTGTGACCTTTTTAGTATTGGCACTGAGAGACTTGTAAGGAGACGCTTAGCTGCTTTATTATTTTTTTTTTAAACGAGCATCCTATATCTAATTATCTTATTATGATCTTTTGAATCAGCACCGATTGATCCACCTATAACCTTCTGAAAAACCTTGAACGTTAGACTTTAAGTATATCTAGGAAGCTATCAGATATTAATTGTACAACTCTCAGTGTCATTTCTTGCATCTTATCATATTTAGCATGGCCCAATTGAAAATTATATACTATATCTACTATATCTAATATAAGTATATATAGTATTTATATATATATATATATATATATTAGTAATATATAGTATTTACATATATATATATATTAGCATATATATATTTTATTTATATACTTAACAGCACGTTATAAGTCACTACAGTAGAAATCTAAAGAAATATATTATTTATAATTGCAGGTTCCCGCCAATCATTTGATTACGGCATCCGTAATGGCTGCTCCTTGTGCTTTGGCCATGTCCAAACTCTTCTATCCGGAAGTTGAAAAGACGCCTGAGGAAGCCAGTAAAAAACCGGAGATGGAGAGGCCGCCCGAGCAGAACGTAATCGAAGCGGCGGCTTCCGGGGCGTCTACAAGTATAAAGCTTGTAGCTAATATTGCAGCCAATCTAATCGCTTTCATAGCCCTGCTTGGCTTCGTCAATTCTACGCTCAGATGGTTTGGTAGAAGAGTTGGACTGGAGCCGCCAAAATATCCACCTCTCACTTTCCAACTAATAACATCTTACCTTTTGTGGCCTTTTGCTTTTATTATGGGGGTAGCCCCGGAAGATTGCCGTTTGGTGGCGCAACTTGTTGGTTTCAAAACTTTTATTAACGAATTTGTAGCTTATCAAAGGTTGGGTACAATCGTATCAAATTCACGAAAATTTACGAACCACACACAAAATGGGGGAAATTGGACTTACATTGGACCAGATAAAGTCGATATACTTCTCGAAGGGAATGTAACTTTAACAGGAGGAGTAATGAGAAATGAAAGATCTATCGTTATTTCAACATACGCCCTGTGTGGTTTCGCAAATATATCTTCAATAGGAATGGTTATCGGAGTTTTAGGTGCAATGGCACCTGAGAAGAAAAGTATAATTGCTAGAATAGCTGTAAGAGCGATGATAGCCGGTACTATAGCTAGTTTTATGAATGCCTGTACAGCTGGTTGGTTTTTCTTTTCATTACTTATAAAAAATTTTTAATCATTATTAAATAATGAAAATGTTTTCTTTCAGGTCTGCTTTATGAAGGCTAAATGTATTCTCCTTGCATAATGTACATTCTTTTGGCATTTTGTAAATAATAATAAGATGTGAAAGAGAAACTTAAATGCTTCTGTCAAAAAAAGAAACATTAATGAATGATTTAGTCCTATATGATTTATTTACTCTTTATACCACTTTCGCGAATAAAAAAAGGAGGGGAAATGAGCGATTTTTGCGGAAGTTGCTATATACAAAAGAGACACTAATAGACGGCCGTAAAATGATAATGCGGATAAAAAATTTAGGATTAGACGCTAGCTCATCGATTTAGAGTAGGAGTAAGGTGGAAAATATTTTTTTAATAATATTTATTAATAATTTAATAATAGTTTATTATTTATTTAAAAACTAAATTATCAGAAATTTTCGAACTTTTCGTTCAGAATGTGAAGTTTCCTCTGTTAAATGGAATGGAAGAATATATTAACTATATAATACCGATTGACATTTAATATTGTTTAGAAGAGTTGACAACTCGTTCTTTCCAGTTCGTTTATTATTTAGTATATTCAGAGTATGATTCATAATAATCTTACAAAGGAGGAAAAAAACTAATAACATAGAAATAATAAAAAAAATAAAGCAAGAGCATTATCTAAAAAAGACGAGATTCAAATGTTAATTATCATCTTAATAAAAGCAAGAACATATACGCATAAAAGTCTATGAATATATACATAAAGATATGTTTAAAAGGTCACCGATATAACAGTAAAAACAAAACAAAAAAGTTAACTTTTTTTATATATTTGTACGTGGTTTTTTTGTTTTGTTTTCGCTTTTACAGGTATGTTTCGCGAATTCCTCCGCCGAATATACAATAACTGTTACTTTCGTAATCGTGTGGAATTAAATACTCGTCTACTGTGTATCTTTTAAAGCCACAGAACAAAAGGGTAAGTAGGATAATTACATAGACTACAAACATTATAGTCGGTGCGATAAGAATCCACCAGAGCAAAATTCTACTACGTTTCTTTGCCAAAGTCGTTTGTCCGTTGCTCTTCAAGTTCCTTATGTTAAGTGATAGTAGCATAGCAACAACTCCTGGTAATTGGTAATTTTTGTTTTGTTAAATAAATCATCTTATTGTTTTAATAAGGTCAATTCATACGTACCACATGGAAGGAAAAATATTAGCATTAACACGCTCCATATAAGGTAAGTTCTAATTTTAAACTCCTTCTTACTATATGTTGACTGATCCATCGTAGTTTCCGCTTGTCCTCCGGTGTAAGTGTCAACTTTCATATTTTTCATCCATTGCGGCTGGTAATTAAACAACAGAGACTGATCCGATTGACCAACAGGAACAACTGATTGAGCTTTTGAAATATTTTATCATTTTACCCAACTGATTTCAAGATTCTAATTTAAAATGATCTCTTTTCTTACCTGGAGATTCATAATATCTTGTAGCGGGCACGTTTTGTGGATGGTAACGGTGAGGTATTCTTCCAGATTCTTGTGTGTAGCTGGAATGCATCGATGGTTGATCTGCCATTCTTGAAAAACTTTCATCTTCTGAATAGAAGCTTGTGTTCTCTGGATGAGCAAAACGCTGTCCTAAATCAGCATTAAAACCGGAGTTAATATGAGTGGTGGTAGCTTGTCTATATTCATCCATAATATTCTCAGGTGACGAAAACTTGAGAACCTACCGAAATTTTGAGATTATGCAGAAAATTCATTTAAACTAAGAGCAATTATTGAATGAAACCTTCTCTATAAATTATCTATTAATAAATTAAACAATTAAAATTTAATTTAATCTTTTTAGGGTCCATTTTGACATTGTTTAAAAAATTTACCTGGACTTACCTGTGTTTAAGTTAATAACGCCCTCTACATTAAAGGTGAAGGCTATTAGCAGACGACAATACGATGAAACTGATTAAGAAAATTTTCACTTAATTCAACAACGCGTAATTCGATACTTTTTATGCAAAAGACGAAAAGGAGCATGCAATTGACATACATTTCTCTTTTTTTGTAATTTTTTGCTATCGTTAGACTTACAATGATGGATTGTCATTCTAAAGACAGCATAAATTCTGTAAAGTATGAAAAAATTGGATTGTATATAAAGCTAGTGTATATAAAAATAGAAACGAAATTGCGGGTTCTTTGCCAAATATTCTCTCGCTGTGGGCGGTGTAATAGAAAGAAAAGGGAGCGGAGGGGACACGATGGAATATAAATTTTACATAATTTTAACAGAACGTGGCGCCATCTACCAATCGAAGGAGTTAAAACTGTTAATCCTAAAAACCTTGGTTGAAAAAACTTGCCTAAACAGGTGAAAAAAAAAATATTCTCCTCGAGGCGATTCTACCGTTTAAACGGCTGAGTCGAAGAGTTTAATTGAGTGGAAGGAAAGGTATAGTTTTAAATAGGCCTAACGACTCTCCCTAATCGATTTGCGAAATCATAGATCACAACGTCGCAGATGGCGTTAGTAGTTTATAGGCATGAATTGTTAAAAAGGAGAAGAGGGAATTTGAATGGGCGTTTTCCGCTATAATAAAAGAGACATAGATAGATAGATAGATGATGGATAGATAGTAGTAAAAGAGGAGGAAAAGAGGAGTGGCTTTTTAAAGCCAAGGGCTTGTAAAGGGAGGGATCAATGATGGCTAGGAACGTGCCATCTCACAAACAAACCTCCCAGTATTATAAACGTAGACTATAAAAGAATGGAAGGGGGAAAATCGGCAAAAAGCAAACGAAGCGTGGCCGTCTAACCGCTCAGCGAGCGTCTGTTTGAAGTAGAAATTGCAGGTAGCTACTATAGCTAGCAAAAGCACCGGATGTGGAGAATCTACGCTTGGTGTGAGCCATTGTAGCGGCATTGAGCAACTCTATCTGCGCTAAAATAGAAAGTGATGGGCTGACGATTGCTAACAATATTGACTTTGAGTGCTGGCGCATAATGAAATTATACGCGCATCTTGTTGTTTGGGATATATATGGGGAGGGAACGTGTAGGCCTATTAATCGAAAATAATCGGTAAAAATATAATGCAGTTGGTAAATTGGTTGAAATTGTATTCAAGGATAAACAACAATGGCAAATCAGCATAAACGGCTTGATCGCAAGTCAAGAATATAGGCCTTATATTATATATGTGCATGTATACAGCCTGTCGCCAGTATACGAGATAATTATCTCGTTATTATTACCGTCAGAAAAGTGTGTGTATCTTATCTTCCAGCGCATTAAAAGCCAACATATGTTTAATTGGGCGACGATCGATAGTCCGTACGTTCTTTTGCTTTTAATGCCCGCCGTTTTGCGGTAGGAATAAATAAAAAGCGCGACGTCGACGCTTTATGGACATTAACGTCAACGCGACGCCGCAATAAGACGCCCGATCCCGAGTTTTTTTCATTGTTGTTATTGCAATTTACGGAATCCGCGTAACTGCGAAAACAACGCTGGCGTCTCTCCGGAGACGCCCCGATTTTTTACCGAAAATGTCATACGCACTCCGCTAAATTGTAGCGCCTATACGGATCACCAAGCGTCTATGTGAAACGTGCGTGACGTCGAAAAATTTTCCTATATAAGTTTTTTTTGTGTGTATACTTTTGAAGGTGACGCCGTCTGGCGGTCGAAGTCAGAAAACATCTGTTCGCAATTGCTTTTTTCTGTGTATAGAGAACTAAAGGTAAAAAGCCAGTCGGTCGATATTCTTCAAGTGAAAAGATTTTTGTTGAAAGAATGTATCGATCTGAGCGTTTCTTATCGATTCGACGCCCGCCGCCGCGTTACCTTCGACTTATGAGATTTGCTAAATCAATGTCTATTTAGCTAATACGAACGCTCGACGTCTGCAAACGATTCTTTCTTTTTATTTTTAACTTTGACAAACAAAGACGGTACAAAGTCAATGTATAGAGGAAAAAAACGGTAGCCAGCAGCTGTTCCTCTTTTCTTCTCTTAACGCGTCACCCTTATATGTCTACGGAAATTATTACAGCATAGATACGGGTGACGAGATATGGCAAGAAGGGGGAAATTTGCTCATAGGCCGAAACGCCAGGAAACACGCTGATTGGCCGAGACGCACAAATAGTTTCTTAAGGAAAAGGTGGGGCTTATCTAAGATTCGATGCGCGTGCGCTCTGCCTAGAGAAACTGGAACAAGAGAAAAAAGAGACGCTAGTGAATATTTTAAAAGTGAACGTTCGTCGATGGATGATTACAACTTAGTAGAAACGGCATAGCTCTGGGCCATAATCAAGCCTCTTTCCATAGTCTTTATAGAACGACTTATAAATAGTGGAGTAGGAAGCGACGGCGCGTCGCGAAACGAGATAAAGAATTATATAAGCGTCGCCAGCAATATTTGTAGAGAAGCGTCAAGTTGGACGCCTCCCTCGAGACGGCAGCCAAATGCTCCGTAAGTAGGAGTTAGCCAAGCAGAAGACGTCGGGCGTCGAATCTTTTTATATGGCCAACTTGCCATTTTGAATAGACGACTGACGAGCGTCGTTTCCGGTTTGTCTTATTGTGCTTGTATATTGCAATATAGCAAAAAGTGACCAGAGAAAACGGCGCAGCGTCTATAGGCGTCGCACAATAGACGCCTAACAATCGATTAAAGCCGCGGGCGTCGCGCTGACAGCGGAACGACGAGAAAAATATATATCGTTCTCTTTTCTGTTGTGCCATCTTCACCTGGCGTTCTGCTTCATGCACCGCCGACCGTATTGCAATTATCAAACTTTTCTCCGAATCGATTCGACTGTTTCAATTTCGTCACGCTCGGCGAACGCGTTCCGTTTCCGGTTGCCATAAGAAAATTGATCGTTTTGACGGGACGACGTTTCATATATTTATATATATATATATATTTATATAAACTTATATATAAATACTATATATATATATATATATATATATGTTACTTATATATATATATATACATATATATATACTGTATATTTATATGTAGATACATATAAATATACACAAACATATATATATATATGTTAGTTGTGTGTGTCAGTATACATATACATATATGTGTATGTATCTTTACACATATGCATATATCAAGGCGCTATTTAACTACCGTATGTAGTGTCTATAGACACATTTATCACTTATAGTACAAATCTATACGCTAATACGTATCTAAATACATACTGTAATTTATATATACTGCAATCTTTTATATGATAAACGGATGTCAAGGCGTTACCTCACTTTATAAGCGTCTTAAAAAAACGCTCGTGCGTTTAAATCGCCATCTGTTCGCAATCAAAGACCGTTTTAAAGGTCATTCTCGTTCGGTGTTGCTTTGTTCTAGAACGAGTGACGCCCAGTAGCGTGTTTAGCAAGATAGTAATTTTCGTTCAGGGAAGAATACGTTGTCACGCTAAAAAACTACTCCCCCCTTATATATAAACTGATCCTTATCTAATCTTCTCCTATAAGCGACCGCACACGACGCTCATCGCCGTCCAAACGATTAACGAAACGTCAAAACGAACGATGACGGACGAGCGACGGCGTCGAAAGGGCGTCGCAAGACAGCGTCACCTAATTGAGCTTAAGAAGGCAATCTAGGACCTGTGACATCATGAATATTAATAGGAGGCAAACTGAGAAGTTTCGAACGTGCTGAGACGCGTGTCTGTTTTAACTTTGTTTTTGTAAACGCAATTTCTGCATGGTTAGGCGTTTTGAAATTAAACACGATTGAGTTGTAAGAGATTAGACTGATAAATAAATATATATCCAAATTTATATACATATGTTCTCTGTATCTTTCTATGTTTTCCATAGAATATTATCACGAAAAATGTGAAAAAGAGTAAAACTGTCGTAAAAAAGAAATTTTTTTATATAAATGATTCAATTAATACTCTATTCTTTAAAGTCTAATTAAAACACATAGTGAATTTATGCTTAAGTGTACCTGTTCTAATTAATGAATATTCATTTTTATATATTTTTAATATATTTATAATTGTTTCTTTTTTAATGCGAGTAAGAGGGGACAATGGATGAAAATTTAAAATCTTGATACTACAACATTTTCTAAACTTATAAAAATTTCAAAGAAAATTAATAAAAACATAAAATAGATAAATATTTAAATGTCCTTCAGGAGAATTTCTTTCCTAATGAGATTTCGTTGTCTCTAATAATCGTAAACACTCGCTGCTGTGCTATTTATAATCCCAGCAATTAAGAATATTTTAAGCAATTGTTTTTCTTTTACCCTTTCCATTGTTTGTGTCCCCGCCTTTCGTTTCCCTCTCTCTCTTTGCTCCCCTCTATCCTTATGCATATACATATACAGTCGACTTAATGGAAGAAAATGGAACATTATTCCAAAACAAACGGAGCGTAGTCGTTACGTCACAATGCGGCCAGGTGCGACGTTCCTAGAATGAGCAGCAGATGCGTTCGACGCGCAAAACTGACCACTCAAGACGGATGAACGGCTATTGTTCAAGACGTCGCCGCCAAATGTCGTGTTTGCATTGAAATCGCCCCATTTTCTATTTGTGTATATACAATTTCCAGGCGTTCCGTGCGCGTGGGTTGTTTTTTCATATATTCCATGTAGCGTATTTGCTTTTGCGTAGTTATATATTTATAATCGTATATATATATATATATACTGTATAATCTAAATATACACATTACTTATAAAATTTCAATCTAAATATACACATGTAGTACATTATATAAGAGATAAATAGACGCTATAATAGGCCTGCATAAATGACGGCCGACGCCCACCTTCTACTAATCTCTTAATCCGCGACGTGACGCACGCTTGATCCGGACAGCTGCGTTGTAAAACGTCGGCCTTGTTGTATTTTCGCCTCTTTATATATATATTAGGAGAAAAAATTCTTGTATTTGTTTTCTTTATAACATACATACATATATATGTATATATATATATATATATGTATCTATAGATATATATAATGAAAAAAAAACAAACATGCATTATTATATACATAAATATAAATACATATATATATATAAATAATTTTTAAATTGAATATATATAGTATATATATATATTTATAAAAGCACCTAAAAAATAAAAAATATGCAAATTGATGCAAACCCACCCAAAAAATTAAGTTCTACAATTTGATATAGATTATTTTCATTCCTGATAACGATCATATAAGACATATACACACAGTATACATATATTTAAAAAGTTTTTACTTAAAATGTCTATGTGTAATATGCATATATATATATGCCGCTCTCTCTGTCTCTCTCTCTCTCTCTCTTTCTTTCTATATATATATATGTATCTATACAATATATAGCAATTCGAGTATTTATAACAAAAGCATGCACAAAAAAATATAATAATTAAAAAACAATAGAAATTATAATAAAACACCACCCAAAAAAATAACCGCACACTTTATACATTTACAAATCAGAGTCAAGAAAAAAGGAGACATGTTTCACTTTTCACGCTCTTTCGTTTAGTTGATCCATCCAATTTACAGATTTAAAATATTCGGGTATACTTTCGTCCATTCGTTGAATAACTTTGTAAATTGCTTTCTTCCATGATTGTTCCTGGTCTTTACCGGTCATAATTGACTTATGGAATTCTCTCAGGGATTGTTGTACGACTTCCCGGAATTTTTCGGGTACCTATTTTAAATCGAAGGGATAAAAAAAGCAAAAAACTTGTTAATTATAAATGAAAAAGAATAAGAGTATAATGGACGCCTTGTAACGCCTGTAACTACTTTCTAACGTGTATAAATACGTAATTAACTCGCGAGGAGTGTTGTATTCGTGTAAAAAAAAATAAAAAAAATCGGCGCCGGCGCCTCCGCTGTAATTTTGCCATTTTTTCAGCCGGCGCGTAAATTGCTGTCTAATAGCTTTAATAACTCGCGTTTCCTGCATGCTTAAGCGATTATTATAAATATTAGATATGCATGCAGAGAGAGTATATATATTTTTTTTTTCGTTGTTGTCGTTTACTCAGTCGATTCCGCCGTCTTATATTTGCCGACAAATTTCCGCGTCTAAGTGCCGCCCGAGTTGCTCGTTCGATAATATTTCATTTTTCCGTTCAGGTGTGGTGTAGCAGTCACGTGATCACGTGCGCGACGCGAGACGGTGGGGAGCATCACGTGAAAAATTATAAGCCTATTGAGGTAGATCATACAAGTCGCGTGATCTATTGGATAAAGTGACAGTCTCATGACGGCGATTCGATTCTAGAAAGAATCTTAAATTACACTTTCTTATGAAGGGAAATCAGCATGGGCGGTGGCCGGAAGAGAGAGTGTCTGCGTGCTTGATGACTGTGTTAGAAAGAGATGAGGGAAAGAAAAAGGCAACAAATGTACAAATAAAAACGATAAATAATAAATGATGCGTAGGATTCCCTCCCTCCCCTTTTTTCTTTTAACTGAGTAAACCCGTTAGCCTAGAAAGTAATCACGTGACGCCGAGAAACACCTCAATGAGCATCTGGCCGGTTATAATCGGCTCGGAAGTATACTGTATACAAAAGGGCGGCAGGAATCAGACTTCAAAAGGCAAAGGCGAGACTTGAAAGGTCTTGAGGTTCTTATCAATACGAAACTCACTTCGATTTGATTATTCCGGTTATAGTGCAGATTAAGAACTCGGAACAGTTCTGAATCAGGGTTTACGTGCAGATCTTCCACATTCGATATACCCTCCGAGATGGCTTGCCTAGCGTACTTTTCCATTTGTATATAGTAGAATTCTCTGTGAAAAAAACAAACAAGAAATGTCATGCAGAAAAACGGAACATGCAGAGGCACGTTTCGTTTTGAAAGAAAAGTGCTAGCTCGGCTTCAGTTTTCAAAGGCGGCGGCCGATAAGAGTCGACGGTATAGTTTGTCAGCGTTTGTAATTAGCGAGAGGCGATAAGCCTGCCGCGTGTTTGCTTTGTAAAAGCCGTAATTGAAATAGGGATACATGTATACACACATTTTTTCCGATAGTCCTATGTAGTCAGTACTTAAGTGTATGTGGCTATAAACTACGTATAATGTGAATATAATCCTACATCTTAAATTATTTTTGTGTGCAAAATGCTATAGCGGCTACTGTATGAATATTAATAAGCGCATAAGATTATAGCTTGCTACGGATATGTATGGACGACAATAAGAACATATATGTTAATGAAATATTCACAACCAGCTTGCAGAGAGCGAGTATTAAGAAAGAAAAAGAATAAAAACGTCGAGCGAACCAATTCATAATTGATCAAGACGCGCATGCACAATAGAACGGCGTCCTTATGTCGGTGAATTATGCAAATTAAGCCGCGTGACGGCAAACATAAGACAAATTAGCGGTTCGCATAACGCGCCGATAGACGCTTCTTGACACGCAATTAGTAGACGCTTTAGACGCCCGCGGTGACAATTTCTGCTGTGGTTTGTAAGGAGAGACGGGGCACAGTTCTGTTTTGTTTTATTTGTTCGTGTTTATATACTATAAGCCGAGACAGCGTCTCTTGACAAAAGCTATACGGTCAAGTAGAAGACTAAGTTTGTCTTAATGTCCCCGAGCGTCCTTCACGTCAACCGTCTCTCGACTTAATGCCACGCGACAGCAAAACACACACAGACGGTCGTTCGGCGTCCATGCGTTGCATGTAAAAAGTCTTAAAATAGATACAAACAACGACAAATGCTTTTTTCCGCCGTCGTAATTCGACAAGGAGACGGACAAAATTTTCCTTAGACGGCTTCCGTTTTAACGAGTTCTGTCTTATATGAGTATACATACACTGTTTAAAATAGCGTATTACTATATATATAGACATTAATACTTATATACAAATATAGTCATAACGGACGAATATTCTTTGTATCATTTTCTTTTTCTTTATCCTATATGGAAATCTATTTAAGTGTATCTATATCTATATCTATATCTGTATTTGTCTGTATAGATCTATCTATATATTTGTATAGATATACGTCCTATGTATTTAACTGTTTCTCAAAATAAATAAATAAATATCTCTCTCTACAATAGTATATGAATAAATATATAAATAAATATATATATTTATAAATATGTGCTAGGAGACCACACTGTTTAAAGGCGTCTAATCTCTTTAGCTTTTCGCCTTAACGATTCTTCATGCATAAAATATGAGATTTAACTTTTTCAGTCGGCATTCACCACATTTCTAATCTTTTAAGATTTTATTATCTTACGTGATCCATCACAGAAATGTCCCTCTTTTCTCCTAACTCGATCCACTCTGTCCCTCATAACTCCCTTATATAGCTTTTTTATATATCCACGTTGCCGTTGACTGCTTCCAGTCAATGGTATTTAATGACAAGAAAGGATCACGTGATTAACGAAAAAAAAACTAATATATCTAAGGCTTTATGTCGGTGGGGGAAACGGCGCATAAAAACCGATGTTCACGTTGCCATTAACTTTAGTCAGTCAATAACATTTTGACGCTAAGAAAATTAAATTAAACGCCTCGTGAATAAATGGAAAGGTGGATTACTTAAAAATATTTAGGAAGATAGTGGATCCAAGCCTAGAAAATAAACGCCTTCTATGATACATTTTATAGACATAAAGAATTTATATAAATATTCGTTATATATACATAAATAGACGTATACACAAACACACATACAGTCACACAGAATCAATACATCGTAATAAGACAGCTGCGGCAGGTGAGCAGTGTCCAGGTGACGATCGACGTCAAAATGTCAGGCGTCTCTCTCGTTCAGAAAATGAAATTTATACGAGTGTAAAGGGTGACGCTCGTTAAGACAAACACTATAGAAAAAAAATTTCCTTCTTATAAGCGCACGCAGTTTGTACCGAAAGGCAAAGCAGAAAAGCGACGCTCATTAGTCTAAAGACCCATCAAAGACTTCACCTTGTTGTTTGAGGTAACGTCTATAACGAGCTCTTTATATGCGGATTCTCGCTGACCGACTGCGCAGTTGTTGGGCACGTTCTCCTTTGTCTTTCATCTTCCTACACACATAACATAGGCGGTTCTCTTTGTTGAATAGTTACACAAGATACACAAGACAAGAACCTTATCTTCTTGTAGAACAAATATCGCCGCTCGTCAGAAAACGTGTCAACAGATAAGCGCCGCACAAACAGTCTATAAACAAGACAATCGTACGACGAGGGCCGCGGCTAATCTTGTTTGCACTAGTGCCGTCTGATTTCTCGAAGGGGACGGTTTTGTATAGATATATACCAATAGCTATGGATATTCCTATATGATTGTATATACACAATATACACTCCATACCTCTTTATGATATTAGATATAATTATTTACATACATTCGTGCACACCATATAATCTTAGCAATAGCGTCTACAAGCGTGCGGCATGTGTTCGAGAGTACATGTATCCCTATTTGATCTTTTTTATATTAACAAAAATTCATAAGAAAGCGCTTTACAGAAGAATGGAGTAGATAGATAGAAAATAATATAGGAGAAAGAAAATTAATGTTAAACTCACCGGAAGTTGGAGAACCATTTGACGAGCTGAGCCGTATTGTTCTTGTTGAACTTCACATCTGGAAAGTACATTTTGATGATGCTGGACGACGGGTAACGTGTGTAGAAGAACATGAGTTTGGCCTTTCGTAGATGCATAGGAGTTAACGTCTGAGTGTATTCGTTAGGTTAAGGATCGGAAATTTGCATACACAAAGCCAAATCGGATAAAAAGGAGGCAGTAAACATGTACTTTATTCATAGAGCCCGGCGCCCAGATCGCTCTCTAATGCATGCATTATGGAACAGTTCGTTGCAAGATGATGGCCGTCTGCGGCGTCTTACAATCTCATCTATATGCATTTATGTAAATCAACGCCGATAACGTTCGCTTTTATGCTTACGTAACGATACAAACAAAAACGCGGATGACCGTAATCGCGGTTGGAAGTGAGAGCCCACCTATGGAGCGCCAGAAATAGCTTAGTAACAACTTCTCAGTGTTATCTTATACCAATTGCTCCGTCTCCCGCTTACCTTCCCCCCGTACCACCCCGAGAAACCCTCAGGGCTATTGCGCGCTTATCGAGGCGGCGTGCGCCATGATCTTTAACGATCCCGAGCAATGATTCTTCTGACACGATAATAGCTTTGTCGCTCCTTTTTCTTATTATTATTATTACCCGCCCTATACTGTTGAGTAACAGTTAATAAACACTATTGACCCCTATAAGATATATAGGACTGCATAATGTGTTGGAATAAAAAAAATTTCATCGTCCCAGCTGTTACTAAAGTCAAGAATAGCTATCGCTAACGAACCCTACAGCAAAACTGCTTTTGTGACACGATAATAGTTTTGTTTCCCTTTTCAATTCTTATTTTCACTAACTCAACTACTTCCCCTCATATTCCGTGTAAAGCTTTTAAGAAAATTGAAATTCTATACAAATGAAGGCAAGAAAAAGGATATCTGACCGCCGTCGTAGTCTGAATTACCGAATGTCGAAGGGCTGTTGTCCATTCCATTCGAAGTCTGCACGCCCGGAGATGTCTGATTCCTGTCAGGGGTATTCGGGGAACCAGCATTTCTAGAATTGACCGCTGGCGTCATTAGATGCTGGGCCGGAAGCGGGTTTCCATAATGTGGGGTTTCCGGTTGCGAGTAGAAAGCAAAGACGTCCGACTGGTTTAGGGATGGATTCGGTATAGCAACGGACGTCGGTAGGGAGACGGGCAGCAGAGGATTCGGGTGGAATCCGTGGAAGATAGGGTGCGGTGGGATGGCTGGATGAATTTTCTCTTCTGTCGGTGGGGGGGGTGGAGGTGTAGGAGAATCTTGAAAGCCACGACCGTTTCTTGGACTAAGGCGGGTATCAGTTACCTTTGTTCTTTTCTTCTTTGGAGTTACTAATGGTAGAGCTTCTGTTTGCTCCGGTTCACCAGCGGCTGCCGCCAATAAAGACTGTTGTCTGAGAGCAGCCAGCATAGGAGCCGAAGGGGGTGGCGGTCCAGTAAATGGGTAGTAGGGGGCATGGAAGAAAGGCGGGCGGTATTCGTTGGGAAAAGGTTTGACTTCAGCTGTAGAAAGAGAAGTCGACACTACAGCCGACCTCTGCATTTGATTATCTTTGTCCAAGTTCCTCCGCCTCGCCAAATTAAATAAACGCTCCGGTAATTCCCTCACCGGGCTCTGTTTGACGACCTTCGACTTCTCTTTGTTGATTGCCGACACTATGACGCCCGGGGTTTCCTTCGGTGCGGACTTTTCTGTTTCCTTCCTCTTAGAGGCGAATTGAGAAAAGACTTGATCAATTACGGATTCTAAAGAGGATGTCATCTCTTTCTTTAGGGCGGAGGCTAATTCCTGTAATTCAGCAGGCGACGCGTCTAACCTTTTCTCGCAAACGACTGCTCCTCCTTCCAAATCCGTTTGTAATTCATCGTGTCTAGCCTGTAAAATAGCTAATTGGCTCTGCATAGTTTTTAATTGAGCAGCCAAAGCTTCTTTTTCGTAGTGTTTGATTTTATCTTCGTCGTCTTCGTCAAAATCTGCTTCGTTTTCGCTCATTTCAGCCGAATTTGATTGGGGCAGTGGCTGAGGACAGTACTGCTTTCGCTTCTGTTTTCGTTTTCTCTCCGGACTAGTACAAGTACGCATTGAATGAATTATGTTCTCAACTCTTGCACGTTTAATTTCCGCTTCTGGTTTGTCGTCCAATTCCTCTTCTATATAGGAATCATCAGATGAACCATCGTCATTGATTACTCTTGATCTAGACGGACTGGAGTCGTCATCGAATCCAGAATCCGGATTTACGTTATTGTTATTGTTGTTGTTGTTACTATTATTGTTATTATTAATAGCCTTTTTCTCTGGTCGCAGTAAATCTGCAACCGCATAGCCGCATGATCGTTCGACGTTAGTTTCCGTGTTCATTGTTATTTCTGTTTCTTATGTTTAAAAAAAAAACAAAGAATTCCCTTAGTAAATCCAAATTATATAGCATTCAATTAATAATTTAATTAAATCTATGTATAATGTATAAGCATATGTTACATGTGGAGAAGACTATATAGTACTCTGCATAGTGAACTTAAGAAGAGCCGTTTTGTTAAAACCTCGAAATCCTAAGTGCATATTTCTTTCAAGTGAACAGCAATGTAAAAAAAGGGATAAAAAAACTTTGGAAAAAAAAAACATATCCAGAAAAGAAAAGACAAAGATTAACAATTTCAGAAACACTCTATATTAAAACAAATAATGCGACAAGACGAGTAAAGAGTACACACCGTATCTTAATAATAATCATATAATTGCCTCAGTAATTGCTAAACACTTATATACACATACGCCTGCGAACACAAAGTTCTCACAAAAATTACCGAGCAATTTTCTAGACAAACTGCTTATTATAAGCCTATTTCCATATATAGCAGTTTAGATAAAAAATAATATTTGGTAGAAAGATTTCGATATAGAAACAGAAGTGAAGAGAGATTAAAGTAGGCGGAGAAGAGATATGAAAACAGAACTTGAAAGGAGGAGGGGAAAAGAGAAATTGAGAAACGTAGCGATGGGAGAGATTTGTAAGAGAAAGAGAGAGAGAGCGAGAGAGAGATAAAAAGAGTTAGGTAGAGAAAAAGAGGTTACTGAAAGTTATAAATAGAAAAAAAATAAGATAGACATTGAGAGAAAGAGAGAAAAACAGACGATGGAAAGGATTGTAATTTTAAAATACCAGGAATTAATTAAGGACAACGCTTAGAATGTAATAAATTTGCGAAAGAAGTCGAAAGCGGTGAAAACGGCAACATCTGCAATTCTCAAGCTGGTCACAGATGCCGGTTTGTCTACGTATAAAGAAACAAACAATTTTTCTCCAACTTTTACTTTATATCGATTCTTTTTATTATTATTTTTATTATTCCTAAACTTTATCGGATAGATAATAAGACACAAATGATATGACGCCGTAGGAAGGCAAGAGATAACATACCTGGTTTGTCGTTTAAAAACGTCCCATTCACAGTGAGAGACGAGAGAGAAATGAACGGGCGACTGATGAACACTTAGACAATATCAAGATGATGACTGCGGACTAAGAGGAGGCGGAGCGTATATCCTCTCAGCCAATGAAGTCGCTTCGTAAAGGTCTCGGTCACGCGCCGTTTGTAGGGTACCCTCTAGAGGTAGATGTGAGGTAGCCAGTCTAGTCAGGTGTGCGTTGCCCAGGTTAAAGGGCGTTATAGAATAATTTCGCGCGTGCGGTGTCTTTGTTCTTACTGATCGTGGGGTACGCGAAAAAAAATATATTTACGCGCGGGACGCTCTTAGTAGACGCTCTCTCCGAAAGAAGCGTCTATTTGCTATGTTTCGTTAGCTTTACAGTCCCGAAGGAAACGGACAAACGATTCTACGGCGGGCGTCTATCTCCTTGTACGTCAACTTTTTAACGTTTTTAAACGACGCCCCGTATTTACGCTAATTAACATTCACAATACTCTTACGCAATAATCGTCCTACTCGCGTCCGTCGATTATGTAACGTCTTGCGCAAGTTGAAACGACGAACGTGTCTATTATGGGTAGAAATTACATATGTATATAAATTACTTGTAAGAGCAGTATTTAGAAATTGAACGTACTTGCACAGATATACTGAAATTGCGCTCATAATAAGATCTGTTCATTTATTTATGATATTTTAACACGTATATTATTTTTTAATAAAAAAAAAGCTTCAAGATGAAATATAGTATTCTTAGCATGAGTAATTAAAGAGTATCATTTCAATTGAAAAAGATATGACTTACCTTCTATTCAATGGCTTTTTGTTTAAATTGAAACACCTATACACATGTATAGTTGTAGTATATATATATATATATATATATACATATATATATATAAATATATATATACTTACATATATATATATATATACTTATATATAAAGATAAGTTGATGAATAAATCTTTAACTAAACGCTTTTTTGTATCGATATTTATAAATCGGAGAACGAAACGTTATTCTTGTCCATCAGACAAAGTAAGAAAGATAAATAGATTTAGACTAGCTTCACTATCTCGTCAATATACCATAAAATCGTTTCTGATCCATCTCAAGTGTACATTGATAGATAAAAAAGGAGTTTATGCCATTTTTTCTTATCGAGACAGTGCTCTTCTCGAATTTTATAAATTTTATTGCCTTGAACTGAAATTTTCCTCTTATCTCGTCTTTGTAAAGTAATTTTCAGTCTAATTTTAAAGCCGAGAAATTCTAGCCGCATGTTTATACGACATTTAATCGCCGTGCAGAATTTGACCAACAGGCTCCATCTGGCGGTCTCCGTCTTCTCTTTCAACCATACCCTTGCCTTCTCCCCTTTCTACTTTTTATCAATTCATTATTCTCATTAAAACTTCAATTGAAAGACGAATGCCGAATAGAATTAGAGAATCTCGAACTGAATCTAATTAGATTCTAATTTTACCCTGATTTTAATTAATCTGTGAGGAATGTGAATATTTTGTTTTTCCTCCTCATCTTCCGTTCAATTTTATGCAAGACGCTGACGGCGGAATTTACGTGTTGAATTGCAAATTAGATTGGAAAACACCAACGAGTACGCATAAATGTAAGAAAAAAGTGGACATATATTAAGTTCTTTTTCATCTTGTTTTTATCAATTTTACTTCTCAATGGAACTGTTACGATTATTATTTCTCGGCTTCAAACGTCTAATGTAAAGCCAAAAGCGTCCCGCGAGAAATAACTATAGACGACGCCATCTACTGTCTATTAGTTTAATTTTTCCCTAGGCTCCTTCATTCCCTTCCCATATTAGCTCCCAAGTATGCCATTTATATTTCTTATAAACAATTCACAATTTTATAGTTGAAAAGTTGGAAAAAGGCAATTCTTTGTTTATATATATATATTAATATATACTATATATACCGTATACTGCTTATATACGTATATATATATATATATATATATATATATGTATATATATATATATGTATATATGCGTATACTGTACATACTGTGTTTATAGAGTGCATAAGCTAAACATTGGCAATATTGTTCTTTCTACTTCTATTAGCGATGTCTCTTAATCTATTTACTTATTACATCAACCAAAAAAAAAACACACTTTGAAAGTTCTCAAATCTCTGTTATCGTTGTTGCATTAAATACGTTTATTTAGATTTACGACATGCTCTTTGTAAGGCGACTAAAAGTAAAGCTTTTCACTGAGAAAAGCAAGAGAAAGAGTGTAATAAAAGAAGGGCGATTGGGTGGGATATATGCAAGTATATTTTATACTGCATATATCCTGTATATATATACAGTATATATATATTAATATATATACTGTATATCAGAAAATAGGGATATATATATACATATTTATATATTTATTTACAAAGACAGATAGAGATATAGTGAGACTGGGAGGAGAGGAGGAGTAAAGGGAATTAAATAATTTTTTTAGAGTCAGATTATCGTAATCTCTTTCTGCGAGTGATTATTAGATTACTAAGGAAAAAAATAGATTATATTTAGAAAGAGGAACTAAATAAATAAAAAAAAAGTCACGAAAACAGAAGAAAACAAATAGAATAAAAAAAAAAAGAACACTAAAAAAGGGCTTCACATCTATTATAAGAAATTTTATGTGAAATAGGAAATCTTAATCAAATTATAATAGACGTAAAGTAAGTTTAATAAGGATATTTTGTTTTCCTTTTTTAATATTCATCATTTTCATTTTGTTTATTTATATATAGATATATAGACTATATATCTATAGAGGAATAAATACTCTTTAGTTAATGCTAATCTTAGTTAATTCAAATGTTTGCTTGTTTTTTGTATTTTTAGTAAAATTCTTTATAAATTCAAAAGCTTATAGAATTAATAAGATAGAATTATTTTCCATTTTTATTTTCGTACTTTACCTACTTGAACGTATTTCTAATGGTTTATCTTATAAAATTACTTATTTATGAGGGATGAAGATAAAAATTGTGAGCATGATTAAAAAAGAGAGTATACAATAAGAATTTCATATAGATTATTTTTCACTTATTCTTCGCTTCTTAAGTGAAGAAATTACAACGCAGCAGTTCCATTATTACAACATTCGTACGCTTATAATTATATAACTCTTAGTCTTATACTCTTTTACTTTTGCTGTTTGCTTCATATAGAGGTTTTTATAGGAAAAATTATAAAATTATCTAAAATTTATAATTCCTCGTTGTAGAATAGTTTATGTAACTGTAGCAATTTTATAGGAAAGTCATTGAATATCCTCTGTAAGATTAATCTAGTTGATGTTATGTCAAAACTTTGAAAATGAAGTTTCTTTCTTTTAAAATCTTGTAACACCTAGATTTTCACCTGGCATACTTCAATATCATAAAAAATGTCGTAGTTCTATTTACTTATATCATTAAATCGTATTCTTTGGCCTCGTAATAAAAAAAATTGTCCTTTTATATGGTGCTTTTGTTTTTTTTAAAAAAAAAAAGAGACAAAAAGAAAGAGAGAGGAAGAGAAAGATTCGATTTATTTAAAATTCTTTTCCAAAGTTTCAATCATTTATAATGAAATTTAATAGTTGCTTTCAACGGTCTCAATGAGACTGAAGAGAAACACGATAATCGTTCCAATTAAGATGGAAAAGAGTTAGTTAGTGTTTAGCTTAATGAAAAATTAACGTTACGGTTAGCTGAATATTAATACTTGCTCATTTCGTTTAAGTACTTATAGATTTTTTTGTATAGTGTACTCGTTATTTGAATAGATGTAGAAAATTATGTAACTTGAGCAATATATAAATAAAAGTCCATTATAGGAATGTATGATAAATTACACTACTAGAATGCAAGGTTTATTTTACTTGTCCTTTCATAGAAGTAATTGTTGACAGAATAAAAAAGGATTGATTAAACTAGTTTTTTTTTGTAACTGATAAGGAACAGTATTCAATTTAATCAGAAAGAAGAGATGAATAGGAAGAGGAAATACAAATGTATCCACACTATATTATTATTATATATACATAGATGTATGTTTAATTTATATATACAAATATATAGTAGATATTATGCGCAGTATATACAGTATACATATATAAACCTACATATTCCTCCAAGGTAAACACTGTATCTGTGTCAACTATAAAATACTAGGAGGAATTTATTTTCTTGACAATTTGAGCTGATAAATTACAAGAGTTTGCATATATTAACTGATTTAGTATTGAAAAGTTCAAATGTACTATTCATTATTATATAAATGAGAAGATAAACATACATCTTCAAATATATATATATATATATATATACTGTATATGCATATGTGTATATATGTATAATGTTTTACGTTTTGTAGATATACAGTATATTTAATTCATACATAATGTATATAGCGTATATGTGTAATTGCACTTAAACAAGTGCTTATATTCTATAGACAATAAATGTAGAAACTTAAGAAATACGTTAAACAATTTCATTTTTCAGTCCATCTTGATTTTGTTTCCGTTTTGTTATCGTATATATCTGTAGTTATTAACAAATACTGTTTTGTATTGTGCTCATAATATTAATATATAGGAAATTGATATTGTAACCTTTTTAACTAAATTAAAGGATTTTTTCTCTTTATAAGAAAACTCCCTTTTTTAGTATGGCTAAAATCAATCTGTAATCTATAGTTTATTATAATATTCTATTTGATTATTAAGCTATTTCCTATTAAACAAAGGCTGTTTTAATTGATTTTTAATTACGTGAGAAAGACTATAACGCCATCTATATTTTTTAATTAAAATCTCTTCAAGGTCAAGGCAGATTAAAGCAGACGACAACAAAATACATAGCTTGAGTAATAAACTCTGCCTAACAATCGGGTCGCTTATCCACCGAGTTGATTTTGGTAAGAATGGAGAGAAACGTATTTGAAACTGCGACGCTAACAGACTCACAACCTGAAACAAATGAAAATTTTGAACAATTGATTTTAAAGGCCGACGACTTGGCCAGCGATGGCGACTTAGGATCAGCTTATTTAGTATACCTTCGAGCTTCCAAACATAAAGAATTCAAACCTTCAAATTTATCCAAGCTTATCGACTGTCTAGTTGAAAACCTCAAGATGGCTCAACAAATTTCAAATGATCTATTTTCTACGTTAACTTGTGAGATCTGTTATGGACTCCTAATAGATCCTGTTACAGTAGATTGTGGTCATACTTTCTGCAATAGTTGTTTATCAGGAATAGTTAACTGTAACATTTGTCAAAATGTTGTTACTCCAGACTTTAATAGAAATTTAAATGTTCTCTTAAACAAGTTAATAAGAGGATGGATACCAGAATATAAAGATATATTGGATAGAAGGAAAAGAGTTGAAGCCCTTCTAGTTAATAAGATGTATAATGAATGTCTGGAGATTATAGAAGAGTCGCTTAAATTAGGTAAGAAAAAAAGTCTTTAAACATAATCTATACATTATCGTTATTATTATTATTAAATAACTCGTAAATTATCACTGTTAAGGACTTGAAAAGCATATTTATTTGTCAATGAGAAGTCGATTACACATGGAAAATGGACGAGGAGATTCGGCGTTGAAAGATGCCGAAAGAGTTATTAATCTTAAGCCAAATTGGATTAAGGTAAATAAACTATAGAGAAAACATTCTAATTCTACACACATTCATTATTTAAAAGTAGGTCTCACTCAAGTTATCATTGTTTCTTTATTCTTATTTAGGTTTCTTATCCATTTTTTTTTATAATAACTATGTACATGAGTAATAAAGAAATCAGAAGGAAGATATAGGCTGATATTGATAATGAAAATAACAATAAATAATGTTACCAGTGAGACCTATTTGTTGAACTCGAAACTAGGACATACTCAACGATAATATATAAAACCATTGCCAGCGTGTTTTCTATTTCAAGGACACATAGTCAATGTATACTACTATTTAGCCCATTAATGAAAAGTTAAGGTATATATATATCTATATAATTGAGTAGTATACTAGGTTAGATTGTTTTATATTTTTTATCGAAATTTAACAATTGTTTAAAGTTATATTAATAGAAAAAACGGTTATTTATTACAAATTATTACCACTAAAAGGAGATTGACTCATTATTACAAATTCCACTTATTACCTTCTCTAATACGCATTCTAGTTCTATTAATTATTACAGTAATATATTTTACGAAACTCTCCACTAGGGAGAGTAAGTGTTATAGTTTTTTCTTTTCTCTTTTTTTTTTACTTCTACCCTACTATATGATATTTGTTAATTTAATTTGCTAATTAATTATTCATATATTCATAATTTTAATTTTTTAAAAAGTTTTGCTTCTAAAATTTATTATTTTTATATATTTGGAAATTTTCTTCAGGCTCACTACCATCTTGGTGAGATTCTTATACAATTAGGCTACACTGAAGAAGCAATAAGATCATATATGACTGGTCTATCTTTAAATCCTGATAACCCTGATTTAAGAGAAACTATCTCTCAACGAATGTTCCAGTTTATCAAAACTTCTACGCCGGAAGAAGCATTAAGGGCGAATGTTGCAAAGTCGTCCATGATTCGACAGAGAACTCATATTCATGATCCAGAGGATTCAATCGACAACATAAAAAGGAAGTTAGACGACGCTCAACTTCCGATGGAAGAAATTAACTGTTCTTTGTGTTGGAGGATGTTGTTTGAGCCGTCTACCACTGTTTGCGGTCATACGTTTTGTAAAGAATGTCTCAAAAGATCTCTGGATCACTCTCCCAATTGTCCTCTATGCAAAAGTTCACTGGTTCAAATGCTTAAGCATAGGCTATTCTCTACCGATAAAATTTTCGAATTGATTGTAAAGCATTTCTATCCTCAACAATATTCCGAACACTACTCCGAGTTATTAACCGAAAGTCTGTGCGTTTCAGGAATCAGCGACCGAGAGATGAAAGTCCCCATATTTGTATGCGTTGTTACTTTTCCAGGTGTACGTTGTCCACTTCACATTTTTGAGCCTCGATACCGTCTTATGGTTCGAAGGTGTATAGAAAATGGTTCTAGAACTTTCGGTATGGTTAGACCAATGTCTGATAACTCGTATGCGAATATAGGAACTCTAATGTACATTGAAGATGTTACGTATTTACCAGATGGAAGGAGTCTAATTATAACTCAAGGATCCAAAAGATTTACAGTATTGGATAGATCATACGTTGACGGTTACAATGTTGCTAACGTTAGAATTCTAGAGGATGAGCCGATACCCGAGGCTGAACGTCAAGACACAATGAATTTGCACGATCAAGTATTAGAGCAGAGCAGAGAATGGTTAGCAACTTTGAGTGAAAGTCGACGCTCCAAAATATCACAGCAAAATGGCGATATTCCAAGTCCAGGTCTGACAGAGGATGAGATTAAAGAAAAAGATGGCCCAATATGGCTATGGTGGCTAATATCTAGCTTACCTTTAGAAGAGCAATATAAGATTAATTTGCTAGAAAAGAACAATTTAACACAAAGACTACGATTTATACAAAGTGTTTTGAAATATCTAAGTGAAATGCAGCAGCAAAGGTGACTAGTCATTGTTACCTTTTCTATATTGGTAACCATTTTTGCTTTATTCCAGCATCTCATAACAGATTAGGAAATATATATATATATATATATATATATATATACATAAATACAGTATATATAAATTTTTATATGTATATAATATATATATATATATACTGTATATATATTCCTGCAGAAATCAATATTATAGCTGTAAATATTATTTAAAATGGATATTTTTTAAAGAATTCAATTATTTAATGAAAGTGAATATATTAATTACAATTCAACTTGAATAAAAGCAAGAGGAAAAGATAAACTAAGCTATAAGTTGCTAATAATAATTTTTTATTTTATTTTTAGCCTATATCTTTTAAACCTTTACTTTTATAATAATACGCGATATTGAACGAAAATTGATTTTATTTTCTTTGGTCTTTCGTCAAGATAATTAAAAATATCATAGTCTTTTTAAATGTTAATAATTTTTTGTTTTTTTATTTATGAACAAACTTAACGAAAGATGGCGTTAGTGTAAAGTACAAATTTTGCTTTATTTTCGTTTTTCGGATGAGTTTACTTTCTTTGAAAAGTATATAAATTAAGTTTAATGCGTTATATGCATAAGTATTTACGTATATATTTGCTATGTCAATTTCTTATTCCAATATTATCAAATAATGAGATATACACATGTGCCATCTAAATATGTATATTGGAAGCATTGATATATACCATTCGTAATGTACACATATTTACAGTACGTGTATGTGCTAATTTTACTAATAAATGAAGCATATTTAAATATATTCTGGATATATATACACATACATAGTATTAGTATGTATTACAAAAGTCATGTAATGATGAAAGTCATGAAATTGTCTTTGTAAACGGATTGAACTTTCCGAAAGACTCCTTTATTTACTCATTATAAACGCATAAAATAGATTTAATTACAATATATACATTGAAAGGTATATTTAAATATTATTCCAAGTACTCCATTAAGGTTCTTTTATGGTCTTATAAATGAGTACTTCAAAAAGAAATATAATTAAACATTCATGCTAAAAAAAATAAAAGATAATTTAAAAAAAAATGAAGAAATATATATCTACATCTCAAATTATATTTATTCTGTATAATGATATAAATATATTTCTTGACATGTGTTCTTCTCAGAGCATCTCTAAGAAATAATAAGAATATTATATGTATGCATATTATTTCTTTCATGCCATCCGTTGTCCGTCTACTTGAATATCTCTCTCTCTCTCTCTCTCTCTCTCTCTCTGTTTAAATGTTTTGATTCTTGTTTTTGTGTTTTTTTTTGTTTTTTACATCATTCCTCTTCTCCCTAACCTTTCTCTCTTTCTCTATCTTCTTTCATTAATCAACTTCTCCAGAATAGAGTAAATAGAATTATATTTGTTTTTCAATATAATTTATACTGGTATAAGAAAAACGTCGTATCTCTGAAAGGTACAAATAAACTAATAAAAGTTACACACGAAAAAGTAAACGATTAGTCATTTTCGCGAACGCATTAAAATAATTGCCAGGGGGAATTAAACGTCTTCGATTATCGTTACATAGAAAAGGGAACTTAAGTATAAGAATAAACGTTTTTTTAACTAGCCTAGGTGGCGTCATTGAGCCTCGAAAGAGAGCAATACGGTAGATCAATGTGAACTGCCGTTTAGGAAGGCCGATAAGAATCCTTTTTTTTTGTTTATACAATGAGAAAATAGCAAACACACCTATTTTGGAATGTTGCCATGTTTAAAAGGTAGGTTTGGGTTTTGGTACTTTGGAGTTTTTAGGCCTATCTTGGCTTTTCCGATAAATATCTTTCTATAAATAATTAATAATTGATCGTCAATTTATAACTAAAGGAAAAAAAAACGGTAGATGTTATTGCTCACCTTTAAGAGGTTAAAGATTATTATTAATAATGTATGGGCTATGTAACTACTTACGTCAGAAAAACTGTCGGTAAATAGATCTTTTTGTCGATCTATACAAAATTAGATATACTGTAAATGTATACGAGTATTATAGATATCATATGCACACATATTCTGTTCATGAGAGTACGTTAAGTATAGATGTAATGGGTCTCCAGTAAAACGAAGTTTATAGGCAATTGTAAACTACACCCCCTGCTGGATTATATCTGGATAAAATTTCGGTTTTATTTATGACGGTAAAAAGAGAGGTGTAAATAATCTACCGTTCATTAAAATTGAAATTTATTAAGAAATTAATAATAAAAAGTTATAGAAAGATTATACCGTACTTATCAAGTATTATAAGGATGGTAAATGACGATAAAGATAGTTACAGGGAATAAAACCACGCCCTCTGACGTATTTGAGAATTATCTTCTGTATTATACAACAATCTTCGAACTTTTTTAACAAGCAACATATAAATATATATATATCGTCATAAATAATTGATAAAAAAATTATTTTATTTGCAGATACTGCCGTTTTCTGTCCAGGCGTCCTTTGGTGATAGTTTTAATCGTTTTAGCGGTGACACTAGCCGCCTGCGTCTCCGTTTTACTTAGCGGAAAAGCACCGCGACTAGGGGAGGCAAGCGAGGTAGAAAATTTTCTCTATGCTAGGCCTATAAAGATTAAAAATGTCTCTCTTTTTAAAAAAAAAATAGCAGCTTTATGCTCTTATTTATTTACTTTCTGTTATTTCTTTCTTTTTAATTTCACTCACGAACAACCAAATTAAGGGATTCGAGACTCGAAATACTGAGTGGGCCAGGCGCGATACGACATTACTAGACTTACTGGAGGCGACAAAAGATGGTAATAGACGCCGTCGCAAAATTTCACCATCCGATACGAATATCACATACGACGATGAGGATAATAGTGTCAAATTTGAAAGGCCTAAATGCGCAGGAGTTTGCCAGGGGCTTAATCCAGGTAAGGAAACTTGGAGTATCATTTTCAAAATGTAAAGTCAAGATAAATGCGGTGTAGATACATTTTCAGATCAATGACTTCTATTTAAAAACTTCTTATAGATACCTCTTTTAATTTCTTTAATAGTTTCGTGATAAAGTTGCAAAATTATTGAAAGGTTTAGTAATCGCACTGAACAAATCACGAATTTTTCAAAAGTTTTATGTTCTCCTTTAAAAACTCAAATTACATTTTTAATCAATCATAATTCGAGGAATATATATACATATATATATTATGGTAAATATAAGGCTTAGGTCCGGTTTCCATAGACACTCCGTTGCTTCATGCATGTATTGCTCAGGTCGTGTAATCGACAGTACATTCAACTGATACGCTTGCCTTAAAAAAGCGTTTCTTTGGATAGATAAAAATTATATACGTTGAGAAATGAAATTCCTATATTATATAGATTGTTGAAAAAATTCAATATTTTCTAGTTTATCACTTAGTAGTGACATATTTCAACGTTTGCCCCAATTTTGTTGTCGTTTTTTTTCTATATTTTGTAAATTTAACTTATTCGTAAGAAACCTTAATCAATAGAAAACGTCATTCAACATGGAAAATCTCAACTTTCGATAAAAATTTTGATTGCCAGTATTTTAAAAGGTCTAGCGAGAAAAAAATTTTTTTTAAATGAAGGCTTGTCAATGGATGAAAAGCTATTAAAAGTTGACCGATATGTGTGACTTGACACCTGACGTCTGTGGGCAAAAACCAGAAGCAACTGGACTGTACTCTAAATTCTATTATGCACCATTAGAGCATTTATAAAAGTATCTTAAGGAAAGGAAAAGTTAAAAAAAAATGTAAAAGTGTATGATTCTACTAATTATGTAAATTAATTCCATTGAAAAGACATTTGACCAAGGTTTAGTGGAGAGTTTTGTTTAAGGAAAGCAAGAAAGATTTACGTGACACCTTTGCACTCGACCCGGTGTAGCAATATATATTTCACAGTTTGCTTCGCGTTAATTATATATTAGACGCGATTTCCCATACACTAAAGGCGTCTAATCTCATTAACGTTCCATCCTAAGCATCCGTTATAAACATTTTTCTCTCTCTATTTCATACCATTTTCATCAAAAAGATAGCTGTAAAAGGTAATATAAGCTGATGTTGTCCCATAAATTGACTACCTGTGGCAGTGAACTACGAACCAGATCAACTTGGGAGAAAAAATAAGAAGTAAACACATCTGTCTCGTGTAAAGGATAATTGAACCTTGATTGGTTTAATAAAAAACTTTGATAGGAGGATTAATTCCTTTTAGAACGAAAATTAACTATTGAACTGGTGCCAGTCAATTATTCGTTTTAGTAACTTTATTGACTCAACAGCAAATACCAAACGTTTCTTACAAGTTCTAAACTATTCCATACGTTTCCACAATTTACAATACGTTGATTTTATTAATAATCGATTATCGCTCCCTCCTACTTCGCACTAAAGATACCATTAATTAAAACTACTCCATTTTCCATCGACGAAGCATTTTTATAAGAAAATAATAATCAATGAAAAGAGAAAAAAAAGCAGACTTTAATATACAGTTGTATATGCTGTATAGACAGTGTGCACAATTTATTGATCATTTAATAGTTGCTGGACATACTAAGCAAAATTAATATATATTCTATATTAAATAAAGAGTATCCGGTTTAAAACACAAGTATAAGAGACCTATAAATGCACAATAGTATCAAGAAGAAATGATAGAATAAACTTCTTCAACCTTATTCCACGGTAAAAAATACTTTTAGAGTAATTACTAATGAGGTTTCTAAGATGGAACAACAAAATTCCCTTTTTTTTCTTTTTTTTTATCCTTACATCTTTCTCTCCCTCTCTAATTCTTTATCTCTGTCTATCTGTCTGTCTGTCTGTCTGTCTGTCTGTCTGTCTCATTTTCTTTCTTCGTTTAGTTTACCTTAAACTACGTAAAAATAGTCAATATTGTTTAACATACGATAGATCGTAATTTGTTTGTTTGATAAGTAATTATAACGTAGGCTTGAAGTGTTAACAAAGTAGAAAAAAGAGAGAAAAAAAGGGAAAAAATGTTGATCCTTATTTTATTTTTCTAGTGTTGTGACTGTTGAAAGATTACAATTTTTTTTTGCCAAGATTCTTTTTTACTCTCGTTTTTCATCACTTCACTCTCATCTTTCATTTTAAGAGGTTTTTTTTTAAAGTAATACTTCTAACAGTGGAATCATCTCGTTTTCATGATGAAGACTATAGTCCTTTCTTAACCATTTTTAATAGGACTAATTTAATGAAAATTCTTTGAAACAATACTAGTACAATAAATTAGAGTAGGTGGCTTACATCTGTGTAATTAATCATCTTCTGTTTTAGAATCGGCCCATCGATATGTAAGACTAATTTGGTATAGGCGTTCCTCATCTATTCTATCCTTCGTTAAAAGTGTCTGCCGATTTGAAAAAAGTGCAACTGCTTCCACGATATTTCGTAAAGACTGCGAAACATCGGCCAACTGTTCCTGCTGCCCAATTCGTTCTGTGACATCAATTTTAGCTGCTGACAACAATTGTAGTTCGATAAATAATAGAAATCTTAAAATTTTCTTATCGGCTATCAAGAGATGCTCGAATAGTAGCGGAAACTGTAATGGGTATGATGAAGTTGTTCAGTTTCTAATCGACGGAAGTTTTGGTCGCCGTAAGGATGTAAGCTATATCGCATCCTTTTTACCAATAAGTGCTAGCTCAGAAACTGCCTTACCCTTCTGGGACTCTGTCGACTTTTTAAATATGAGAGATGAACATGCTGAATTAGTTGCTGCTAGGGACGTGATTCAGATCCGTTACAATATCTTTATATCTAATAGTATTATTGATAAGTAATTATTTAAAAAAATTTGACTTGACATGTTTATTACTATATAAACAAAATAATTGTTATAATTAAAACATAAAAGCAAGTGTAATTAATAAGAAACTTTGAGAAAAGAAAACAAACAAGTCTGAATCATATCCCTTTAATAATCTCAATGCAGATTCGGCGTAAAAGAAGCCTTGTTCACGGAGCACTTGAAGATCGATTTAAAATACGGCTGTATGGGCGCATTGTTCGTCTTATGTACCATTTGGCTTTACAGTTCTTCGTTGTTCATCACAATTGTTGTGTTACTACAGATCTTCCTCGCCCTAATTCTAGCCTATTTTATCTACGTTTTCATCCTATCAATGAACTTTTTCCCTTTCGTCAACATTCTGACGGGTGTTTTGCTATTAGCCGTAGGTGTTGACGATGCATTTGTCTACCTACAAATTTGGAAGTTAGCCAAATCGGATAAACTAACAGGAACGCTGGAACGTCTGGTACTTAACAGCCTCCGGCATTCAACTTATTGTATGCTAGCGACCAGTACGACAACCGCCGGAGCGTTGCTATCAAATTTGTTATCTGCCATCGTTAGCATTCGCTGTTTCGCCGTTTTTTCCAGCTTAGCAGTTGGCCTACATTTATTACTATCGGTAACGTGGTTGCCAGCTGCTGCGTTGCTGCATGATCAATATTGCGGGGGCGTATATCCTCGATTTGTGTTCTACGAGAAAGCCACAAGATTAGTTAGAACGTTTTTCGACGACCTTCTACCCACCGTCATTCTTCGTCTGCGATATTTTTGGATATGGAACGTGATTCGAGAAGGAATCATTGACCCTCTCTTTAACTCTTTCCCACAAAGATTTTCTTATTACACTTTCTGACAAAAGATGAAAATGTGGCTAATTTCGCGCCAAAAAAAGTTTCAGAAAATGAGAATAATTGGGCTTAGATCTTACAGCCACTATGCCTGTAGTATCTTAGGATATATACATATATTATGGTGTAAGCTTTTACGCCTACTTAACGTTGCATTGAGGAAAAGTTCTACTTTTCTATTTACCGTAAAACTATATTATCGCTCATAAAAAGGAAGAAAAAGTAGCTGCTACGAAAAGAAAATTGAGGCCAATATACTGAAACAATTCTTGTAGGAGAAAACGTTAAAATTTATTATAAATCATAGATTTCAAGCAATCAAAACGGATAGAAATAAGAGGGGAAAAAAGAATAAGAATAATATTCCACAAAGCCAGCTCAAAAGCTTAGCAAGGGAAAAGTCCTCTATATATATATATATATATATATTCTAGAGAATATCCTTAAGTATAAATTTAACTAAAACGATTTATGATCGAGCAGATAAAATTAAATCGATATTTTATTACTAGACAATTGCGAAATCGAATATTCAATCAGACTTCCCGCAAGCAATAGAGCACAAATTGTTGCTGTGGGCCTAAAAATAGTTTTTGTAAGAAAACAGCCTGTTTAAATAAAGTATGAAAAAGATAATTATGTTGCATTTTTGGATTATTTAAGTGCAAATATATAAATAAATAAAAAATATTCTTTTTTATATAATCTCTTAGAACAAAGTAAAAAAAATAATTTTTTTTTAAAAAGACAACCTGCTGCCAAAATCGTTTAGAAAGGCATCTGTCGCAGCCCGATTGAATAATTTAAGTGAATTCTAAAGAATTCTTATCTTTTTTAAATTCCCGAATCACGTTCCATGTTCTTGCCTCATACAGCTTGCTCTTTTTACTTATTCTACTCGGCTGCTTAACGACTTTTGTATACCCGACGATAAGGCTACCATCATCCCCTTCGTTAGCTCTCTTCCATTCTGATCATCCACTAGAAGCTTATGACCGTTACAAAATGGAGTTCCTTTGGGAAAGGGCGGCTGCAAAAAAACGACGCCCAATGCCAATATGGATCGTTTGGGGAGTCATTGCTAAGGATCGACGACACTCTTTCTCCCCTACTACTTCTTACTATCCACCAATCTATGATCATTTATTTAATCCATCTGCTAATGAATCCCAGCTATGGCTTTTAAACTTTTGTAAAAGTATGCGGAAAATTCACTACGTTGATTCTAAGCAGGGCCTATTACCAGGTGTTGTTAACGGGTGTTATATTGAAGGAGTAGTAGATTTTGTACGACAGTCCTGCCTTGGTGTAAAAGATTTCAGGTGTTGCAAGAATGCAACAACCTTTCCATTAATGGGTTCCCAATATGAGGAATGTGTTGACCGTTGGCGTAGGGAAGCGTGGAGAACTAGCCACCTATTCTATGGTTCGGCCACAAAAACTTCAGGTCTCAGATATGATTTTAAAAGAAAATTATCTGGTCTAATAGTTCAGTTTGACTCGACACAACCTTATACGAGGAACTATGAAGATACACTTCGGTTTCGCGAAGCCGTAGAGAATGATGTTAAAAAATTAATGAAGTCCGCCCCACCCGAAATGTCGAATGGCTTCTTTACGTCTGAGTTTAATCTGGTTGACTTGCAGAACCATCTTCTTAAAGGTGTCCAATCTGGGGTAATAGTTTCAGTTTGCGTTGCTGGCTTCGTCTCTTTAATCGGATCTCTTAACCTTATACTTGCTATCTTATCAACGCTCTGTATTGCCGCAGCCACGTCTGCTACTTTAGGTCTTTTGACTCTCGTCTCACCTGAATTAGATTCAGTACAAGCTGTTCTAATCGTTCTCTCTGTTGGTTTATGCGTGGATGGAATTCTTCAAGTTAGTATGGCTTATAGGTTGTCGCCTGATTTGAGGAGATTATCAAGGCTACGAACGGCTTTGAAGAATTGTGGCCCTGCAGTCACATTTTCCTCCCTAAGTACTGGTGCAATTGGCATTAGTTTTGTATTTGCACCCCTGAGAGCGTATTTTCAACTTGGTGCTCTTCTGGCTTTCGTCTCTTTATCTACCTGGTTAACGGGCATCTTTGTACTACCGGCCCTTTTAAGCGTTGTTGGTCCGGAGGGCGATTTCTTACAAGCAAATTGGCCGACATCAAACTGTTGTGAATCGGACGGTTCTCATGAAGATAAGACCGTATACGCCGTACAAAGTGAAGAAACAGCTAGCACAAGCCATTCTTTACACGAATTAGAGCCTTTAACGCCAGCTGAACCACCACGAAGATCACCATATATGAGACCTGCGCCGGTTTTCTATAGAAATGGATCTTTATTAAAGTCTGCAGAAGAGGGTGGCGAACGTGCTTAGTAGATGCTTTTGAATAAAAAATTATACTCTTCTACTTACTGCTATACAAATTGTTTACATTTTGTTGCTTGTTTTACTTTTTTTCTGATTAATTAATCTTACTGTTTTGTTATTTACTCTCAAAATGGGAAACCTATGGTTTCTGTTGATTTCTTGCAAATCCAAAAAAGAAAATATGAATGAAAACGAGAAGAAAATAGAAAGAGTGAAAAAAATATATGAGAAAGAATGTGAAGAAGAGGGTGAGTGAGTAAGTGAGTGAGGAAGCGAGAGAGAGAGAGAGAGAGAGAGGGAAGAAATTAACAATGCGATTACTTGATTTTTTTTCCTTCTTTTCTTCACCGTCTCTTTTTTTCTATTGAACTATTTATTATTTGGAGCAGAGAGCATGTAAAACGAACAAATAAATACTTGATCTAACTGTTTTTCAAAATACAAAAATCAATAAGCCTCACTAATCAACACGCCAGTTGTGGCTTGCCTAAATAATTGGCCGCAAATGAGTAGAAAGAGGGTGGGAAATACTTGGCCGCTTCATAATCTTGTTTTCTCACAAGGCGATAAAAAATAATATAATTGGAACTATTAAATGTTAGAATCGTTAGTTTACTGGGTGAGTAAAATAAACTTTCTAAGAAAATAAGATAGGCCATATCTTCAGGGTTCAATTTGGTTAATACTCTCTTTAAACTGAGAAATAGAAAAATGATTAAAATAGCGCACGGGACCCTCTCTCTATAAATATATGTATAGATGCCTGAACTGTAATGATATTAAGAAAAGGTTAGGTTGTTTTTTCTTCAGTGCATATATTTTTTGAGCACACCATTGTGCCGTATAGACGGAGTTCCTATATCACTTAAGAGGAAAAGGATCAAGCTTTTAGGTCACTATTAATTAACAAATTATAAGGATTATCTAAATTTTTTAAAATATAGTTTTCACTTAGCTTTTTCATCTCGTGCTCAAAATACGGCTGTTTTATGCTCGCGTGGAGAGCCCTTTATCGAAATTCAACCGTTAAAGCAGTGCTCATACATCATAGGCAGTTCAGTTAAGTGACATAATCGGTTGTATTCGGCATCAATCACGTATATTTAAATATTTTATATTTCTTCCATCAGATTGTATTTCATTAGGTCGTTTTAAAATGGGTGACAAAAGAAAAAATTTTGAACAACTTTGAGAAACGACGGAAAACAACAAAATAAAAATCAGCAGCCGTCTCTAAGCGTTATAAAGATAATAGACAACAATAGAGCACGCAAGAACGACTATAGAAGTCAAAAACAATTTGCGATAACGTTCTAAAAACGGTTGCCTACATTCACTCTCTCTATGTCTTCTGGGTTTTCTTTTAGGTTTAGTTTGTCTTCGTTCGAATTCTTCCAATTCTCTTTTTATCTTCTTCTCCTGTTCTTCTTTACGCTGTCGTTCTTCCTTTTCATTCTCTTTTCTTAGTTTCTCTTTTGCTAAAACGCAACCTTCGTCACATTCAACATTTGTTCTTTTGCTGAATACCTCATTGCAGATGAATTCCTTCTTCCTACGTTTGCAGGAGCATTTCATTTTCACTTTTTCAGTGCAGTTTGAAGCTGAAGGGCACGACCCTGGGTGGCACGTAAGCGTGCACTGATGGCCGCATTCCAATAGTCTGGGGCATTTTCCCGGACATGATTGTAATTTTACACACTCTTTTACATCAGATTTCGTCCAGATATGACATTTAACATGCTGTACCACCATTTGACAATGACATCTCATTCTAACCATTTGTGTACAATCTGGACAATCATTTGGGTGACAAGGCAAAAGACACTTATGAATGCACCCATTTGGTCTTGGTTTTGAGCACCCATCTTCGCACTGCTCACAATTTGTTCCAGCATGGCATTCTTTTTGACATTCGTGGTTCGAACACTTCAGCTTTCGGCCACAACGTCGTCCGCACGATTTTGAAACAGCAATATGACATGGCATATCACAGGTTTCATGGCCACCTAAACAAGTAACTGGAGCTGGAATCATACACGGTGGGCAGGATCGGTTCTCTATCACTGTCTGAGGCTCAGGCACCTGCTGCCAAGGGCCAACTCTAATCACCTGTTGTCTAATTTCTGTTCGAACGGCTGAATGGCATTCCACTGGGCACTCGTGACCGCATTTTAATCTTTTACCGCAAACTTGTTTGCAATCAGGGCAGTCGCCAAAATGACACCGATGTGATTCCCTTTGAGGATGGTGACAAACGGGTGGATTTCTGAAAGTTGAGAGATAATTAATGCAACTCTGTGGTACACGATACACAATCGAAAGCTTGTTAACACTAATTTAATTTGTTCTATTTTCAGGATATTTCTCTTAAAATAAGAAGAAAAAATAGACTGATATATAGTAAAAGTGCTTCTGATAAAAATGTTATACAGAGTAACTGAAAAATAGTCCACTGGCATAAAAATTATAAATAATTTCATATTAGAATCATTAAAAATCTATATTTAGGAGTCATATTTTAAATGATGCTATCCCAGTTTAATAGTTTTATGGTAAGATGCAAAATCCTTTCTTCAAACTGATGTATAATTTATATATATATAAGTATATGTATATATATATATATATATATATATATATATATATATATATATATATATATATATATAAAGAAATTTTGATAGCTTTAAACCAACTTGTTCACCGTTCATTACGGTTATTTACCATGTAGAAAAATAATTCTTTTTTGTATAATTAAATTATTAATTTAATGATAAAGAAAATCCTCTATTTTATATCCTCTATATATATGTATCTGTTAAATATCATCCCGAAGAAAATCTGGTCAATTATGTCAAAAAAGTATTAATTTCATATTAAATTTAGTTCATTATTTTTTTTTTGACAATTTCTTAAAATAATCCGTATGATAAATAATTCGAAAGAAAGTCGTTCCTTTTACTTGTATTACATTCTTTACAGTTATATGACTAGTTCATTTAATTTTTTAATTAAATACCAAAGAAGAAAGAATCTCTTATTTAGCTGAATTGATAAGAAAAAAGGAATAAAATGACAGAAGCTTCTCACCTGCAAATTTCAGTGCACTTGGGTGGTTTAGCATTCTTTGCTCGGCCGCATGGCAAAGTGATTGACGTAGATTTACAAGCGCATGATAAAGTTGTCGTAACTGAACAAGGATAGCACTGTCCTCTATGGCATTGACTAGTACACTTATGCTTCCGACAATTCAGTAGTCTGTTGCAATTTAAATCGCAAGGGGGACAATCACCATTGCAGCATTTCCTCTTGCACGGATGACGACCGCAATCTTTCAGTTTCGTACATTTAGTCTCACATAAGAAGTCCTTATAACATTGTATTTCTTTCTTCTTTTGCCCACAACGGCAATATTTTTCTACCATTTCACGACACTAAAATTTAAAATAAATTAAATTAATATTCTCTTAATATATGCAATTGAGTTTGAGGCAGTTAAAATGTATTTTTAGCATTCATACCGTTCCACAAGGGCCATTATGACATCGCTGAGTACATTCATGCCGGTTGCACATCAAGAGTTTTCCACAAGTTTCCAGGCATGTTGGTGCTTCTTCCGAACAAGAAAGATCTTCCAAAATAGTTTTGCCACAAGGACACGTTCGTTTTTCTGAACGTGGGCATGATCCACACTCACCGCTATGGCAAACAATCTCACAAACGTGATTGTTACACGATAATTTCTTTCCACACACCTTTAAAAAAACATATGTTTATTATAAAATATAGATTCTATTATCAACTTAGTAGCTATTTACCTTGTCACACTGCCATTGGCCTTCAGAGCAGAGTTTCAATTCATTTTGCTGTCCACATCGACATTTCCTTTTTGAAGCTTCACCACAAGGCGAACAATCTCCTCCATGGCAACGAGTGTTACAGTAATGTATACCGCATTGTAACAGCTGATTACAAGGTTTTCCGCAGCTCCATTCTCTTGTTCCACAACGTCTCGTTTGAGCTGGTTGACGACCACAATGACATGTAGATCGTACTGTCTGAGGACAAGGCGGACAAGGGCCTTGAATGAAAAATGAGAAATAATTAGATCAATTTCAATAAAATTAAAGCTATTATAAAAACAGTGGGAGATGAGAAAATATGAAAAAAAAATGAAGTCTAATATTTCCAATTTTTAGAAAAACTATAAATACAAGGCGAGCGCCATCTATTTTATAGGTTTGTTATATTTCAATATATTCTGCAACTGCAAATTATAAGAGAAAATTATATATTTTTTATCAGCTAAAGGATAATTGAGATGCTATACTACAACGAATTTTGCTTCTTTTTTTATTTAGGTAAATAGACATTTTGTAAAATCAATCTGGCTTGCTACATCAAAGTGAACAAACTCCCAAGCTTGTTTAGCAGCGTATTTAATATGAAAGACCGTCAAGGAGTCGGTGATTCAAATTATATTCAATTATTAACCACCTTTTGACGGCTTCCAGGAAGAATAAATGGAATAGTGCCAAAGAACTGGATCAATCATGTCTATTTAGTTACATTTAGTCATTACCGGTATAGTTTGTATTCCCCTTGATTCTATACGTTACAAAAAGTCAAGAAATTGAATAAGATTATTAACAGTTTGATGAGAGTCTAACATAACTAAAGATTTAAGCTAAAATTTTTTAGATAGTTATTTATGAAAATCTACTTTAAAAAACATACAAATTCAACTATTGTAAATACTGTAGTTCAGTATATTACCTGGATGGCAAAGCATCAAACAAGCATGACCACATTCTGGTTTAAGCAGCTTCTCGCATGTTTGACCACAACTGTGAGGAAATAACCAGGGGTCAAAAGTGGGATCTTCTTCTTTTCCACAATAGCATGTGTAACGTTTTGGTTTATCTTTTTGTGAATATTCTTTTCTACATTTTGGACTGTGTAAGTATATAATAAAAGCTTGTTAGTATTTAATCAAGAGAAGAAAAGTGGCTCTTTCATACCAATTCCAAGGCAAAGAAGAATGATTGACATTATTATCATCATTTAGAGATTTTTGGTAAGCACCGTCGCTTATCCACTTTTGTATGCAGCTAATATGTAGAGAACAAAAACACTCTTGACAGTTCCAAATCTAAAGAGTATAAAACAAATTATCTTTCTCAGCAACCAATATTTTTAAAAATAAAAAGAGTGTTACCGCTTCGACATGTTTAATGGTTTCTATGCATATTAAGCAAACATTTGCTCGAGAGGTAATTGAACCAACTAAGAATTCTCGGGTTCTCCCTAATCCAACGTCACCTGAGCCTAAAAATATTAAGGATAATATAATTGTATTTCATTTTTGAAATAATAATAATACAAATATTATTGAGATTTCTTACTGGATTTTCCAGCTATTTTCATAAAACTACCAGTTAAACTATCTATAATATGTTCATCATTTATATCTTCATCGTCCGATGATTCGGATGTAACCGATGGATTATTTAATACCCTTTCGGTGTTATTTTTATGCCTTTCTACAGCTTCTTCAAATCTTTCATCCGCTGTCATTGGTACTAAAATGAGAATAGATCGTTAGAGAAATGTTAAATTTTTAAATAAAACTCTTATTCACCGCTTTTGGAGTTTGTTTTTGTATTTATATGATCATCAGCAACCGGGGGTGATGGAAATTGCTGCCTGACTTGTAAGCCTGATGGTCGCACGTTTCCGGTTTGATTTATACCAAACGGAGGTTGGAAGAAGTCACTATTTCGAATTGCTCCACGACTTCGACCTCTCCCCCTGACATATACTGGTCTTTGTGCCATTTCCTATAGAGCAGACAATGCAGCTGGTCGATGACATGAAGCTTAGAATGCGTTTCTAGGCAATTGTATTGATACGAAGTAATAAAAAATGCCACGTTTATTTGTTTCTTGGTAGTGGCACTACGTATCAATGCACAATTCAAAAATTAAAAATCCATTTTTACATCAAATCTCATCAAATCTATATAACCGGAAGCATTACATATGCAATGCGCATTTTCGTATCTAAATGCAAAAATAGATATGGGCAAAATTAAAATTTTTATAGACAATCAATATTCAAAAATAGATTATTTATAGAGTTTTATTTTCATACTTTTGTAACTTGTCGATGAGACATATTTCTTTATGCGCATGCGCAAACCGGTAAAAGAAGAAATTTGTTGTAGAATAACAATCTATGGATGAAACTTATTTTTGAAAAACAAGTGAGTAGTAATTTCATTAAGCAATAGAGAAGACTAAAGAAGAATTTTGCACCAGCTTTCATTTTGATATTATTAATTGAAACGATTGCGAAAGTACAATGGGGCCTATGACTTGATGAAATTACGTATTTTCCTAAAATATTTTTGAAGAATTGAGTTAAAATACGCGATGGAATATCTAAATTGGACAAAGCAAAATTTCCAATTTATTCTAATATTTAAAAGAGATTTTAAATCAACGTCTTATAATGCTTGAAACGATCATAAAAATCATTTTATTTACACAAGTTCTGTATTCTTCTATATAGTGTATAAAGAACGTAAAAGAAAAAACAAATTTAACAAGTTGCTAGACAATTGAAACTATAAATCTTTCCTTAGAAGTCAAAATATAGAATCTACATATATGATATATTTTACAATGGTCATGTGATTACATAAGAAATATTCATTTTCATTAGTACATTCTAAAAAGTAATAACGACAATGTTTTAATGATTTTCAAGAAAAGTAAAACTAAGTAACAAAATTACAGATAACAAAATTGAAATAGTATACTAAAGAATTATTATAACTTGACGTCCATCACGTTTTGTTCCCCTGTTTTCGTAATTAATATTTATAGTTAATAATTTCATAGTATATACTATACAAATTTTAAGTAGGCTATTAATTCAGATAGTTTTATTTTTTGTTACATCTTCTCTTTACAATATTATTTTACTAGAAAGTTAATAGTAGGAGAGATTTTAGCGTAGAAGGAAATACCCAAGGGTGGCAAGTGAATGCTTCTCTGATCAATACCCAATCAGTGTACCCTTAGTTATCGTTATGTTATGTTTTAGATACAAAAACAATGAACAAATTGTATTTAAACACAACCATGACGTTAACGTAATGATAGCAGTAGACATTTGAAACCACTATCTTATTAACTTATTAACAAGCTTTATTACTTTATTAGAATTATAAAGTTATTTCAGTAAAAAGTCTCTTTTATTTTATTTATCTAAGATCAAGTTTGAATAAAAATTAATATGACTCATGCTGTTTTAGGCCTAATGGTACTAAAAAAAAGGATACTTCACGTCTGAGACCAATAGATCATATATCGAGAGAAAATAATAGTTTAGCAAGTTTGACTACGATTGTAACTTATATATTATTACGTTTATGATAATGAAATATTTTATTAATAGAACAACATAGAATTTAGTGTTTAAGCGTTTTTTTTTAGACCTAGCTTGGTCGTTATATTTTTAGGTTTTTTTTGTTATTTTTTTTATTTTATAAGAATTTTTTTTATAATTTGTTTATAGCTATTTAAGTTGTTCTTAAGTTTATAAAAATTAAAAAATTTTCCTAAATTTTCCCTTATCTATCTGTATTCCAATAGGCGGAAGAAGAACTAAATGCCTCACAACACGTGGTGAACAGACAAATTGTGACGTCACCGGTTCCCCTCTACCCTTCTCAAGAATTATATATATATACCTATATTTATTTGTTTTTTGAACAAATTTGATCAATGAATATATGTGAGTTTTTCTAAATCTCAAATATCTCTTATCAAAATTTAATTGTTGCGAACCTTTTTTAGCTCTTAACGAAGACATGAATAAACATGAGAGATTCGATGAAAATGATCTAAGACGAAATTTAAGGAAAATTTTCCTTGATATCAGCCGCTCCAATCCCAATGATCATTTTCAGCAGAATCAATTTTTAACTACAGATATGTTTAATCTTAAAAAGAGCCATTTGGATATAATAATTAACTTTTTAATTCACTGGTCAAAATGCTCCTTAAATAACAGAATTTTAGCAACATCGGTTTATATTACGTACGCAAGAAGCGTATTTTGTCACTCTAGAGCCACAGCTACCGAAAAAGATGTCGCACGGGCGGCAAGCGAGTACTTCTCTGATCATGGAGATTTACATACATTTCTCAAAGTTTTTGATAAATGGTTAGCTCTACCAGTAGATGAGAGAAAGATATTTTGTGAGAAAAATTGCCTTGATTATTATTATTTGGCTTACATTGATTTTTACGTTAGCCAATTAAAGAATTTGTTTTGCGATTGTTTGTTAAATGACGATGATCTTCCCTTGAAATCGTTGATTACGTTCTTACATGAGCATCTTGTTGTATATTCCAAATATGATAGAATTGGATACATGAATTCATCAAAAAATTATCTTCGGATGCATCCTGAAAGCGTTTTCAAAACGAACTATCTGAGCCCTCCAGACTATGCCCTTGCAATTCTAGACTATCATTCAACTGATCGAATTTTTGTAATAAAGCTAGATTTAGAAGATTCAACTTATCTACGAGACCTTGATTTAGCAGTTAAGAAAGAAAATATAGAACGATATGCATTTGGTCCTTTTTCACAAAGTTTTCTTCTTGAATTAAAATTAAATAGTTTTCAAAATATTCAACGCGAATTGAAATATGAATTTCAAGATATCTCAGGCGAGGCAGAGAAAAGGCAACTAAGCTCTTTCATCATCTGTGATGTTGAGAATGAATACTTTGTAGTGTACTCTACTGTAATTCTAAATACCGAGACCATTTCTGAGAAAATTAATGCAGTTGTTCAAATATGGACGGAAGAGGAAATTTTTACTGATTCTAAATTAATAAATTATCCACACAAGAAAGCTCCTTTGGAAGTGTGCGTTAAACCAGGATTCGAAATTGAGCCAAGCTTGGGTAAAAATTATAAGAGCTTTTTCATTTACATTGATAAAACGATTCTTCAACTATCAAGAAAAACTCAAAGTATTGATATAAAAAAGGAACTAATACAGAAACTTAACAATTCTTTTGCATTTTCCGTGGATGATTTCAGAGTATGTAGATATAGAAACTCTACACAATTTCCTTATCTTTGGGGAAAGTTAATTCTACAGACCGTCAATTCATACGAATTTCTCGATTTGAATCAATCTAACACATGGTATGGTTTATCAAAAGTCTTACTAAATAGTGAAGAAAGAGCCATCGGTCCCTGTGTTGATTTAGAATTAAAAGCAAGAAACGATACACAGACGGCATTTTTAATTTGCTTTGAAGGTGAAGAAAAAGATTGGAGTGCAGGTCTTCTTGTTCACAGAGTGTTTGGTTCGATTCAAAATGTATCTGAAAGAGTTGTTTACCTAGAACTAAGCAACTCGCTTGATTCTAACTCTTTTATTTATCCATCAGAGGACGACATAAAAAAAGAATTTTCTTTTCAATACCATGTCGAAGTTGTATGGGTTAAATCTGTTCAACAGCAGGAGCCAATATCAATCAGTCAGATTTGTTCAATGGCAGACAGCTTGCAAGATATGTTTAATCATTTTTACAAGGACTCTTTTTTCCAAATTTATGAAATGAACTCTTCTGAATCCCTTTTAAGAGCAAGACTATTTTTCAAGAATCCACAGGAGATAATAAGCCTAATTTCAACGGAACATAGTTTTCCACTAAATCATCGTGTACGCATCAAGGCTTCTTCTTACAAGTTATCGGTTAGTTATGATCCTTATGTTTATTTCCAATTAAATTCATTGGAATATGACTGCTTAAAATCAAATATATACTTTTTCACGGAATTATTTGAATTCAAAGTTTTGAAAAAAACTAATCAACAAACTCAAAATGTTGAATTAAAGTTTATAATTGATAGACCTTTGGATATTTTTGTTTTGAGTCATTTCATAAACTATTTACAACAATTAAGAGAAATACTGAACGAGGGAAAGAATACTTTTAATTCAAAATGTCGAATACAGTCCGATCATACTTATCAAAAAATTCCAGAGGAAAAGTTAAAGCTATTAACAACCCAAATGTTCGACAGGCTGTTAGTTCATGATGATGCATTTTTGGTTCATAATAATATACTTTTGGAAAAGTCTTCGCATTATTTAAGTTTATATAATAGTGATATCAATTTACAACTCAACGATTTGTGCGATCTAGAATGTTCAAAGCAATTTCTCTCCACTGTAGTAAAGAAGCTTTATATAAGATCTACATTCGAAGAAACTTCTAACCTTCCATCTAATACTTGTGGCAATGAAGCTACATTGCTTTTCAAGGTCGTGGGAAGGATAAGACACAACTGCAGTTTCGAAATTGATTATGATAGCTTATATATTCCTGCAGAAAATTACATAATGGATGATTTAGCGAAGAGTTCTAAGCAGTGCGAATTGCCTATATTAAACAGTGCATTCAAGCAAACGATAACGGAGACTAATGAAGAACGAAATATTCAAATTCATGCTAGGAGCCTAAATGCTTTGTTTAATAAGTTTGGATTTAGAAAACTGTCTGGAGATGTTTGCGGCATAGAATACACTCTCAAAGGTTGTCACTTGAAAAATATTGCAACTCAAACAGAGATTCAAACATACTTTGGGGTAGATTTATTTGTCGACGAGGAATCAGATACTGAACGGATTATCTCATTAAATGATAAGTGTATACAAACAACTAAAATTAGTGAATCAATGAATTATACGAACTCATCTCAAAGTATACTTTGGCAAGCATTCAAGAAACACGAAATGGATATTGGTTTATTGTCTGAATTCCTCGTTACTTATGCATTTGATATTGCCCCACCTATGACCTATATGAAAAATCTGCATATAGCTTTCGCGAAAGCTCGAGAAAACTTGAATGATGTAATTTATAATAAACGAGCGGAACTTGGAAATATTAAAATAATAAAAAATCACCGACAATTACTGCTAATGTCGATAGATATGCAAGCCCTGTCAAATGCAGCATTTATTATTGGTAACTTTCTAACAAATACTCGACATTGTTGCATTTGCTTTGAGACAGAAGTTTGCGATAATACAATGGAATTAACGTAATGTTTAATATTATCTATTAAATTATTGAAAGTTCTAATTGATATTTATTTTTTTCAGATTATGTGGACATTTCTATTGTGTTTCTTGTTTAAAAAATCAGCTTAGTGCATCGAAATCTATGACATTTGAATATCCCCTGTTGTGCGCAGAAGATAAGTGCTATAAACCAATACTTATGCAAGACATAAAAAAAGTTATAAGTACTGAAGATGTCGCTAGCTTCATTCAGCTATCAATGAACAGATTCATTGCAATGAATAAAAATTTAATTCGAGTCTGCCCAACGTCCGATTGCGAATATGTCTTTGCTACAACCACTGTTAGAAATATGTTTAAATGTCCAGGATGTAAAACCAAAACCTGCACAAACTGCAATCGAACCTGGCATGAAGGTATACCGTGCGATTTCTTTAGTTCATCTAAAGAAATAGATCCAAAACTAACAGAATGGATGAAGCGTAATCCAAAGAATAGAAAATTATGTCCCAACTGCCTAATCGGTATAGAAAAATTAGAAGGATGTAATCATGTCATTTGTTCTCTGTGTAAACAAGAAATGTGTTGGGAATGCTTAAACAAGCTGGAAGAATGCATATGCCAGGAAGACGACTCTGACAATAATAATTCTGATTCCGATGATCAATCTCTGAATAGTGTCTCTGACATGGAGGCAACGGCTTCTTCAATAACTTATAACTTTGATATAATGACTGATGAAGAAACTGAAAATTCACCAAATCTTATGGAAGATATGTTGCCAGAAGCAATTAATCTGAGACAAACAAATCAGGAAATTTCAACCACTTTATACGTCTTAAACTCCAATACTCCAACGAACTTATTAGATTCTACTGAAGATAAACATTTTGAAAATAAATATGCAGTAAATTTGAACACGTCTGAAAATATTGGAGAAAATTATTGGACAGACGTGTTTGAAATTATCAATGAGCAGACGGGAGATAATTAAACTCAAAAAAATTAAATGTATATAACTTTTTCTGTTCAGAAAAAACGGTTATCACCTGGTTTATACAAGTATTGCTAAAATAACGTAAAATAAAATTACTTCAAGAGTTGTTTGTTATCTTCATAAGAAAAAAGTCTTAACACCTAGGTCAGTTTAGGATTTTAGTATCATATTTGATAATTTTTTAAAGGATTGGTAAAATTTTTTTATAGAGCATGCCTTTTATCAATACAACCTTGCAGATATTAACTACGGCCTACAAAAAGATGTCATAGGAGATTACTAAGTTTATTCATTCATGCAAAAAAGCTTTTTCCCCCATCAGAAAACCATGTAGGAAGAGACGTTGATAAAAGACATTTTCACCTTAAAACCACAAAGAAAAATCGATAGAAAAATATTACTTTCTTAGAGACAGGGAGTTTAGTTCTTCTGATTATACCGTAAATGATTTTCAACAGACTTTAGTTATAGGGGTTTTAACATATCTTTGAAGAGAATACTGCTGAAATATTGTATTTCATCTCCTGCCTAAAGTCTAATAATAAAGTTAACACTTTCAGTAACAAACAGATAACTTTTAGACACAAATCTAATTAATTCTTAGAGAATATCTTTCATAGTTTATGACGCTGTGTATAATTTATATTTACAAGTGTATTGATATATTCAAGTATATTACAAAAAATAGTTTTAAATAATAGTCTATTTTTTAAGTTTTGAAGCCATCCTTGCTACTTTGCTAAGATTTTTATGCAGAAAATGTTTCCCAGCAGTTACTTTTATCGACCCTCTGAGGGATGAAGTTTTCAGTTCCTTACATTTATATTCAGGTAAGTGTGTTCTCTTAAATTGTCGTTCGATATCACATATCAAATGAGCCAAACTCTGCCCAAAAAAAGTATAAACTTTGTCGTCAATTTTCTCACTAACTGCTACAGACTCCTTTAACAGCCATCTCATTTCAAACAGTCGTTTCAAGTTTCCGCGATAGGCAGTGCGCCTCATTTTGCATCTCGGTACTAGCCTTTCAATGTGCTCTATCGTCGGAGACAAGGCCAGCTTATTTTTTATTATTATCAAATTGGTTTCCAGCTTCAGCGAATCAAGCTGATAATTCTTAATATATTGACACTTATTGGAAGTAACAGATTTAACAAGTTCTATTAAAACTATACCGAGAAGTAAAAAGTTCTTGAAAGTTATCGGTTCCATTTCCTTGAGAAATAAGTTCTGTTTCATTTTATATACTGTTTGTACTGTATATACAATGGTTAAAAGTGACTCAGAGAGCGAATCAAACTCAAAAGAGTAAAAACTCCTGTGGAAAATACAAATTTAAAAAATAGACAAAATTCTATGTTCATTTCAATATATTTATTATATTCAGTAAAAGGACAATAGAGTTTGTTTAAACTATCGAATTAATTTTTACATAAGCAAGAGTTTAGAAAAGGAAATTTTAAAAAGTGGGAAAAACTTTTTTCTTAATAAAACAACAATTAACTAAGATAAACTATTTATACTTTATAATTAAAAAGTCAAGAAAACAAATGCTCATTTCAAATTGTTTATTAGAGTTTACCATTCTGTATAGGAAACTTCAATTTTATTTTACAATAGAGTTATAGATTAACATGTTTGAACACGCGTAAAAGGATAGCAAAATCATATTTGTATGGTAATTGTACATAAGTTTATCGATATATATGTATATTCTGATATATTATATATATCAATTAAATTTGTTTCTTTTATAGTTATTCAATATCTAAATATTCGCGATTTATTACGTTCATTTCGGCTTTTATTTCTTTTTTTGTTTTGTGATTTTATACTTTTCGATAGGGTCTTTCAAATTCGTGTTTGTATGAATAGAGAAAGTTTAGGCTTTTTTTTTTCTTTTTTGATACTATAACATAAATTAGTTTATGTTATCTTTGCAAACTTTTAATTAAATTATAAAGTTTAAGTAATCTAATAATCTAAGTGTTTATATTTTACTCCGCTTACTAATATCTCATGGTTTTATGAAAATGTATTATTTTTTAAATAAACGGTTGTTATTAAAATATATATTTGGTTATATACAGTATAAGAATGACGTAAATTAATTTTTGGCAGGAAAAAATTGTTCAAATAGTAGAATAGTGTAAAATGTCTCTTTCATTTCATTAAGGATCTGAGAATATTAATACCTCTTTCAATGTTCAAGTATTGTCGTCTCTTCCCTGAGAAAGACATATAAATGTCATTCAAGTTTCTTTCAAAATTATCACATTGATAAGGCGTTAGATCACCTCTCAATACTCTTTCAATCGCATTCTCTATTGCCAGTAGATTATGCTCGATGAACCGACGGTGATTGCTTTCCATACTTTTTCCAATCAGTCTTGTTTCTATTAAAAGCCATCTTAGTTTCAATAATTGGCAGTCTTCGTACTCTCTGTAACATGGGAACTCGCATTTCGGAATTAATAGGTCCAGAACGGATGCAGTCTTTCTACAATGTATTTTTTGTTGAATCCTACCCAAAGTTGATGATGTCTTTTCCAGATTCAGTTTTAGTAATCCCTCGTAGGGTTTACATAAAACTTGTGTGACAAAGAGAGAGCAGCATATAATTTGAAAAATTAACTTATTCATTGTAGTTAATGCTTCTATCACTTCTTGGTTTAGATTGACTGATTAGCGATTAGGTTTACTTTTATAGCTTGCAGAAGAAATAGAAACGAAGGAAAACTTACAAGCAAGCCTAAACGGATTATCTGTTTCTTAATAATGAAACTCTAAACTAAATCTTAAAACACCGACTTTCTAAACTTATTTTCACCTATGCTCATATAAAGAAAGTAGGAGCCAAGAATCGATATTTGGGAGAATAATAGTATTATTATTATTCGTAGGGTGCTAATGAAATGGAGCATAAGATGTAAGTACTGATTTAAAACTCTTGTAAACTTAAAGCATATCATTTATAAAAAATTTTGAGCCTACTCAGATTGTCTGCCATGAATCATACGGGGGATTAATTCTGAATAGATTTTGTATTATTATATATCTATATATAAGCAAGTAATTTTTTTGGGAAAGCTTCGATAAAATTATTGTTCATAGTAGGACATATTATTACTTTTTAAAATAATAGAATGAAAACTCTTGGATAATTTGATATAGTTCCATGTCAATTTCTAAGAATGTTCAATATTATACATAACTAAACTATTATATTTGTTTTTCCTATAACCAAACAAACAACTACAATATTCAACTGAATGAATGATAACAGAATCATCATTTTACTTCAATATAGACCATCCCTCATTTTCTTTAAATAGTTTTAAAATTTCCAAAAAGGGCTATGGTTATAGAGAAACTCCTTCTTTAGATATAAAATAATTGACGGTACAATCGTTTAGGAAAGAGAAAAAACTTTTTTATCAAAATTCTCAATCTTAGAAAGAAATTTGTTTTCATTTATATTTAGCGCTACCTGTGTTGTGGCTTGAGTACTTACAAATCACCCTTTTACGTGATAACTTTTTTTTCATCGTATTTAGTACCTATATGGACAGGTGCACTTAATGAATTCCCCTTTCTTTATATTTTTTTACAACGATTTTAAATAATTTAAATATAAAAGTAAAATTTTTCTTTAAAATTCAATCCTCTCTCTCTCTTTCTCTCTCTTTATAATTTCCTTCGCCTTCTATTGCTTGTATGTTATAATAAGACCAGCCTAGTATGACTTTTTGAACAATCTTATAAGTACAACAAAAAAAAATCTGATCTTATCAAAAAATTCTGCTCTATAATTTGTTCAGATAAGAGAAAATAAATGCTTAAAACTTGAATATCTGTTATTTTTTTTTCTCTTTTTGTATGTATAATTCAAAAAAAAAGAAAAAACATTATTATTTCCATTCGATGGGTGATTTCCCGTCAACCGAACCCAGGAGGGGGTGGCGCCGCGCTTTCTTATGTCAATAAAAATTCCAAGTTGTCCATTCCGTGGACTTCTGAATTTAAATCTACAAAATTTGAGAGAAGAAAGAGACAGCACGTGCGATTGAAGTTTCAAAGACGCAGGGGTTCTACGTGGAAATTCTTCTTCCATTTAACATATGCAATTATCCAGCTTAATTATTTAGTTGGCGAATTTTTCACGCCTTCCTATGGTTCTATTAACTATATAATTAACGGTTTGATGTCCAGGAATGATAGCAGAGTTTACGGAAATAGTAAACAAAGAGAAGCAAAGAACAATAGCATGGAAATATAACGGTCATTAAAAGCGGGGGTGGAGAGAAAGGAATATATCGATCTCAATCGTACGGAAATAGTTCGCTTTTCGTCATTTTACACAGTTTGCAAGGTGAAAGTCTGTGCTTCTACACACTGATCTTTAATTTACAATATAGAGAATGTCTGTATATATACATAACTAAAGAGAGCATTTTATAACATATAATGTAGACACGCGTCTTTTATCGTTTGCGTGACCTGGCGGAAGTTTTAGAAAAGGAGAAACGTTTCAAAGAATTTACCGGATATAGCAATTTGTACGTCTATAAAATGACAGACGTTCTAATTTTCCTGCTGTCTCTACATCCTTAGAAACTTGAAACGGCTAACATTTGAATGACTAGCCCCATTGGGATCGGAAACGAATTATCTTTGCCGCACCATATACAAATCTATTGCTTATTTAGGTTCTTTTAGCTCAAATCTCCTGCCAAAGTTTTCTCTGAGACGTCTTCTTCGGTACAAAATTTGTTTACATAAATTACAACGAAGTTACTATTTACAGACAAAAGTAATGTTTGATTTATATTCGGACATCTCTGATTGGGTAGAAATATACATCACGTGGTACCAAACGAATGATGATTGGTCAGAGGATGTCAAGCATCACTGCCAATTATATTGGAATAGAAATAAAGTGACATTCGAGATGTTTAAACTATTGAAGAATGTCCAGAGTCGTTGCTGATATAAGCCGAACACATCGAATGGATTCGGCCTCATCAGGTCAAGGTCACTACTTAAGTTCAGAGAATCCTCGCGTTCTCAATCAATTCGTAGCGAGTGCTCCTTCAACCGCCATGTGTCTATCCTTAAATTTTCGGTAAGTTAAAAGGGTGAAGAAAACTTTTTATACCATTTTTTTAAATGTAATTCAGCGTTTAATTATAAATATTTTATTGAATTTCGCAAACTACCTTTTGAACTTTTATGACCGCGAAAGTTCCATATTTAAAGCGAAAATGAAGCTATCACGTCATCGCATGTCATGCAAACTCCTCCTAAAGAGAATATAAGAAACGCCCTTATTGCACTCATGGAAATAATTTCATTATCAAAAATATATATCTAATATGCAGTACATAATATGTATATACTGCACAATGCATAATGTATGCTTAGCGCACAGTTTTCTCAAGAAACACAAGTACCTAGTAGCTTTACAATTGATTTAACCGGAGGGGTAGCAAGACGGATAAGGGGATAGCTACAATTTAAGATTTTCAACTCGTCTAATCGAAATATAAAACCAAAAAGGATAATATTTCATCATTAATAAATAACTATATTTTTACTATTTATACCGTATACAAATTAAATGTTAGAAAAGAATCAATAGCTATTGTACAGAAGAATAGCAGGGATAACGTTCTAACAATACTTGATCGGTAGAAGCGTTTGTTATTCTCTGTTTTTCAATCTTTACTATAGTTATAGGTTTTATTTATTATAGCTGTCTAATAGACTAACACTTTTGTTAAAGGAAATCATATTATATTTAGCGGATAAATTAACACTGCGTACTCTAGAAATAATGCAGTACTATATACAATATGTACAATATACAAAGAGGGTTTCAGTACGCAGAGAGTGGATATTTTTAGATATATTTCCAGGTTTCCTTATGCAATCAATCGTCATTTATTAAGATTAAATATCATTTTTTTTTTGCTATTTATTTTCTGTTCTAAATGCCGTTTCAGCTGTTTAGAGTAACAAAAAAAAGATTAGCCGTCTTATTTCTGTCCAATGACCTAATTACGCGTAAATTGTGGTAGGAAACGAACCGCGTCTAGACCCCACGTAGTGTTGGAATCGATCTCGTTTTGCGATTTAATTATTTATTGATTATTTATGGAATGTTTAACGTTTATCCTTTGCTTTTTTTTCATCAACTTTTATCAGCTGGCCGCTAGTTCTGCCTCATTTTAGACCTCCCTATCTACCACCAACTCCCATGCCACACTTAACTTCTCCTTTCTTCCCGGTCTTTAATGCTCATTCGAAGAAATTATATAATTGTCAGTTATGCAGATATGTTACCGATCGAAAGAATAATCTTAAGCGGCACGTTTCTACAATGCATCAAAGTTGTGACAAACTACTGGAATGCTGCAACGTTTCCTTTAAAAATAAAGCTGCGCTTAGGGATCACGTCCTTATCTTCCATTCAAATGGATATATGTGCCGTTTTTGCGGGCGAAATTTTTGTCGTAAAGCACTATTAAAAAGACACCTAGCCGTCCATAGTGGGAAAAAAGATTTCACATGTACCCAATGCGATTACGCTACATCTCACAAATCAAATTTAGAACGGCATAAGAAAGTTCACGAAAGGCATTCTCACAAAGAAGAAATACAAGAGGTAAAAAAAGAAGAATCTAGTGAAGCTGAAGAAGAAGAGGAGGAAGAAGATGAAATAGACGAAGAAGACGAAGAGGAGGATGAAGAAGGAGAACCTGAGTGTATTATTGATGTTGGGTAGTAGAAACGTTTTGTTTAAATCAAGTAGAGTGAAGAGGAGGAGCAAGAGTCTTACCCTAATTTATAAGCACTGTAAAGACGTGCACATATATTTATTATACTGTAGAATACACAGTATATTTTAAATGTACCGTCTACCGTTCCAATTTCTCGGTAGTCTTCTTATTTATAATACTAGAAGGAAAGAAACCATTTTAGGCATGCTTTGTTGTAAAAATTCAGTGTTCTAAGCAAAAAAAGAGTCTTGTCTAATCTGTATATTCCGTACTTGAATTGTGAATTCTCGAAGAAGAAAAAGAAGAAAAAAAGTGCGTGTTTAGGTGTTAATGTTCCATTCTTTTAAATGTATTTTCGTGATTGTCATCTCTCTCTCTCTCTCTCTCTCTCTCTCTCTCTCTCTCTCTCTCTCTCTCTCTCTCTCTGTAAGACGAAAATTTTTTTCCAACAAAATCTATATTTATCGCATATTTTTCATATTTATTCTTTGTCTATATATAGAAATATATATATTTATATATATAGGAATAAATTGAATTAATGAAACGAATAATTCTTTGTATCTTCTCACCACGATTGAATTCCGAAACAGTAATAAAATTGTTAATCTGTAACATCACGCCAATGGGCGTTGCAAAACCAAGTCTATTTTCGTTACTGGGCGTGTAACCCCTTCAACCCTGTACAAATCTTATTGCATATAAAAGGATATCTTTGAATTTTTCTACACAAGAAAAAAACGCTATCGCACCTTGAATGGAAATGTAAAAAAGACCGTTTGACTTCAGATCACTGCATTTACCTATTAATCAAATAGTGAATTTCAAAATTGATAAGTTAATTTCAAAGTGAGATCTTTTCCCGATGTCACGAGATCGTATTATACTGTACAGGTGTCCATTCACCCGCATTTTGCACTAAAAGATAACGACAAATCACATATCTATACTGATTTTAGACTATGACATTGCAGGCACATTTAAAACACGAGCTATAAATAGGGGTCTAACCAAATATAATTGGCTTTTCACTCAGTCGTAAGAGCAAATAATAATAATTTTTTCACTTAAAAATAACAAATTACAATACCGCTTAGGAAGCAGAAAACAGACCTTGGAAAATTCAATAACGGTAGAAATTCATTTTTGGACAAAAAATTTTCCTCTTTACTATTTATTATATTCGATTGTAAAAGAAATACTCTCTATATAACAAAAGATTATATCGGAGAACTCTATGAGCGGATGCGATTGACGGCTTTCCGGCGACCTCATTTTGTCCTTACAATTCTCCCCTATATCTAACATCTATTACTTACAAATTCTTTAGAATACTGATAACCTTTTGTAGAAATCATCAAAACTGACAAAGTATAAATTAGTAAGTTATAAAAATCTTTGATAAAAATCAAACATGTTAGAAATGTTATCAAATCTTACAACTCTTGAAATCTTACAAATTTCATTAACCCCTAGGCAATTATTTCTTTTTCCTTTTCTTGTTATTCGCTATTCTTACGTCTCTTTTTTTTAAAGCTAAATTTATACGTGCATAGGCCTATTTAGAGATATTTCTTCTTTGACATCTCTCTCTGTCATTGATCTTTAAGGCGGCAATCAGATAAAGAAAAGTAGAAACCGTTATGAGGAGTTATTTTAATTACTTTTCCTCTTTTAATATTATTTTTTAAATAATTAAAATTACGCGGGAAAATTCTTTTATGAAAACAAAATAAAGAAAAACTTTAACAAGATATTTCACACTGTGAAAATTCTTGTTACAATTTATTTATGTTTTTGAATTGTTCGAATCTTTGTATTGTATGAATTTTTCTTCTTAAGTCGTTATTTCTTTCCGAAATCTTATCTCTAAGGAAACATGAGGCGGATACCCCCCTTTTTTTACCCATATAACCCATAATTGACTTTGCATGGTCTAACAATTTCGATAATTGTTTATTGAGAACGTTTAAGCATTTTTTTTTTGTAAATATAAAAAAACCACTTTAATAATAGTATTTGTTTGTTTTTGTTCTTTTTTGAGACAGGAATGGTTGATTACTATAAAAAAAATTAAAAAAATCCAAGAAAAAACTTACATACAATATATTGTTATATTATGACATAATGTGATTATCTAAACTTCTCTATATTTAGATATGAAGACTTTAATCCTCAATCTGAGTAAGAATAGAGATTAATTATAAAGAATATATGTGTGTGGTTATTTCAAAACGAAGTAAAAACTAAGCAGTTTTTTTGAAAAACTTATTCGAGCGACATCTATTTTACATTTGAGTGGTGATGCCACCTACCGGATATGAACAACAACTTAAAGAATTTTAACTATTTTACGCATCTGATGTGCCTTACTAGTTTAGATCTATTGTAAACAATCCGATGTTTTCGAGTTTCGCTTACAAAACGCGCCGCATTGTAAGGCTGAACAAAGCCATTCTTCTTCTCCTGCTCATCGTCAGTTTATATGTATTTTTCTGTTTTCACAACGAAAAGTGTACTGTTCTCTGAATATCTAATTCAAATATATAATGTTACCGTAAAATAAGTTAATAAATTGAATTTAAAAGGGAATCCCATAATTCAACTAGAGAATTCATTTATTGTGAATAAAAACTAAAAATAAACAGATTTCATAAATTTATTTTTTACTCTTTTGTTTTGCTTTGGAAAGTTGAAAAGTTTATGTCAATTGTTTTTCTTCCTCTTCTCTTTCTTCTTCCCTTCTTTACCTCATATCTTTCAATCGTTCACCTTCCTTGACATTCAAATTTCCACTTCCCATTTGGCTGATTCTGCTTCTATTATCTTGCCAGCAGAGCTGAATTCTTCTGCAAGGATCGAATGAGAACGGACGCTTGAGGATGAGCGCTTTTAACGTGTTCGTAATGAATTTCCGGTTTACGTGTAGAATGGCCACACTCTTCGCATACATAAACTTTATCTCGTCGTTGTTTGTAGGCAAATGATAAATTTATACCATGGACTTTTTTATTATGAGACTCTAACGAACAACGTTGCTGTTACAGAGGAAGAGAGAAAGGCGCGGAATGTAATTAAGAAAAGTGTTATAAAAATATCAAAGGAGAAAATTACATAATTCTAAATAAACATAAAAACAATAATAAGAAAATAAACAATTACCGTGAAGGCTTTGTCACAATGATCGCATTTATACGGTCTAACTCCCGTATGTGTACGTGTGTGTCGTTTTAGATCGAACGTATCATTAAACCCCTTGACGCAGAAGGTGCATAAGTAACGCTTGACATCCGAATGGCACTTGAGGTGCCTATTTAGAAGACGCTGCAAGGGAAAAATCTTACGGCAAACGCGGCATACGAACGAGTCTCCCTGTTGCTCCCCTGTTAAGTTTACGACGATTTTGCATTAATTCTTCAATAAGCACAGGTGTGTTTGCTAGCGAAAACTCCTTACCTAGCTCGGCCAACGACGAACGACTGCACTGTAAAAGTGGATTTTTAATTCCGTAACCTCCATTTACTGTTTCAATTTGAGGTTGAACAAATGGTGTGGCAAAGAGAGGCTGCTGGAAGATAGGTGGAACCGGAGGCGGAGGGGGTAGGGCTATTTGAGGGGGAGGAACGGGTAGAAATGGCCGATGAAATACACTTTTCTCTTCTCCTTTTTGTCCTAAAAGATAAATTGTCATGATATAAAAAGGAAAGACGTTATCTTTAAGGTGACATCCCAGGTCAAGCATATTTATTATCCCCTTTCATCTACCGGGCGAAGAGCGTAATAATAGCGTTAGCAGAAGTCTAAATAGCCTCATATAATATTAGTGCCTTAACGTAATAATGACGTCTTGCTCTATTAGAGTAGATTACGTCACCTACAATATTCCCTTGAGGATGAAAGATTATACGTCTAACAAATTCGATTCTTTTCATCCTTTTCATGTATTTTATTCTAGTAAGACACTTTCAATTTTTATGACCTTGCCTCATTTCGTTCTGTTATATGGAAGATATATGCTCGCTTCTATTCACCAGTCAATAAAATTTAATTTCAAGCGATGAATCGCTTCTGTCAATTCAAATTTTAAGATTCCGGTTCAACACGAGTTTAATGGCGTTCGTCTTTTATTATTTTCCTTTAAATTATACACCCATAGCTTTAAGCGATGCTTTATGGCCTATTCATAGGCCTGGTTTAATTAAAAACGCATTTTTTATGAAGCGTGCATAAACCTCACGCCTTGTAACATTTTTTAAAAAGGAATTTATCAAATTGAACATATTGAAAGAATGTATATAATTTGTCAATATATATAATTTCCTCTTTTTTCCCTTTTAAATCTTATTAAAACTTACCCGAAGACTTTTGCTTTGATGTATCTCCATTGTCGCAATCGTCTTCTAGCAGTATATTCTTAATAGTAAATGATTTCGGCATGTTTTCTCAACTGTATCTTCTTCGAGTATAAATAAAAATTCCCCGGGCTTATGCAAATAGGATTGTCTGATGACAGCGAATCAGAGCTGGGCTCCCTTACTATTGGTTAACGGCGAAACTTCGCTGACACTGAGAAAAGAAATTAAACCTTTGAAGATGCAGGTAGGCGTCTATTTTGTAACGCTGACTCTTCTTTCATCAATTGTAGTAGTTAATCAACCGTGATATACGACGTTCGCCGAAACGGGAAGTGTGTAAGAGTTAAAACATGAATGACGTCCAAGGAGACATTCAGCTGGTAACAGAGAATGAGAACAGGTGATAATAGCACACTTCCTCCAAGATTGGAGAAAGTCAGAACGGCGTCGAAAGTGGGCGGCAACGGGGGGCGGCAGGTGGAAGAACGAAATGGAAGAACACGGGGAGTATCATGATTTTATTGCTCGTTTTTACGGCCACTTTAAGAACGTATACGAAGAGCTGATTTAAAAAAAACTTTGCTTTTTTAGTTGCGTACAATAGCGGTAAACATCAAAGAAGAAGAGCGTCATATCTAAACACAGTAAATTGAAAATTGGTGTAAAACGGTCGTGCATGGTGCGCATCGAACTTTGATCCTATTCTGACGGCTGCCGAATCGTTTAAAGAGAAGATGCTGCGCTGTGACGTCATTCCTAAAAAGCGTTAATGTGTAACGTTCGCACTAATTGAAATTCCCCTTTTTCAAAATGAACATTTATCGTTGGTTGATATAGAGATATAGAACTTTTATAATGTATTAAGAACATCGCAATATAATGTTAAATAAAGATTGTTATCGGCCGTGAGAGGTTTATCCAACAAAAAACATGAAAAGGATGAGAGTATTGTGCTGGTATATTCTCAAAATATATAGACTTTGATCTCTTTTAAAAGAAATGCTTTGTATTTAAATATAACAAATAAGCGTGTAGTAATCGTTAATACAATATGTTATTTAAATCATTTTATCTTTATTCATAAATTCCGTAAAGGAAACGTAAAGAAGAACGGAAAGTTTCGTATCAAATTATGAATAAAACAAAATACTAATTACTTCAAGTATTTTTCAGCAGGAATCAGTTTATAAAGAGGGTTCAATTTTATACTTTCGTCGTCAAAGCAGCATGCAACTAACTTTCACTTATTCAAGGCATACGTCATACAAGGCTTATAAGCTCAAAAAACTGATCGTTAGATAGAATCTTAAAATAAACGTCAGAAAATAAGAAAATATTTTTCACCTTTTATTAAAGAATTTCTATTTATAAATAGTCTTACTTCAACTTGATTCTTCATCTTCTATTCGCCGCCCTTTGCCCTCCGCAACACTTGAATCAATTAATAGAGAAAAGCGTTAAAGTTACCGCTAATCACTCCCCAGACGACATTTTGACCATTATTTATTCGAAATGCTTGAAAAGCCCTGCCTTTTTCGCTGTCAATTGGAAGTTTACAAACGGTTTTCAATGATATATTAACACGAAAAAGAGTAAATTTAGAAAAATGGCTTTCCTTCCATAATAGGATATTAAATGAATATTTATGTTCCTTTACGGATTTTTGTGTGATTTTTCTTTCTAGAAAAGACCGAGAGAGAGAGAGAGAAAAAAAAAGAGAGAAAAAAGAGAGAGAGAGAAGATATAAGCCCAATAAAAATAAAAAGGTAAAGTTAGGTTATTAATGGATTTCGCATGCTACTACCGTTCACATTCCAAATCGTTGTATTCTTTCAAATTTCTTCCTTTTATGAGAAATAATTTTGTTTTTTTATAACTTAGATGAAAGCTTTGAAGCGTTTTATATACATTGCATAGACATAATAGAATAATATAAAATGATTCGATTGCGGCGAAATGGAAATTATCATAATTGTAAAATATTTCTGTATTAATCAACTAAATAACCATTTGGCCAATTTGATATATGATGTTTTCTGTAATAGTTAACTAAATCATTAAGCGACCTATGAACTTTCTTCTCGTTTCGGATAACATATTTTCCGTGTAGAGTTAAATCTATTATATAATGACGACATCGCTCTTCTGTTTTAAACGACAACGAGTAGTTAAATCTTGTGTCACTGAGTCGAATAAGAAAATTTCCATTTTTGCGTTGTTTTAAATAAGTTTCACTATCGCTATGGAAAAAAGGACATGATAATTATACGGGTCTGAAATATTTATTGAAAAATAATGGCTATATGATTGTACCTTCTTTTTATCATTCCGTGGAACCAATACGGTTTTGAACCGTTACGGTCATAAAGCTTTTTCTTTTCTTTCTCTTCGAACCATGCTGCAATTTCTTCCTTTAAAGACGGAGGTTCTCTCTGTACAGGAGTTTCAGGGTGTCTCTTAGGCGGACTTGGAGGTTTTCTCATCCTTACTGGCTGTTGCAAATTTGTTGTTGTCGTCGTCTTCAAAGGTGTAGGTTTTTCTTCTTCTTGTTTCTTCTTACCTTAAAAACGTAAAATTATTTTAGCATTTGTAAAAATTAAACATCCTCAACTTTGAGTAAATTTTTACCTTGATTTCTCTTTTTATCCTCTTCAACATGACGTTGCAACAAATTCATAATAAAATTGTTTCGTTCAACCGTATAATTTAACAGAGATTTTATTTCTTCTTTCTTCTTTTCTGCTATTTTCCTAAGCTTTTCTACTCTTCTTCTATCCAAAAAGCCTCGAACAACTAAGTTAATAATAGTATATTTTTAACAAATATCCAGTATATACAGTATATATATATATATATATTCTAGTAATGAACTTACTCTTTTGCATTTTCACTACCAACTTTGACACATTAGATATTTTGTCTGTCAAAACATCGACGTGGTTGAGCTTTAAAAAGATTTTAGTCTTTCCTATCTTCCAACCCTTAAGTTTAGTAAATTCAAGTATTTGTTTACATTTCTCTCGAATATCTTTGCTCTTATCCATTGGACAGCCGAAATAAATAACCTTATATCTGAAATTGGATAGATTCATTTATTACGCTATTATACGTTTAAACAATCTTGAATAACATTGTGGGAAATTTCTATTTCAATTATTACACATTTTTGCACTCTAGATGGCGTTGTTATTTTATTTTACTTACTTATTAAAGAATTCATTAAAGGATGGTCTAATAGCGAATCCTTCTTTTCTTATTTTTATTGTCTCTAGCATACCAGTATAAAGTAACTGTTGACATTAAAAAAAGTTAGAAAATATGAGTTGTATAAGGTAAGTAAATAAAGTAAATACGAACTTGGGCTTTAACGAATTCGTCATCAAAAGAATTTGATATCTTCTTCGTGTTGGGCTTAATACATCTTATAAAAATTGGTTGAGATAATAACATTCTAGCCAACAGAGTCTCCAGAGATTTCTATTAAAAGTTACAATATATATCTATATATATGCATATATGTATATATTTAGATATATAGCATGTATATTATACATAAACAATAGAGAAGAAAATGACATAGAATGTTATTGAACAATTCAATTTTTATAACCGTTACTAAAAGTAAATAATGTATATTTGTTCTTCTCACCTTAAATTGTAGGCCTACTGTATGTTTTCTTTTTTTAACTTCAGTAAAAGCAATCTGTTAATTATAAGTTTTCCAATTGTAGTAATTTAACGGAATTGATAATACGGGAATTATATTATATTACCATTTTGGAATTTCTAAAGTTAGATTTAGAAATCGTTTTATCATCGTCGATATTTGCTTGAGTGACTGGAAAGAAATAAAACTTGTTTAAAAATTTAATTTTGAAGAGATAAAATAAAGTTTACCTGTAAAAATCTCTTGAATAAGTAGCTTTTCACTACCGCAAAGCAATTGTTCAATATTATTGGGTATTGTATCTTTATTCTTTTCAACCCAAGTTTCTGCCGAGTATTCAACTTGAGACGCATAATGTTTTATATAGAAACATAGATGATTTCTCTTTGATAGTATTAATAGATTATTCCCAGATAATTTATTTTCTAAACTTTGAAAGAACACTTGATCATTTCCTCTTGGTAATTTACATGTTTCGTCCAAATTTGCTAATATTCCATTTGTTTTATTTAAGAATAAATCTAAAACGCCTTGATTGTCCTCGTAAGAAATATCTTTCCATTCTAGTCCTTCTCTTTTATATTCCTCTTGCTCAAGAATGAACACATGCTAAGGGCAAGAGAGAAACAAAAAATTCCATCAATTTTTCATTCATTTTACTTAAATAACAAAGATAACAAAGATATATATATACCTTATTGAAGAAAAACTGTAACTGTTCATTTGCTAAATTAATGCAAGCCTGTTCAAAGCTGTTATGTTGGAAGTGTTCAAATCCAAAAATGTCTAGAATTCCTATTTCCTGATAATTTTTATAAGAGTTCGTATCCTTTGACGCTATGGATTGATTTACACGATAGACTACCCATCCAAACATTTTCCCATATATAAATTTCGCTACGGCGTCTCTGACGTCTATTTAATTTAATAAGCTTTTCAATTAGTCTATACGAAATAAATATTTAATTAGGTTAAAAATGAAAACCTTTAGCCTCTTTTTTACTATAATTTCTTGTGATCGTATCGGCTCTAGTCTTGGTTGTATTTGATATTAAAATATCATAAAATTCATCTGTATGCAGTCCAAAGCAATTCTGTATAAATTGAGGTTTTTTTTAAGTGTTTAATCCTTATCTTATCAGGGAAAGAGAATAAAAAAGCCCATTTACCGCAACAAATAGAAATTCATTCGAGTTCTGGTCAATTAAAACTTCATCATTTTCATTTTCTTGCATACGAATATTTCCCATAGTTAAACACCCAGCGACCATTTCAAAAAGCAGCTCTTGCTCTTCATCGCTAAATCCTACTAAATCCATAGCATCTTTTAAATCATCAAATCTCTCTTTCATGAGATTTGTATTTTTTGAAAAAATTGCTCCATTATTCAAATATCTAGAGCAAAAATGAGAATTAATTTAGATATTAATTAATATATTACGCAATAAAAATATATAATATAAAAGTATATTTACGTATACTCTTCAGCATCTTTTAAATTCCATTTTACTTTCATTTCTGGAGACGATAGAAGATAATAGAAAGCGTGAAAATTCTCTTCACCGTCATTTTGATGAACAATTCTAGATTTTTCTAGTAGATAATCAGATATTTTCGCACCTACCACTGTTATTTCAGAAAATATAATTAGAGAGGTATAAGGTGAATATATATTTTAAACACTAGATGGCATTCACAAAATAAAATTCTAGTTTCGATTTTTCTGTTCAACTTACTGACTCCTCTGACAAAGTTGAGCATAATATACTTCCCAAATCTACTTGAATTATCATTCATTACAGTTTGTGCATTGCCAAAAGCTTCAAGTAATGGATTGACCTGATAAATTGATATTTTTAATATTATAATAAAAATTATGTATATATAAATATACTTGAACAATCTGTTGTTCTAGAGGAGAAAAGTCTTGGCTCAGGTGAACTATTTGTTTTATTAAGAGCTTTGAACTCTCCGTTTTACCTGCTCCGCTTTCTCCACTAAATCATATCAGCAATAGTATTTTTTTAAAGAGTCAGCAAGTTAAAATATTTAAAATCTAGTTCATAAGAACCTTATAATAATGCATTGATTTTTTGGTTCATTTGGTCCATTTCCACAGATATTACTATAGCAAGAGTCGGCAATAGCAAATATGTGAGGAGCTAAATTAGTTCGTCTTTCATTACGATATAGTAATTGCTCTTTACTTCCATATAATCCCAAGCTTTTGAATGGATTAACTGCAACTAAAATATCTCCTAAATACGTCTGCAGAGAATATAACAAACAATTAATTGTTTAATAAAAGAAACTGTATTTAAAGTATAAATATATATTCTAAATTCAATTAGTATTATTCAGAATGTTTATGACTCAAAAATATTTTCCCTTCTTTCTACTTACGTATATCTTATTTTGTCGATAACGAGCTTTCAAACTATTAACGAGGATATTCTCGTTAAATTCAGCTAACGTTATTAGATCATCAACCTCTCCTAACATATTTTTTTTTAAACTTCACTTCTGATATCTAATGATTGTAAGCCGTATGAAAATGAATTTACAAAGAGCACAGCAAATGATAATAGAACAGGCCATCAATAAGCGCCCTCTATGGTTATACACAAAGGCTATACATATGTAATACCCTGGCTTCTTTCAAAAAATGGTTTACTATGATAGGTTATTTTTCTCAATTATGTTAGTCATAATATTTCTTCCTAAATGAAACTATCTTGAAAGGAAAGCATACGTTTTCTTTGATATTTCTACTATTAAAGGGATTTATTAATGATTTGTTTATTTGTTTGTTTCTATTGTTTATTCGTAATTTTTATATATATTTCGAATTTATCTTTAGTTTCTTATATTGATGACTCTTCGTAGACTTAATCACTCTTAGTTACTCATTCGATCTTGGACAGTTTCTCTTGTCTTGATTGAGGAATCTTTAAAATTTACATTCTTCTGTTATAATGAAATAAATTTGTTTACTATTAAGCATAATAGTTTAAGAACGTAAGTACGTTTTACATAAAACCTGTAAAACTTCTGGAATGTTAAATAAATAGAGAACATAACTAGAGTAAACAAAGTCTTTGTAATAAAATACAAAGAAGAGTATAAGATATATCAACATTCTGTTCTTGGTAGGGAAGTAAATCGTTACATCAGTTGAACACATTCTTATATGTTTTATAAGATTTCTTTGTCTCTAAAAATATTACTAATAGACTGCATTCATATTAGAATTTCCTTTCTATTGTTATCCGTTCGATTATAAAATGTCATAGAGCTGTATTAACATAATAATTATTCTGCTTTTGAAACGTTTAGGCTGTATATAAAAGTAATTAGAATGTTTTACAGGGAATTTTGCCTGTGAATATGGCAAGAGAATTTCAGTGTTTCAGAGATGCAAAATATCAAAACGTGTTCCAACGCCTGCTGGACAGCTTCCAAAAAGAGGGTTTACTCCCTTCTTTCAGTCGATTTATTATTTCTGCTTCTTGTATGTTGTTAAATTCGTTGGATAAGAATGAGAAAGATTGTTAATTATGGATACTAATTAGTTTTGGAAGCTTTAGGCGTTTTCGAAAGGGTATTATTGTAACTTTCGAGCGATAATACATGAATTGGCGCGTTTTCGTTTCAACGTATATACAATAAAAAAAGAAATGCATCGTTACTATCTTGCGTTATTTTTCGTTACTGTGTCATTTATACCTTCAAGAGAAAAGAAGATGCTTATGCTAACCTTACCACTAACAAAATACTCTCCCCGAGACCATTTTACACTTATGAAAATTCTATCAGGAAAGTTGGCCCATAGAACGGATCATGAAATTACATTTTTCATTCAATCAAGGCGAAAGCATAAATTACCCCGAGACGTAAAAGAGTTGGCATTGTCTTCGTCTCTATCTGAAAAAGAAGAAGAAAATTTTGGTCACGCTTTACGACAACATTCAAAAAGTTTACTCAGAAGGAATAGTTCGTCCGAAGGTAAACATTCTGAGCTACTTCGTTCAACATTCGTGCAGGAATGTAAGAAAATGTTAACGGATAGTAATTTTATTGAAAGAGTGGAAAAAGAAAATTTTGATCTCTTAATTATCGATCAGGTTGAGTGTGATTTATAATTATCAATGTATATATTAATATTCAATAGTCTTATCATAGAAAAACTATAATATTATAAGTTAATAATTTATTCATATAATTATAAATCACACAGTTTTTTACGTGCGGTTATTTACTAGCTGAAAAATTAAAGCTAAACTTTGTAGTTTTTGAATGTTCTTCTTATCTTAGCTATTTGGATGCATCTGTACCAACTCCAATGTCTTGGGTACCACCTCTTTTCAGTGGTTTTCCAGACGATATGAACTATGGCCAAAGGATACAAAGTGTTATTTTACATTATTCGCTATCGTACTTTGCATCGAAACTTTACAAGGAGTATTCGGATCTCAAAGATTCACTTAACATATCACCGTCTAAATCCATTTGGGATATTAGAGCCAATTCTTTACTTTGGTTGATCAATTCCGATTTGTCTTTCGATTATCCCCGTCCACTAACTCCTAATATTGTTCACGTTGGTGGCATGATAACTGAAAAGTCTAATGAGAATTTAGATAGGGATTTTTTATCTTTAGCAAGTCATCCATTTGGAATCGTTTCAATTGACTCTGAGCATGATTTTTGCGCAGATGAAGAATTTCTCTTTTTTCTAGCAGAAGAATTATCAAAAGTAAACGATATTGAATGGATTTGGTCTCTAAGATGCCCAGTAAACAGTGGTCCTATGACCGTACATCAATTCAGGAGAATACCAAGACCAGCGCTACTAGGTTACTAAATATTTTTATATTATGTTCAGCCTAAAACCTTCTGTTCCAACAGAGAATCCGAATTGTCGGTTAATTATCACCAATGGTGATTTGAATAGTATTTACGAGGCTGTAAAGGCAGCTGTTCCTTTACTTATCATACCAATCAGTGGGGATGGTATCGATAATGGTGCTAGATTACGTAAGAAAGGTGTTGCGGAAGTTTACGATGGACGGAACGATAAGTTTACCAAGCTTGTCCCTAAAATTCGTAATTTGATAGAAAATACAAGGTTTGTTTAATAATTTATAATTAGCAAATCATCCTATATTTTAACTAATTTCTCCCATATTTCAGCTATCTGAATGCGTCTATTCAACTATCAGCAATATTTAACGACTTTTCCCCTAAACCTACGGAAAAAGCTATATTTTGGATTAATCACGTGGCAAAGTTTGGTGCTGACCATCTCAGACCGGCCGTTAACAATTTATCAACATTTCAAAGATATTTATTTGATGTTTGGATGCTTATTATATTCTTAATATTAATAGTATTGCTAATCATCATATTTGTCACAGTTTGTCTTGTAAGGTGCTGTTGGAAACTGCTTAAGCGTAATAAAACAAAAAGTGAATAGTTAATAAATGCTAATGAAATTCTTTATATTTTTCAACATTATGTCCAACTGACAACACGTAGATTTATTTATTGTTTATTCGATTTATTAAGTAAATAACGAAATGTTTATATCCCAGCACATAGAATTATTAAGTATTATTTTAGATGTAAAAAAGATAATATAACACCAAAGAATTTTTGTCTGCCAAATACTTCTATGGGTAACGTTAAGTATAAAGTTTTGAAAAATTCGAAACAGCTTTCCAAACTGCTTCAGTGTCTTGTAATTGGCGCATGCGCATTCGACTGACGCTTTGACCGGAAGTTTATAAGATCGAAGATTTATGTCAAATCGATTTATTATTATTTTTATTACTATTGTTCAACAATGATGATACAGAAAAATTGTTTGTAATATTTAAAAATATAAATCGTGAAGTAGAGAGCTGAAATGTTTTGTTTTGAGGAGACATTTTAAAATTACATTTCTTTTGCCAGCATGATATATAATAAGAAAAATTTACTAAACTTAAATAAATAAAAAGTTTCAAGATTAATGTTAAACTGTAAAGTTAGATTAATATTAATAATTTCTGCCTTCTTAAATATATTTAAAAGTAATTTAGAACATAGAACATATTTTTCCCTAGCATTAATATGAATGAAAAATATTCATTTTTCGTAAAAAAATAATTATTCAAACAGCTAGCGATCTCAATAAGGAATATAAGGATGAATCCTAGATAACTTTAACTTTAAACATAGGCTATTTAATTTTAATTAATCGAATGATAAATCGCAATATTAATCGAACTTCGATATAATCGAAATTCGTATCGAAACCGGAAATAGACAAATCGCGGAAACTGCGTTTACTATAATCTGCATTCACAGCTTGCTAGCAGTCATGGCTCCGGGCATTAATAATGCTGCTGTGGAGGCCATATGTGGTGCCGTTTATTTAAAAAATTATTTGGATACAACGGAAAATCTGCCAGAAGACATCGTTCACAACACAACCCAAATTAGAGAGTTGGATTATCGCTCACAACGTATGAAAATATCTGTATATATCTTTACTGTGCATAATCTGTGCTGTATTTTCAGAACTAGTAAATGATATTGAAAACTCGTTGAAACAATTCGAAGAAATTGAAAATGATAATGTTGCTCGAAAGAAATGGTATAATAATACCTATCGACTTCTCATCAACCATCAAGAAAATTTAGACTGCCAAAATGAGCTAATAGTACAAACTCAGGAGTACGTTGACAAATATACAAGGCAGTTACAAAATGATTTAGAAAATTTAGGTAAATATTTTATCAAAATTTTGTAATATATAGTAATTTAAGCCTAGTCATCAATCATGTAAGAATGATAAAACGTATATCTTTCCTACAGACCCATCGTTTGCCGATAATACAATGGATTCTATGAAGCAAACCGTGTCAGCCCCCCGACCAGTCAGCAAGCCAGTTAACAAACATGTGAAGCATTCGGTCGAGGACAGAAATTCCCTAGACGCCCGAAAGCGATCGAAGCGACAAAGGATACCCGAATCACAATTAAAAGATATCGATGATGATAGGCAAATAAAAAAGGTCAAAAGAGAAGTAAGGAAAAAGCAGTCGAAAGATGATAAGTCCATATCAAGTGACATAGATCCAGACGAACCGAGATATTGTACATGTAATCAAGTTTCTTATGGTCAAATGGTCGGGTGCGACAATGATGGCTGTTCAATTGAATGGTTTCATTTTGATTGCATGAAACTAATAACAAAACCAAAGGGTAAATGGTACTGTCCAGATTGCAGGGGTGATAAATCAAATATAATGAGAGCGGATCTGAAATAGTTCAGTCATTCACCATCTTGAACTATAAAAGCTGACTGTTTGTATTCATCAAAAATATTTTTTTAATTACATTTGAATTTCATTCACAAGATCGTTTGTGTGTACATACATTTATATATATATATATATATATATAAAGTATAAGATGAGAAAAAACATTAACTTGAAAATTTGTTGCTATTTATTTGTTTCTTATTTTTTGTTTGAAAGCAAATATTCCTGCTTAGAGATTATGCACCATTTTTATTTATTTAAAAACCTAAAATCATTCTTTCGTTATCACAAACATCATCAATCAATATTATTCAAGTTGAAAATCAGTCCTCTTGTTATCATTGTGCAAAAAATAGAAATGCTCCTCCTCTCCCTTTATTATTTTCATAGCTTTTCGATATTAAATATTTCATTTTTTTTTAAATTTTATACAATTTCCTATTTTGCCATTAATTTATTAATTAAGTGATAAGTTTATTAAGAAAAGTAATAAGTTTTAACTGAATAATAAAATTATATAAATATAATTTAAATAATACAAAGTCTGCATTCCTCTTAGCCTAGCCTTTTTGAAACTGATCAAAACAGGAATTCACTAGTTAGTATCTTTATACTATTTATGATAAGAACTTAAAATGGTCCAAGGACAACCTTGTAAAATTTGAAAATATTTAATAAAGGCTTTCTACGGTGCCATGTCAAATTTTGACAGAGTGCTTGTTTATATATTGTAGTTGTCAGTGTATTCTTATTTTTATACAAAGCATATTGAATAGAATGAGTAAGGAAAGAATTTGGATAGCGTGAAAAAAAAGCTCCAGGCAGCTCATTCCCAAGCGCGTTGTTCAATATTAATTTGTTGTAGACCTATACAATAGTATTTCAATGAACGAAAACTGTAGAATTGGCAGTTTCTAATTTACATTTGATCGCTCCAAGTGATTTAGATCCAGTAGACAATATGTTTGGAAAGAATAAAAAGGTATGCTTTCTCCAATGTATAATTTATATTATTTCATTACCTGTAGTTTAATAATTTGAATTTAGCATTGTGTTTTTAAACTAGTCCTTTTGTTAAAAATCTTTACTTTTTCATGTTTAACTTTATGTTAAATCTATTTTTTAAGGGTTCAATGGTAATCGCTAATAAAGTTGCTTGCGAAGGCGATGAAAATGATAAAAGAGGAAATTGGAGTGGGAGATTTGATTTTATATTGTCATCGGTAGGATATGCAGTGGGGCTTGGTAATATTTGGAGATTTCCATTCAAAGCGTACGAAAATGGAGGAGGTCTGTAATATATGGATATAATAGTCTATTACGCTTATACGTTGTCTATTAAGTTAAATGATATAATGAAAAAAAAGAGAGAAAAGACTGACTTGTTTATAAAAGGTATTATATATATGTCAGCAAAAAAGAAAAGAGTTAAATAAGAACTTTTAACTTGTCATTCTTTACCACTGCTTAAATTTCTCATTTTTTGCATTGTGCTTCTATTTTCTATTTATTTACAGTACTTTGATAATATTAGTCTTAAAGGAGTTATGCATATCCAACAGTACTTATATTCAATTTTATAGTAGCTAAAGTAACAACTACGTATAATATTTTTCTTCATCTATCGCCATGTTTTCAACTATACAATTGTTTAACTTTTCAACTTTTATTACTTTACTTTTATACCTACTTTTCATCTTGTTTTTTTGTCATAAAACAATTTTAAGATTATAGGCTCAATTTTTTTATTTTTAATTACGAACAGCCTCTTTCCTTATTCCTTATGTTATTATGTTGATATTCGCTGGATTGCCACTCTTTTTTCTTGAAATGGCATTTGGTCAATACGGTTCTTTGGGACCAATATCAGTTTGGGCAGCAATGCCGTTGTTTAAAGGACTTGGATATGCTATGGTGATAATATCGGCACTTGTTTGTATTTACTACAATATGATAATTGCGTACGGTTTTTACTACCTCTTTGCATCATTTCGATCTGACGTACCGTGGTCAGAGTGCAAAGATGAGTGGATAACAAAGTACAATTGTAGTTTGAGAGATCTTGGAGAAAATGCGACAATTAGGAGGGAAGAAATCAGTAAGAGATTGATGATATATTAATCCTATGTATAAATATTTGTGACTTTCATCTTTAATAAAATTAAGGAGCACAATGCGACAATGGTACTTTGCCAATTGGATCGAACTATGGGTTGATGTGTAATCCTGTTTCTCCTGCTCAAATCTATTGGGAGTAAGTATTGAATAGGATCAAATCTCTTTTTGTCTACAAATTACACACGTTTTCCTTATTAGGAGAGAAGTTTTAGACATATCCGGAGGCATTGATGATGCAACTTCCGAGTTCAAATGGTACTTGGTCTTATGCCTTCTTTTATCGTGGATTGTTGTTTTCCTTTGTTTAATAAAGGGAATAAAATCGTCTGGAAAAGTCGTATATTTTACAGCTGTTTTCCCATACATTGTTATAATCATTCTGTTGATTCGGGGATCTCTACTCGATGGAGCGAAAGATGGTATAGAATATTACGTTATACCTAAATGGGAAAATCTGAAAGATTCCAAGGTAAGGCAAGAATTTTTCACATACAATTTGCATTAAAAAAAGATTTCTGCATAAATAGCCTTGGCATGATGCGGCTACACAAATATTCTATTCTTTGGGCGTCGCCTTTGGTGGTTTGGAAACGATGGCTAGCTATAATAAATTCAAAAATAATGTTTATAGGGATGCTATCTTTGTGGCTATTCTCAACTGCTTCACGAGTATATTGGGTAACTTAAAGTATCTTTTTACTATGAATTCACTAATTAATAAAATTATAGCTGGATTTGCTGTCTTTGCTCTGATTGGTCATATGTCTCATAGATCGGGATTGCCTATAGAAGATGTAGTAGATGGAGGTATATCTATTTTGATAAGTAGCATTTATGCTAATTACTGAGTAATATTTAAATAATTCCTTAGGCCCTGGTCTAGTATTTATAGTCTATCCTGAGGGAATAGCAATGATGCCTGTATCCACTTTTTGGTCTATATTATTTTTTATCATGTTGCTAACCTTAGGATTGGACAGTCAATTTACCATGATGGAAACGGTTATAACTGCAATATCCGATGAATTTAAAACTTTAAGAAAATACAAAATTATTTTTACCGCATTCATATGCTCTTTATTCTTTTTAATCGGTTTGCCACAATGCTCGAGAGGAGGAATTTATGTTATGCAACTATTCGATAATTATTCAGCAAGCTATGCTTTGATGATTGTATCCCTCCTGGAACTAATTGCTATTGCATGGATATATGGTAAAAAACAATTGATATTATTATAATAGTTTGCAAGTAATGAATATTCTTCAAACAAATCAATTAGATTTTAGAAGATTTTCCAGAGATATTAAATGTATGCTTGGCTTTAAACCTGACTATTATTGGTTGGCAATGTGGATTTTTTGCACACCTGCTTTAATTTTAGTACGTTTGATTAAGTATTCTAATCGGTGCAAATTATATTTTCTCTATTTTTTAACGCATATAGTTTATCTTGGGATTTTCCATACGTAATTATCAAAAGTTCAAGTATGGTGGGTACGTATATCCGGATTGGGCTAATGGTTTGGGATGGCTAATGGTTGCTGCAGCTCTTTTTGTTATACCATTATTAGCACTAATAGAACTATTTAAAGCCTATAAAAGCAGTGGCTCTTTTCAAAAGGTAAAGGAGTTTATTAGTCTTCACCATTTAAAATTTATTGTGAATTTTCTAACGGATGGTTTATTTATTGTTTAGGCTATAACAATTGCTGTTTCTTCAACCTCTGAATGGGGACCCTATAGAGACGAGTATAGAGAGGAAAGAGAACTTGTGGAGAGAGACTACAAAGAAAGCTGTTCAACCAATCCTGCTTTCAAATTTGAAGACCAAAAGATATAGTGGTGTTTTTTTTTCTCAAGTATGCGTGATCTAATATGATACATGTTTATTAATGATTTCTTTATTTAAAAAAAAAGACTTTCTAGGCCTTTGCTTTAATTTTTGTAATAAACTAATATTTACATTTTTATATTCTTGTTTGTATTTTATGTTCTCTCAATTTTGCTCTATAGAATAGCAATTGAATATTGTATTAGAGGTATCATCGAAAATGATAAAATTCTTAGATTATAGATGGCGTTATTATTGTGGAATATCAAACATTTTGAATTTAGTGCATAATTAGAGAATTTATATTTTAAGCATATCATTATTGAAGATAGAAATAAAAATTTATAACATAAAAATCTTTTTAAAACGTAAAAATAAGCCTATCAATTATTTTTCAAAGGCCAAAAGAATTTAATTGAGCGATGATAGGGAGAATTAGAAGAGTTCTGTTTGAACACGAAAGAAACTAAAATATTCTTGAAAAGAAAATATAATGACTTCAACAGAAACTTCTTCAGATATAGAGGTATATAACTGAAAGAAAATGATATTTATTTCTCTAATCAGAATTAATCTACAATAGACCAGCAGCTATTCTACCGTAACAAGTGAATCCACTGCCATAGACTTATCAAAAACAAATGAAAAGGATTTTACAGATACCGAATCATCCTACTCTAGTTCGAATAGCACAAGCTCCTTTGTTTCTTCCCCAACTTACAGCACCCGATCCCCAATACCAACACCTAGAAAATCAAAAACTTATAGCTATACTACAACCTTCAACAGCTTTAATTCTTCAGAGGAAAATGGAAGTGATCCAACCACGACAGATGATAGTCAAATTTATCAGCTATATAAAAGTGACTTTGAGACGGCTATATCCTCTGCATATTCCCCTAGACGGTAGTAGTAGATCATCTACTTGTAACAAGTATGAACTTTACTGAAATTTCAGGCGAAAACCTTCTGAAATTAGTATATCGCGAACATCAGCACCAACAACTGGATATTTGTATACTGAAGATTTTGAAACAGGAACAGAGGTATTTAATGAAGAAGAACTAACAGATTCTAGTGAAAGAGGGGAAAATATTAAAGATTTCGAAGACTTACTTGAATATAGCGAAGGTACATTTATAGATAAGGTACTTATAAACACGAAATACTTTTTCCTTCTTTAATAATTTTTCAATAACTTTAAGGCTCAAGAAGATGAAGAAAAACAACTTGAAGATTATGTTCGTAGTAAACTGGAAATGTTAAAAGGGAAAATAAAGAAAGAGAGGGTTAAAGAAACAAAACCTTCAATTATTCCAAGGAGAAAGAAACGAACTGATTTGAGTAAGACATTTTGTTTACTATGGTTGTTTACTGTTTTATACATTGTATTTTAATCTTTTTGATCATCTTTAGAATTAGAAGAAACTGAAATCTTATTAGAACGCTTAAGGAGGAACTCAGAGCAAGCTGAAAAGCCTGCAGGTAAACTTAAAATCATTCATGAAAATTACAATACGCTTGCCTCTAGCATATCGGAAAAAATATCTAAATCTAACTCTTCTATTATTCGAAATTTCGGATTAGTTTTGCCTTGAACATTTCTCCAATCCACTATCATTTGACCTCGGCAGTACTTGCCCGAAAGTTCAATAGAGCAATGGGCAAAAGCATCTTTTTTTACAACTTTTGGATTTAAAGCAACTGCCATTATAGTTTGATCTGCAGTCACATATCCCTTAAAATTGGTTTCTTCTGGATCGTTAGAAATCCCTACTTTCTCCACTTTTTTCATAAAGGCAGATTTCTTTGTTCCCTTTTCGGAATACTTACGATACCAGTCCTAATGACAAAACAAGCTCGGGTCTTTAAAAAAGATTGATATTTCTTAAAAATAATGAAAAAAATACTAACCCATGATAGATAACTTTTCAGGCATAATTCCCAAGGACAAATTGTCAAATTATGTCGATTAAGCCCATTTAGAACGGTATATGCCGCTTCTGGATCTGCTACGAAGTTAAATTCTCCCATAATCGTAGCATTACCCTGACCATAGATATTACCACCCATAATGAAAACGTCTTTAATATTTTTGTCAAAGTTGGGGCTCAAGTTCATTGCCACAGCAATATTGGTTAGGGGAGCCATACAAATCAGGCTTATTTCTCCAGCATATTTCTTAGCATATTCAACCAAGGCGACTGAAGCATGCTTATCTTTCAAAAGGGTTTCAGGAACTTGATTTTCGTCTGGAACATCACCAAGACCATCTTTACCATGATAAGAAGCTGCATGTACATTATCGCCTATAAGAGAATTTTCGCAACCAGAATATACAGGAATATCCAATCTATTTGCGAGATCTAGGATTCTCAATACGTTTTTTCCAACTTGTCTTGCATTGGTGTTTCCATGTACAGTAGTAATTGCAACAATTTCGACATCCTTGTGTGAAAGTGCTAATAGGATGGCCGCCGCGTCATCGCATCCAGCGTCTGTGTCTATAATTAATTTCATAGCTCAAATAGTTGACAGGAGCAAAATCAGTTTTCACACAGCTTTTGGTTAACTCCAAAGGTCAATGGCGCATAAAAGCGGTCTATTATCGATCAAAATTAAAACTGTTTTTTACTTTTTTTTACTGTTTATCGTTTTATAGCTATAAGGAAACAGCCTATACTTCGTCCAAGTTCACTATCTCTACCCAGTCGGCTTATAGCGAAAGTAAAGTTGGATCATTCAATAACAAGATTGTCAAAAGTACGTTCAATTGAAATTGAAAGTATATACATTTATATAATTGAATCAATTTAAGAAATTGGATTCTTCTTTTAACGAGAAAGAATGGGAGAAGATAAGCGAGCAGAATTTACAGCATAACTTTGTCCGATCTAGAACAGCTATTATTAATGAGAAATTGACAGAAGCTCGTATTCTGGATGAGAAAGTACTTTTTGTCTATAATTTATTAATCACAAATTTAATATAAATACTGTTTTTCTTTTCAAATTTAGCCAACTTGGTATAGATTTGCTCAAAATTTAGCGCATCTTCCATCGGTTATGTCCAATAGAAAAGAAATATGGGATAGATTAACAAAGAATCAAAAATTTCTAGTCGATAAGTTAGGAAATAAAGACTGGCGTCTACACAAACCAAAAAATGTGAGCAGTAATGTTGAAAAAGGTAATAAATTACAAAAAATTACAAATGAAACTAAAAAGAGGGATTGGAAAATTAAAATTAATTGGCCGACGCCAGCTGAGGAATGGAACGAAATCGATAGATCCATAAAATTTTTTACAAACGAAAGCGAACAAGTTTGGGAAGAATTAAGCAGGTCAAAAAGAATTATAAAAAATGATTTATCCGTTATAAATTAGACAGCGGATTAACAAAACGTACTACTGCCAAATATTTTGTTCAAATTTCCACATTCAGCTGATACGCATTAAAGAATATATCATGATTAAGCTCTTTGCCCTATGTTTTCTTTCTTTGGTACTCTTATCATTTGCTGACAAGGTGAGATCATGCAGTATATGTATATTCCAACATTACTATCGTTAATATTGCTTTTAGGATCATTATTTTAAGAATGAAGGAAAGCTTGGATGTCCTCTGTTAAGGTGTTTAAAATACAATAAAGTGAATTGTAGATTTCCCGAAATAAAATCGTTTGTTGGCTTTAATAATGACGTATGCGAATCCTGTGAAATATGCTGGGATTTGAACTACTCATTTGCTGATGGGAAAATGACGAGCAATCATTTTGGAGAAGTTTATTAAAGTAAAAACTATATTAAATGTCAGCTGAAAATTAATATTTTTTACTATTCAACTATGATCGTTTAGCCTTTGGCCGAACATTTGGAGGGGGAACAGATGGCTTTTCTTGTGGTTCATCACCAGTACCTGTTTGTTAATAGATTTATATAAAATGAAAACATGATCATAATTGAAATAAACTAAAATATACCAAATAAATCTACAGGAGATTCCAATAGCCCTCTTCTTTGAGATCGGTTGAAACCTCTAAATAGATAAAAACTTTAATTAAATTCTCTTTGTCAATTTGAAATAGATAAGAAGGTAGATATATTCTAGAAAGTAAGACATTGAAACATAGTGTTTTTTTTTTACCTATAAGCTAAGGATACTCCATAAGCGAGAGCCGTAAATGAAGCAGCTATAATCATTTTTAGAACGCTATTCTGTAGGATAGAAATCGTAGTTTAATAAATTACATTCTACCTCTATTCAAAAATACTAAAAGATCATATATATTAATATATATAAATTTATATGTATATTACTTGTATTACAGATGGTTGATTTAGATAGTGGTCAAACAGGACAACCGCTATGCCAAAGATCATTCCGATAATCATGCCAATTACCGGTATCCTTGCTTCAGCTATAAATGTAGATAATTAATAATTAAACAGTGTTTATTAGACAGAGAAAAAGAGAGAGGGAGAGATAAGGATATAAATAGGAGAAGTATTTTAGACTAACATGTCCTTAAAGTGTCCCATTTTATGCTTGCTAATTGCCTAGCGTTCAGCAGAGTTTTGTCATTTGGATCGAAATCTAAGCCTTGCTATTAGGAAAATTAAAAAAAAACATGGCAACTTTAATAATTGACGACTAAAGATAATAAAGAAGCTATATTTGTCTTACTTGATAGCTTTGTAATGCTTTCTTATAATGTTGAGTGCAAAAATAGACTTCACCTCTTCTAAAGTAGCCCTGTAATGATAATTTAATAGCACTATGTTTTATTTTATTTATCAGTCAACCTTCGCCCAGGTTGGCTCTAATTTGATTGCTTTATTGGCATCTTCCAAGGCATAGAAATATTGATCTAACTGTTTCGTGAGAATTTTGATTAGTTACAAATGAGAGAGGAGTTTTAGACAATGACTAACCCGTAGGAAAGCAAGGGATCTATTGCTATATATTTTAGCATTTTTCGGATCAATTTTTGTAGCTTTTGTATAATGAAGCATGGCTTCGATGTATTTCTTGTTTTTTAAACAGTTATCGCCGTCAGCCTTAGGATCAACAATCTGTGACAAGAGCGATAATAAAATAATGAAAACAAGTGAAATTATCCAAAACATATCTTGAAATAAATATTTTTATCTTAACTACGTATACAAAGAACTCACATCCGATGACATTTCGTTGATTGTTTTACTTAAAAGAATAATTGAAAGTAAACGAGTGTGCAAAAACAATATTTTGGCAAAATTGTAGTTATTGCTTCTAATTCTACCAGTTTATATCATTAGCAATAATTTTTTTTATTTCCGCCATATTCTTATTTTGATTTATTAGATTAAAATTTAATTGTTTTAAAGATATATATATATATATATTTATTTATATATGTATATATTCTAGTAAATAGAGCAGAACTTAGTATTTATAAAAGTCTGTCTTTTAAAAAATTTTAATTACTTTATTTATATTCAAAAGAACTTTTTTTTGAATAAGTTGAATAAATTCACCTTCTATTATGAATGATTTCACAAAAGAACTGTTACTCGGCGCGGGAACTTTTGGAAAAGCTTGGTTATGTACAAGGAATTCTACTGGTCGCAAATATGTTTTAAAGCAGGTAAGAAAATAAAATGAGACAAAAAAAAAACAAAAAAGCTACTCCTTAATTGATATCATAATTAATATTAAAAATATAATAACTTTATTTAAGGTGGATTGTAGTAGGTTGTGTGAAAAAAAACGTGAACAAGCAATAACAGAAGTTAAAGCTATGGCAATTTGTAAAAATATCAACATCGTGAGATATAAGCAAGCTTTCGTTGACAACTGCAACTTATGCATAATTATGGAATACTGTACAGAAGGTTTTATTACTTTCTATATAAGCTTAGAAAACTTTAATAACTAATGATTAGTTTCTATTGTGTTGGTGTATGTGTGTTTGTAATTTTCTAGGAGATTTACAGCAGAAAATTGATAATCAAAGAGGAATTTTCTTTGATATCAACGTAAGTATTAGTAATAATTAAAATCAAACTTGTAAAAATATTAATATTCATAGGATATATTCCATTGGTTTATTCAAATCACTTTGGCTATTAAGTATATCCATGATAAGAATATTCTTCATAGAGGTCTTTTCCTTTGATTTATTGACAGATTTATTCTTATAATATGCTCTCTTTACATCGTTTAGATTTGAAAACACATAATATATTCCTTACTTCACATAACGTTATTAAAGTAGGAGATTTTGGTATAGCTAAAATGCTTGAAAGTGATCAAGATTACGCCATAACTGCTATTGGTACACCATACTTCCTTAGTCCAGAAATTTGTCAAAAGCTACCGTAATAGTATTGCATAATTGGTTCAAATATATTAAAAAGTTCATTGCTATAAATGTTTTAAAGGTATAGAAAATCCAGCGATATATGGTCTTTAGGTTGCGTTCTCTTTAACATTTGCTGTTTGAAACCTCCGTTTGAAGGTAATAATCTATCGGGCCTTGTTATGGCTATATTAAAAGGAGAATATGAACCAATATCCCCGTAAGTTAATTTGTTTGTTTGTTCTGTTTAGTAATATTGTTTTGTATGCTTTTACCATAGTTACTTTGGCCCTATTTTGGAGGATTTAATAGCCGTTCTCCTGAACCAGGATGCTGAATTGAGACCGACAGCCTCGCAGATTCTTTCCGTTTCAAATTTGAGGCCATATTTGAATTCAACGATAAAGAAACTTAATCTATATTGGTTAATGACTTTGACACATTAATCAACTTACTCATTCGTCCTCATTTATTCTCTTTATTTAGCTCATCAAATGTACCGGCAAGCCCTTTTTCACCGATAGTGAAAAATTCGCCTAGACTAAGCCAAAAATCTGCTAAATCTGTACCATCTGCTAGAATTAGACCATATGTTAATGGTGATTTAGATTTCAAGGTGGACAATGAATCATTTATAAAAAAGCGTCGACTTTTAAGTGAAGATAAATTAAAAGTAGTATTAGAGTTTATATATTTCATATACAAGTTATTATATTTGTATGTAGAACTTTTACCTTATGTTTGTAAGTTTAACTTAATATTTCAGGAATCGCCAGAAGTTGATAGAAAGAACTTAAAACGCTTTAAGAATTTTGACACGTTTCTTATACCAAAGGAAAAGCTAGAAGGTAATCGTTTTTTATTTAGTTTTTTCGTATGATATTGAATGTTGCGGTTGTTTCATATCGTTTTATGGACATATTGCAGAGGAGGCCCTCAATTTAATGATATCAACCGTTACTGTGAATGAACAAACGGCTTTTACCAATAAGAAGATAATTACAGATTATTTAACTCGACGACTTGGTATTGACATATTATATCAAACAAAAGACGATTTAAGAAAGCGAATCGTTAATGTCCAAATGACAGCTGATCGACTAAGCGAAGTTAAATCTTCTATTAAGAACACGAAACTAAACGACAAACTATTATGTCTATTTTTAAGACTATTGCAAATTGAATATGTTTTTAAGGTTTAGATCAATGTATCCAAGGAGAAAAAAAAGAGAAAGAGATATTTTTAATCTAGTCAAAAAAAATAAAAAAAATTCAATAAGTCTTTATATTCACAAAAAAAGGAGAGCAAGTCGATTGGAACATTAAGGATAGACAAAACTACATTTTTATCATTTTCTTTGATGAATGCATAGACAAAATAATTTCAACATTTTACATATTCATAAGTGCACAAACAGATATCCTTTTATCCTTAGCCGTGTCTGTAAGCTATACCCTTCTATTACATTATAAAACAAGCCTCAATTGTTAAGATAATATTACAGAATTAGAGATAGCAGGAGCGAGGGGAGAAAGGGCGGGACGAGGAGATGTAAAAGCGAGCAAAGTGGTTAAAGTAGGCTCTTCGAAAAATTTATCCATTTTGTATCAAAATAAAGGATCATAAAATAATTCTGTACCTAATATAAATAATAAATAAAGAGATAAGAAAGAGCAAATTTCAATCTTGGGAGAAAAAATAACAGACAAAGAGATAGGGAACCTCGTTAATTACAATTTTGACACAAGATCGTATTGCATTACTTGTTTTCAACAAGCTTTTTTTTTCATTCAGTAGGCCCAGCCTCTTTCGATCACGAATAGCTTTTTAGTATTAACGGAATGTTTGTCGGTACTGTGCAGGCCGAAAGGTCCATAAACACATAATTGTACCAATTCTGTTAATTGCACGTCTAATAAAGACAGAAAAGCCTAAACGTTAGCACTACTCTCCAGCTTTTGTATTAACTAAATAGAATATCAACCGAACTCATTGAGAAACCGTTGAGGAATATGGCGAGTTAGTATAAAATTTGTTCAATTTCTAGACTAACACCGTCTATTCTATATAATGTATATATTATATATATATATATTCAGAGAATGATGAAAAGGCTATGGTTAATTACAGTAGATAGATAGAATTAGAACTATGTACAAAATATTGTATTATACATTATTGAAAACAAGACGTGTAACTGAATATCTCTTTTTATAATTTAGACAAATGTTGTCGAAGATGTGGAATATGCTTAAGCTATATTCCCGTTCTGCCATTCATATTATGGATGTTTGGATTCGTTTGCCTAATCTGTTGGGTAACTGTATATCACATTGGCCTGAGTGATTATGAAAAATTCGTTCAAAATATGTCATCCTATTTGAATATCTATTCTGAGAATTATACATCTGAGTATGTAATTAATTAGCAAATTGGTCTATACGACAATCTACTTTTATATTTTCTTAAATATCTTTCAAGTAATATATTTAACTTTTTTAACTATATAGGCAATTTGGGTATGTTAAATTGACAGTTTATTGTCTACTCTTCTTTTCCGCTGTATGGATCACATTTTACCTAATTATGGCAGGATTTGCAAAGAATAATGTAGTTCAGAATGCATTTGGAACGAAAAATAAAAACGTTTGTGGCCGTGTTGCTAATATATGGGTAAAAAAGGATTCCTTTAATTTCTATATTTAACATAATTTTTTAAATTTTGTTTATAAACATTTAACTAAATTTCTTATTAAATTACTCTAGTTGGGAACTTTTACATTCATTCTCCTATTGATGTGGTTATGTACATTATTCTTTAATGGTGTGGTCTATTTATTGATAATCGCTGGAGAACCATTGATCAGAAACGGAACACTAGGACAAGGCGGTAATATCTTATAATTCTTCTTTAGTTATTTAATCAACTTTTACTAATAGCGATATAATATTGTATCATATAGGAACTAAATTCTTAAATTCGCCTCAAGGGATAGAGCTAATGAAAACAGTAATTAATTTACTTAATTATCTATTCAATTAAAAAAAAAATAACAAAAAGAGAAGAATATTTAAAAAATGTTTCAATTTCCTTTTTTTTTTATCAATAGGCCGATAATTTAGAGGTTATTCATGCTATAGCTTTAGCATCCGTTGGTGGTTTCTTTTTTACAATGGTTCGTAATAGAATTATAATGTATTATGTACACCTTCTAATGAAATTATTATATATTACGATTTAAAGTAAAACTGTTTTATTTATTATAATGTAATATTTCTCTATGGCAGATATTCACTTTGATGGGGGTTGCCGCCCAATACGTTCAAATCAAAACAGCAATAAATTCCGGATACTCTTTTCCAAACGAAGAAGAGAGAACGAAATTGTAAATTTATAGACAAAAGAACGCATAATTAATACAACAAAAGCAATTATAAATATATTAGTATATATGTATAATTACTGAAAATTTTTTTTAGAATTGCTGTGTTTTGCTATTGAAAAAAAAAATTCTTTCATATTAATTTTTTTTCTTTAAAAAAACAAAATTAAACTAATTAATAAGCTTTTTTTTATGTAATTATTTATTTCTTTCAATACGCTTAAAACTGTCAAGATATCGTATTTTTCTCTTCCTTTTTGAAACCTCGACTATTTTTTTTGTGTTACTTAAAAAAAGAAAAATACTTAGCATTTTAACAATGATCACATCTATATTTGAAGACCTTATCCTTGAAAAGAGATACGTGTATACGTGTGTATGTATAAAGGAAAGGTGCTATGTATGTTTATTTTGGAAAACCTTATTTATTTTTTATATTTAATAAATATTTCCTAGAAAAAGAGAATCATGACATGTTCAATATAAATATACAATTCTATTTATATATTTATATATATTTCCCTTTTTATAAACTATTAGTTGAATTTTTTAAAGATGATATTCTAAACTTATACTATTTGTTTAACAGTATATAATTGTTTATAATGTATAAATTCATATATACTGTTTATATAGTATATACAATAGATATACAAATTTAGTCTATACATTTTAAAGTTATTAATTGAAGTTTTCCTTCTATTAGACCATTCTAAAGCTCTAAGCATACTCTTAATAATAAGAGATTTATTTTAAATATAACTTGAATCAATATTTAAAAAAAAAACAAATATGAAAGGAAATTGTTAAATACTTATTTGATTTTTTTAAAGTAGTTTTTGATTATTATTTTTTTGTTGCAGTTTCAGTATATATAATACATATTAAGGAGGAAGCAATTAAAGGAAATATTATAGACGATAATATTCTACTTTCTTTTTGTAATTAGTAATAAAATATAGATTTGAAAACAAGTTTAATTCTGTAAACTGTTAATTTTTGAATTTTTGGATTTATTCCAAAGAAATCAAATAGCAATTAGAAAATAAGAATGAACGTATATTTTTGATTATTGTTCCATTAATACTATTTATTTTTAATATAAAAGATAAAACTATATCTCCTTAATAGTTTATTGATATGGGAAATAATACTGTTTTTTTACTAAATTTATTCAAAATATTCTTATTTGATTAGAAAAATCATTTTTTCATTCATTTCTCTCTTTCTCTCTCTCTCTCTCTCTCTCTCTCTCTCTCTCTCTCTCTTTTTTTTTTTTTTACATTCATTATAGATCTATTTAATAGTAATAAACAGTCAGCTGGATAAAGAAAAAATTTAATATTCATAAATTAGTATAAATTTTCTCATAATACTAAATTTTTCATAAATTTGTATTCAAGTTGTTTTAAACATTTATTTATTCATATTAATTGTTTTCTATATTTCTCTTTTCATTCCTATACCTCTTTGTCTATATGTTTCATCTCTCTCTCTCTCTCTTCTCTTTCTTTTTCATTATCTTTCCCCTATTTCGTTCATTTCCCAGTTCTCCTAAAATACTAAAAAGAAAAAACAAAAAGAAATGAAAACAATCTAATCTAATAATAATTATTATTTGATTAATTATTATTAATTTACTAACTATTATTCTATAAACTATTTCCCCCTTTTTAATAATTAGTCCAGCACTGGCTTCAACACAATACATTCAAAAATATACAACATTATAATAATACTTTAGATGGCGTTAGCGTTTCTAACTTTAATTATCATTTGCATAAAGAAAACAACAAAAAAGTAAAGATTGATTACTTCCTGCAATTTATTGATAAAATAATTAAAGGAAAACTAAATATAATTATTAAGTTTTTTACTTTCCAAACATACTTTTAAAATAATAAAGTTAGCAAACAAAAAAGTCATGTAGGCTTACAAAATATGTTGAATTCTGATGTTGAACGTTTATTTCGGTTTTCCAAAAATTTTTAAGTATTCAATTACATTTGTATGGGATTAATAGGAAAACGATTCATCCATGATGAATATTGCCTTTTAGTGATAAAACATTTTTGAAGGCTATTCAAAAACTTCAAAGAAAAATGAATGGAAACAATAAAATGCAATTGGAAATTAGATCGCATAAACATTAGGCCTAGATTTATATTTTTCAGATGTAATTAATAGGAAAAGTGTTGTTTAGCTTTGAAAGAACAAGGGAAGGTATACTGCATGGGAGATAGATAGACAGAGAGAGAGAGAGAGAGAGATAAATAATACAAGTAATTACAATAGCATATAAAAAATTATTCTTTCTCGAATCCTAGTCATTAGCTACCCACCATATCTTTTCTATTTTAGATAACTAGCCGTTTCACAGGATTTTTTAATTATTTGAAAATTTGTCAAATTAACGTAGTAAAATGTCATATTAGATGAAGACTTCTCATGGCTCGTCACGTATTTTTTTATAATAGCTGGCTTTTTAAAGTATTATTAAAAGTACTAAAAATAAATAAAATTTCAAATAATATTGGCAAATCACCTGATCTATCCGCTATTAAAAGTTAATAACAATTAATTATAGAAAAGTGCTACTCCAAGAGAATTTTAGGTCACGCCACGGTTAAATCTCATTAAAATGATCCTATAAATCGGACAGTTCTCTCAAATAAGAATATCTAATTGGTTTTTCTTTTACTCTCTAAGAAGTTAACTTAACAAAAAGTGCAAAAAAGGTAAAGAACTCTCTTACAGAAAATTATAATGTAGATACAGTAAAGAATTACAAAAATGAGGAAGAGTATATTGTACCACCAGTATAAATATACTGTTAATACCTATATGCCTTTAATGTAGAGGGAAGAAGAAAGAGGAAAAACGGAAAGAGAACAGAGGATTTTATCCGTTAGAATGGATATGTAATTTAATTTCTAATTATCCATATTAGAACTTGGAGAAAATGGGCCCTTTTAAATATATTTAAGAAGTTTTAAGGTAAATTAAGTGTTAAGGTAATGGCTTTCATGAATATAGCTGTTATATTCCTTTCCTGACTGTATTTACAGGCTTTTATATTCTCATATTTCCCTTATGTATTTTTATTAGGCTATCCGCAAAAACCTAATGTACTATATTAACTTTGTATTGACAAACAGAGTGAAAGTTATTTTATAAAATTGTTGGGGTTAATTCAATTTATAATCTATTATACATCCTTTTCTCTTTAATATTTTTCCCTTTATTATATTTTTATACCATTTGCAGATACAGCGTACTTTTCAAAGGGGAAAAGTCCTACAAATTCCCATAATTAGAGTTACTGGCATACGCCATCTGCATAATACTTTTATAGGAAGGAAATGATTTATACCCTTTTTAGACTGTGATAATTACGAGTTTTGCTAAAACAAAAATTGTAACGTTTTTCTCTTTTGTTACATGCTGTTTTTATGATGAATTTTAATAATTTAGCTAGACATTTACTCGTATTCGTGATCAGAAAGAGACCATTTACGAGAGGGAAAGACAAAGAAATTAATAATAATAACGATGAAAAGATCGAAAAGAAAAGGAGGAGAATAGATATTATATTCGCAAATAAGAAAAATAATAATCTATTTCTTTTATTTTTCCTCTCACCTCTCTTTTATTCCCGTTTTTAAAAGGAAAAACAAATTAAATTGCAGAAAATATCTAGTAACATTGTGTGAATGGTATCGATTTCAACAGATTATATATGAAATCAACAGGGGTCGACAATCGTTGAATATTTAGTTTATTTTATTTCTGCTGTTTTTTTTTTCTATTCAGAAAAAGAAAGCAACCAAGAAGAAACACATCCGATATGTAGGAGATCTTTTCTTTCTTCTATCTTTAACTTTATCAAGTACTGTAATTAATATAAAGAAAAAACATTTCTATCATTTAGAACACATATTAAATATTAGTAAGTAACCGCTTTAAGTTCAATTTTAATTGAAAAAAGAGTTCTCATAATTATTTTAAATATATTCTATGGTACTCTTTACTTAAATAATGAAAATAATAGAGAAAAACTAATCATTTTTTTATCATAATAACCTTTTTATTACCGTTCTTTTTGTTCGTATAGATAACCACACCTATTAATACAAGCTCTATTGATTTTTTTTCATGTCATTAATTAATAAGGGATTAAGCTTTACCGTGCTAAACAATATATTCCTTTAAGGAATCAAGTATGGTGAAAAAAGAAAGAGTAAATTGATTATTTTTCGTTCTCTTCCATTTTTTCTGATACGACAAGGAAAAAATCACATCTAATAAGGTAACGATTCTAAAAAATTATATATATATATATATGTGTTTACTGTATATAGGAGTAGCTGAAAAAGTTTGCATTGTATTAAACTTTTATAGAAAATTATATGTTAGGTATTCCATAATAAATACTGATAACATGTTTGTTTTATTGAATGGCTCATTCAAAACGAGGGACATGTCTAACGCGTCCAAACGTACACCAAGGCGCTAAATAATTCAGCTTAACTCTCTACTCTAAGACATCGATCTTTAACAATTATATTATAATTAAAAATCTAATTTGCTTTTTCTTTATATTTTATACTCCCCCCTCCCCTCCCTCCACTCCCTTCTTTCCATGTACCCTCCCGCTCCCGCCCCTCCTTCCTTCTCTCCTGCATATAATTAACACTACCTCGTTAATTGTTCGATCTGTCCATTTTCTATTCAAATTATGACGGCCTTGAACTACAAATTGAGTAGCTAACGTTTAATAGACGCCGTTTGACGACCGCATCGATTCTTCCACACCAGCTTTCGCGTGTCGTTGCGATATTTTATTTCAAATGTTTTATTCATTAAGCACCGCCAATTATTCTAGTCTGATCGGCCATGGGAACTGGATGCGTATCAACTTTCGAACGTGTCAAGCTTAGGCCTAGCTTCGTCGTTCTGGGCGGATACTTGGACGGATCTGCGAACAAATTCATATTAATATTCGATTTAGAAAAGTAAGTTGTTTATTTGTAAAATTAAAAAACGTATTTCCTAATTAAATACGTAGGTAGGTGTCTAATCCTATTCTATTTTTAATAATATATCAATAAATGAAGGAGATTATTTCATATCACAGAAAAAAGCGTTCCAATTTGATAAACAAAAACATAAAACTAATTATATTAATAACAAGATTGTTTTATTTTATTTATTTGTTACTATAAAATCAATCAATCTCTATATATTTTTCATCATTTCGTGCTTCTCTTTCTATAGGAGAGCTAAGATTTTAGAATTTTGATTTCCTTTTAACATTTAATACAACAATATTAGAATGAGTTTTCTCTTCGATGGAAAGATTATGTTTCTACCGTTTATTCTGTTTTTTTTAATTAGAGAGAAAATTATTTTTTTTAATATGATACTTGCATACAAATAAACAAACAAACAGATTTAGCGGACGAACGCTCGTCGGTATTCTCAGTTAGAAAGATATATTTTAGATGTATTTATTATATACAGTATGTGTATATATGTATATATATATATATATATGTGTATGTATATATGATGCAGGTGTACTTTGAAGAGAGCTATAAAGCTCCCAAATAAAGATTCTACACCTTTAGTAGATTTTGCAGTTTCTTGTACAGATGAAGGACATCTTTATGTTACAGGTATACAATGGTGTTAATATTGATTTTAATATGTAAAATTTAAGTAAATTTATATAAATTTATATTGTCATTAAGTTATTGTAAACATGTACAGTCTTATACTAAATCATATATAATCAATAACATGTGTATATCTAGAGCGTATACTTTTTAATTCGACTTTTCTTTTGTTAACTAATCGTATCATTAATATAGGGGGTCGTTATGGAAGATATGGAGCGTTGTCAGAAGTTTGGATGGTGGATATTAGGACTAATTCGGATATAGCTGGTCAACCTTTTCAAATGATGCAATCTGCTCAAATGAATATTATTCAGAGAAAGCATTCGTCGTGCTATTTGCAAACGGACGGATATGACTATTTATATATCGTTGGAGGGAAGAGAAGCCATTCCCACTTTTTAGGATGTTCTCGCTTTAATATTTTTCAATTGAAATGGGAGTCTTTACCTGCATTTCCTAATGATTATCCTACAGAAAATGTTAAATATGTATACTCGTTCAACTCAAATTTATATGTCGTCTTTGAAACATCTCTAAAAGAGGCAAGCGTACTTAAATACAAAGCAGAAGATGGCGTTAGTGGTGACTGGATTGAGTTACAATGGACAATTCCTCTAGGTAGAATGCAAAAAGTTAAGGAAACTTGGTACATCCTCAGTACACCGTCGAAAACCAACACGAAATTATTTGCCTTCTATCCATCTATTAGTCCTCAACAAGTTTCAAAATTATATAGTCTACCTAATTGTTGCGCAATAGCCTCCTTTCAGGATGAATATTTGTTCTTATTAGCTGAAAATAAGCTTTATAGATATGATATTATGCAAGATGATTTATTATTATATGGAAATCTACCTTTTATATTCGAGGGTGACGATGTTAACTTTTTCATTACCGATACTTATTAATTGAAAAACTAATCAACCAATCAACTGTGTAATACAAACCATAACAGTGAGAAAAAAGGCTTCCCTTTCAATTCTTTTCCTATCCATATCTAATATAAACACTGAAAAGCACTCATAATTTTTAATAATACATTTAGGCCTATTTCCGATAAAAAAATTCTTTTTTCGTAATTTATATGGTATTTTCAGAGCAGGTGACTCTGAAATTAGCTTATCCGAACGATATGAGAAATAAAGCTGCCATTAGACGATCTATAAATAGTGCCATTTAACTTTTCATCTTTGTCACGCGTGCAAAACACGTTCATTCTCATTAAGATATAAAAGATGTACATAATAGATACATTGGCCTATAAATATACCTGCAAAGTCCACAAATAGCATTTATTACGCATTTGGTTTATACCTAGATGTATTCTAGATCTTTAATTTTTGTCAGCATTCGTAGTGTACATTTTACTTATGTAATCGTTATTTATTATCGGAACAATGAGGAAAATACAAAACAACAGCGAAAACAAAAGGAATGGCGTAATATTCCATATAATTAATAAATAGTACATATTTATATAATAATTAATCTCTTGCTATAAATTAAGAATCTATTCTAATTTCCAACTCTTTTATAATGCACATTGACGTCTACTGTTAACTTTTATTTTTTTATTCCGTGACTTTTCTATTCCTCTTTTCTCTGTCTTCTTTCCTATTTAATAAACTACGAATAATTATCGCCGGTAATCCTATTCAACGCTACATTTAGATATTTTAGAAGGAATAGAGTTTTTTTCTTTCCTTTTTCCTTTCTCCTCTTTCTGCTTTCTCTTTTCACCGTCTTTTTAATTTTAATCCTCTCTAATGATAACCTAAAATAGAAATAAAGGTTAAAAACCTTCTCTCTTTCTCCCAACTGTATATATCAATCAATAAATTTAATTCATCTTATTTCTTTCTCTTTGTCATTTCTTCATAGTTATATATGATAATCAATATAGGCTTAGAAAAGGGAAAAAAGAAATAACTAACGGAGTATGGCGGAAAATAATATTTACCCATCGTTCGAATTCCCTAACTCTCAAATCAATTTAAGCGAGTAGAAAAATTTGGCAAAAAAAGCTACTCCCGATACGCAAACTTTCCATTAATAAAACAGTAGGACTCGTTAACATTTTCTACTATAAAAAGACTTGGTCGAACGATGCTTTAGACTCTCTTTTAATATTTTTTCTAAATGTCCTCAGTAACCTATCTTCTTCCGTTTGTATTTCTTTTTTATTATTATGCCTGGTTAATAGACAACGAAAACAAGTGCAAACTTTTCCTTTGTCTTTTTTCTGCTATATACATTTGTATTGTATATACAGTATATATATATATATTATTATTATTATATATATACTGCATATTAGTGCAATACAGCATGCACTGTAATAATTCATATCATATTTTGGCATATGAATATATGCTATACTTTCTCTGTTCTTGTATAGAACCTAACATTATTTTGCACACAATAAATTAAATAGAAAAGAAAGGAAACTCTCGCTTAAGACTTGCTTCTTCCTAGAAATATAATAACATCAAATTGACATTCGCGTATGTGTATACAATTCATTTCCATTAGTTTAAGTATATGTATAGGCCTTGTTTATAATTTACCCGCACTCATTATCAAGTACTATACCAGAAATCTAGGAAGAGGACGCGTTTGATAGACGCTCAAAGGTTTTAGCCATAGATAATTGAGTCCGAAGATCTCGCGTGCCGTATACAGTCGACAGTATAAATAGACTTTGCCGAATCTATAATTTGTTTGTAAATTAGTATGATATTCGATTCTAACGGGTCAATAGACTCTTAGTATCTAATAAACGTTATATATTATTCTTCCATAAATACCTTTAGGAGTTGATAATTAAAATAAGCAAACAAAGAAAAGTTGTTTATAGTTGTTTAACAACTGGAAAATTTCGCATAAGGACCTTATAGCAGGGGTTTATATCCTCTACGTAATAAATGTAATTACACGGGTTAAGAGTACAATTGAAAAGGGAATAGGGAAAATTGAATTTTGTAAAAATACGAAAATTGAATTTTAGCAAAATACGATAACAGTTGATCCATTTGATGACATTTTAGCATTTTTTTTTACTTACATATAGTATACTTATATAAAAGACCAACATCGTTTATGTGTATTTCTGCATAACTTTGATATTATTTCATATTCTTTTATATCGGTCGTTATAATCCAGGCATCGAGTTATAATTGGTTGAATGACACTCTCTTCCCCTTATATATGCCTCTTTTTAGTTTTTTTTTCTATCTCTCTTTCTCTCTTTCTATATATATTAGTATATATATATATATATATAAATCTGTTGTTTTTTTCTCGTTTTCTTTTTTACTTACACTAGTGCTACTCTCTTTTTCTCTTTCTGTCTCTGTCTCTCTTTCTCTCTCCCTCCTTCCCTCTCTCTCGCTCTATCTCCATCTCTCACTCCGTTTCTTACTTTTATTCAAAAGCATGGTCTCTTTGATGAGAAAAACATAAAATACAAAACTCTTCCTGCTTCTGCTTCAAACATGATATTTGAGGACAATATATCGCTTTTTTTTAGGTAACTAGCTAGTCGAACCCTTTAGACAAGGCTAACTATAAGGGCGTAACTATATAAATTAGAAGAGGGCAAAAATTCCTTCCAAGTTCTGGTTCTATTATTTATTGTCCCTTTCAATTTCTGGTAGGATATACTACGGATAATGATGGCAAAACGTTCGTCGAGGGCTTTTTATCCTTTTAAAAATAGAACTCTGTATATAATTAATTTTTTTGTTAGCGAAGCGTAAACCGATTAGACTCTCTTGTCTGATGTACGCTTATGTTTCTAATGCATTTACCAACAGCTTGATTGTTTAAAGTAAAATACTGTTGAAATTCCGCAACAATATTGTCACATGTTATCATGTCAATATCAGACTAAAGGCTTAAAATAAAACTGAACTTGAAGTAAGCCTACAACCGAGAATATAATCTCACAAACAAAGTACGTGTGTAAAATTTCATATTTATAACTCGACTTTCCAGATCTTCTTCTCATCTTTATCGTCAATTGTCTCACCTTACCCTTCTAATATTTTTTATTTCTTTTCTGTGATTAACCTTAGACCGGACTTTTGAATTACGTTCTGGGATTGAGAATTGTTATCTTTACTGTGCAATGAAAGAGTCTCAATATCCGCAGGACCAGCGACGTAAATCGTTGTACCTGGATTTGAGATAGCTGACTAAAACAGACACTTGAAGGTTATCAGGTAAAAGGCGTAAGTATAGACTTTTCATTTACGAAAATTTCATGAAAAAAAGAACAATGTGACTCTCAAATCAGAAATTAAAGTACAAATAAGCCTGTTTTTCTTTTATTTCATTAGAAGTAATTTACATATATACTACTACTACTACTACTACTATTACTACTACTACCACTGCACTACAGTATATATATATATATATATATATATATATATATACTCTATATATATGTATATATATTAGTATATATATATGTGTGTTTGAGTATTCATATACATAAAGCCTATTTTTGGAATGTGATTATATGAAAGTCAATATTGGGATAAACTGAAGAATATTTTTTTTAAATATTTCTATATGATGAAATAAATATAAATAATTTTCCAAGTTATTTTTAATTTAAAAAAAAAACTATCTAAATGAATTAATTGAATCATTGAAAACGTAAAATACATGTTTAATTGCAATTAATTCTCAGATAGGCATCTAAATTAGGACCGTAATATATGCATAAAACCAGCAGTTTTACTATTCATATTATGCTCCTCCTCCCCCCCCTTCCTCTCTCCTCTCTTTTCTCTTGTATTTTTACTAAATACCTATAAGATTTTAATTAATGAAAAATTTTAATACCCTAGAGATAGAAACGCTCTTTATTATCATTTTAGAAAGTATACCTTGTACAGTTTTTGTTTGCAGCACCTCTTTCTTATTCTAGCTCTCACGTTCGGCCCCCCCTCAACCGACATCAAAATACTAGGTTCTCTCATACGTGCTCTATAACTGGCGCTGTAGAGCTCTGTAAAGCAGCAGTTTAATTAGTCAACGGTTGCCTTATCGTCGAATGTTTACCGCTCCACAGGTACAAAGTTCGAAAGGTTGACTATGGACTTTTTTTTATTAGTAGAGAAGGATGTACAATAAGGCCTCCAGTCTTTTTTACGCCATCAAATCGGGCGATTTGGACACAATACGGTCCCTACTGGAAAGCTGTTCAACTTCCGAGCGGCGAGACCTATTACAAAGTCGAGATATAGAAGGACTCTACATACGAAGACCATCCGGTAGTAGAGAACTTCATGTAAAAGCCGCAACACCTTTGTTGACCGCCGTTTGTGGATGGTATTTGGATATAGTAGAATATCTCGCAGCCTTACAATACGGGATCAACGAAAAATGCTCAATAGAAGACCTAACTGTCTACGACGGTGTTACAGCATTATATCTGGCTTCCCTTTTGGGAAAAATGGAAATGGTAGATATACTTGTTAAACATGGTGCAGATTTAGTCGCTCAAACCAGCACAGGTGATACGGCTTTGCATGAGGCGTCCCTCGAAGGTCACCTATCCATTGTTAAGTGCTTAATCGATAACCATGCTTTCTTCGAACTGCCTAACAAGCACGGTGTTACCTGCCTAATGACAGCGGCTTTCGCCGATAATGTAGAAGTTGTTAAATATCTTGTTTCTAAAGGAGCAAGTTTAAATGTTAAGGATAACGATGGAAAGAATGTTCTGTTTTATGCGGTTGCAAGTGGTCAATTAGATACCGTCATCTTTTTGTTAGAGAAAGGTGCCAATTTCATTTCAGATTCGTCTGGTGTTAGTGTACTTATGGAAGCATCTTTACGTGGTCATATTTCAATTGTTCGATATTTAATCAATCAACCAAGTATGGCACAAGACGTCACTACATATGGCCCCTAATTTCTTTTCTTTTAAAAAATAACACTTTTCTCGTAAAAGAAAAATTCACTTTCATTTTCCTCTAAATTCAGAGTTAACATTTATTAAATTTTCAGTTTCTCTTAAAAATTATCCTTGAATTATCCTATTAAATTTATCTATTAATTAAAAGAAACTTCTATCTGATTAATCATCAGCATTCCGTTGTGACGTCTTGTGCGGAACTAGATTTTCCTCCCATCAACCACATTGATAAGGCCGGCAGGAATGCTTTGTTTTATGCCTGTGATGGTGGCAGCATCGAAACTTTCGAACTACTTATAAGGAACAAGTTGACAGCAAAAGCTGCTAATGACGGCCGTACGGTGTTAATGACTTCCGCTTTGAAGGGCAATCAGCTCATGCTCCGACATTCGATTATCAACGCAAAACGACTTGGTATAAATATTAATGCTATGGATCATAAAGGAAGGAACACTTTATTCTATGTAATATCATCTGGTGACAGTGACCTCTTCGAGTATCTTATTGAAGAGGGTATAGAAGTTAGACCGAGCTACGATGACATAACAATTATGATGCAGGCAGTTGCTAAAAACAAAACTGAAATATCAAAAATTATATTGGATAGACTCGATGAATTTTGTATTGACATTAATTCACGAGATAAAGACGGTTGGAACGCATTACTTTACTCAGTGTCCGGCGGTGATATTGAACTATTTGACACCCTAGTTGATTATGGAGCTGAAGCGACGCCGGCAGCGGATGGTAGGAGTATATTAATGCAGGCGGCTACCAGGGGCGATGTGGTCTTTTTAAGGCATATTATGCAGCAGGCCAGGGTAAGCAGGGATCAAATATAGATTCGATTGCCTTTTCTCTTCCACGTATCCTAATATTATTTGTCGATTATACCTTCCCCTCGCACTATTGACAATATTCTTCAGAAGAAATCTTCATTCCCAAAGCTCATATATATACACGTATACTTACTTTAACTTTGCTTTATCGCTTTTGGAATAAGGTAATTACGAACGCCGTGTGAAAAGGCTTAGAAAAGCTGCTTTGTACTCACGCGAACGAATTTTTTTCTGTACTTCTTTCCTTTGCCCTTCATCTTCTACTTCCTTCCAGAAAAACTGTCTGTAACTTCTTTTCTCTTTCCCTAAGCTCCTCTTTACAAACTTTACCCTAAACCCTTCTCATTCTCTGCTATTTCCTCTTCTCCCTTATGTATTTCGATCGTTTATCGACTAATTAGATCAATGATTCCTTGAAAAAAGTCGATCTCATTTAATTTTTATAAGAAAATCTCAATATCTTCCTTCTTATTTTATTTAAACACCGTTTTTGTTTTATATTCATTTGCTAAGCCTACAAAGCATATACCAACATGTTTGTACATAATCCGTCTCTCCCTCTTCTTTCTTCTACTCATTCATTTTCTCCTTCTTTCCCTCCCCCTCTTTCCCTCCCCTTTCTTCTACTCATTCACTTACTTATTCTCTCTTTCTGCCCCTCCTTCTCCCTCTCGTGTTCTCACTCCAAAAACGGTCAATAAGCTAATCGATTGATTCTCTTTGTTTTTGATTGATATGCGTTAAAAAACAGTTCATATGTAGGCCAATATTTTTAACTACAATTAAATAATAAAAGAAGAAAAACAACACTTTTAATTAACATTTACAAAGACAAATAGTATTTCTTTATTCCGTTTCTTTTGTCTTTTATAATTTTTCATTTGTTCTTTTCTCCCTTTTAATAGAAATTTGGCGTATTCGTAAATCAAGTGGACACCGACGGTTGGAATGCCTTATTCTACGCGATTCAAGGTAAAAAAACTATATGTAATTGGCAATTTTCTTTACACATACAGTATAAAAATATGTATTTATATATATTTGGTTTCCCCTTTCCGTGACGTATAATTAAATGAGATTTAACGAGATTCTTTCCAGTCCGATCACCCGGCTCCGGCCATTAATTTTTCATACAGGCGTTTGTTTGTTGGCGTAGTTTGATATGTTTAACGGTAGAATAGTTTATTAAAAAAAAAAGCTTCTTTTGCGTCGTTTTTATATAATTTATTAACAACATGTGACCAGTATTGTTAGTTAATAATTTGTAAAGATACCTTTCTCCTAAGACAATACGCATGCGCTGTAAAAATGATTCTGATTCTGCTTTGCCTTGGAATATAATAGTTTATGATTCGTAAGGCGGAAAAGGTTATTGAATAATATACGCGTTCGATAAAAGGAAAAAAGTAGCATAATAAGTTATATATGCTGTATATATAGAACTAAGATAGATTATATTATATACATGCAATACGGAATGCATAAGAGCAATTTGTTAGCATTATGCGTGCGTATACGTTTCCGAAAATTCTATCCATCATATCCGTATTGTATCCGATGTAATTGTGTTATTACTACTCCTTCCTCTTTCCCTGCTTTCTCTTTTCAAGCTTTTTCCATCTATATTTCATTCTCTCTCTTTAAAGGTAATAATAAGGAAGCTTTTGACTACCTGTTGAAGCAGGGAGCCAAAATTTCCAAGGCCAATAATGGAATGAACATCCTAATGGAAGCAGTGGACAAAGGGCACGAAGATCTCATCAACGACCTACTCAGTTCCTCCAAGATAAGCATCTCAGACAAGGATAACGACGGTAATAACATCCTCTTCTACTGCGCTGCCAGCGGCTTCGTCCACATCTTTAAGACGCTACTAGATGCTGGTGCGAGGTAAGCGTCTACCGTAATAAATCACTACAGCTTGTTGCAGTTGTCAGCGTTGACGTAGTGGGAAAATATTTGTGCTTGCAACAATTTTTTCATTGCTTTCTCTCGTTTCATTCGTTCTGTTCCTTCTTTTCTCTTCTTTCTTAACTTTATCACATGAAATAGTCATTTCTTTTCGAATTCATTTTATCTTCTTCCATCTTTACCTTCCACTCTACGTCTGTTTCCGTTCTATTCTTTATTTTGTCCACATATGCATTTTATATTTTAATCCTACGTTTTTTGTTTGTACGTATGAGTAAGCAAACTTATTGCCAGCTGGACGTTTATATTAATACGTACGATATAATGACAAAGTCTTGGTCGTCCCAAGGCATTAATCGTTATTTTAAGTGCTAGATGATGGATCCAAAGTTAATAAGCTAGGTTAGGAGAAAGGTTGCTGAGCACTAATTCCGAACTGTATATTTTTACTACGAAAAACTATGCTATATACAATATACACTATACTGTTTATCCATTAAAAAAAAGACTATAGATTTTTGTTCCCTGTCTTCTTTCATCCGAAAATAATAAACCATAACAGTTATTATAAATTTGAATGATTGGGGTAATGATCACCGATACTATATCGATAACAACCAGCCCTATGGTCATTGATTCTCAATCTTTTTACGCTTCGATAGCCAAACAAACTCTGCAAAGAAAATAAGCCAGAGATTGTAATTGCATTCTTGCTTATTAGTTATTTCTTCGTTTCTAGTTAACGTGAGAGTGGGAGCAGTTTTCGTTAGGCAAGAACAAATAACATTTATGAGTATTCATTAGATAGAATCATACAGTCGAAAGTGATGTTTTAGGCAATTGGGGGTAGGTTTTTGGCTACTACAGTTGTCAAGGGGATAGTCTTTATTGAATTTTGAGTAATAACTATAGACAGTGGAAGAGGGGAGGTTTCAGTGTTCGTTAACGTTTGTATATTAGGCACAGACGTTAATTTTTACAACACGCCACCTGGCGTTTTTTCAATAAAAGTAATAAGTATAAAGCTATAGTATATTAAATGTGGCAGCGAATATATTTTGTTCCTTTAAGTGAGTAAGCGACTATTTTAGTTCTATAAACGAGCTGTTAAACGAAATAGTATACAGACCATAAATTCTAAATCATATTTGTAGGGTTGAAAGCGATAATAGAAATCGAACAGTTCTAATGCAAGCATCATCTTGCGGTCAACTGGAAATGGTTCATTACTTACTTAGGGAAAAAGATTCGTTAAATTTGCCTATTCATCAAACTGACTGCGAAGGAAGAAACGCTCTTTTCTATGGGTAATAACACATTCTTTTACTTATTATCAATTTATAAATTCAATAGTAAAGAGCAAAAAGTAAAGAGTGTTATTTTTAATGTTGAAAACACCTTCACTTTTGCGGGATAAAACTTACAATAAAAAACAAGAATACAATACAAATTTACAATAAATAGTTTTATTTATTCAGGACAGAAAGCGGTGACGTTGACATTGTAAGCGTTTTAATAAAGAATGATATCAAACCGCAGTCGGATGAAAAGAATAGGACAGTTATCTCAACAGCCTGTTCGGCTGGTCGCCGAGATATCGTCGAGTTGTATTTGAACAATCGAAACGCCCTACAAATCGATCTGGACGCTCAAGACGAGGACGGAAATGGCGCTCTATTCTTTGCCTACAACTCTTCGAACTGTGAGATAATCAAATTGCTTTTATCTTCGCAAATCCTTCTCCGGAATAACAGAGAGGGCGAGAGCGTTCTTGCTCAAAGCCTAGCTGACGGAAATGACAACATAGCGTCACTTATCTTGTCATGTGACTCAAATTTGGCGGAAGTTGTTAATGGTCGAGATAAGAATAAAGGAAGGACCGTAATACAGCACGCCGTTTATCGAGGAGACTTTCCTCTCTTGGAACAGGTACTAACTATGAGCTAATTTAACTAATTGGTATTAAGTTGAAATTGACATATTTGCTCCTTTTTTTATCCCAGGTGGCAAAGTACTATGATCCAAACTCTGACAGAGATAACGAAGGCAGTACATCACTCATTCTGGCAGTCAAATCTCCTAGGTATTCCTTTGAAATTGTTAAGTTTCTCATAGAAGAAATCATCGTTGATCCCAGCGCCGTCGATTCATCTAAACGCAGCGCATTGTTCTACGCTGTTGAGAAAGGCTTGTTAGAATTAATGGAATTTTTATTAAACAAAACAATTGTTCAGAGAGATGCTGATGGTAAATGCCTATTAACTGTTTGTATAGAGTCTGGTCGTCTTGCTGCTTTTGATCAACTTATTTACCTGAAATCTTTTGACGCCACTAATCGTGACAAGAATGGAATGACACTCTTACATCATGCTGCTCTCCATGGTCGTCATTTTATGATGCAACAACTATTGGGGTATTTTTTTTTAATTTTTCACGAAAGCTACGTGACTGATAACCTTATCTGAGAGATATTTCAAATATTAATAGATTTCCATTAAGTAAGAAACATAACGCAAAGACGAAAGAAGGAGATAAATTATAACCCATTTTCATTTATTTTTATTCCTGTTCTGTTTAAAAATCACGTCACGTGGTCTAAAAAAATACCTCAATATAGATCTGTTGACATAGACTCGATAGATTGCACCGGAAGGACACCTCTAATGCTTGCCTGTCTTGGAGGTCATTATCCCAGTGTATGTTATCTACTAAAATTGGGAGCTGATTATGAATTGGCTGATAATCAAGGTGATACAGCTCTGAATTATTGCTTCTATGAGCCGTTGAAAGTTAACGTCAAATGCATTAAGGGCCTTCTTCTATATGGTGCTGAGGCAAATCGGCAGAACAAAAACGGTCGAACATCCCTAATGTTGGCCTGCTCGGGTTGCTCTCAAACGAATATTAATGCTATTAAAACTTTGTTAGAAAATGGTGCTGATTGTACAATTCAGGATAGCGATGGAAATGACGCTTTTGACGCCTGCCCGCTCGGTGCTGATTATGTGAAAGGAATGATGATTGAATATGCCAGTAGGTGGAACTTTCTACAGAAAATTTTTTTCTAGACCTAAATTTTTTATTGTTGTCGCCACCTAGTGGATTCTGTAAAATTTAATACTTTTTTGCTTATTTTCAAAACAGAACTTTTACCCAACGAAATTGAAGCCTTAGAAGAGAGCCGATGTGACCTATATGAACAACTTGATTGTAATGCCGCATTAAGAGACTTAATTAAATTGAAAATCTTTACAAAAACCCTCCAGTTTGAGGTGATGAAACAGCCGGCTAATTTAAGAGTTTATAAACTCATCGACATCCTCCAGTATAGAGGTCCAAGAGGCTTTCGCTCCTTCTCCTGCGTACTTAAGCAGCAAGGGCTATACGAAATTGGTTTTAACCTGCAGAAACGTTCTTATCTGAATGGAAAAACTGTTGAAATTTACGTCTAACGTATAAGAAGTGTTCTATTTTTGGCGCGTTTTATCAAAAGACGTAATTATCTATATATATATATATATATATATATATATCTACTGTATATACATATAATTACAGGGATAATGTATAAAAACATTGAGCGAATGCCAAACGAACAAACAACACTTAACTTCCACTTATATGTTCAATTTTGTTTAATCATCATATTAATTGAAAAGGTTAATAAAAGTTTTCCAAAAATTGCAAATTCAATTGGATAATAACTTTAGTTTGTCAGTATGGCTTGAAAATATTCTCAATTAACTTTTTTTAATATCCTTTAGTTATATGAAATGCTTTAAATCAATTACTTTGGAATGTTTAGCAATACTTAAGAATTTGTGTAACGTTTTATTTTTTTACCCCCCCCTTTATCCTTTCCTGTCTCCTTTACCCGCACTTTACCCCTGCCAGCTTTTATACGTAACATCGGCTGCTCTGCTACAGTCTGATTACATAATAGTAAATGGTAGCAACTGTTAAATACTGGGTGACATCTTTATTGGGCATTCATCTTCCTAAATTATCAATGTTCAAAGTAATAAATGATCTTTCTTCAGATGTTAAATAAATTTAGCATATTTTAAAAGTTTTTATCTATAGATTCAAGTTTATTTAAAATAAAGGCCCCAAAAGAAATCTTTTACCGCCTACTAACAGAACTTTGAAAACAACAATTTATTTTTAACTACAATGATATAGTAATACCAATTAGGAACAATAGTAATCAGGCCTAATAGTTTGACTTGCACCGAATGGCAGGCTGTTTTTACAAATACTATGTCTGGATGCTACGATAAAAAGTATTAGAATAATATATCTATTCGATTTCAATGAGGCTACTCCTGTGCTATTTTACAATTATCCGGAAAGACGAACCGAAAGTAGTTAGAGGCCTATGCATATTGCACATTTTTGTCCTAGAAATATTTTGACGGGAACCAGTTCTAACATTATTTCACTTGCAATCAAAAGTAAAAAAAAAAGACAGTACCATGTAAACAGCCTGACTGTTCACGTGTTGTATGAATGATCAGAAATTATGATTATATCCTATAAATCGGCCTTAAAATACTTTATTTCGGCACGTGCGATTCGTAGAGATCGAATTCTCAGCCTACTATTTCTTCGATATTATTCAAAAGCTTACATTAAAGAGACAGAAACTATTCAATTCGTTTCCATTAATCGCTTAGCTAAAGGTTAACGCTAAAAACGATATTTATAGATTTATATAAATAGCATATATTTATTAAAGTACTAAGGAGAATATCAAAATTATACATAAATAAAGGTAAGATGTGATTAATATATTTATTTGATTTAAATATTTAAATCATATAAAAAAATTATCATAAGTATTAAGACTAACTTATATTTAAATATTCATAACGAGCAAACAGGTAAAATGTAAACCTAAGAAAGAAGCCGACAGTAAACATACTTAAACCTAAAAGTTCGTGTTTTTCTTCATTTTACAATAACTTTCACAGTTTCTTTTTACTCTTCTCATTTTTAATCAAAAGATAGCATTCTCTTATATTTTGTTTTTACTATTTAATAGCTCAACATGACCGATTTTGACTTTTCTTTTTATTTGTCTATATTGTTTTGACGTGTCTAATGCAAATTAGCTGCGAATTTGACCAACTGACCAAAATTTGACCTCTGCTGTATGTCATACGATTTTTACACTCCTGTATATAAATGTGTATAAGCGGATGTACACATATATACGCACAGACACACACAGACATACGCACAAATATAAGTATATATGAGTGTGTGCATGTAGCTGTGTTGTTTTTTGTCGTTTGTACAATAACGCGGTCTTATGTGCATGTGCTGCCATATACCCGGTTCGATATAAACGTGTCTACCTCCATATTCCAATATTAACATGAGGCGGCTACCCATTTCCTTTTTGTAGCGCTTTGTGTCATTTATACTTAATTTTTACAATATACTTTTACGAATGTTTTTTCCTTCCGTCTGCTACTCTAAGTCGGTTTTTTCTTAGGGGAAAAAGAGGACGAGTATTTTAAAAGGTGAGGTCGTCTTTTCCTCTGTTTTTTCTTTCATTGCTAATAGGGGCTTGTTAAGGTCTTTTCAAGTAAAGAAACTAGCTCAATATCGATAAAAAAAGCTATGAAAAAAAAAGACCATTTATTAATACTATAAAGCTATGACTGTACTATTCTATTGCATTTCGATTACATTGAAATAATAGAAAAGCCTTGCCTAGAGTTTAATATTATTCTGGTTAACTGTTACGTAATATTACCGATGTCGCTTTTTTGTTTATAGTCTGGAGATTTCCTCTTATCCACATCTAATCTGACCGACTGCTGGCAGAGAGCCAAAAAATTTGGTGGCGCTATTTAAAGACGACCATAGACCGAGAACGAGATCATTAGAAGATATGGCTCTGTCGGACTACCTCCAACCTTCAACCCCACCGAAATACGCTTTTTCGTATATAAACTCCCAATTCATACAACAATTCGAGCCTTCAGACATCCTACCCTGCCGATCGTTGAACAGCCTATTTTCTGAACGAACGGAATCGAGATCGCCCTCACCACTCTTTAAAAGGCGTAGTCTCTCGCCAAAGAGAAATGAAAAAAAGAAAGTTTCAAAGAGAAGAGTGTCATTTGCTGATGAACGCGGAGGAAGATTAATATCTATATATGATAAGGAACCAATACGTCGCCTAAAACCTCAGTTTTATTCTATGTCTAAGTTTCTAGTGGATGTTATAACTGACGAGGAAGGCTTCAAAGGCACAGTCAAATCTGATTCAGACAATGTTACAGTACGTTTAACTTTTGACAATTGGGAAAGTTACGAAGATGTACAAGCTGAACGTTTATTTGAAAATTCACATACCTTTAACTTTGATATTCGTCTTCCATTTCATTTTAAAATTGGCGATAGCATAGAATTTGCTATTAGATGTCAAACTACGAATGGAAATGAATTTTGGGATAATAATGACGGATTAAATTACAGTTTAAATTATCAAGTGGATCTTGTCAATTAGAACAAACTGCTCAGGATTTTAATATTAATATAGATGTATAGTAGTTCCTTGTTTCCTGTTTTTTTATACATTGTTATTGTTTTGAAAAATTTTGCCTTGAATAGTTTTTTTCTGTGATTCTTTTATTTAAAAAAAAATTGAAAAAAACAATGTTATATATTTCCTTATATAGAAAAAGTAAGGCAACTAATTAGCTTGTGTATACTTGATGCTGAAAAACTTGAAATTCTCTTTATTTAAGACAATTAAATATATTATATTTACAAATATTAGACAATAAAATATTCTATAGCCTAAATGCTTATTGCAAAGAAAATCACATATCAACTACTTGATAGATGAATTCTTTATATCACACTCAATCTAAACAACTGATAAACCTTATAAGTATATCGCTTTGACAACAGTATAAAAGGTTAATCTGTCTGGCGAATTGTGATATCCACTAGATGGAGCTACGTTACATGGACAACAGTTAAATAATATATATAGAGTATACAGAATACAGCATATATACTGTAAATATGTAATTTAATGATGACTATAATATAGTATATGATATATAAGGCCTTTTATGATTTCGTTTTAAAAGAGGAATAAATAGATACACTGAACAATTAAACATGCAAATAAAAGATAAAAGAAAGTGATTGTTTGAGTTCGTTTAAAAAATTGTTTGTATTTTGTCTAGGGCGTACGTGAGAAAAAAAGTAGATCAAGCTATTTTACACCAATGTACTTTATAATTCTATTTCTTTTGTACTTTGAATCTTTTTAATAAAGTAGGTTGATTTCTCATCTCAAGGAGACAAAGATACAAACAATAACAATACTTTTATGTATCTCTAAGCTTTCCTATTCTGTCCTTGTCTCTCTCTCTCTCTCTCTCTCTCTCTCTCAACGAGACAATGAAATTCGTGTATTATTATTTTTACTTATACTGTAGATATATATATATATATATATCTACAGACAATAGGTGAACAACTATTTCTGATTAATTTTTTTCAGGTGATTATTAAAATAAATAATAGATTTTTTCTTAATGACCTTCAAATAATTGCAACCTGTTGATAAGAGTTTGATTAAATACTATTATTTTGCTTATGTTTTTCTCATTCATTTCTTTACTATAGTAATTGAAGTGTTGATGATATGATATATAGTTTTTTACTTAATGTACATATAAGAATATTATATATTCACTGTATATATCAAAAGAAAGTTGTTTTTCGCTTCATTCCTATTAAATTTTTACTGTAATGAGTCTGTCTAAACTTGATACTTAGATGAAAGAATAAGAATTATATAGTATTTGTAAATAAATTCTTGATTCAACGGTCTTTTGAATTGTGTATACTCTCAATTTATGAGAATAAAAGAAACTCAATTGATTTAGATCGATAGACTTAGGAAAGAAAAGGGTATTAAGGGTATTTATGTTTATCAATTATACTTTTCTCTTAATACTCTTTCGCCTTATAATATTTTGGAGGCTAGCGAATAACGTATTTTTCGTTACTCATTTCCTGCCATAATTTGAAAACGGTTTCCTAGAAGGTAACCTTCGGGAGATTATTGGTCTTTAAAAAAAAACATCGTTTCCCCAAGTTAACGAGAAAGTAGCAAATGTCTTCATTTCCCTTGAAAAAACGTAAATATGAGCGTCTAGAGGCTCCCTCAGATGAGAACTAAACAAACTACTCCTCAATAGCAATCCTTCAAACCTATTTCTATTTGTTCATGCTTCCTAAAAGGGCAAGAAACCCTGTCAAGTATTTATTTATGTGGGTAAATAGGATACTTTTCTTCAGTTAGCAAAATTAGAATAAGGATATTCACTACTTAAACTACAAGAATATCTAGATTAGCTCAACAAAATCCTATAAATTAAACATCCTAAATAGATAATTGTATATTATTCATTAATAAATTCTTTTGACCTTCAGTAGGTGCTATTTTTTTGTTTTTTAAGAAATAAATTCTTATCATCTTTATCATAAATAATAAAATAATTAATCAACAACATGCTAGGTGAGTAATTGTTAAAGTTAATAAATAATAGAATAACAGCAGTAATTTTTTACTATAAATTTATTCATCTGTTTATTTCATTAATTAATTAGCGGTCTATTATTAATTTTCTAATTAAAATTATTCTAACCTTAGAATGAGGTTAAAAAAGTAAAAATGAAAAAGATTAATTCTATTATTCAAAAATATTCACCAAACATAATTAACTCCATTTGTTAAACAGGCTACAAAAAGAGAGAAATCTGGCTGCCCTGTATTTTTTTTAAACTGCTTTTCTTAGAAAATGAATTCTAAAGTTTGTCGATTTTCCAACGCAATAATACAAACATTTTAATTAAACAGCATTCTCGATTTTTCATTGTATTTTTTAGATGTTAAGCAAAGGAATAAAAAGAAGCTTTCTTTTATTAATATTTAAGATCTGTTATATAAATTTAATAACCATAACTTATTAAAAATATTGTTATTGTTTTGTCTTTTGCAGATTCAGCAATAAAGCACTTGTATGATTTTAGTTTTCCACTGTCACTTTTAAATTAACGACTTCCTAATCCTAATTTATTATGGCTTTCAAATAATTTACAAAAAACAAGTGTTGCGAATATTTATCAAAGTTTTTATAATGCTCAGATGAAAGGAGTTTTCTATAATAGATAGACTAGAAGAGTGAAAATAAATGGTTCCACTTTACCAAGTGCATTGTTAATTACATCTTCACCAAATGTAAGTCGTTTATATATGATATATCGCTTTGTACTGTATAAGTTTATAAAACTTTCTCTTTCTTCACTTTTTTTGCAGCAATGAATAAAAACCCCGCAAGAAGTCTATCTTCCTATTAATTTTGGTCCTTTTTTCTCTGTAGTAAACTCGTTTTACCAGTTGGCTGCCCATATACTATCTTTTTACGTATTTCTTGTATGACCTTCAGGTTTTTTATTTTTTTATTTCACGTGCACAGCATGTTTTCGTCTACAATTCCTTTTCATATGAAATATAATGAACCCGAAAAAGGAATATGGACTTTTAACTTATTATTTGCCTCTTTATTCTTTTTCTTTTCAAGAAAACTTCATTTAACAATTTTTATCAAATTCGATGATTTTGTTTTTTTTACAGAAAATTACAACAAGCTATATACAAAGAAAAAATGAAGTGTCTAATACATTTAGATAACTCATTAGGAATATTGAGTCTCATTTGAAGAGAAGAGAGGTTTCGGTTGTTGTCCAGAATTTTGTCCATCTGAGGCCTGGTTCATTTGCTCCAACACTGTTTGAAGAAAATTGTTCATAATTAGAATATTTAATATAATAACTCAATAAAATGTACTTACTTTGGTTATTAAGTTGTTGGGCAGTAAAACGGGTCATTAGAATAGTCATTCCTTCAATCATTGCAAGTAAGACACCTCCTAAAACTCCGGCGCCAACCATTGCTCCAACGCCACCTATGGAACAAATAAAAATATGTCAAATAAAAGAAAACTAATATCAAGAGCTAACGAACTTCTAACTGCCAAAGTCGATCCAGTTAATGCTCCACTCATAATCGAATTCCAAGGGTCTTCCTTTTTTCTGATAAAGGCTAACGAACAATCGAAGGATGAATACATAAAGCCCCAAACTGCAAAATTCCCTCCAGTTATCGGAGCTCTTTGTTTTATAGTGGCGAAACTTCCATATAATCTTCTATATTGTCCTTTAGGAGCATTTCTCCAACCCTTAAAGGCATGCAGAAGAGATCCACCAATAATACCTAAGGAGAACGCCCCTCCGCAGTCATCTACAATTCTCCATGGACTGTGAATATAATTAAAGCCAAAATTAAGTCTGAATGTCTTATTCAGTTGAGAATGAGTTATTCGAAATATATTACTACTAGTCTGATAACCGATTATCAGTTTATGGATATATCATGACATATCATGACATAGGATGACCTATGTTAAACGTAAAAAAGAGATACGGCTCTTAAACGAATACGATGAAATGATTTGTCAATTATATAATGACTTAAATTTAATATAAAGAATATCTGTTATATTGACTACTGGAAATTTAAATATTCTTTAATAGAACGTAATACAGCATTAACTTTTCAAATGACGCAAATGTCCTTCAAGACAGTTCGACTTTTAATGAACATATATTTCTTTAGTTTAAAGGCTCATTACCGAAAAAGATATTAAGTAGTTTAATTGTATATTAGCTGATGAAAGGAATGTATATCATGCAATAAATTAAACTAAATATACAAACCAAGGCTCACGTGCGTATTCTTCCATATTTATCGGTCGATATTATGCGCATGCGCCTGAAAAACTGGTAACTGTTTCAATTTACTAAATTCAACAAATTTTTCAACTGTGAGTACTGAACCCAATTTGTATGGTTAATAATACGTAATGGTTTTTGTATGCATAAAATAGTACTTGAAATATGCACCCCTCTGTTAGTTTGGTACATTGTTCTGGTCAAAAAAGAAATGTTCGATTTTTATACCATGCTCCCAACCGGGCTAAAGCGGCCTAACTTCCCCCACGCATGCGCACACTCTAAAAGGCCTAGTAAATTTTTCTAGGATACATAATTTCTATCAATTTGCGCTTGTAGATCGTTGGATGAACATAATTTGTTGCGTTTAGTTAGGATGATGTATTTGGTGAGTGGACATTCTAATTATCTCTTAGACGATATTTTATAGGGCTTATATCCCGTTACTATGCTGCTAATCACTTTTTTTTATAGCTCAGTCATGGTCATTCTGAAAGCGAGAAATGATTCCCATGGAAATTTCAGGTAGGTTGAAATTAGTACTAGGGAACGGAAGCATAGATGAATTCTGTAGAAATGAGAAAGTAATCAATTCTTATGATTATCAGCCGGAAGGTATAATCTCTTGCGGCGACGTTTTTTGTATCAATTCTTTCTGAGTAAACTTATATAAACATACATTGGTGAAAAAGAGAGCAAAGTAGAGATACAACTAGACAGATATACAATTAAGGAAGATACGAATATACAAATACAAATACTGTACACATTGTTCTTTTCGTTTCTATATACAAAGCAGAAATGCTTAAATGGTTCCCTCCCAATTCAATTCAATTGTTCCATATATTTTGCTTTTTTTTTGTTAAATTGAGAATATCATCTGCTACTTTTATCTACTATAGAAAAGACATTGAGATAACATTAAAAAATTAAAAGCTCTGTATTTCCAACAACCCTCAGGGATTTAACGAAACTAATTCTAGTACTACTGATTGGATTTCCTTCCTGTTTTTTTCTATTCTCCAAAGATTAGTGAATAAACCATCTGTTAATATTCTTATCAGTGGAAGAAAATTTAGAGTATATAGTTTAGTATTATTAATTTATGCTTTAAGTATTATTTGTTTTATCAATAATTCTCTTACTAGTAATCACATAGAATGCGAAAAGAGTTATTTCAATAAGTTAAAGCCTAAGAAGAGACAATATTCTACAAAAGAAGCTCTGAGATATATAGAAAGAAACTTTTGTTAGTTTATTCATTGGCAGCTGAAAGAAAAGATCAGTTTGCACTTTTTCTGTACACGATTGTACCTACGTTTCCATTTAGACCCTATTCTTACCAAGTCCTTCAGCTGTCGTCTTTCTCTCTAACCTTTCCCTTAGGATTTAAAGAAACATTGATAATTATATGGTAACGGATTTATCTGTAAAAACGTCTTTATCTTTAAAAATCATACAAAAAACACTATATGTTTTGTTAATGAAGAGTCTAACAAAAAATAATCCTAAATACACAAATATTTTGTTAGTGCATAATTGTACAAAAATAGATATGACACTTGATGTTTTCATTAACACAATGAAACGCACTAAGGTAGAACCTTTTAACCTGTAAAACTATCTGCAATTTTGCTAGATGTCTTGTGAAAAATATTTTATATTTTACAAAAACTATAATTCTTAAATATAGAACTTTTTAGAAGGCCAGTCAACTTTAATAAGCATATGATGCATAATTTCAGTCTTTAACTTTGTACCAGACAGTATTGTTCATTTATTTATTTTTTAACTATATTTAAAAGATTTCTCTTTATTTCTTCCCTTGTATTAATTCTACTAGCCGTTTTATTTATAATTAATTCCCTAAAATATTTCCAACAACGACCAGTCTTCTATTTTTAATAATGTTAAGAAGAAAAAATTGATTAATTACGACCGAGTTTACATATATATTAAATATATATATACATATTAAATGGAGATTTTTTTGTTGCTTTGTTTATTGTTTTGTTTTGAAATTAGCACTTTGTAATCCTTTTTCAACTGATTAAAAATAATTATTTAAGAAAAAAAGAAATCAATAAATGAGTAAAAAATTCACAGCTGTGAATTACGATCAAGCGATAATAATTTCTATGGATTTTTTGTTGAAAAATAGAAATTAATCATTTAAAATCGTATTTTCTCCTTTTTTTTTTAAAAAAATAAATCCATAATTGCATTATATCTTTTAATATTTTAATATATACAAATACTTTATATTCACGGAAAGAGTCGTTTTAAGACTATTTTCAATTTATTATTTAATGACATGGGAAAAATATAAAAGGTATTCATTTCATTCTATTCTTAACCTTAACATAGAGGCATTAATGTATGTGTAATATATATATATATATTAGTTTATATATAGTATATATAAATATATATATATATATATATATATATGATTGTATCACATGCGTGACGAAAGGAAAAGAAATATTTCTATTTTTATTCAGAGAAGCAGCGTCGCTTATTTTTATATTTGAATAATATGACATAAATTGCTACAAACATATACATATATATATATATATATCTTTATTCTTTTTATGAACAGAAATCTGTTTTAACTATTTGTTTTTTATGGTAAATCTATTTATGGTAAGAAATATATGCACGACTGTACTTTTTCTTATATATTTGATTAATCGAATGTCAAAAGAATTATAGATAAGATACATTCAATTGTTCGCTAAAATTCTCCTTTTTTTCCTCTTTATAAGCTATCTTTTTTTTGCCTGTCTCTTAAGATTTGGTAATTTCCTATCAAATCTGGAAAAGGATGTGTACTATATCTAATGTATGTATATATCCATACTTCAGTTTTCAGAATGACAGATTAACAGTTAGCAGTCAATAGTTATTAGGTAAAATAAAGAAAGGCTTCCGGGAATATACTCCAATAGTATTATGAGTTATAATGAAAGCATAAATAAAACATAAGATATTTATAGTTTTAATTATTTTTTGAACTTTCCTTAATACCTCTTTCTCTTTTTTTACAAATGATTAATAAAGGCAGCTTAATGAATGATTCCCTATTTATTTAAAATGTTCGTTTTATATAACAGCAAGTTGCAACGAAAAGTAATTATTGTATTTTGTCTTTTCAGTGAGCAAAAATAATAAGAATTCTTCGCCAAACGTAGAAATTCTTAAATTAATAACAAAAATTTTAGGAATTCCTCTTTTGATGAGGTCTTTATAATTGTTGAATCTATTAAATAGTCGGTGAATGTTTGTTTTCCAAATCAATGAATAGCAATAGGTTAAAAAATGTACTTAGAGTGAAATCGACTTGTCTACAATCGATCTCTTTAGTTCCATTATGTGAAATAGCTGAAATGAACTATTCGATTTTTTTTTCAGAGTCTAAAATGAATAGATAAAAAGGTAATTAATTATTACTGCGAAGATAATATCATTTAATCTTGCTTCTACAATAAGTGACAATTTGATTTTTATGATCTTAAATTTCCAGCTTTTTGCATGATATGACAAATTTAATTATCTTTAATCCTAATGTAAAGAGTGTAAACAACGTTGCTCATCAATTTTTTAACATGGCTCTTAGATCTCGCTTCGTTTAGCCGATTATTGTTGTTAGTGCTAAAAGTGACCATTACTTTAGTAGTTATGCCATTCTATTTATTAAAGATATAAACCAAATTTAATGTGAAAACGTGCTACGAAAAAATAATTTTCGCTTTTTACTATTCTTCAGTAATAGTAAGCGAGAAATCACGTAGCCTTTTAAAACGGATGTCCGTCTTTGAAATGTCAGTTAATTTGAGGTCCTGGATACCTATACCTAAGATGTGAGACGTGTTATTGATCAAAGATTTCAGCTCTATCCAATAACGCTTATCGTGTACGTATCGATTCTTAGACTCCTGGCACTTTCTTTTCTTTGCTTATGGCATAAAAAATAAGAAAAATACTTAGCTCCTTTGTGTGAGATGATACTATTTAACTTATTAACTAAATATCAGGATAATATGTAATTTCAATTCTATTTAAAGTAGTGTAAAAGAAACGATAGAGAAATGAAATACGTATGAAATTTAAATTTTCTACTGATTTTTATTGTTGCCCATGTGTTCATATTAAAAATTACCCATGGTCAAATCTAGAGAAAGAGGTTATTGTCGTTTATAATGAATATTTAAGGACTTACGAATTCATCTATGCCGATCATTTGGAGCAATTTATTAAACTTTCCCATGTAATTAATTTTTCATGCCTTTTCTTTGTAGGCCAACGAACTGTGCCTGTGTCTACCATGAGCCACATCAAAGCAAACGGTAAGGTCATTTATTTTCCTTTTTTTTTTTTTTTTAAGAACAAAAAATTGTCCCTTGTGACCAGCTCGACTAAAAGCTTGACTGGGCTAGCCTTCTAGGAAGTAATTCTTAAATTCCTCTTGTTAGGGGATACTTCCTATTGACCTTATTTTTATTTTGAGTTCCTGTCAGTTCAATTCTCGACAATCCCCTTGAAATAGTCTATTTCCTTGTACTGTTATAGTGAGAGCTATGATTCGGTAAAGGGGTTTATTATTGCTTATTACTATTACTTCATAACATTTGTGACCGAAATATGTATAGATTTTGATTCTGATTGTATTTTAAGTTATTCAAGTCATAGAAATTCCTATAATAAATTATTTTCCCATTTTCACGATAAAAATGAATATAATGACATTTGATTGATCTAAATCTTTTGTAAGATTTAGCCAATATTCGGGTGTTAGAAATTAGAGAATTATCTTTAAAAGACCAAAATGTTGTTACTATATTTTTTCTATAGATATGAACAAGTTGTCTCTTTAAGAAATTTATTTCTTTTTTGTAATTTTATCTGAAAAATGAGGGAAAATGTTTTATCATCCATAATCGTATTTTATAAAAATAGGTAATTTCTCTTTTAGGCAATCGTTAGACCTTGAATTATCTTTAAAGGTGGATTTATGAGCATAAATAGTTAGACGCATTATTGTAATAAATAATAAGATAAGAGGATAAAAATAAAATGCAATTTAGAAAAATTCCTATTAATTATTAATATCTATTTTATATTTGTAGTGTTTTTTATCTCTTTCAAATTTCGTTGATAGCTCTTTTCCTGTCAATATTTTTTATAGGAATGGAATTTCTTCCTTAATGAATGAATGTTAAATATTATATACATCTTATTCATTATTCAACTTATAGATAAACTAAACATTATTATTAAATTATTTGTAATATTTGCATACATCCTTCGAAAGATACTGATTAGAATTGTTTTCTCACGCTCTATGCCTACTCAGCGTAGCATGACCAACCTTTTAGAGGTTTTAGAAGAATTCCATTCGACTCTTTGAAGTTTATCGAGTAATTCTTCAGATAAAAATTAGTTAGTTGCAGCAAATGACGCTTTTTTTCTGAGTTTCTTCCTTAACAAGATTCTAGTTTGGAAGATCTTTTTTTCTATCTGATTTAATCTAAAAATTCTTTATATTCTTTTCATATAGTGAGATATATAGTATATATTAGCCAAATGAAGATAAGGAATATTCCATGTGTATCTTACAATACATGACCTATTAGTACTTTCATTAGCTAAATTTAGTTTTCGTCTTGAAGATATAAATGACATTTAAAGACTTTTGACATTGTCTTAACGAATAAAATATCTAAGATAATAATTAACCATACGTAGCTAATATATGGCGTAAATATGCAGTTCATTTCATATTAAATGGTCATATTTAAAAAACATGCGTGAGACATAGAACCCATATCTGATTTTTCTTTTCCTCGTTGATGGGCAGACATCTTGAAATTGAAGTCACGCAATGCAATCAGCAACTGTTTATAGAACTGGCTAATGGACACTGCCTTTCAAACTAACACCCTTCAATTTTAGCTTAGATTTCGGTACTCTAGATACTCTATTTACTTTACTTTTGAACTGTTGTTAATAGCTTTCCTAATGATAAGAGCCTATTATTTACCAGTTGCGCAATCTTGAACGACCTCATCGGAAATCAATTATCTCTGCAGACTGCAAGATAGTATTATGTATATAAGATTGTTTACCCGTCATCCATTTATAATAGAGTCGATAATATGGAACAGTACTTCCTCTCTCTCTCTCTCTCTCTTTGATTAGAGGAAGTTTAAGAAGCTATTATTGCACCTTATTTGTTTGTAATTAACTTTAATCAATACGAAGTTTATTTAATTTCAAGATTATACACAAAACTAAACCTTCACAAGACTATTTTTTAATCATATCTAATGACCTTATCATTGGCTGCTATTTAACTGACTGCCTAGACGCCTGTTTCTGTATTTCCCAACAAAGTTAATATGCTCACATTTGTGGTAAAGGTCTTTCATTTGCCTATTTATTATATACTTTGTGATTGAGTAGTACAAAGAAATGAATCTAAAAGTTTCAATAGTAATTTATTTTTTACGCTCGCATTTACTACAAAGCTTTAAACAGTTTGTATTTAATAGAATGATATAAAAGTCACTTAAATATTTCACTTTGACAATATTTCTAATACTCGTTTGCTTTTTTCTATAAAATTATTCATTATGTACAGAGAATCATGGGCTTTTGATATTCTATTAGTTAGAGTATGTACTAAAGAATAAAAAAAGAATAAAAAACAAAACGTTTGATGTAAAATCATACTTTATTATCCTACAGAAGGCTTTTTGTTTTCTTGAAATCTGCACTAAATGATGCATAGTTCATAAATAAAAGCTGTTTTAGATATTTGAAAGATCGTTACCACTGTATTTTTAAGGTTGATAATTAACGTCTTTCGTTCTATCTAGGCTGTCTTAGTTGTCCTTGTTACATATATTTCCATAGCGACCAATTTTATACTTTCTTTCTTTTTTCATATTTTATATTATTAGATACAGTTTTAAGCGCAATAGTTTTTATCATTTAAATGAATTTTTCTCTAGAATAATAAGCTACTTAGAAAAATGTTTAGAGAACGTGCTTTTCATGTAGTCAAGAAATTGTTGTTTATCCCAGTGCTGCAACTATGCAAGAGTTTCCAAAGACAATCTTAATTACTTTTTCACACACCTACACGATTTCACCCGCCTTATGGAATAAGTTAAATAATAGAAATACATCACGTATAGTATAAAATGCAATTGTGGAATATCACTTATACGATATACACGAAATCGAGTTGTACCTTATGCTAAAAAAGAAGTCTTCGTTTTTGCCAATTCTTTTTTATTTTATGCAAGACGATACGAGAAGTTGGAAAATCGTACCAAAAGCCAATCAAGTGCTTATTTATTGGAAATTGATGTTTTGATGACAGATTAGGGCTACTTTGCTAGGATTTTCATCAATAATACTTCATTTTTATATATCCTTTTCAAAGTTGACTTTAAGTGAAGTGACCTTGATATTCTAATATCCTTGTACTTTGTAGTTTAGGTTAACGAACTATTTTCTACAAGAATCGTGTAAAACATATTTCATTAATCAGGCCAAAAAAATTAGATTCGTTTACACAATATTTAACCCTAATACTCTACTTGTCGCTATCTCGCTATCTGATTTATACCAAGAGTTCAAGACTATTTATTTCAATATGAAAATAGATGAACGTCAGAATTGACTTCAAATCATTATTACATCATTAATCAACTTTAGCCCTTGCTTTGAAAAGGTTGTTGACCTAATTTTCATGTTACTCCGACTATAAGCTCATTGTAAGCAAAGTGCTTGCCAATCACATTTTGACAATGACAAAAAGCTCGAACATTTTGTGTCTTTCTTACATTTAACACTCATTTTCCCATCGACGGTCTGTAAATTAGGATCGTGACAAATATGAATTAATTTACTATCATCGTGACTCTATTGTCCATATATATAAATATTAAATATCTCCTCTGTAAGAGAAAATAACATACTTATGTAGTTTGTTCACTAGAATTATGTATGATACATGTTTACAGATATGACATAGTTATATAAACCGTACAATATGTGCTGTATATAGTATTTATAATAAGCTACATACTTTTGTCTGGCATGTTGTGAAAGCGGAAAATTACAATCCTGCTTAAAGTAAGTATGGCAGTTTAACCTTATTTATACGACGAATGTTCTTATAAGTTGACATATATGACAAGACTTTTATTAATCCCTACATCATGTCAGTATAAAATTTTTTTAGCTGTTGCTTTTCTTTGACATTGAACCATTTTTATTAATTTTTAAAATTTCCAACTACACTCGTAAATAGTCTTCATACATTTATAGCTAATATAAAGCGATTTCGATAGTTATTTAAGTGAGAGAAAGCGAAAGCTTTTTCTATTTTTTTTTTAAATTATATTTCTCTCAACAACACCCTGAGATGTTGACGCCCAAATTCGATTCCGAGTAATCTTTACGCTTCAATACTTTCTAATTTGCATTCGTGGCTTGTCTGGCTTTTGTGAATTTCCAACAAATATGATATTATCTGACTTATAGAATCTCAACTTTTTCCCTCCTCATCCTTCTTCTTGTCTAGACTTTTTTCTAGTATCCACTCAACTTATAAAATTACTTATAATTTGTTAGTTAAACAATTCTTGTTAATAGGGAAGTTATTCGATGACTTAAAAGAGAACTGAAAGTGAATAATGATATGAAATTGTATTGTAAGCCTTCCATTTCCTTTATTGGATATTTTTTTTACGATTTTATTAATTGAACACTGTCAACGTAGGCGTTTTTATATTTCCATTTATACAGATAATAAATATGTATCAACTAGTGAATTTCAATATAGACTATATACATATATATCAGATATACTTTCTAAAAAGCCGTGTTGCTGCTGTTAAATAGTTTGTAAAATTATTATTAGTAACTAGTAACTCTTTCGTAGGAATTATTGACTATTATATAACCCCAATTTCCTTGTAATATTTACATCAAAGAGCGAATAATCATTTGAAATGTCATGCTATAAAGCTTATTGGTTCAATAACTTTGAAAATTTTATTCAAATGTCATTACAAACCCTATATCGAAGCTTCTATATTGTTCACAAAACTGTTAAATTTCTGTTAAGTGCGTAATTTAATCATTGAAGATATAATTATCTTATTTTGAAGATTGATTACTCATGTTTTACAAAACATTTCATATAAATTTAAAAGGAATTTAAGCCTCTCATTAAGAGAATGTAATAGTCCTACTTAAAAACGAAAGAGTAGACAAGTTTGTATAATAGATCACATTTTCCTGCTATGGTATTTTTTATATTGATGTATCCTACTATAAAATCTACTACAGTTTTATTATAATACATATAATTATATATATTAGCATACGCCGTATATATAGTGCAATATAGACATATACAAATATAAATATATTTATATCCAAATGTTATCATCCAAGTCGAGTAACAGGAATATATTATGTACCATTGCTAAATCGCTGAGTGGATTATATTTTAAATCTACCTAATAGATGAATAGATTGGTTGGACCTAGTAAATATTTTTTATTAATGAAAATCGTTAACAGTGGTAGATGGATTTTTCGAATATAAATGTTTTATATGAATTATTTATGATAAAATCTTTTCTTTTCTTTAATCTAGGTGAAATCCGCCAAAAGCCGGAAAATTGGGCTGCGCAAAGACTTAATAAACCGAAGGTTCCACCACCGCCTGAAAACTTCCCGCTAGTTTTACACAGATGGAACAGTAACGAGGTAAACAGAAAATCGAAGGCAATCAATTAACTTCTAAAAAAACCCGCGTTGATGAATCGACTCCACAATGTCGCTATGACTACTGACGAAATTTTATCCTTTTCTCCAAATAGGAAATCGCCTCCATTCTCTTAGCTGTTGATAAGCATGAGAATTGGTTAAGTACGGAAGTGAGATCTCGACCATCTAGTGGGTCTGTGTTGCTTTTTTCGAGGCAGGCAGTTAGAGGGTTAGTGAAAAATTTTTAATCATACTTTAAATCCTATTTAAAATATTCCCAATCTAAGTTAAAAAAAAGACACTTATTTTAAGTTGAAAAACCCTAATTTTTTCTTTTTTATATTTATCCTTCTTACAGAATTTTTAATAAATCAACGTAAAAAATATGTAAATATTCATAATATATATATTTATATATATATAATATATATCAGACAAGTATTTATTAGCTTATTGTTTACTTTTACTAAGTAGTCGTTCTGTGTTATTGTTAAGTTGGTGAATCAAGTAGATGATGAGAGGTTGTATCTAAAGCCTTCATTTGTCAAAAGGCCATCTAATAAGCTTCGTAAAATATACTTTTCTCTTCAAAACAGATACCGAAGAGATGGCTATTGCTGGAAGAAGAGGAGAGATGGACGCACAACTAGAGAAGATCATATGAAATTAAAAGTGCAAGGAGAAGAATTTATTTATGGTTGTTATGTTCATTCGGCTATACTACCGACCTTTCATAGAAGATCGTATTGGTTACTAAGTAATCCGGATGTAGTCTTAGTACATTATCTAAATGTACCAACTGCTCAGAGAGATTCCAAAGATGTCGTTCATTCTGTTCTTCAACATTACAACGAAACAAGAAATTGGACTCGAGAGGAACTGTCAGAGGAAATTACGCCAATGTTTGTAGGTAAGGCTATCTTTCATTTAATAATTATATGAACAAAATCATCGATATTTCATATATTTTTATGGCAAATAGATGTATTAAAAAGCAAATATATTGAATATTTTATGTATGTAGACTCTAATTTTCTTTTTTAGAAGTTTTGAAATCAGTTTAATTTAATTAACAGATTTCTAAACTAAGATGGAAAGCAATAGGATTTACTCAGATTAAACTTATTCCATATGCAATTTATATTATAACTAACATATTATATACATTATGCAGTATATATTACAACTATGTTTCATAATTCATATATTGTTTATAATTCTCTCTAATTTGACAAATGCTCATCTTTTAATATTAATTTTTAATAATAAATTTTTTAACCGACAGAATCCCCAACAGGTTGTGACAGCTTCGAAAATAGTCAACAGATCATTAGTAATATAGTTGAACAAGTCATTAGCCGGCAGCCAACCTCTTCGTCATCATCGACTGAAGGAACACCAACAAAATCAGTTTGTGAATCAAAACAAGTTCAACCTCTTTACTTAATGCCCAGTTCTTCCGGTCTTATTATTTTATCAAGCCAGTCTAGTCTACAACAGAATTCGTCCAAAAAGGAGTTGAAAACTGAAGTAGAAGATTTGGGATTGTGTAGTGATGCCGACGATCTTCAGAGAACACTTACGGCAAACATGCCCGGTCAACCAGCCGTTTCAACTGCTGATAATCTCGATTTGAATTTATTAGATGATTTAGTTGGTAGTTTTAACGTTGAAGAACCACCTTCGAATTATGTTGCATCCATAACTGATGTTGCCCCCGAATGGTCATATACAGACGGAGGTCAGAAGGTACTCGTAACAGGACCATGGTAAATAATACCTTCTAAGTGCACTTCAGTACCGACCCAAATCAATTAATCGGTTATTTTCTATTCAGGTATTCTACCTCTTCCTCTTATAGCGTCCATTTCGATTCAATTAAAGTACAAGCAACGCTTGTACAAAATGGAGTTTTACGTTGCTCAGCTCCACCTCATTTACCAGGTCAAGTGAAAATGGAAGTTGCTTGCGATGGGGATATAATAACAAATTCATACACTTTCACTTATCGACAAAGATCGGACGACGTTCAACGTTTACCGATTTTGCCTTCAAAAGAAACACTTCATGCCATGCTGGTTGAACGTCTCTTTCACTTAGCTGAACGAGTCGATGCCCCAACTACTGATGAAGTTTTTGTACTCAGGGACGAGATGGCAGTCGTCTCGACCTGCGAACGTCTCATGAACCGAAAGTGGTTAAGACCTGCTCATTTAGTTTTAGGAAATCGGAATTGTATGCTTCTAGCAGCTTCCCTCGGATACATTCAAGTTATGCATACTCTCCGAAGATGGGCGAACTGTTGCTCAGCACCCGTAGTCGGCCATGAAGCCAATGTAAGGTCGAGAGATGAGAATGAGGTAACCTTGTCTTTTCATCTTCCCAACATTTTGTGTCACTAAAACGCTTTCGTGCAAAATTAGATATTAATAATTTATGTTGTACATCGCAGTCTACTCTTAAATAGATATCTTCGTTAATATTTATATAGAATATATTCTTCTACTATTTCAAGACAAAAAAGTAGGTCGAAATAATTATCGTTTGAAAAGCAACAGAACAGAGGTAAATTAGTAGGAACGCTATAAAGTTGTGTAGAGGACGTATTTTACAAAGGAATTTTTTTAGTTATGCCATAGTGCAAACTTCATCACTATGATATCTTTGAAGTATACTTTTTATCTTGTACTCGATATATAAGGCTATTACAAGCTTATTTTCTCTGCAGCAAAATTTAATCCTTTATCGTCAGATGTTTTGTCTTTTTATTTTATGTCTTAGCTTTTTTTTTAATCCAGTAGGGAGCATCAACATTTCATCTTTATGTAGTTGAAAATAACTTGTACTTGTATGTCCTATTACAAAAGAAGAGCTAATCATTTTTTTCCCCGATACCAGCAGAATATCATATATTTTTCCGTTTGGCTTGTTTGATGTTGTGTGATATAGAAAAGAAAGATAATTAAAAATAGACGGTTGCAGAAGAAACAAAATATAATTCTATATCTGTATTTTCTGAGTTCTTTCTACAGTCCAAAAAGAGAGAATAGTCCAGGTCTTTAGCTCTATAAATAATTATACCCTTCTGAATGTCATGCTCATTAACATTATCTTTAGTTATTTTCCCGACTTTCGTGTTTTATTCTTAGTTCATAAAAGCTATTGTATGGGTTTATCTTATATTTTGTATTGGTATATAGTATACAGTATTTTTTTCCCTTAGGTAACGCCTATAATTGCTGCTTGTATGAACAATCATTTAGAAGCAATATCCATTCTTTGTGAGTGGATATCGAGCGATAGTTTACCGATTGTTTCCGATCAACGTTTGGTTAAACGGGTATCGGTCGATGTTCTTCCCGATCACCCCCTCTCCAGTCATTCGCTCAACATCCGACCTGCCAATTCAGATCCTCAACTAATTGCTATGGATACCGATACTTTACCTGAACTCTTTAGTGACGATAGTACGTCAAATTGCTCGGATAGAAGTCAAGAACCGATTGTAAATTTGGTTAATCAGATAATTGCCGCCCTACCAGATCGCATAAAATTAACTTCTGGTCAAAAAAGTTCTGAGTCAAGTTCTGTCACAGATGATTCTGGAATCATTGAACTATTTCAAAGCCCGGGTATGCCTGTAATTGATAGTCCACCGCCAAGCACTAGAGATCTTGGTGAATATTTTAATGCTCCTTATTTGGAGAGGGATATGGAAAGATTAACCCTTTCGGATGATGAGCAGAGAAAACTATACGAAGCAGCCGTTATTATACAGAATTTTTACAGAAAATACAAACATCGTCAACATGAAAGACAAAGAGAAATTGATGCTGCTGTCCTCATACAATCTTATTACCGGAGGTATAAACAATATGCCTACTACAAGAGGATGTCACAAGCCGCAGTGACTATTCAGAGTCAATTCCGGTCTTACTACGCCCAGAAACGATATAAAAGGAGTAGGGAGGCTGCTACCCTTATACAGAATCAGTATCGAGCTTACAAGGAACATGAGAAGTTTAAACGTTCGAGGAATGCCGCGGTGATTATTCAACAGCGTTTCAGGTTCGTGTACTAAATAATTTATTATGAAGTAAAATCAAAAAACAAGATTTACTCGTTAATCATTAATTTAACTTTAGTTATCTAATTTAAGTCGAATAGGTAATAATTTAATTGTTACATCATTAAAAATTATTTATTGATATTTTATAGAAAGTAAATTTCTTTCTACTTATCTTACTTATAATATATAGATACTATACATTTATATACAGCAAAGAGGAACAATTATTATAGAGATACAGTAGACATATACAGTATATATACATATATTATATATATATATATATTTGTGTATTAAGTTTTTTTTTGTGTTTACTATCCTTTTAGGAAAATACCCGACAGGTAAATTATTTTTAATTTTAAATGTATCCCATTACAATAACTGGAAAGGCAAACTGATTGTGTTTAATGTATAATACACGCATGTTATCTTTTCTTGATATATACTTCAATATAAACTGTATACCTCTTATGTTGATTTGGTAGTATATACAAGGATAAATTTGTGCTTATTAACTTAAAGTCTCCGCAAACGTTTGTACAGTTGCACAAATTTTTCTCTAAAAATATTACTCTATTTATTTGTTACAGTAAGTTATATCCGAAGAACTAGTATATCTTGTTAAAAATCCGTCAGAATCGTATTCTTCGTCAATTTATATTTAAATAACTAAATATAAATGTAATATAATAGTTTATTTCTGGTTATTCGGATATAGAATACTTTTATTCAACGGAATACTATTATTTTAAGTATCATTTAGTATTTTATCATTTTCTTCCCTACACTTTATAATCATCTATTTCTCTTTGTCTTTAATGGTTTTGTTTTTTATTGAAAGGTTGTAGGTTTCAAATGAACTATATTTTATATTTCATATAATAAAGGAAATGATTGAATCATTTATCAATATATATATATATATATATATATATATATATATATATATATATACATGTATAAGTTTATATGTATATATATATATATAAATTTATATAGTGATATACACTATGCATTTATTTATACTTTTTCTAGTCATTTTCATTTATTTATATAATATTACAAGTACGTCATTCTCTTCTTCTTATGTCCTTGTAAAGCCATACTTAATGTAATCTCTATCCCATTTTAGGAGTCACTATCAGAGAAAGAAACAAATGCAGGAAATTCAAAAACGAACAAAAGGCGTACTTGACAGGTTAGTATTATATTATTATAACATATAAGATGAAGTTGCATTAATGATCAAAACTATTACAAACCTCTACATGTCTATTAAGTCAATTTGACACATCTCTGTGATAAATTTAACATAAACGAAAAAAATATTTTTATAATAGAAATCTCACTTCAGTCAGTAAAACCAGGTTCACTCTGCAACTACCTTAGGCTAATTATACTAAGTCTTTAAACAAGATATTCTTTATTTATCTCCATTTGTTGCTTTAATAATTCTTATTTAAAGAAACTATAGATAGAAAAAGTAAAAAGAAATATCTATTATTATTTTTTAAGAATTTTTAAAATTTTATGTTAAATCTACTAATAAAACCGTTAATTAGCGGCCATATGATGGAAATGTTTGAGGTTGTACGGGTAAGTGAAGTCGTAGTAAACCCAGTATACATCTTTTTTTGTATTTTATGTTTATAGACCATATGAAAAGAGGACATTTTTTTTTGTCTTTCACGTTGTCATGTATTTTTTTATTTCTCTTTGGTTTTTATTACAACTTTTTTAATTAAAACTTAAAGAAAACAAACAGAAAAGCGTATGCGAAACCAAATTTGGATAGTTTTTATTGTTTGTTGTTATTATTATTATTATTATTATTGTCTTTTTTCTTTTGAATCACAGTATTTATTATTATTATTATTATTTTTATTTAAAAAAAAGACATATATTTTGGGGTCAAAAGAGAAAACATTAGAAAAAAGTTTGAAAGTTTAAGTCGCATATTTTTTTCCCACCTTTTATTTTTTACTTTCAATCTCTCAGTGCAGATTTCATGGCAGTCGATGAATTTGAAGAAAATGTAAGTCGGGAAAGTGTGAGATTTTCTAAAAAAGAGAGAACACAATTTAACATACAAGATTATAAAAGTAGATTTTATATAGATTTCTTTAAATATCACATATTCTCTCTAAAATCGATTTTCATGATTAACAGTATTATATAAAAAAGAAAAGATACAATAAAAATTTAACTTTTCTCTCTAAAACAATTAAAGTATTTTTTTCAACTTTTTCTCTACTAAACACTTTGGAGCTGCACTTGTATAATTCTATATTCCTCTCATATTTTTTGTTAATTATATTCTATTGAAATTTTCTCTTTTTTCTCGTTGTGCTTAAGGTTCTACTTGGCTAGGTTCTATTTGCACGTCTAAGGATTATCACAATAATATCTTGTTTTTATTTTTTCCTTTTTTGTCTTCGTATTATAATATCACTATTCAATGCGGGAATTGAACAAGAATTATTCGTGCATAACCTTTGACTTGATAGTTTATTATAAATGTTGAAATTCCTGTCCTCTAAATGGGTTTTTGTTTGTTTTTTTTTTAGTTATATAATTAGCTTTAAGACTTTAAAATAGACTCAAAAAATATAAAAATTGAATTAATCACTTCTTTCTCTTTCATTTTACTTATTATATTTCGATATTGCGAAAGATTTTATTTCTAGGAAAATGTCTACTTTTTTACTTTTTTTTGGACGTAAATTTATATATTTCTTATATTTTGGTATAGCACACTCAATGCCGACGGAACATTGCCTCTCATCGTTCAGCGCCCTACTTCTGAACAAAAGGAAATCAAAAAAACGGAATAAAGAAGGATGGGACGTAAATGTTTTTTCTCGACAATTTTTTCTTCAGGATTTTCAGAAAATTGTTCGACTATATGCTCAGTTATGATGTTTTCTTTTTTCTATCCTGCAGCATTGAAAATTATATATAAAGACACGTTCCTTTAGCAATGTAAAAATTCTTTTCGTTCATATTTTCTGTTCTTCCTCTCCTCTCCTTCGTTTTTTTTATTATGTCTTCGTTTATCCGTTTCGGTTCTATCGGTTCTAGTCATGTAGAATTTTGTTTTTTGTCCTCATAGGTTTTCTATATAGTTTCTTTCTTTTTTTTTCTACTATTGTCACACGGTAGTATTATTATTTTTTTTTCTTAATGTTCCTTAAAGAATAGGAAGAAAGAGACAAGAAAAGGAAACGGTTTTCTCAGTATCATGTCATATTTTTTTCTGCAGAAATTAAAAAAAAAGACAAAAAAAGTAAAACAAGAGAAAATTTGTACATAAAAAGAAATCTATTTTGAAAAAAAATCGTTTAATGTAGTTTCTAGTGGCTTTTTCTTTACTAATAAATTTTTCAATATGCTCCAAGTACTAAAATTTAATATTTTAGAGAAGGAAAATTTTTAAATATACAAAGATTTTAACATCTGCTACACAACATTCAAATTCTCTAATAATCTATCATGTTTCTTTATCTCTTTTCGTATATCTATAACATTATCCTATTTTTCGTTTATCGTTCTTTTTTTAGTTTGTTTTCTGTTTGTTTTTAATCCTTAGTGGAAAGATATTCTCTTGTTTAAAAGAGTATTTCTGTAATGGAAAAGTGTACTGTGTATTTACCCAAATACATGCACATCTTTTCATTTTCACTCTACTTTCACCTATCTGTATGTCTATTTATCTATTTATCTATCTACCCAACTATCTATCTATAATCTATCTATCTCTCTATATCACTATGTACTCATATACCCTTTTAAACTTTCATATTTGTTAAAAGAGAAAACGATTATAGTTATGTTTTTACTAGATAGGAGAAGTTTCTCTGAAGAAAAGTCTTTTCTCTGATTATATATTATAATCGTTCTTTTTTTGTCTTTTTTTTACGTTATAATCAACGTTAATTGGATATTTTTTACCCTTTTGTCACTTTGTCAATCTGATAGCAGAGTGATAATTAACTCGTTCTGTATGATAATACAGATTATATAATTTACATTGAAAATTGAATGTCAAATTTTAATAAATGGACTATATAATAAACGTATAGTTAACTCGTACAATGATAAAAATGACAGAAAAGAAAATATTAAGCTCTTCTAAGAGAAAACTTTTTAAGGCTAGTATCTTCAAAATGAACGCTGACGCCATTCGACTTCAATTATGGCTTCTTCGCACTGCTAAAAGCATATCGTCAGTAGGTTGCGTTCCCTTTCTCTCCTTATTTAACTTGATTTATATTCTTTATTATTTAAATTTAATTTTCAGTCTCAATTGTCCTGTTTAATAGATTATTAAACGAGTATTGCATTTAAAAAGAACGTCATTAAATGTTTACAAAAAACACTATACTAGTGGAAATTACTCAGGAATAGTTTTGGTATGATTCGTAATGCTTCAGAGACAACTATAAAAGAGAAGAAAGAGGGTACGGTGAAAATAAATCATCTCCCTTCGGATCTAACAGACAATGGACATGGTATAGAGAATAGAGTATCTGATGCATTCTGTCTCGCCCTCTGCGATCCTTTAGTAAAGGGAGTCAAGTTAATTGAACAAAATGATTTTAAGACGCCACCTTCTTCGCTATTGGAAAGACTAAAGAGAAAGTGGATTTTGGACGTTACCACTAATCTAAACAATTATATATCGAACAGTAAAGTATCTGAAAGATTAATAGGAGAATTATTGGATGGTAGATCATACGAATTTTTCAGAAGCTTAGGAAAGGTTTTTGATCAGTCATCCTACCTAGAAAGGGAATTAAAGAACTCTGCTGAAGATTTACAGAGTATCCGGAGAGAATTTTCAACATTAGAAGAGAGATTAAATCGATGTGAGACAAATATCCATTCATTCGCTCACGAGCTAAAATTCTATCAACAAGAAGAAGATGAAATTGACAAATACTACTCAATACTTTTTGAAAAGTTACATAATCGTTTTAAACGTCTAAATTATATGCCTTATATACTGAACGAGGAATTTTTCAATAGACGTCAATTGTTAGAATCTTCAATGAAAGAGACAGAACTTTAAATGTAACATAATGTACAAAAAACAATAAGCTTCTAATTAATTAGTCTTATTTGTCTTGTAGCAAAGTATACAATTCTTCAATATTTGGCCTTGATCTCTCTTTAAAAAGGGAGGAGACGCGTAAAGGAAAATCTCCTTTTAACAATTTTTTCCTTTTACTTATATTCCGCTTATTTCTTTTGGGAGTATCCTTGTTAGACTTTTTAAGATCCGTAAATATTTGGGTGAAAAGTTGACCTTGGGCTTTTTTTACTTGCGAAGACTCTAAATGAAGTTTCTTTTTATACATTTCTTTTGCGTTTATTTGACGCCTTCTCATCGCAGACGTTGATTCAATGACAAAAAAGAAATTACAGACAACTGAACTAGTATCTGAAGCGTCTGATTTTTGTACAATTGATAAACTTAAATAGCGAGATGCTATCGCTAAGATAAACTCTCCAACAAGATTAAAGAATAGTAGGATACCTACAATAGATAATTGAGCCAAATAGGAATTCTTAAATATTTGCGAACATCCGGCGTCGTAAATAGTTAAATGCGTAGTATGTTTATAATTAGTATGATTAGATTCTACATTTTCCCTTATACAAGGTCTCATTACTTTAGGATCACAGCAACTAAACGGAACGTAAGGTGGAAGGTATTGACCTCCTTTAATAAATTCTCTATTATCCCCTTTATCCCTATTGTAATATTTTGGATTTATCCATTGTTTAATAAACCAATCTTTATAAGTTCTCGAACCGCAACATTTGTATAATTGTTGCAATTCATCGAATTGCTCTTTTGTCCTTCGATCACTTTTATAACTTTGAAGAGCATCGTCGAGTTTTCTACCAAAATTATCAACTCTGACATTTATACCTATTTGACTTGTAACCAGAGCAAATAATAATCCATGAAAACTGCAAGCTAATAGGGATACTACGTTATGATGTTTCATAATTCTAACTAGTTTTGGTCTACTTTCAGGATTAGTACATGCTAACGATTGAGAAAAATTCATTAAATTAACAACAACAGACCATAAACCACTTATAACGACCAATAGAGGAGTATAATAATCTAATGGGGTTAATAACCTATCAAATTTTGAGCTAGATAGAAGTACATAGCTAGAGAGCATCGTCTGTAAAATAGACAATTGAAGTAGCAAGTGAGCCACTATTAAGCTATATCGACAGAGTTTCAACCGCGTTCTTTCGGTTATCAAACGAGTAAACCAATCAATTTGGTCGAATGGAATATCTTCCTCATCCATTTATCACAAAAAGGTGCCTATTATCAATCTTCGTATTTAGTTAAAATATAACTCGAAATTCATTAGTAACTTTAAAGTATTGTTTGTTTGTTTGTTTGTTTGTTTGTATTTGAAAGTTTTATTATATAACTTATTCATACTTTTAAAATATTTTTCTTCCCATCTTTCAGTCTATCCGACTAATAGATGTTCTGGATCGTTAAAAGACTGACATAAAATCTCTAATTAGTTCTATATTTGATTTCAAATATATAACGTATATATATCTTTTTCCTCTTCTCCTTCGTATCTTCCTTCCTGACTGCTTGTTATAAATTATAAAGCATATTTTGCATATTATCTTACTCTAGCATATTTTCCTTATTACTATATTCCCCTTGTAAAATCTATCTTATTTCATAATAACCTGGATATAATTCATTCAGAGCAAATTATTTCCACCTAATGGGCATTGGATATACTATACAGTACACAGTAAATTAACTAATTAGACCTGATAAACGTTCTTATTAGCAATATATGGTGAGAGAATAAAGTGTCTGATGGCTCTTTTAATACAATATATAAATATTTTCCTTTAAAAAAAACACACCTTTAAATGTATTTGAAAGAGTCTTATTCGGGAGTACTGCATGACTACAGTATATAAGTAGTTTGCAGAAATGGTTATTGCAGTGGTTGTAAAAACTTTTTATATAGTAAAAGGAATTAATCAAGTAGATAGAGTAGTGTTCTAAAGAATAAAGTTAATGAGAATATTATCACAGATAGAGAAGAAAGAGAGAGAAAGAATGTATATGACAAAATGTTCTCAGGTGAAAGAATGACAAAGTTTAGACAAAAGAAAGTTAATATTCATTAATCATTTACGGCATGCACTTCATAATCTAACTACACTTATTTATCCTAATGAGAAATGATACAAGAAGTGAATAAAAAAAACAGGCAAACGACGTGTTATTGTCTTGTTAAATGTTTAACTTAATTAAAAGTATTATACTGATGCAATATGTAAATTAATAACAACATTATATGTAATTATTAGAATTTTAACTTGGAAAATTTTGTTGTGCGCTCTAGCCATTAGTATAATTTTTGTTTATTAACAATAATAATGTTCTAATAGATGAAAAGCTTCTTTTTTTCTTCTTCTTCTTCTTCTTCTTTTCGCTCTCCTCTATAACTTATACTATTGCGACACTTACATATCATGCTTTACTGTATAACAGTGCAGTTTTTTTTAATTAATTTTTCCATCCTCTCTCATTTTCCTTCTCTTCTCCTTTTCCTCTGCTAACAACTACCTCTTTTCAAAGTCTCTAGAGGCGTGAATATTAACTCTTTTAATGTAGATAAAGGCTTGAGTAACTCTTTGAACATGTCACATGTAGGCCTAAAATCACCTTGTTTTATAATTAGCTTTCAATGGAAAGATAATCGAGTGCAGTACATTTGTCTAAAAATACTTGAAAAAAAGGTCGATTGAAAGGATACAACTGTTAGGATAACTGGATCGACAATTCAAATTTTATAGAGGCCTTATATTCCACTATATATGGTTTATTATTTAAAAAAAAGATGCAAACTACTGCATAAACAATATTTGAACGCGAATACACAGTATATATAATACCATTTTTGGTACCCGTTAAGTAGAAACAAATAAAAGGTTTTTTTTAATACTAACAACCTAAAAATAGAATAAAATAGCTAATCAAGTCCCAAACAAGAAGATGCTTTATAAAAAATAGACTTTATACTGTTTTCCATCAATAAAAGTTATATATCATACTGTATACTACAAAATAACAACAACTTAAACAATTTCGTGAGCAATTCCTGTATCCATCAAAAATTTACTTTCCATCGCCTCCTCTTCGTCATTGTCCAACTTCACTTTTACGTCTGGTTCTTCTTCTTTGGCCTCATTCTTTACAGGGGAATCATTAACGCAACTGTCATCTATTAAGGGGATGTCTCCAAGATTGAAAGTCTCTTCTTTCGGCTGGGAATTTCTTTTTTGACCATTACCATTTTCTTCCGTTTTTGTCCTTGTCTTTCGTTTCTTTAAATTACGAAAGAGACGTCTCAAGATCGAAGTGTCATTAGGTGCATTGGAAGAATCATTGCTCATAGAAGCATTCGTAGCCATAAAAACCGTTCCAGGAACTGTTAATATTTAGAAAGAATTAAATTTAATGGGGAATCATTCAATAATAATATTTTAGGAATGGTAGACTAACCGTTGTTTCTAGCTTTGTGAAATTTTCTCGATACTTTCCGGCTAAACATTGGAAGATTCTTAACGGATTTAAGTTTCTTATCAATATCCCCATTTTCCAGAGTATCCGGTTGCTATAAGTTAATAGAAAAAATATTAAATTCAGATATATTGTCAAATTTGTACGCCAGATGGCACACTGTCGAATTAATACAAACACGAACATCTTTAGCATGAATGACAGGTGCTTCTTCATTTGGCAAAGTAAGCTCAGCGCCAATCGCAGAAATACTTTTAAAATAGTAATAAGATTAAATATAGCCAAAATAGCAATCTATAAAGGAAACGCACTTTAAATCCATAGTCGAACCAACAAAAGGCTCATTATAGAAATTCTTGGAAGCTTGAGTATAAGGCAATTGAAAATCGATATCATTCCAATGATTATCCCTCAATAATTCAGGATAATCAGAGTGCATATCATCAACGATTAAATAAGATACTTGTAAATTCCTATCAATTAAGTAATTTACATCAAAATCATCGTCATCTTCCCCAAACGGATTTAACAGACTTTCAGCAACTTTTAACCATCCCATAAAGAAAAAAAATTGAAGAAATGTAAAGAAAGGAAAGTACGGGTCAACCTATCGACAAAAAAATATAATCTTATTAATTGTTTCTTTATCCTTTGCACTATAAATGACTTACATCTATTTCTCCGTTGTAGGGGCTTATACTGAATTGTCGTCCCATTAAACAAGCAATGAAATAAGAATAGACAGCAACGGTGACAACCTAATAAACAATAATCAAATAATGTATCTAAAATATTGATATTATTGGCATTCTAACCTGAGTATAAACAAGAGGGATATTGATCCAATCGTAACTGAACAAAGTGCCACATTTACTTCTGAAGGCGGTAATTTCCTAATTTTTAAAGACATTATATATATACTTTCTTATTTATAATATATCTACTCACGTCAATTAAAGTTTTTAGAGCATGATCGTCTTTAACCCATTTTTCTCTTCTTGATTGATTAACTAACGAAGTTGCCCAAACAAGAGGAACAAAGTATTTATTATGAGGCGTTTTCAATCTCTCTAGAATCTGTTGTTCGCTTCCTTGTAAGAAACCTGCAATAGATTGCTTTTTATATCAATAAAATTCAATTAGTTTGTAAGCTTTGTGTTTCTAACCAGCTATGTTTAGATGATTTAGTGTTGGGAAACGTTTCTTTACAGTTGAACTAATAGATGCTAATGTCATGGTGAATGATAGACAAATGTATCGCATTATTGTTCTTCTGAACAGTCTTGCCCTTTTGCAAGGACCTTGAATATCTGATGTCACAAGCAATGCTAAAGTATCTGGCCATGGAATGGCATTATATTGATTCCACCATCTAGTGCAGACACATGTCACGTAGAATCCCAATACAAATGCAATAGGTATATGGTCAGTGTAACGATTGCAATAGCGGGATATAAATTCAAATTTCCTAGAAAAATGAGAAAGTTATCAATAACAATATAGGCTTAATATATAGACATATCATACTCTCTCTGCTCATCATTCATGGCAAGCCTATATGATAAACTTAGAGTAAGATACGTGGCAGCATAGACAGCAAACTCTCTCCACAACAGTTTGTATACACTTCCTCTCCATCTGTCATAAAAAATATTTTAGTTTGGGATTTATATAAAACATCCAAGAAATTATATTAAACAATCCGAAGCTATGTTTACTTTAATAGTAGTTTAAAAATTGTTGCAAATCCTGCAGAAGAAATTTTTGACGAATATGTTACTGTCATTTCGATAAGCGTTGTTTACGAGTATGAATGTTGCTGAAATATCGCTATATATAAATAGTCGGATAAATTGAGCGGTGTTGTCTAACTTCTTCAATCTGTATTAGAGTTTCATACGTCTTCTGTCCAAAATATTACTAAAAAGAAATTATATTTCTCTTATACGTAGCTGCCTGAAATGAAAAATAAAAACAAAGCAACGCTAGAGAAAGCGCGCGAAAAAACGGCAAAATCTTCAGTCCACCCGTTTATGCCTAAATGTTCGATTAACTTTTCAAATTATTTAATAAATTTCTCTTTGAATTGCTCAGTACCACAGTTATCATTCAATAAAAAATGTTTAATTTTTTAATCGTTACTCGTAGGAAATTGCGTCAAGAATTAACAGTATATTTGCTTTTAATATTGTGATGGAAAATCGATCAAATAATCACGTGATCTCTTCGTATGATAGAGCTCTCTACCCGGCTTCGCGTTTACGCTGACTGATAGGTTTTTATCTAGGAAATTATACAAAAAGGAATTTTAAAAGTAAGTATCAATCTAAGCATTCGACATTTTATAAAATTACGTACAATATATAATGTAAATACAACGAAAAGTGTGTTAAAGCAGTCAAAGGGAATAGAAAGCTTGTACTGTAACTACACCCACGTAGTGAATATTGGATTATATAAATATTCCTACGTATTTGAATTTGTAGAGCAATCAAACTGCAATTTAATAGAATTTAAACTAAGACATAGAATTTAGTGCTAAACTAGAACAAATTCAAGGAGACTATCGAAAGAGTAATAAGATAGCTTTCAGCTTTTTTTGTTAGATCTTTATGTCTATCACTCATGTACAGTATACAGTATTAGTTGTATCGTTAATATTCTCATTTACATGTTGTGGTCTTTCACGACAATAGACATGTGAAGGTATATTTCATTCTGCCTGCACTCCTTTACTATAAAAATCTGGCCTAATTTATTTCTCTAAGTGGAACAGACCGACTGTGAGAAATTTCATTTTCTTACTTCAGACTTGTATATACATATTATATATATATTAATAAATATAAATACATCAATATTTAATAATACGTTCTATTTTATTAATAGTTTCAATATATTATATCAATTCTTTCTTTCCAACAGATTTTAGATTCTTCTAGACTGATTAGAAAGAAATGAATATCCTTCAAATGCAACGCCCAACCATTCTTAAATTTTTTAGCCAATCTTATTTTAACAGAAGTCTATCGTCTCTTTCCAACAAACTGCAAGCAGCAACTACAAAACCAAATGTTGTTAGGACAAGCCCACATGAAGAAAATCCACGAATTTTGATTACAGGTAAGCGGATATACTTCTTTTCTTTATAATATTACTATTATACTAACAAGCGTAAAAATTACGAAAAAAAATGAAAAATATATGGTATAGAACAATTAAGGCATTGAACTTAAACTGTGCCGGGTTATTCACCGTTAAAACACTACCTTTGCGTATTCTAGTAATAAAAGACCAGTTTCAGGATAAAAAAAATCGAAATTAGAATCATTTACAATAATGAATCTGAAATAAATAAAAATTATTAATTATATGCCTACTACTGTATATAACTTGGTTAATGTAAATGAACGTAAGTTTATCTATAGCGTAAGCATTTCCTCGAAGCTCACCTTTACTACTGAAACGTGTATTTAACCTAGATACGGCGATTGATTGTTCTTGTTTACTTTGTGTGTGTTTGTTTCTTGCTTAGGAATTTGATGAAGAATGAAAATCTACCGTATTTTTTTTTAACTCTGAATTTATTTTTATATGAATAAGGCTGAACATATTTTATAAATTGTAGCTTTTCATTTATAACATACCTTTCTATATTTATAGCTTTTCATTGCTTTATATAAATATCTGTAATTGTATAATGACAAATGTGGCAGCCAATAGTAGGCCTGTTTACCATTATTTCCGGTTTTAATCAAATTAAGCGATAACTATATAAAAAATACCTAGAAAGCTGATGTTAAATAGGTTATCGTATTGATTGTTACTTATTTGAAAAGATATAATTATGTATTATTGAGGAAATCACTTATTGTTTTGATAACCTAAAGAGATAAAAATATGATTTATTGTTTAAAATATTTGTAATGTATAGGTAGCCTGGGTCAACTTGGAACTGGGTTAGCAAAAGCTCTTCGACAGAAATATGGATTAGATAACGTCATTATGTCAGACATTTTAAAGCCTACAAAAGACATCTTTGAATCTGGGCCCTATGTTTATGCCGATATTTTAGATTTTAAAAATCTGCAGGAACTTATTGTTTCGCACAGGATTGATTGGGTGATTCATTTTAGGTAGGATTTAATATTTTATTTATTAAGTATTTTAATAGCAAAACCCTTTTCGTACAGCGCTTTATTGAGTGCGGTTGGAGAGTTCAATATCCCTTTGGCCATGAGAGTTAATATTGAAGGATTACATAACGTTCTTGAACTCTCTAAACAATATAAGCTAAAATTATTCGTGCCAAGTACAATTGGGGCATTCGGTCCTACTTCTCCACGCAATCCAACACCAGATCTTACTATTCAGAGGCCCCAAACTATTTATGGAGTGTCCAAAGTTCACGCAGAACTTATGGGTGAATACTATAGACATAAGTTTGGACTTGATTTCCGCTGTCTGAGATTCCCTGGTATTATTTCTTCTGACACTAATCCTGGTGGCGGCACTACAGATTACGCAGTCGAAATTTTCCACGAAGCTCTTCGAGTGGGTCACTATAAATGTTACCTGAGACCAGATACAAGATTACCCATGATGTACATTGAAGACTGCTTAAAATCCATTCTGAAAATTTTAGAAGTTCCCAATGAACAACTAAAACTAGGAACGTACAACGTTACAGCTATGAGCTTTACTCCTGAAGAATTGGCTGAAGCAATCAGAAAGCATATCCCTAATTTCGAGATTGAATATGAACCAGACTCGAGGCAAACTATTGCTGATACGTGGCCAATGGTGTTTGATGACTCTAATGCAAGAAATCACTGGGGATGGTCTCATGACAACAATTTAGACGATTTGGTTTCCATAATGCTCAATGCTCTGCAACCAATTTACGCCAAGAATGAATAAATTCTATGCTAACTTGCTGTGAATTAATGGAAATTAGCTATTATAATTTTACCCTAGGATAGTGAAATTTAACATGAACAAATAGATGTACAAAACGTTTACCTCGATGCAAAACACTTTCAAAAGTACAATGAAACATGTCATGGTTTTCGACCAGAGTTATAACTTGTTTACTTTTGTTCAAAGCATAACTTTCCTACGACGCAAATCCCAACCATTTGTTATGTTTGACATTTCAGTGAATAAACGCCCTAAAAGTATTCATAAATCGGCGCGGTGAATCACAAAGGCAGACAGTGTTCGCCTCGCAAATAATGAGCTATTTTTAGGACGGGGATAGAAACCAGACTAATCTTTTTAATACATCTTTGACAAGAATAATTCATTTTAAAATTGATAATGAAAATCATTTTAAAATACTATTCCTATAATATTCTATAAGCATTATTTACAAACATGAAAGGTTAACAAATGCTACTGATCGGTTTTCTTTCTAGTATTTTAAAGAATTTTTTTAAGTTTTCAAACGGATGAAGGTTGGGATTTAGAATTCCACGTGCGTTCAAAGCCAAAATGGCGGCTGGTACAACAAACTAATGAGTTTTAGGTGTCTTTTATATTTTTACTAACACCAAGACACCTTGAAAGACTAAAGTCTGGTTAAAACTCGTTAATAATACGATCTATAGATACCAATAAATAAAAAATATATCAAGATGAAATCAGTCACTGCAGTTACTTCATTTCTAGCGATTTTGTCTAGTTTACCAGTCTTAGTATCAACTGCTATAAACAGTCAAGCAACGGAAACAGTAAGTGTTAAAAATCTTAAATACTTTTAGCCATATATAATTTTGTCCATTTAAAGTCAGGGTGCAGATATTCTATCTAAAACCTAGAATTCTCTTCACTCTTTTATTTTCGTTTGGTAATTGCTGCTTGAATTACTTTACTTTCACAATACGTTCATAAATATCTCAGGATGTTACATTATAATTATAAGCATTATTCCTGTTTTAGTCTAGATATTTCAAGATATAAAAAAGACGACTAATTTTTTTCTTATTAGTACTAAGAGGGGTTGTAGCTAGTTTATCGTCTGAGTTTCGAACATATGCTTCATACGTGTTCAATTTATCTTAATTTTATAGTTTATATATTAGATACGGTATTTAAAACCAGGAAAAGCTAAATGTGAATCATTAATTTCTACAGGACGTTGCCGACTCAGCACATCATGGACACCTTCTGGAGCAAACGAAAATTGATCTTGGATTTATTCATGCCTTCGTAGCTTCCTTGAGTGTGATTATTGTTTCTGAATTGGGGGACAAAACATTTTTTATAGCAGCCATTATGGCTATGAGACATTCCAGACTAACTGTTTTCGTAGGTGCAATGGGTGCCTTAGGATTAATGACTGTTCTATCAGCCTTTCTCGGATTCGCCACTACTGTTATACCTCGGTGGTTAACATACTATGTCTCATCATTGCTCTTCGCTGTGTTTGGTTTAAAAATGTTAAGAGAAGGTAGATTATCATATCATATAATATAAAACCATGTAATTTTCCAAGGAAATATAATTCTTAATTGTATAAGAATATGGAAAACAACTTAATAAAGCCTTTCAAAAATGATTTTTCAGGATATTATATGTCAAATGATGAAGGTCAAGAAGAATATGAAGAAGTTCAAGGTGAACTTAAGAAGAAGGAAGAAGAAGAGGTACTTTGCAAGTTTTTTTGTTATTTATTATGATTAATAATTATGTCTTGGCAGACTGAAAGCTCAATGGACCTCGAAACTGGTATCATTAGATCTCCAAAACGAAATATATTTCATAAATGTTTTTCTAGAATATTTTTACAGGTTTGTCTTTATAAAATATTTAATATTATATAAATTACAATTATTTTTCGCTTTAGGCTTTAACTCTTACATTCCTCGCTGAATGGGGAGATCGGTCGCAATTAGCAACAATTATACTTGCTGCCAGAGAAGTAAGTTATTCTGTTTGTTAGTGTAAAAGCTTTCGTATTTCGTAACATTAGAACAAGTTCATAAATTTATCATTCTTTCAATTGCACCTTTCATCGATTATTACCATCGAAGTATATGTAATTTCTTGTTTTTTTAAATTGAAAACAAGTATTTCATATGTTATTTGTGATTTATCACTTAACAATTTAGATGAAAGATCAAAATATTGGAATCGTTAGTAAACCTGCTTAATAAGATTTCAACCATTTGATAAGCTTTATAATTGGAATTTGTTGCTAAGATCACTGTTGATGACTGTTAAATTTCTTTTAATTTTTTCAGGAAGTTGTTGGAGTCATAATAGGTGGATGTATTGGTCATTCTTTGTGCACAGGATTAGCTGTATTAGGTGGAAAATTTATAGCTCAAAAGATATCAATACGAACTGTTACGATTATTGGAGGAGTTGTTTTTATTATCTTTGCATTATCAGCCTTCGTTATACACCCGGATGATTAAAAAATTAGGATAAGGTCTGATATGTTATAGGTTTTTTAAAATGAATTGGTATTCATGTTAAATTATTTTATTCTTACTACTTTTAAGTATTGTAATATAACTGTAAATATAGCATGAGAACGAAAAACAAAACAATTTTATTTATTCTTATAATAAATTTCTTTCGTGAAGCTATCTGCATATTCTACGCTTGTTGTCTCACATACTGGATGATGCAAATTTCTTAGCTAAAAAACAAACAATGCTTAAAGTATTGCAATATAAAAATCACTTCCTCTCTAATTTATTATTAATATTATTGGTCAGACAGCCTGTCGCTACATTCGTTTGTGTATCCACAGAAAGTTCGGTAAAACATATCATCATTTCTATACTTAAACTAAGGCTATTTTAAAGTATTAACTTACAATTGTTAAGTATGTAGTCTTGGCAGCCATTTTGCTTTAACATCCTTCTAAACATTCCAATTCTGTCGATAAGAAAATATAAGCAACTAGAACTAGACTGAAAGATATCTCTTATTCAGGCATCTTTTGATGAGAGTTAAACTTTTTAAATCATCATGAGTTCTGAGTTTGCAGGTGTTGGTATTGCTAATAGTTCACAAGATAGATATTTGTTCCAAATATCGAAAGTACCTCTAATAGTTGTAAGCAAACTTACCATATCAAGCTTCTTTGAAAAAAGGGCAATGAAGCCTTTTAAGTAAATAGTTATACACAGTTCTTTTAGACGGACCGATTTTCATGATGGCGGCAATGACTTTAGGAGAAATTTTGCTTTCAGCATATACGTAAGACGAAACTCCTAAAGCATAAAAAGTAATAGTAAATTTCTTTGACAAATATACAAGTTTAATACAGATATATGTTACACATTTGAGAAAAAATAGCTATATTCAGACCTTTGGTGCTCTGACCATGCTTGAATTTGTAAAAAGGAAGTCACGTGGTCAAGTTTTAGTATAGCTACTTTCGTATGTGATCAAATGAAAAAGAAAATTACGTCTGGCAATAAGCCATAAAATATTTACATTAAAATACTATTCTTTCTAAGAAATATTAAAGAAAACTAAAAATTCGAAGTAAATCCGCGCACATTATCCAAAATGGCTGATTTCGACGATGCTATTTATAGTGAACAAGATGAAGAAGACGCCTTAAATACCTCTTTTCCCCCACCACCAGTGCCTGATCCAGTCGTAATTAGAGGAGCAGGAAACGTTACAGTGTTAGTCTTAATATTTTTAGCTTAAACAATCGATTTAAGGTGTTGTAGACTATTAAAAGTTCTCTGCTATAAACAAACTAGGCCTATGTAACCAGAAAATGTCATATTTTATTAGATATTGACATTGACATCGGCGATATCAAAGAGAATAATTTAATTTAAATATTTTTCTCTAGGTTTGGTTTGAGCAATAAGTTTGACACAGAGTTTCCAGCTGGTTTATCGGCCAAGGTATACATAAAGATTTCATTTTGTTTTCTTTCTACATCTAAAATGTTTTCTCAAGGTTGCACCAGAAGAGTTTAAGGCTTCTTTGTCGAGAATTAACTCTGTTTTAAAGAAAACTCTACCAATGAATGTCAAATGGTTGTTCTGCGGTTGCGTTTGCTGTTGTTGTACATTAGGGTGCTCATTATGGCCAGTGATATGTTTAAATAAACGAGTGAGATACATTAGATATATATATATATATATAAAATATGAAATAATTATGTACTTGTTTCAATCACAGACGAAACACTCGATAGAAAAAGTTATTGATTGGGAAAATAGTCATTTGTACCATAAGGTAAAAAGAGTTTTTTTTGTAGAATTTTACTAGTTTTAACTGATATTATCTATAAATTTCTGATAATGAATGTTGATGCAAAACTGTTAATGATATTAATATTTATTATTATTAAAAGCTTGGTTTACATTGGAAATTGGCTAAACGAAAATGCGATGCGAACTCTATGACAGAATATGTAAGTCTATTGATCTTAATAGATTACTACAGGAAACATCATATTTAATACTATTATAACAGGTTATTCACATAGAATTTCTACCCAAAGTTCCAATTCATCAGCCAGATTGAAGTTGCCTCTTTAACTTAATCTTGAGAAGGGAAGAAGAGTATTTTGTTTTTCTTTACAAAAGAAAGAAAATGCTTTTTTGATGAGAAAAAACTGTTATACTCTTGTAAGTTTCGAATTATTTGAAACTTATTTTAGAGATAAAAAATATTAAGTGATGAACTATATACATTTTAATTTCACATAATATTGTTTACTCTATTAATCAATATACTAAGAAATGAAAAGATACAATAAGAGGGAGAGAGGAAAATGTATTTCAAAAGAGAAATGCTATAAAACAAAAGAAACGGTTATAATCTTTAGGGAAGATATGATTTATATTGAAATATATTTTAGCGATGTCTTCATTGTCAAAGTTAATATTTATATCTTCGTATTAATTATCCATTCTTTCGTCGACTCCCGATATTTACCTTTAAACGTATCTTTTACAAGTATCAAACTCAATTTAGGGTTGTTTGTCGGATATCTGATCTAGAAAAAGTAATCTGTCAGAAAATGATTTTCTGAAAGCAAGTCCTCTATAAGTACAACTTAAGTGCTGTACGTGATTCTAGAATTTTCCCCCCCCTATCGTAAAAAAAGACTACAACATATATATATATATACATTTGTACCTATATATATGTATATATAAATTTATATACCGTGTATATTAATATATGTAATTGTGGCACGTAAAAATAACTATTGTAATTAAAACAAAGCCTTTATTTATTCATTTGCTTCATTAATTGAAATTGTATGATATCCTAAAAAAGACAAAAACATTTAGAAACCTTTGTTTATGTTTATATACAGATATGTATACTTTAAAAAATATTTATAACTGAAAACCTTGATTTTGTATGAGTTTTAAAACGTTAATTGACTATCCAATCGTCGTCTTCTGGCATACGTTTTTCCAAATTTTGTCTCCTTGAATGGTAGATTCGGTAAATTTTCAAAATCTACTGGATTGTAATCACTACAATCAAAGTCTTCTTCCTCATAAATGTCTTCGTGAAGATACTTTCGAATTTCTTCTTCACGTAATTTCTCTCTAGTCGTTTCTTTCGTATTGTTTTGTTGATAATTTCTTGTAGTTAGTACATTTTCAAATGATATAAAATTAGAAGTCTCTTCCGTGTTTTTCTAGAAATTTAATTAAAGAAAGACTGGTTGATTATGCTAACTCTAAAATATGAAGAAGGAAACCTTCGAATCAAGTTTTTTCAACCGTTTACGTCTCGTTATCTTCGCTATAGGTGCCTCCTCCTCTTTAGTCGTTGCTTCCTCATCTAAAACTATTACGTTATTTAGAGATTTACGCCGTCTCCTTCCTGTTTTCCTATGTTCATAGGCCTTCAGTGCTGATACTAGTCGATATAAAATGATCATTTACGACTGAGAAACTAATTGTAATTACCCTTGGTTTCAACTCCTCCAATACTGTCAGTCTGTTCGGTTAATGACGAGCTAGTTCTATGCAGATCTAATTGTGTATTATGGTTTTTCCGAATGGTTTTAGCTGATTCTACATCACACTTAAGAGACGAATTAAAAGCTTCATCAATGTCTTTCTCAATCTTTGAATTGCTAGATCTCGAACAGGTGTGTTTTGGTAGGAAATTACTATTATCAGATACAGTGTTATACGATAGAGCCAGAAGTACTGGACCGTTAGTTGTTTGAATGTATATTGTTCCTTGAACAAATTCCAATTTGGAATCAAAGGAATTCTGCAGGCTATTCAAAATCTCTTGATGTAATTTGCCTTTATTTTCAAAGTTTAAACTATAAAAAAAAAAGTAAATTTATGAAGTTTAATTGATGAATTTATATATAAAAATCAATATATATTTATATATATATATATATTTTATAACCTAAATTTATTCAAATTCATCTTTATATTCTCTATAACTAAAGATTTTACTTTCTCCAACGGGTTTATAAATAAATTTTGTTTTAATGAAACGAAACTGTTACCAATTGACAATTAAAGCGTACAGTGTCCATAGCCTTAATTAATCGTCTTAAACACGTGAGTTGATTAGAGAAATCTTTAATCATATTTAATTAACTAATACTGGAAATAATTAGAAATTTCTTTTCTCTCCCATTCATTCACTTTCTAGAGAATTTATTATTCTGTTCAATTAGAGCATACAAAAAACAACATATTTTAATTAATTATGAACACGCTTAAGTTCCCCTTTTTGCCTCTTCATAATAGAGACAAACTCTATTTTGAGTATGTTATTAATACACGTGGGAAACGTATATCTTGTTTCATATACGAATGGTATATATTTTTATATATTATTCGTCGCTTTGTGAATTCAAGGCTAATTATACTGCAATGCAGGTAGGGTGGGTGGATATACGTATTTATATATACATAAAAAAATTGGATATTATTTAGGTCATTTAAAAAACAACCTTGTAAAACTAGCATCTCTGTCAATAATGATCTACTTAAATAGCAAAAGAAAGTTTACTTATTCAATATAATATAAGAGAAAAATCTATATGATTAGTTAATAAATATCCATTTTATATAATTAAAATAATATAAAAGCATTTGAACTTTTCACAAATGTCAATGTTATTGCTTGAAGATAATTAAAAATCACATCAAATGTAGTTAAAAGTAGAATAGAAGACAGTAAATTTATTGGAAAGATTAAGGCCTGTTTTAAACTAAAAATAAATGATCTATTTGTTTAAAGTTGAATATATATATATATATATATATGAATATATACTATGTATTATGTATTCTATAAAAGAAAAGATAGTATTTTTTTTTGTCTTTCGTCTTATTTATTCTATTTTTCTTTTATTGGTTCAAAGCTTTATGATTATATGATATAAAATGAATTTAACACTAAACTATAGAAGATTCTGGCTCTCTTTCTATTCTTATTAAATGTCAGCATTAAAGTTATTTCTATTTCAATTGAATTTCTTTTTTTAAATGTAATTGCCTATAAATATACTACAATTAATTAGCATGTTATTAAATCACCGATGAAGTTAGCATATATATATATATCTCGATTATAGTATGCATTAAAAACTATCTACTAGAGAATTATTTATATAATTCCGTTAATTAACTCTAGTAATGCCATCTACTGATTGAATAGTATTAAAGAGAGAAAAAGTCTCATATAAACATGTAGAAAGATACTGTATATCAATAAATTTCACTTTTGATTTACAATTTAATAGAATAATTCATAGACTTGTAAATTATTGTCCAGAATGAAGAATGTGTTTAGAATATCGCACAGTATATTTTGATATTTATATACAATATGCCATTTTGAAACACCCAAATAAGAGAATTCAATTGGCAACTTTGCGCTTATCGTTTAAGAATGTAAGACATATTTTATAAAGAATTCTTTATAAAAAGTAAATATTTTATCATATTTTTATGTTTGTTTGTTTTTTTTAAATGTATATGTGTAAAAAAAATAGTTTTTTTTGTATTAGAATAAATCTTCGCTACTGTTACGTTTTTCAACTGGACGAATCACAACAAACATACGATAAATTGCACGATTTTCTTGAAAAAATATTCCCAATACACAAGTTTAACACGAATTTTCTTTTGCATGAAAAAAATATAATAAAGAAAAATTAACAAAGAACAAAAAAAATTATCATCACAGTTTTCTGGTCGACGCTTTATAATTTAGAAATCTTCTCTGTTTTCAAATTTAAATATTTTTTTTTATACCAGTTATAAATTTAAAATCTATCATCTCATTATTGATAAAGCGTCCCCGTTTAATTCATAAAATTTGGGAAACGTTACCACTATGTAAATATAATATTATATACATATACATATATAACATATAATATATATATATATATATATAATATTCACAAACTGTATATCTTCACATAAGTTTGTGTAAACAATTGTCATCTGTTTTATTACTTAAGCCTCTAATCAGCAGTCACGTGACACTAATTTGAATTTTTACATCTCATATAAGAGGAATTAGAAGTACAAACTATATATATAATTGAGCATAGATAAGGATTTTATGCACATCAACCGTATCTATACACTTTTAAACATACAATTGGCGAACAAAAAAAATGATTATCTGGCGACCACAAATTTTTTGAGCATTCTGCTTTCGAAGTATTATGTACAATTTAAAAATAGAACAAAAATATTCTACGCTTGACAGGATTAAAATTAAAAAAAAAAAAAAACAATATTTTATGAATTATTAGAATTATTCCATTAAAGACAACATTATTCAATAAAAGGGAACGAGGGATAGGGAGGATGGTGAAGCAGGAAAAGGGGTAAAAATTTCAATGCAACAAAAAAAAATCATCGATAAGAAACAGAAAATACAATTCTTTTAATTTCCTTATTTTCTTTTCTTTTTATCTTAATGTTAAAAGTTTTTGTTATGATAAGAAAAAGATATTTTTCATATTTCCCTATTAATTTAATACTTTTTAAAATTCCTTATTTTGTTGAAATAAGACAAAAAATAACAAGTTTGAATTGCGAGCTAATGATCAATTTACGCAATTCTACAAGTGAAACAAAAATATTACTATATATATATATATAGTGCCAAGAAAATACATTCTATCTCTTGTCGTGTTTATTTTTTTCTTCTCAAAATGAATATAGGGAGTAATAGAGCAATGGTACGGGGGTGGGTAGATTAAGGAATGATGATTGAAGGGAAAGTTGCTTATTTTTTTGTTTTTATCTTATTTTTTTCATTGTTTTCTTTCAATAATACTGTAAAAACTTTTGTACGTTTACTTTATTTCGCAGGGAAATTATTTACTCTCTTGAACTGGAACGGAAGAAAATAAAATGAATAATATTGTGAGAAATGGAAAATTCTATTTTTATCCATATAAAAAGAAAAATTATTGTATAGAACACATTACACAGTAACTTTTTAATTTTCTTATTTACAAGGCAATCTTATTTACAAATAAGGCACGGAAGAGAGAGAGAGAGAGAGCAAGAGAGAAAAGAGGCTGAGATCAACTAACCTGCGCACCGGATGTTGTTTGGGCAGGTGAACTATTCGGTGAATGCTTCAATTTATCATCACTCTGCGGTGAACTGCTTTCATAGTCTGAATCTTTCGTATCTTTATTTGTTTGTGCCACTTGCTGCTGTTGCGGTTGTTGTGGTTGCTGTTGTTGGGGCTGCTGTTGGGGCATTTGTTGAACAGACTGCGGTGGGAGAAGCAGGGTTCCATTTTCTGATCTTAGCCTCTGCATCAGTATTGCCGACATTTGGATCGGTGGTAATTTAGCCTCATCGACACTCAAAAGACCACAAGATATAAGGTTATCGACCCTATATTTATGAACCTTTAGAGGTTTTCCAGATACAGGATGAACAAAATTTTGGCCATTTTTAATTGCTTGTTGAGGCATTTGTTGATTTTGTTGCTGTTGTGGTTGTTGTGGTAAATGGGGGTTACCTGCCCATTCCATAGGGACCCTCAGTGCCATACCAAAAATTTCATTATATCGCTTGGCAGCATTCATTTCAAGTTCTTTGACAATCCTATAAAATTTGTCATGAACCCTATGCTCTATTTCACAATGGCGATTAAGAAGTTCTAATGTATGTGTTTGATGACGGCAATAATAGCATTCATATGGTTTAAAGGAGCAATGTGACGTCAACCAGTGTCGGAAATGGGATAAAGGCGTTGTTGTTGAGTAGGTACATTGGTTACATTTAAAATGTCGACCATTTTTTACACCTGCTGTAAAAAGGTAAATAAGATACATTTGTAGGGAGAAAAGATTAAAGTAATGTTATTTTATTCTTAATTAAACAAACTAATACTGAAGTATTGTAAATAACAAAACTTCAAGTTACTCTTTTATCACTTTCTTCTATTTATTTTTTCTGATATTGTTCCTTAAGTTTTTTAAAAATAACAAGATTAGGTTGCCCTGAACCTTGAGTATAAGAAGTAGGCTGATTTTTATATGTACTCATTAAATAGCTTTTATATAGGTGTAGCTGTTAATTTGACGGTTCTTTTTTTTCTTTTAATACATATTATTTTAGAAATTAAAGAGAAATCGAAATGTTCTGATAATTATTTAAAACTTTAGAAAATGGACCTAAAATTGAAACTTTACTATTGCTTATTGTTGTTTAGTATTTATTTAATAGTGGGTAAGGTTTTCTCTTAATGACCTTGATTTATTTTTGCTTATTCTTTCTTTTTTTTTTTAAATATCCATGTCTGATAGCTATCTACGATTTGCTCTGACAAAAGTTAGGTTTTAAGTAGGACAATTGTATACTATTTTGTAATTCTAAATTTGTTTAAAAAGAAATTGTGTAACACTAACCTTGGGGTGCTCTGGAATGTACTTCGTCAATTTTGACGGCTGGAGGGAGACCTTCAGTGGGTATTATCACCGGCGTTAAGGGATTAGAACCTGGATAGGGAGCAGGAGGATCTTGGTACGGATCAAGAGGTCTAGCAATAAATCCACTTCTTCCGTTTTGTATCTTGGGAACAACAGTTTGCGGAACAACTCCTGGTCGGTTAGGTGGGAAAGCAGTAATTGAAGTGGTTTTGGGACCAATTGGCGGCGGTTGTAATGTTTGGAAGTTTTGAGGTGGAGGTTTGGTAGGTGTCAATATGTCTAGTAGGTTCGTTTTAGAATTAATATTCGATGGTTGTTTTCCTTTAACTACCCTCCAACCTCCAGTTCCGTTGCATTTAGTTTCTTCTACGTTTTTCTTTCCAAAAAGATGGTGCCTGACATTTGTCATTGTTAGTGCTAATTCGTTGCTATTCGCCTCCCTTTCGAGGCTTTTTTGGACAAACATTGCTCCTGAAACAGTTCCATCTTTCTGAAGGTTTAGTTTTGTTAAATCGTTTAATTTGTTTAAAGCAGCCTTAGTCTCTGTCGTGTCGGAGCGACTTGGAAAGGGAAATATATCCGGTGGAGCAACAGGAAAAGGCATTTTTGGTAGACCTGCAGGTCCCGTAGGAAATCTAATTCGTTTCGGGATTTCTTTCGTTAACTTTGGTATCTTTGATGGCTTATTGGATTCTCTTGCTTCTTTTTTACGTTTTCCTTTCGGAATATATGAAGGATCTGCATCATTTGTATTAGACATTTGCCAGGAAGACTCCTGGTCCTGAGCAGAAGAAAGAAATGGATCGTGGTCCTGATAATCTGGACTCTTCAAGAAGAATCTATCGTCTTGAGTTGAGTCCATAACAGCAGATAGGGGGGCAGATGAGATCAAGCTAGCATCTGAACTTTCAAATTCATCGTTAGGAATTGTTTGTTCGCGCTCCATAGGAATGTCAGAATCATTTATCTCCTCAATATCTACAGAATTTGCAACTTCACATTCATACACATCACTGTTGGATCCTACACGAATAATAACGTTTCCTTCGGTTATGTAATCACCAGCTGGAGGTTCTATTATTTCTCCACACTCATTAACGAATAGCAGTTTATTGTCGTCTCTTTGCTCTTCTTCTTGAACAACCTCTCCAAATTGATCCTCAGTATCATCTTGTTCACCATAGACATGGCAGATATCACCCATTTGACTTGTATCTGTTGGTATGTCATCTGCTATTATACCTGATACTTCTTCGTCTATTATCTCCTCGTGTTGAATTTGCTCATCCGGTTCGTCTGGTTCCAAACCCGCTGTATTTGGTTCTTCGCAATTAATTATATTTTCCTTATTAGGCACATCCTCGAGGGTTTCATATACAGGTGGAACTTCGAATTTTTCTTCAGTATCCAAGTTTAAGCTTGGACCCGAATCACTAATAGCCTTGTTTTCCTCCTCCGAATAGGCGCCATCTGTTGCAGAAGTTTCGTGAATCGCGCCACTTCCACACTGGAAGTCGGCTGACATGCTGTATTTAAGTTAGATACGATTAGTTAGACTCAAGGAAACAAACATGTATCAAAGCTATAGCGATAATTAAGGTGTTCAAGACCAAAATGGCTGCCCCACCCCCATTTACCCATAGTTAACTATGAAATCTTTAATTATTTTCCTTACGCGCAATTGAAATGCTATTAAAAATTTTATTACAATCAAAATTCATGTTTTGATTGTCAATAACGAAAGCTAAACGGAAAATACACACGAAATAAACATCAATTGACGATGCCTGATTGGAAGTTTAAGTAGGCAGCAAAATCCAATTGATAAAACATTGTCTCATGATTAACTAAGCATAAACATGACGTAAGAACTTTAAAGTTTATAAAAGCTTACGTTTTAAAACTTTTATGAATCTCCAAACGCGAAAAAATGCGAATTATGCATCGAATTTCGACTGGGAAAGCAGGACAGGAAACACAAATATGGCTTAGCTTGGCATTTAATTAACACTTCCGGTTTTTCTAAACAACCAATTTCAAAAACTATTAATATAATATTATTTATAATTTTTTAATATGAAGATTGTTTTATTACAAAATACGATTATTTGGTTGGTTTAGACTGGTCCTACACAAAGCATATACAAACACCTGGAGCAGTAAACAAAAATCGACCGGTTAATGGAAATCTACCGCTTTTTTCTAACCAGTCTTTATATTTTGTCGTCTGCTAATGCACACACGAAAAGATTATTGATAACAAATCAGTCTTTCAGTATTCAAGTGAATTGACAACAAGTTTTTATTAGATAGAGTAAGAAATAATACTAATTTAAAACCTTATCTCTATTTTAGAAAGAATCCACTTTCCTAGTTTGCGATAAGTTTGCGCTAACGTAAATAATAGCTTTTGAAATAACAGCTGTCTTTAGGAATATTATTAAGTTGTGATACTAAGTTACATTTTTTATATAACTTTAGATAAAAGTGAATTATAATACAATCTGCATTAATCCGAATAAAAGAAATCATTCTAGGTTTCCTCTCTTGTCTTGTTTAACGATAGCATTTAGTCATGAAACGAAGATTGTCATACAGCAAATGACAATTGTGTTAAGTATAAAAAAGTTCATTGTGTTCAAGGAGACAGCTAAGGTTGAATTTATAAATGTTTATCTTTTCTAAATAGGATTCAATGCTATTACCGACTTTGGAGGTCAATGTTTGAGCTGATTATCATTAATCACTCACAGTCTTGATCCTCATTGTTTAATCAAAACACTTGCTATGCCCATTAGTGTGAGTGAGTATTAGCTTGCTAAAAGTTAATTAGAAACTCAATCTCAATTATTGTTGCTAAGGTAAAATCTAGTTTAAAATAACAAGTAATCATAAAGTCTCTCTCTCTCCACAAAATATTTTGGAATTTATATATTTTTGATAAATTATAGATAAAGTAGAATATTATCTAGAATTCCAAACATATGCTAATTGCTATCTTTGTGCTTTTCTTATCAGTAGAAGTTATAATCTTTGATTAAAATATTAAACAGAATGAAGCAGACGACAAAAATGATAGATTGGACCAATGAATGTTTGGAAGAATTCACCGGTAAACTTTTTCGAACATTATCCTATAAATTTTTCAAAACAATACAAATCTATTATCGATTGATCATATATAAATTTTAAAATAACACAAACTATATCCTAAAATTAATCATTAAAAAAAAACGAAAAATAATTATTCGACCTTGACCTGCGCGCGCAGCCTTGATCAGCGAAATCAAATATCGATAAAAATCGACGTTTTTTACGACTTTGGGAGACATATGAAGAAAATCCCGTTTAGGGTCGGATATAAAGACGTTCATTTTTCAAAACAATTTCAAAAACCAAGAGAACTGCTTGAAAAAAATGATTAAACGTAAAAAGCGTTAACAGCTGTATTGTCCAGTTAATAAAGGCGACGCTTTGACATTGAAATCTAGGAATTCAAATTTTAAGACTGATTGTTGTTAATTGTGTGATTAGCTGATAAAACATGGAGCCTGTTATGCCTGGAAAGCGACAAACTGGAGACGGCGTCGAAAAGTTTGAAGGATACCAATTGCCAACAGATGGCAGTAACGGGGACGAATACTTTACAGCAACCTTCACATCAAATGCGGTAAATAATGCGAATGGTTTTGCAGATTTCGGACATGGACCAAACTTTTCACCGGTTTGACATGCCATGACGATCGTAAAGATCAATTATCTACCGTACTTTTTCTATTTTTTAGCGAAAACCTTTACCGAACATGGACGGTCTTTCTGAACAATTCGCTTCAATGGGAACGAGACCTCGCATGCATTCGCCCATGTTCAAGGTTTAATATTTGGTTTTAAATTTCTAATAATAGATGGTCGGGAAATCGGTCAAACTAACTATATGATATACTGTCAGCCAAGTATTAATTTAAGCGCCATCTTAAGTTTGTAGCATCTGATAATATAGGCTACTTCGAGACAGACTATTCCGTCATAACAATAATTTTACATAACTGCCAAAGGCAATAATGAACAAATTTTACAGAGAAGTGCTGAAACGATCGCGGACTTTAGATCCAGTCATGGGCAATATCCGGTTTCTAGTGGACCAGCCGTATTATCTACTGTGCCTCTCTCTAGGCCTCCACCTTCGATCCATGTACCGCAACGTGAGTAATAGTTTTCCTTTTGTATCCTTAACGATTAGATAGAAAATTATTAAATCAGTTATTGAAATAAAAAAGAGGTAAAGAATAATTTAGTTGTTGGAGGTCGCCAGGATCAATAGTAAATGTTGTTTTTTCTGAATATTCCTGTACATAGTTGTCAATTAATAGTAGGCTATATTAAACATAAAATGGAACAGAATGATAATTAGTATTCTTTGCAATTTAAAAGTTAATTATTATTAACTTATTCGTTATTTATATTATTAATTTTTTAAAGATGTTGCAAAATTTTGACAGAGTCTCAAAAATGTAATTAGTACAATTGATATCTGAATTACAAATGGCTGCACATTCCAATTTACTTCTACTTTTTTGTTTAATAAGGGGCTCCGGATGGAGTCCTGAAGTGGAAACAATTTGGTATAGTGTAGAGAGTTCAGCTGCAAAAGTTAATTTTTGCTGTTAATAGGCAATACAACGAAGATATATAGGGGTTAATTTATGAACTCTAAATATGCAAATCTAATAAAACTTCTTTTGAATTAAGTAAAATTCCTATATATTAGTCTTCTATTACTTACGTTAATTAATATGTACAGTTATTACCTTTGCAAGTTTCAATTCTACACTTTTTGACTGCATCGCCATTTCCATAACAATTTTGTCCACTAATTGAACTAATGGTACAGATATTTGGTTTGCTTAATTGACATTTTGACGTGCAAACTCCCCAAGTACTATATTTTCTTACTGCAATAATAGAAAACATCGTTTATTAATTTCTATAAAGAAATGTTAAGGGGATAAATTTTAAAGGTCGTGATTTCCGAAAATAATTTTTGCTCTCTACTAATTTTTTCGATATCAATGAATAAAATAGGGAAGAGAGAATTGTTAAGAAAGATTTCAGATCTGTTAGAAGTGCATCTGGTACAAATGCATTTTTCATCACTTTTTTTAGCTTGTCTACTTTATCTTTTATACTTTTCTGATTAAATAATTAAACTGACATGAGCAGCTAATTTTCTGACAATTTTGCCTCTTAACATCAATGCCATTACAATTTAATCCGCCATTAGCAGGTTTTGGATTGTTACATTGTCTAGTTCTAGTTTTTTTTCCTGCTCCGCAATACGAATCGCAAGAACTCCATTCAGACCAAACGGACCATTTACCATTTACTGTATTGAAATAATAATTATAGTTCGTTCTATTAGTTTCTTTCATTGAAAAATTTAGAAATATAAAATGTTCCGCGTACAAAAGCCCTTTTGAAAATATTTTAACAATACTAGACATGATGAAAAAATATGACAAATTTTTATACCTGGACAAGCATATGTATTGCAAGATTCTTCTTGCGTAGATCCTTTACCAATTCCTAGACAAGGTTTAGTTCTTTGGCGCGTTCCACATGGTCCTGAGCAGCTTGACCAACTTCCCCAATTACCAAAGCCAAGAAAGCAGTCTGGCTCTGATACGATGATGATACACATTAATTCTTACTCAATTTAATTTCTTTTTATTCTATTAAGTCGGGGGCTTGAGCTTAATTAATATTTTTCCTAATTACCTACCAAATACGTTTATAAATCCATTGCACACATGAAGAAAAACGTAAAGATATAATATTCGCCAAATCATGCCGGCGACTCTATTATTATGAGTGAAATGTACAAGCACGTTAATCTTCAATATACTTTTACAATTACGAAACGATCGATAGTTTCTTAGTTTTATGTCAATTTATCATTTTTCTCGTACATTGTGCATTGTTAAATTCAACAAAATTCAAACAGTTCTTGTTATTTAACACCCCCAACATTTCGATTGAATATAGTGCCGCTATTTATGGATATACCCTTAAACGGCTAATAAATACTGTCTATACATAAATGATAATACATACAGTAATGACTATAGAATTATTTCAAATCTTTATCGTAAATTTTTATCTTTAATTACTAGGATAATTGTTGTAAATTTCTTCAATACATAACATTATTTTTAGAAAATCGTTGACAATTTGTTAGAAAGCAGCTAAAAAATATTTAAAGTATACTTTTTTTTACTAAAAATTGAAGCATATAAACAAGGCTAATGATTATAGAAAATATTTCATAAAAATTAAAAACTTTCCGCTAATATTACCCTTTTTGTCTTTCTTCGCTTGATGATCAATTACAATGATTTATTATATTAAGTTTTCCAGTAATGGTAAAATTGCAAAATACTTCGTTTTGTAAAGACTGAGAGCAAAGCAAACATTATAACTAAGAGTTGTTTGTAGTTCAACGTTTACCTTTTTAAGATATTTTATATAAAGCAGCTCATTGGTGATGCTTAAATCCCGCACTAGTACATATATACGTATAAGCGCATATTTTTAGCTATCTATCATATCTATTTTTAGAACATCATTTCTATGCGTTATCTTGTCGTAGTTAGCTTTGTAATACGCACTTTTATTCTAACAGTCGTACAACTAACTTTAAACAAATTATCTTCAAAAATTGTGAAGTTTCTTTACTTTTTGTTTTTTATCTTGGCTTCACCAGTTTATTATATGAAAGATTTTGAAAAATTGAAATAAGGATGTATTACATGCCTTATATTATTTCATTAGAACCGGTACCGTTGATGAGAGAGAGTCCAAGACACAGTCCTTCTCCAATGGACGGAAACCATGGTATACGAACTTTAAGTTCACCAGTTTCTGTTGGCTCATCCCAACACTCAACTCCAGCTAAATCAACTCAGAGGCTGCAGGTTAGTCAGATTATTTTCTTTGTTGAATTTTTATGTTTGTTTTTTGATATGGTGATGTTACATTTCTTTAATCGAATTAACTTTTCCTTATAAGGTATTAAGGTTAAAACTGTAATAATTGTTTGTTCATTTTTATAACAGCAAGAAAATGTTGGAGGTACGACTTATTATAATTATTACCCTGATATGGATCATCACCAGCAGCAAACTCAGCAGCAAAATCACCAGCAGCAACCGGGCATTGTAAATATTATTAAAATACTTTTTACCTTGAAAAATTTTATTTTGTTTTTGTTTTTTTTCGTTTTCCTTTATCAGATTATACCAAACTATACAGCGCATCCTGGCCCGTTACCGCATGTAGCCCATATGAAAGAGAGACTTGGCAATCAATCTGGATTTTTTGTTCCCGATGAACTTAAATCGGAGATTCTTCGAAAGCAAGCTCTTACATTGCTAACAATTGATCCGGAGCAACATACAGATATTCCTCGAGATGTCGACAATTTTACTCAAATTTATCCTTTAGAACCTCCACAAACAAATACGAATAAGACATCAACTTTGTTTGGCTATACGACATCTGTTTATAAAGGTGTAAATACTAAAGATAGTTACACTTATTGCCTTAGGAGAGTTCATGGTTGGTATTTGCTAATAATTAAAGTTATTGTTTTTGAAATATTTCATTCATTAGGTTTTCGATTAACTCAACCAAAATCAATTGCTCTGGTTGATGCCTGGAAGGCCATAGAACATTCGAATATTGTGACACTACGTCATGTTTTTACAACTAAGGCATTTCACGATCATTGTAAGTTTCCCTTATTGTATTTTCATATAAATATGAAATGAGATCGTATTCTGAAATTTCATTTATCTACTTTTGCATGTATTTACTAAATGATAAATAAAGAAAAAAAAATTTAGATATTAATTAAGTTTGCGAGAACTAATCAGATTATATCAGTTTAATATTATTCAAAGATAATAATTTATAAATATTTTCTTTATAGCTATAGTCTTTGCTTATGATTATCATCCGGGTTCTGAAACAATTATGGGCAAACACTTGTCCAAAGGACCGAATCTGGCTGATGGGGGTCGACAGCCAGTTTTACTTCCTGAAAATATTTTATGGTCTTACGTTGTTCAATTATCGTCCGCTCTAAGATTGATGCATTCTAATGGGTTAGCTTGTAGAGTGGTTGATCCGTCCAAGATTATCATCACAGATAAATCCAGGTGAATAATTATAAGATATAAATATAAAAGTTACCACTACTTTTAATTATTATAAATTTCTGAAAATTGTAGGATTCGGTTCAATTGCGTTGGTATGATGGATGTCCTAACATTTGATGCAAACCAAGGAGCCAATCCAGCTGCAGTAACATCCCATTATCAGGTAAGATGATTATATAGCTATTTGGTATTGAGTTTAGTAGTTTTGTTATACGTTTTTTTTTGTTATTTCTCTTCCTACTTTCTTATTAAAGTTTAATTAAAGATATAAGAATCTTTTACTTAGTTTAAAATATAAAGTCAATAAAAATATGTTTTTAATAACCTTGGAAAAACTGCTTCAAGAGATTTGTAAGACTAAAAAGGGATGAGCAGAATAATTAATCATAAGTGACCTTAAACTGTCAAAATAGACAACAATGATATTTATTTGTCTTAAAATTTTGTCTTTGAATACGTAATATAATATTTATATATATACTGTATATATACTGTATATTTATTGTATATATAATAATTTTCATTAGGACAACATTCTATCTCTTATTTTATAAACGTTAAGAAAATTCCTATTTTTGCTTGTAGTCTATATTTGTAGTTCATGCACTATATATTGTTGTCAGAGCGGTTCACCTGCACGCACTGATGTCAGACATTCGGACCAAAGGATCAGACATTATCAGGTTTTTAGCAAGACCTTTTTTATAGTCTTGAAACGTATATTTTTCAAAAAAATTTCAATCTTCTGTTTCGAGTGTTTTATTATTTATTTCACATTAATTATTGTTTTTAATTAAACTGCCATCAATTATCTATTGGTCGAGCTCTTTTCAATCTTTTCTATATACTGAATTTTAAAGAAATAGCTGCTCCTGTAATATGAATAGTACTAATTTTTATAAAGCTGCTACTAAATTAATAGTACTATATACAGTACACTATATCGCCTATATATGCATTTATATACATATATAGTATACAGATATTGTTTCTTTTTGAATTTATACATCTAATTAATACTATCTGATATTTAATAATTTTGTTTCTTTCCTTTTCTCCCTTCTTTCATCTCTTCCGTTATAGCAAGAGGACTTAACCTATCTGGGAAAGGTTATTTTGGCTTTGGCATGTAATTCAGTTGCTGGAATACAACGCGATCGAGTATCAGCTTCTATCGAATTGGTGTCAAGAAATTATTCAACGGATCTACGGAATGTTATCGTTTACTTGCTTAGTCCATCGAGGGGATCTCCAAGATCTATAAATGATATAATGCCTATGATTGGAGCCAGATTCTACACTCAGTTAGATGCTGCTCAATTGCGTGGAGATGTTTTAGAAAATGAACTATCCAAGGTATATTGAATCTTTTAACGTAATACAAGCTGCTAGTATTAATATAAATTAGAAATATACCAACTTCTTTGCGATAATGTGCCCAGATATGAAATTGAATTAGTTCCATTATACAATGAGTCAAAGAAATCTTTACTTATGACAGGAAATTGAGAATGGTCGTCTTTTCCGACTCATAGCCAAGCTAGGGTTAACGAATGAACGAGGAGAGCATCAAATGGATCCAGCTTGGTCAGAAACAGGAGATCGCTATATGTTGAAACTATTTAGGGACTATCTGTTCCATCAAGTGGATTCAAATGGTGTACCGTGGGTGGATTTGGCTCATATCGTCAATTGCTTGAATAAATTGGATGCGGGTTCAAGCGAAAGAATTTGTCTGAGTTCGCGTGATGAACAAAGCGTACTACTTGTTACCTATGCGGAATTGAAACAATGTTTTGAAACAGTTATAAATGAATTATTAACACCGCCTAGTAGTTTAAACTACTAAGTCAATAGAATTTTACCGATCTGTAAGAATAATATGGTGATGAAACAGCTTTATTTTTTTTAAATTGTATAATTTCTTATAGAATATTATGTTAAAAAAAAAAACCGCAATATTTTTATTCTCGTTTTTTTTTCTGTTGATATAAAAAAAAAATCTAATGAAGTTTTTCTTTATTAAGCCAAAAAATATGTGCATTTTTTTAAAACTATATAATTGTTTCATAAACCATAGTAATTCTTCCACGATATTAACATCTGTATATATATGTATATATATATATATATATATACATAAAATATGAATTTATGGATATATAGATATAAATATATACCCATGCTTTTATAAAATCACATATATATATATATATATATATATATATATATATATATATATATATAAACATATACACTTAAATTTACATTTAAAAAGACATACTAATATTAAAGCAAATGCGGCCCAGTTTTACATAACGTTACGAGATTTTTTATTGTTATTATTTATTTTTTTCATGCTCGTTGATCGTTTTCAAGAATCCCTGTGCAGTTTTTCGTATATGCAAATGAGCCGATAAAAAATTTTCTAATGCTTGAGTGAATTGTTTTTAAATGTGATCTCGTTTAAAACTCTTAAAATTTTTTTTTCCTTTTTTTTTTCAAAAGCTTGTTTTTAACTTTTTTTTTTTAAAGCAAAAGAAAAGAAAAGAGAAAAGAAATAAAAAAGTTATACAAAACGAAAATAAGCGCGAGTTAAGATATTTCATGAATTAATGAGAGTTCTTTTGTTCTGATATTTTGAGTATGTGTGTACGTTACGTGTGAAGACTTTTTTCTTTTCTTTTGTTTTTTTTTCGCAATTTTTTTTTATTTGTTTGAACATTTATTCGACTCGTTTTGCGTTATCGAATCCGCGCACAGCAGCAAAAGTAAATTCTATTAAGTTTTTAACAAATTCATTATTATACTTATGTTACAAAATAGGATGCGTGCAAAGCAAAAAAAAAAACAAACACTTCTAAATATACATTGTTCTATGTTTCTAAGTAAATGTTGAATTAAAATACTATACTGCACGTATACTAACCTTTATGTAATTTAGTAAATTTATATATCTATATACAAGAATATATTGCGTTTTATATGTTATAACGTATATATGAATATAAATTGCTGTCACTATGTTATATTGGTTCTTTTTTTTGCTATTCGTTTTATTTCTTTAATTTGTTGATTGTTATACATGGAGAGAAACGTGTCGTATAAAGTATATAATTTGTGAGATAAGAAACGAAAAAAATATAAAATTATCCGGATGGACGTGGATGGTGGGGAAAAAGGAAAAGGTATTGGATTATCAATAATTTCTTTTTTTGTTTATATTATATTTAAAAGAAAATGAGATTTATCGCCCTAAATCTTTTAAGTTTAGTTTTCAAAAATTATCCAATACCTTTCTAACCTGATACGTTAAAAAAGCTGGATTGAAAATACATAGATAAAAATGAATAAAATTTCTTGCAAAATACAAAATTATTCTTCTTTTATTGGAATAAAAGCTTAAAAAAATAGGATTAATTAATGATTAAAAGAGAAACAGGTAGACAATTTTACAATGCTAGTAACAGATTGTAAAAATTATACAAGAGTACCGTAGTGTATATGGTGGATTCTCTTTTTTTTATTATTTCAGAGTTCAATTGATAAAGAAATTGCTTTATTAATAGATCTATAGTACTAGAAATGTTTAATTCATATAGTCTATAGATATGTATACATATACAATACATACAGTATAAATAGTAACTATATATTTACATTCATTTAGTTTATTACATAAAGTCTTTTATTTTCTCTATTCATTTAAAAAGTATATAACAAACTGATAATCTTTCAATTCTAGCCTACTTTACAATAGATTATCTACAACTTAATAAAATATGAAATTTTTATCAATATATGGGGCTATATAAATTCATAAAAAGTTAATTTTTCAAATATATCCAAGTTCAACTTTTAACGTGCCAGATGAAGTTAATCACTTTTTTTGCTCTATCTCTACAGATATTACTAATAGGTTGCTTTCTTATTATTTACCAATTAGCTAGATCGATACTATGTGGATAATATTATATATTTCTAGTAGTAACTGACGGTAAAGACCCTAAAGATAGTAAAGATTGTCAGGAAGAAAATTTTATCTGGGATTGTATTACTTTACAAGAAAAATTTCAAGGTAACAGGAATAATGTAGAAGAATCCTGCCAACTTCTTTTAGAAGTTTCAACCTGTGTTGATAATAGCTATGAAAGATGTAAAGTAAGGAAACCCCTTAATTTTATAAAAGAAATTGACAAAATATGCTCCGCGGATTGTATTAAATCAAGAAGGAAATGTGATGATGTTAAAAGTAATAAAGAATATAACCAATGCACAAAAGAAGCCTTAGGAAAGTGCCATGGAAATTATAGAGTGTTTAAAACTTTCTCACCGTTTGGTTGGTATTAGTTTAAATATAAAAATATCATTTTTCAGATATGTATATTATTAACCGTAGGTAGGAGAAAGGGATTGAATATTGATGAGGAGGACAAAGATGATGACGATAAATGCGATGATCTTGTTAGTAATTGTAAAACGCAGAAATACGATGATAAGAAAAGTTTATCACATAATGTTAAGGCTGACTGTTCCAAATTAGACAAGCTTGTGTCTTGTTTAGAAGAATCGATGAAATCGCCAAAATGCAAAAATTCTCATCAAAAATTTTACGTTAAATCTATGAAATCAATGAAATTATCCATTTGTTCCGATCCCTGTCAGAAGACTAGGCGAAGGTGTGAATCTTTACAAAATGTCTGCCATTGGTGGGATTGTACAAATGATGCCTTAGAAGAATGTAAAGGTCGAAATAAGCGTTTTACATTTCATATAAAAGCTATATTAGGGGAATTATGCGAGACGAGTAAGACATATTTCTTTTTTAAAATTTAAATACTAAATACTAATATATATCTAAATATATAACTATGTATACAGGAGATGAAAATCATAATAAGCAAAAGAAACCAAGTGACAATGACGAACTTTAGAGAACACTTTAAAAGTAGTAGTAGTAGTTGAAGAAGAAAAAGAAGAAGAAGAAGTAGATAATATCTTCACATATTTCTATCTAATCATTTTTAATTAGAATTTGCAAATATAACCTTTTATTTGTATTGACAATTAAAAAATACCTTCAATTTACATTCAATTAACAAATATACCTAAAGTAAATTGATTGTAGGCAAAAAATCTATCGACTTTATATGGAGGAGGGAAAAAGCAAAAAAGCAATAGGAACGCCCTCTATCATATATCACACTTAAAAACAAAACTTTAAATTTATTTTAATATTAAAAAAAAAACCTACGGCTTGTTTTTTATTGAATAATCCGACAAAAGAAATCTTTACCTTAGTCATAAAGGATCTATTGGCATTTATTAAAAATATGCGTATTATGTTGGATTAACTAATAATAATATTCAGCCAACCTCTCCTTTTAGTTTCCATCACATAAGGTATTTATAAAGATTTGTTAAACGTTTATTTCTCTGTCTACGCTCTTTAGTACCAATAATATATATATATATATATATTAGTATGTATATATATATATATATATATGTAGTATTGTAATTTCTATTGTTTACATATATATATGTATATAAACTATTTATCTCTTGTCTTCTTCTCTCAATATTCTTTTTTATTATATTTTCTCTCATCTGTCGACCTATCCTCTATTCTTTTAGCCATTTCGATTCAAGCTATTCATTAGTAAAGGTTTGTGCATAGTTTTCTCCCCTTTCACTTTTTCTTCTAATATAGTTGCTACTATTCACTTGGGATTATTATTATTTCCTATTTTTTAGTAATTGACAGGTTAAAGCCTATAGAATAAAGGTTTTTAGATATAATAATATATATACAGTATATATACCGTTTATATATATATATGTTAGTATATATACGTGTGTGCGTGAAGTAATAAACTTGTAAGAAATAAAAAATCCTACAAGTTTAAACATGTAAAAAAAATTTTTTCTCCTTATTTTAATGCATTTAAATGTTTTTATTTAATTAATACAAGACTATTTAAATAGTTTATTTATTTAAATTATGTCTATATATTTATTTAATAGAAATATGTATAGGTATTGATGAATATCTCTATATCTTATTTAGATGTTATAATCGTTTCGTTGTAATTTTTTTTGGCAGGTAAAAACAAAGTTATACAATGGATAATTTCATTGATTTATCAGGATTTGGCAGAAAGAATGCTGTTATAAACATCTATAAAGATAAGTTCAGGGAAGTTTTAAGCGATGAAGACGTTTTAAAATTCGTACTTGAGTTAAAGGAGAGGAAATTTTTAACGGAGAGTTTTATTGAAGAAATTCAAAGAAATGTCGATACGTCAACATTTCTCAATTTACATTGCTTTAATGTACTCTTTCAAAAACTTCTATATTTGGAAACTCTAGAAGTTACGGATTCTTTATCGTCGATAAGAAATTTTGAATATAAAAACTTGGCCAATCTAATCAACGGAACTTGGCTAAACGCCGCCGAAGCTATTACTGAAAATGCCAAAAAGAAGTTTTCAATTGTATCAACTTCGCTATTCGAAAAAGACACTCAATCGATAGAGGATTTATCCATTCCTATGACAATTATTGGATTAAAGACTGTTGGCAATCAACAGGAAATTATTGATGGTTTTGATGATAGTAATTACATAGTATCTGTCTTAAAGGATGATTATAAAAGAATTCTTATACAAGGCCCGCCGGGAATGGGCAAAACAATACACGCTTATAGCTTAATTATGCTGTGGGTTCGTCGTGCGTATCATATGATTAGAATTGAAATGATTCTTCACCTATCATTAGACAAAATTACCAAAAAACAAAGTTTAATGGACGCTATTTGGGAGCAAAATTTTTCACAAGTTCCCTGGCTAACTAAAGAAATAATGATACATTTATTAAATGAAAAAGCGTCTAATACGAGAGCGTCTAGAAATATTATTTTATTTTTAGATAGCGCTGATCAATTTCAGTTAGTCGATAATGAGATTTACGATTTAATTGAAGGGAAGGATTTTCCATTTCCAATAGTTGTTTGGTCTAGAGAATGGAGAGCCGTACAAATAAGAGACAATTTCGATGCAGTTTTCCAATTAAACGGCTTTCACGATAGCCAATTAGAAAATTATTTAAATCTTCAGCTGGAAGAAAACAGAGGAGCCGAAATTATTGAATATATACAACTAAAAAAGATCGATCCATCATTTTATTCAACTCCGTTGTTTGGATTTTTAATTAGCAAAATATGGAAGGAAAAGGAAGGAACACTACCGGAAAATAAATTCTCAATTTACGAGCAGTTTATTCAAATCATATGCAAAAAGAATAGAGTCGATACAACTTCAAATGAATTTAAATCCGTTTTCAAATACTTCTCAAAGATTTCTTTCGATACAATCAATAAAGACAGAATTATACTAAGTGACGCCTTCCAAAGTAAAGATGGAATGATGCTTGAAAAAGGAAATGATTACTTTAACGGCCTTTTATATATAATTAACAATAATTTACAATTGCCAACCGCAACATGCGAGATAAAATTTATTCATTCATCCATTCAAGCATTCTTTGCGTCTAATTACGTTATTAAACGCCTTAACTCGTTTACAAATCAACAAAATTTTACAAACTATTTGCAAACGTTATTTAATAATGAAAAGGAATTTATTGGAAATTATTTAAACGTTATGGACTTTGTCAAATATAAAGATGAAAGAGCCTATAATCGAATCATTACAGATGTGGGTCAATTAATAGGATCAAAGGATTTAATAGTTAAAAGAAAAGGATTGAGCGCTTTAAAATTGAATAAGAAAAAAATTTCAAATCGATTATTGATTACTATTATAAAACAACGGTGGAAATCGATTGAAGAATTATCGTTTAAACACGTTCAATTCGATTGGAATTGTTTTACAAATTTATCATTGAATATGCTTTATTTTAATCTAAAATCATTCGAAATGGAAGGATGCATTGAAAATAGCGAAAATAAACATCAATTAAGTGGAATTATCAAGAAATTTAACAAATTAAGAATTATTAAAGTCTATAATAACATTGTTGAATACGATACTATTCAAATTTACCTTCAATTAGTATTTTACCTATGTAAATTTATTAATAATTTAAAAGGTATATTACTAACTAACGATTTCCAAAAGAGCTCTCGTCTTATCAACTTTATTCGTATGGTATCCGACAAACAATTCAATTCTATCGATAAAAATGAACATTTAATAACTTTACAACAATTAATTGGACAGTTAGAATTTCTATTGAAAAGTAATGATAAAAATATTGAAATTAACAGGAAATCAGTAGAAATTATGAAGAATATTAGAAATAATCAGCTCTGCAAGAATAACGATTTGGATTTTTTCCTACGAAACAATTATATGCAAAAACTTCTATTAGAACAGAATATTTCGATAGCCAATTATGGTTATTATTACAAATTATGCAAATTGAAATTATGCAAATTAGATAGCGACGGAGTTGTTAACTTTTCAAAATCTTTGGATAACTTTAAAACTTTGCAAATATTTCAATTTTCGAACAATTTCGTTGGTGATATTGCAGCTAAAATCCTATTTAAGATATTATCCAACTTTCAAGATGATTTAACCGAATTGAACATTCAAAATACATATTTTACTATAGAATCTATTCAGGAATTATTGGCTGTTATTGAAAAGCAAAGACATTTGTCAGCTTTAAACATATCGGATAATTGGATTAGTGACAATGGAGCAATAAAAATATTTAATACCTTATCTAAATGTTCATCGGCATTAACAAGTTTTAACGTAAGCAATTGTGGTTTTGGTATTCCTGGAGCAAAGAAATTGGCCGAGTCATTTAGACTATTTTCTAATAGCTTAAAAATTCTAAACATTTCCGGTAACAGTATTAAGGACGACGGTGCAGTCGCTGTATTTAAATCTCTGAAACAATGCAAACATTTAGAGGAACTTTATATAGAAAACTGTGATTTTGGTATTATTGGCTTAGAGAGTCTTGCAAAGCTCATTGGTGATTCGTCGAATTTAAGAATAGTTAACAAGTTAGATGAATTAACCAAATTTAATGGAAATACTCAATTAAATGATTTTTCTTCCTTAATTAATTACATCACTGAAAATATGAGCATGTGGACTGATATAAACTATCCTATAACTTTGGAAAAAATTCCATTCTTGGGCAAAGCTTGTAAACTTCTAGGAGATCAAACAGCTATAACTTTTAAGGATGATTTATCCGAAGATCAATGGAGTGCCGTAATTATTGCTTTGAAAAATTTTGCTCATATTATTACTACTCTTAAAATATCAACAAATCTACCAAGAGGAAGAAAGATAGGAGAAGTGTTCCTTCATTTATCAAATTTATCACTTCTTGACATAGGGAATATAAAGATTAAAGACGAAGGAGCAATGAACTTATTTAGATCGGTGTCAAAAATTAATAAAAATCTTACTGAAATATACGCCTACAATTGTGGATTTAGTGTGGAAGGTACAAATGCCCTATCGAAGGCTATATCAAACTTACCGCAGTTGGAAATATTAAGCATCTATGGAAATCCGATTACAGATTTAGGAGCGAAATCTCTTTTTGAAGTTATAGGAGAGTTTAATGAGAAATTAATATCTTTGGACATCAATAAATGCCAAATAACGGAAAAAGGAGCTTTAAAGATTGCTGATGCTCTAAGTAAACTTAAGGTTTTAAAAAACTTTATTTGCAATGATAATCCAATACAAGACGAAGGTTTAATTGCAATTTCGGATGCTCTATCAATAGGAAGTGGTACTGTAGAAATCATAGGATTAAAAAACTGTGGTTTCGGTTATAACAGCGTTACAAAACTAGCAAATGGTTTGAAAAACTTGACAAATTTACGAATTTTATTTATCAATTTCAATGGAATAGGAGAAAATGGTATAAAATGTTTACAGACTGTCATTTCCGAATCAAAATCTCTAAAAGCATTATACATTGGTAATACCGGATTGAATACTAATGGAGCTGAGTGTTTATCATCCTCTTTTGAACATTTATCAAATTTAACTGAATTGTCTCTTCCCAATAACACGAGCAAAGATCAAGGATCAATCGCTCTATTCAGAGCTATATCAAAGTTTAATCATAATCTCGTCAAATTGGACGTAAAAAATAGCCTCTTTGGTCCACCTGGTGCTCTTGAGTTGTCAGAAACGCTTCAATACCTTGAAAAATTACAAACACTTGTTTTAGAAGGTAATAATATCAAAGAAGATGGAGCTGTAAGCATTTTTAGAGCTTTAGCATCTTCAAATGCAAATTTAAACGAACTATTAATAGGTAATTGTGGCTTTGGTCTTATTGGAGCAGCTGAACTATCATTGGCTCTACGGAAAATGCCCAAATTAAAAACCCTTTCCCTATCCAATAACAATTTAACTGATAAGGGAAGTATTGAAATATTTCAAGGGATACTAAATACAAACCATAACCTGAAAGATCTGTTAATAAAGAATTGTGGTATTCGATCGAACGGAATTATAATCCTTGGGCAGACTATTAAAAAACTACCTCTTTTGGAAACTTTAGATATTCAGGATAATCATTTGGACGAAGTTGCTGCATGCTCCTTCTTTTCATCGATATCTCCTGTAAGCTATTCCATGCAAAAGTTATATATTAATAATTGTAATCTTGGACCTAAATCTGGTTTAGAATTGATAAAATCATTGGAATATTTACCTAATCTTCACAGTTTATACATTAACGATAATCCATTCAAAGATAAAGTAATTTCTAATTTCCTTACTAAAATATCTGAATTAAACGAAAAGCTAGTGGAGTTGAATGTAAGCAATTGCAATTTTAGTTCGTGTGGCAGTCAGAAAATCAGTAAAGTAATTAAGAAGCTACCCAGACTTTCCTTTTTGGATTTTGGAGGGAACTGTATACCATACCAAGTTGTAAAGTTAATATTGGATGAAATAGAAGAAACGGGTATAGATTTAGACTCTTTAAACCTAACTAATTGCCAGCTTAATAGTCACATTATAAAAAAAATAGTAAATACGCTAAAAGCTTTACCCAATCTTCATCGAATAATATTCCATAATGTCCTATTCGAGGATAACGAAGCTAATCGTTTATTTAGCATTATTTCTCAATTCAATACGAATTTACAAGAGATATCTTTAAGACATTGTAATTTAAATTCTACAAAGGCCGATGAATTGTCAAAGATGCTAATGAATTTGATTGATTTAGTAGCCATTAATTTCGATTCAAATTATTTAATGGAAGAGGTGGCGAATAAGGTTTTCTCTTCCATTTACTCGGAGAAAATTATACTCCTCTCTTTAGAAGATTGCCATCTGGAAGTTAACGAGGCAATTAAATTAGGTGATACACTTAAAAATTTTCAAAATTTGAAAAGACTTAACCTGAATAATAATAGTATCAAGGAGGAAGGAGCGAAGGCTATATTTAATACCATATCTGAAAGTAATCTAAAATTAGAAGAATTAGAGATTGGTAACTGCTCTTTTGGACTTGCTGCAGCGAAATCTTTATCTTCTACATTAAAAAATTTACCAGAATTGAGGATTTTAAACTTAAATAATAACCTCATCAAAGACGAAGGAGCCTATAAAATCTTTAAAGTCTTCTACGATTTTAATAATAAGTTATCAGAGATTAGTCTAGATGGATGTCAGTTCGGATGTTCGACAGCAATAAAATTGGCTAAAACTTTAAGAAGCCTTCCAAATTTAACAAAGCTAGTTTGCTGTAATAATCCTATTAAAGATGAAGGATTAAAGGCAGTAATTGAAAGTCTATTGGTGGCAAACAATAAATTGTCCCATTTGGATGTTTATAATTGTGCTCTTACCAAAAACGGAATTAGAAGGTTAAGTGACATTCTCCAAAAATTAAAATACTTGAGGAATCTAGTTATAGGTTCAAATAGGCTGGAAAATGATGGAATAAATATGATAAGCTACAATCTTTCAAGCGAAGCTATCTTACAGAAATTAATCTTAAATGACTCATCTTTCGGTTCTTTGGGAGCGAGACATTTGGTCTCTTCTTTAAAGTACTTTACTAATCTTTCAGAGTTGAATTTATCGGATAATCCAATTAAAGACGATGGTATTATTGCAATATTTACTAAAATTTCTCCAAAACACTTGGAAAAGCTATATTTGGAAAACTGTAATTTTGGCAAACTAGGCGCAATCGAATTATCCAAATGTCTTAGTCATTTAAAAGAATTAAAAATATTAAACATCAATCAAAATCGTATAAAAGACGAAGGAATTATTTCGATTTTCGATATTTTGGCATCGAATCATGAGAAATTACAAGAGATTTATGCTAAAGATTGCAGTTTCAGTTCAAAAGCTGCAATTGAAATCTCAAAACTATTGGAAAATTTTACAGATTTAAATCAACTTTGTTTAAGCAATAATCGGTTGGAAAATCGTGGTACAAAAGCCATTTTTAGTGCAATCTCAAAATACAATCATAAACTACGAGTAATCCAAATGAGTAATTGCAGTATCGGCATAGATGGCATTGCGGAATTTGCAGTTGCGTTACAAAATTTAACATTCCTGGAAGAAATTGATATTCAAGCTAATTTTATCTATGATGAGGGTGCACAAAAGTTTTTCTCCTCCTTTTCCAAGAAAAACACCAAATTAACTCACTTAAATGCTAATTATTGCAGTTTTACTGAAAAATCGATTAATGATTTAGCTAAATCACTAAAAGTCTTAAAAAATTTAACCTTTCTATCTCTTAATGGAAATCTAGTAAATGACGCTGGGATAGTTGAATTATTTAGTGAAATACCTAAAGACTCGGTAAATTTACGTCACGTTTTGGTTGCTAATTGTGGATATACTGCAAAGGGGGCTTTAAAATTAGCAGAAGCTGTTAGTCACCTTAAAAAATTGGAAATTTTACGCTTTGAATCAAATCCAATTAAAGAGAATGGTATAAAGACAATATTATCGAGTATTGTTGAAGGCAAAAGCAAGCTAAAAGAGTTAGTCCTATACAAACTGGAATCGGAGTGTCTAGCTATTACGGATGTGGTAAAAGTGTTAATGGTCATACCAGATTTGAAAGAGTTATACTTAAGTGATAATCGTCTTAGTCATCATCATTTGGTCTATCAAGCTATTCAGTTAGTTAATCATCGAATAGAAAAATTATATTTAGAAAATACTAATATGCAAGCGAACGATGTCCAAGATTTAGTTTACGCTTTGAAAAATCTGTCAGAATTAAAGATTCTTGTATTAAATCATAATCCAATCTTAAATTTGGGAATTAAATTATTATCGCAAACAATTATCGAATGGAATCAAAGATTAGAAGAATTATGCTTAAATAATTGTAACATCGAATTTGCTGGTGTGACTGACCTAAATGAAGCAATGATAAAACTACGTAATTTAAGGGTATTATCATTAAACGATAATAGTCTAACAGATCAGGGAGCCGAGAATTTATTCAAATCCTTATCAGTATGGAATATAAACTTAGAAGAGCTGAATGTGGCAAAATGCAATTTTGGCCATTACGGAGCTAAGAGTTTAGGCAAAATTTTAAAGAATCTTTCGAAATTAAAAATACTTAATATAAGTAATAATTTTATAGAAAATGACGGAGCGATAGGGGTGTTCAATTCAATTTCGAATAATAATAGCAATAAATTGGAAGAATTAAGAATAGTAAATTGCGGAATTGAAGTAGCAGGTGCAAAAAGTCTGGCAGGTGCTCTAAAGAAATCACCAAAATTAAGAATTCTTTCTATAAATGATAATTCCATTAGAAATGAAGGTTCATTCGAAATTTTTCAAGTTTTCTCTAATAACAACAAGTATTTGGAAGAACTTTACGCATCGTCCTGTAAAATTGGACTTAATGGTGGATTTAAATTAGCAGAATCATTAAAACAGCTGGCGTATCTTAAAGTTTTATCTATTGATAATAATTGTTTTGATGAAGATTCATCCTGTTCCATTCTTTCCTCGATATCTAGTCGTAGTAGAAATATGGAAGCTTTATATTTAAATCATTGTAATCTTGGATTTTCAGCCGCTTACGAATTATCGAAATCCCTTGGTAAAATGCCAGATTTAAGAGAAATTCGACTGAATGATAACCCCATTATGGACGAAGGAGCAACCCATATATTTTCATCCATATTGAAATATAATCATTTGTTAACTGATTTAATAATGAATTCTTGTCAAATTGATGCTCACGGAGCAGTGGAATTAGCTAAAGCCTTGAGAAATATTCCCTATTTAGAAGTATTTGACATATCCTCTAATTCGATCAAAGACACTGGAGCAACTGCTTTATTTGTGTCCATATCTCAGACAAACACTAAATTGAATACATTAGCTGTCAGAGAATGCGATTTTACTGTGGAAGCCGCATTACAATTGGCAAAAACTCTTAAGAACTTACCAAATTTGAAGAGATTAGCCTTTAATAATAACTTCATTGGGGATAGAGGTTCTTCATCAATATTTTCGTCAGTATTAAAAACTGAGAATAAACTTTGCGAACTTTACGTTGATGGTTGCCAAATTTCAACCGAAGGAGTAAAACAATTAGCAGAAATTGTCCAGAATTTAAAACAACTAAAAATCATTAATCTTAGTAACAATAAGATTAATGACAAGGGAGCAGCAAAGCTTTTTAGCATCCTATCAAAATCAAATCGTAATTTAAAAGAGCTATACGCAAGTTGCTGTAATTTTGGTATTAAGGGAGCCATTTCCATGGCGGAAATGCTTAAAAATATTCCAGATATGAGAAAATTATCATTTAACGGTAACGAAGTAAACGACGAAGGAGCAAGTGTCCTCTTTAGGACAATTACGAACTTTAATAAGAAATTAGTTAAATTAGAGGCTGGTAGCTGTAATTTTGGATATGTAACTGCTATGGAACTGATGGAGAACCTTGAAAAGTTACCATCTTTAAGAATACTCTCAATACAAAACAACTCTATAAAAGACGACAAGATAAACGTTTTAAACAAAACTTTTGCAAATTCAAAAAGAAAAATTCAACAGTTCAACGTATAAAAAAAATCCCCTTTTTTTTAATAAAAAAATCTATTGCTATAAAACCTAACTATTCCTTGAGTTAATTGTTTTAAAACAAAAAGTAGTATTCATGAATTAAAAAAAATATGTCGTATAGATGTCGCCACTGGTAACTAAGTTAAAAATAAAACTATTCAGTATACATTAATAATCATATTTTTTTTTTAAAAAAATACTAAAAAAACATAAGAAATCGAGAAAAATAGCTCTAACTGTTTTTCTATAGAAAGACCAACAAGAAAAAAAAGAATTGAATAATCTTCTTTTTTTTTAAAAAAAAAAAAAGAAATCTAAAAAAAACACTATTCGAATTTTTTAAAACTGATTTGTTCTCGTTTTTTTTACTATTCATTCAAATATTAATATTCAAAATCAAAATCTATTATATGAGCATACTATTTCCGGTTAAAATTTCACTCTCTTTTTTATAGAATAATTGAAAAAAAAGAAACAATTAGGAAGTTATTTAAAATATTATTAAGAGATATTTTCTAATGCCTTTCACCAAAAGCTCTTTGAATAGACTTTCCTTTAGCATTAAGATAGTCGGATCTTTCTTCCTTTTTCCTATCAAATATCGACGCAGGCCTTTGTCCTGTTTAAAACAAATAAAAAAAAAATAAGTTATTTTCGTAATCGAAAGATAGAATAAGAAATATTTTATGCTTGATTGATCCTTTAACAAAAGTAGCTTATGGGGTTTTATCTTTTGTTTAGTTTTATAGCTAAACAATTGTATAAATAAACAATCTAATACTACGATAAGTTACTAGTTTATACCTATTTATCGGCCTATTGACGAGAGAACTTTTCAAGTTTATACTAAGGTTGGCACTAATTAAGCCTACATGTTTTGATAGAAATAAATTTATGGCTGATCTAGAAAAATAAAAACCTTCGACCGGTGGTGATTTTCTCACCATTCTTCCAGATTGCATCTCTTCTTCCAAGATTTGATAGGTTTTTGGTTTAATATTTTTGAAAGTCGGCCCTCCAAGTTTAATATGAGATTCTTCTACAATTTCCACACGTTGTTCAGGTTCTTGCGCCTGGGCTGCAGCCGATCCAGCTTGACTCATTGCACCTCTATTGGAAAAAAGAAATATTAGCAATGTTACTAAATACAGCGTATGATTCATAAGGAAAAAAAATTGGTCCTTAATCATCTTTTTTATTTATATATTAATATAGAAAAATATGGAAAATTATTGAAAGGAAAGAGAAAATATCTCCTTCGCTTACTTGGCAACGACAAAATCCAATTCGTTTCCGGCTCTAAGCATCTCCTGTTTGGCCTGCATATGTGTCATATGTTGCGCCGGAACATTGCAAATTGAAAGAATCACGTCACCAGCTGATAAACCAGCCTTACCACCTCTACCGTTAGGAGCAACGTGTTCAATGAACAAAGGCATCCCATTCTCAGCTCCTCCTTTCATTCTAAATCCCCAAACTTGTGATGTATCATTACGTCTCAGGCGGACTTGTATTACTTGACCGCTAGCCATCTCCTTCGCTCAAAAATTCTCGACTAAATGCTGGTCCGAAACAGTTCTACTTTTAGACTGCTGGTAGGTGGTTTCGGGTTACACTTTACGGCTAGTTTGTAGGTTTATAGTTTGCATCTGCATTAGTAGTAGTAGTACTGCAATAGAAGCGGTGCATCTACAATACTCTCTCTGTTAAAATGTTGTAGATATGATATCTTTAGACAATTTGTGCATCAGCAAAAACTATTCAATAAAGACCTACTTAGCCTTCCTATTCACTCCCACACCCCAACCCCTCTTTTGACAAATTTCACACCTTATTATATTATATTATGGAAGAATATTGTACAGTGAGCTTATGTTTAATAAGATCTTAATAGAACTTACATGATAATTAATTTAGAAAGGAATGGGAAAAATCAATAACTTATAAAGATATTAATTAGAGTAAAGGAATGGGGATAGGGATAAAGTGAAAAGTTGGTTAAGACATATAAAGATATATATAGTATATATATATATATATATATATATATATATATGCTAGATAGGTAGGTAGAAGAGGGGGGAGGAAAGGAATGAAATTGATTGATTGAATGTCTTGAAAAGATAGACTTAATAATAATAAAAAAGAAATGTAATCTGTAAAATATACTATATAGTAGAGATAAATAAACCAAGACAAATAAATAAACAAGCTTATACAAAGTTCAGCAGACATTCACAAATCGAATACGACACCCCGTTGTGGCGTTGAATAGTCGTTGAAAAATTTCTAAGCCTATATACCTTTATTATTCCAACGCCATGGAGAGCAACTTTCAGAGAAAATTACATGTCGGAAACTGAAAATTACAATTTAATTTGACGCTAGCTAGACTGTTTTTCCTTTAGAAATGTAAAACCACGTAAATTTTTATTATTTGTATATATTCCTTATATTACTAATATGGTAAAAACACAAAGGACATAGAAGAAGGAACCTGCCCCCCCGTTGAGAACGCCGGCAATAATTACGATGTTAACAATTAATATTCATGAGTCTCACTTTGGCCGTCCAATGAACGTTGGGCTTTCACACTTCGGCAACGTATTGTACGAATATAGCTCACCGCACGAGTTGTCGCTGTCGATTAACGTCGCGACACGTTTCGTTCACAGCACCCGAGCAGTTTTTTCCTTTTTTTTTGTTGGATTTGATTGCAAGAAAAGATAAGGAACGCTACTTTCTCCATAAACCAATTGCTTACCAAGGGGGCTTATAGATAAAATCTCTCCCAAGGTACGTTACTTCTTATACCCTTATTTAACGGATTTACGTTTTATCATCTCCATAATTTCTACAAATCAATTTCTCCCTTGTTTTATATGAACATTATCTTAATTTTTATTTATTTCTTTTGCAAACAGTAGAGTAAAAATGATAGAAACGAAACTGACAAGATGAAGAATTGGATGCTGTTTTAGAACCCAAGAAAAGAATTGAAATTAAAAAGCGTCACATCATTTAATTACGATGCAGCCGATAACTTTGCTGCTAATAATAACGTTACTCTTTGCTAAATCATCTTTATCTGATAAGATTTATTGGGATGATGAAAGTGAAAAACTGTACTCAAAAATCCAACGGAAAACTGACAAAGTCTCAAATTCAAGTGTTATAAAATTAGAAGATGGATGCGGACGAATGCAAAATCGTCTCGCAACCTTAGAAAATGGCGATAAAGCTTGTATTCGCTATAGATTAAATACTGATTTAATGCAAGGCGAAGTGTTCTCCTATCTGCTATCTAAATTATTGGATATTTATAATATTCTGCCAATTAGTTTGTCTATTCCAAACGATAAACGCTTCGATTATGTTAAAAAACAGGTCAGTTACAAATTTTAGTCTACAGTGTCGTGTGTAGAGATTAAATTACCATCTCTTCTATCGATAATAACATCAGTAATAGGTATTTTTGAGGCGATTGGGTTGATCAATTCCTTTGGGTAAATTGATGGGTAGGGGTGAATTACGGGTCACTAAACGGTCCACTGAGAATTTCATTGAATGAATGAGGTTTTAAGGAAGGTATCTGATTCTATTTAACAGCTTACTTGCGCCAATCCAAGCCGAAGAGTAATCGTTTATTTTACCCGACTCTTCACTATCTTTATTTTCATTCAATTCAACTATAAATAACCTCTTTTCATCTTTTTTATTATCATCTTATATATATGTTTGCTGTATTTAATTTTATTTCTTTCTCTTCCCATATTGTTCAATGTAGGTTAAGGAGCTAAGATGGATGGACTCGAATCCGCTTATTTTGACACCTTTTGTAAAAAATCTGTCTCCCGCCTACATACCTGAAGAATATAGGTCTGAGCATTTTACTCTAACCAATAAAACAATTAAAGATTCGAGGAGAATTCTCGAGTTAATTCAATGGACTGATATGATAATTTTCGACTATATTACTGGAAATGTTGACAGAATTGTTAACAATTTACACAATCTACAATGGAATAAACAATCTTTAACTAATTCGGCTCATAATCTATACAAAGCTCAAGATTTTCTTATTTTTCTCGACAATGAATCGGGATTGTTACATTCCTATAGAATTCTTGACAGGTATAAACATTTACACGATCGGCTTCTGAATTCTACTTGTATCTTCAGACGGAAAACTATAGAAAGATTAAAGAATATTCACCATAATGTCGAATCTTTACTTGTAGAGGAGTTGAAGAAAATTGAACCAATTTTCGAAAAGTACTTGCCATATCTTCCTCAGAAGAATATTATCATGTTAAAAGAGAGAATAAAGAATGTACTTGACCATGTGAGGTCTTGTAGCAATCTGCTTTAATACGGTGTTTAGATTACCTTATCAGACTGATAAAACTAATTATCTACTGTGCATATCTTTGTATCACCCTCTGCCTAATTGTTGATGCATTGCGCGGACATTCTCACCTACGGGTTAGACGCGCTCGCGCGCGCTTTCGTTAATAAATTCTGTTTAAAGTCATAAAATCATTCTTGCTCAAATATTTAATTAAAAATTACACTAATTAATACTTTAATTAATAATAGGTTATTATTAAAAAATCTATAGAATATGACAGAAAACTATGCTGAAAATGTTTCGTATCTCGCTATTCGATAAATATAATTATAAAGGTAAGAACATTTATAAATTGACGGCATTTACATGAACTATTTTTGTATGTTATTGTTATCTTTGATCAGCAATCTGTCGACAGATCATAGATAACGCTTTCTAAAAGCTTCTTTTTAAACTCAAAGTAACAGACATTATTGATAATTAATCGATTTTAATGAGGATTTTTACACATATTACAAAGACAAAAGATCCGACAAGTGAAAGGTAACATCCGTAGGAGTAAGATGTACAAGTAGGGATGAAAGCGATGTATACAATTTTAAGTACTTGTAGACAGAAGCAGGTACGAAGGAATACTTTCGTCAAACAAGTTCATCTGGTACGTAAAAAAAATTGCAAGAGAGAATTTGACAAATGAGTGTCTTTGTTTAACATACAAAAACTCTAAAAAGGACTCGTCTTGAATAGTTGATAACCATGATTCTTTTTGTATGAGTAACTTATTATATATAAAAGACTTGGGCGTCACTTCTTGAATGAGGTAATAGCTTCTCGGTGCTTTTCATTCTGTTACAAAGACACTTTTAGAAAACAGCTCAAATTAAAAGTGAAAGTAAAAAATGTTCCATAATGGAAAAAGAGAAGTGCGACAAGGAACACATGTGAAGTATTCTACTCCCCACCGAGCATTTAAATCGCCATCGACGCACCTGCGACCGTTTTCCTTCGTTGATTTATAATTATCTATAGGTTTTTGCACCTCTGCGTGCCTCTATTTAAATGTAAATTGGTCGAGCGTATAAATCAACGGCGGCTGCTTGCTCTACAATCATTGACTGGTTGCTATGGCTACTGAACGATAGTTAATATATATTAATTGCTGTCGTAAAATTAAAAAATAATTTAAAGATTGTGCGAAAAAACTACAAAATCGTGCCGTAGAATAATCTGAATATATCTCTAATTTATAGCTATTTTCTCTAAATTCATTGGATTATTTGTAAAATAATAGAATTCAATTCTCTCCGTCTATAATTATATATTGATTATATAATTTAACAGGGTAAACAATGAGAAAAGGGAGGATAAATTACTTGATTAATTAATTTACAGTATTAACACCTTCTATCGTATGTAGGTTGAAGAGAGAATTGACATTGAAGAATGAGTCAAAGAGAAAGTAAAATGAATTGATTTGAAAGATTTTTCATTGAAATTTTATTGTTAAAAACCTTGTAATAATATTTTTAAAAGGTAAATTAATTTTTCAATTGAAGAAAAGTAGAAAGAACTGAATAGGGATTGTACGGGGAGAAGAAATATATATATATATACAGTATATATATATATATATATATATATATGCCGTATATGAAAGAGCGTGTGAAAAAGTAAATTATTCACAAACACGTATTTGAAAACCATTACAGACGTCTATTGTTAAGAGGCGCTAGATTAGGTACGCTTATAAAAATCATTAAAACACGACAACTGTGTCGCCGTCTATAGGTAGTTTAATTTTTTTTCAATCCGCTTTGAACATTTTTCTGTTGTTGAATGATAAAAAGAAAGAAAACTAATACAAATATTGTTGAAGATAGAAATCTGAGAGTGTTTGCATGACGTCTATAAAGATCACTTTTGTGTTAGAGCCTCTTTATCTATTTGTTTTCACCTAACAAGTGTGGAAGATTGATCCGCCCCCTTTTTTTTATTTCCAATTCATTAATATATTGACTTTGGTCAATATTATAAATTATGCAATTCAACGCCTGTCTTCTTCTACCTTTGTAATACTGTTTAGTACAAAGCAAACATGAAAGAAATATTTTGTAAGAAGAACAATTTATTACATCATCGAACTACACCTTGGGCTTTAAAAATTCATCACACATTGCTTGAATAACCCATTCCTTACCCCCCTCCTGCATC